CAAGCTCCAAGAGTGTGCCGGTGGGTATAGTCAATGGGGCATCAGGTGGGGCCGAGACAAAGGTGGGAGCGGTACCATCAGCGGCTCCTCCTTCATGCCACCCTCGGAGCCCTTGGCCGTTGAGGCGGTCCCGCCTGCTGCTGCGTCCCCTGTGCCATCTTCGTCTTCTTCGAGCTTGAGTTTATCCCATTTGGAGCGCGGGCGGCTTCCAGCGGCGCCAGAAGACGCGGGAGCCGATGAATGTGCTAGAGGACCATCTGCCGAGGATCCTGTTGCTGATGAGGCAGTTGCAGCTTCGTAGGATGGGACTGTACAAGAAAAGGAGGATAAAGGGTTTCATCAGAGTGAGCTCAGAGATATCGTGAACTCTCCCTGGAATGGTTCTTTCCCAGTCACTCACCAGCTCCACCAGCCTGAGCTTCCAGATTCGGCCACCGCCTTCCCGGAAGCTTCTTCTTGAGCAAGATGTCGACCTTTGTGGACAAAACCTTGAAGGAAGAGTTGCTCCCATCGATGTCGTCGTGCAGCTGTAGCTCCAGTGATTGGGGAGGTGCGCTAGGACTGTGAAGCGTCAATGAGAGCTGAGCATATCAATAGAGGAGAGGTGTCGACTGGTGAGTCAATGAAGTATGAGATGTAACACTCGTCTCGATGCGCTTCTACTTACGCTATGCTCTCCAAACTTGATGTCAACGTCATTCTCTGTGAGACCTTTTACGAAGACGGAAAGATTGACTGCTGTGTCGGTCTGATAGTAGTCATATCTGTAGCAGCGAAGAAGGCATGTCAACCCCGAAGTGTCATCAAGGTCAGTCCTTGTGCGTATTGAAAGGTGCTCACCTCGGCTGGCTGGACGTCATGGCTTCAATTGCTGGTATCCTGGACCGGTATACTACAAAGGGGAGGGAGAATGTTCCAGCCTCGAACATCTGCATGGACGCTGCACCCCGCTTCCCGCTGGACTCAGTCGCCCTGCAGGTGGAGACCGAGGTGAGGCCCGCTCCGTTCCGATGCTGTTGCGTCGGGGCAGCGCCCGTGTTTTGTTTCCACACACGCCTGCGACGTTGATGTCCTCCTTCCGTTGGTTAGACTATCCTGCCCCTTCGCCGGCGCATCCACTCGTCACGCTTTGATCCCTTCTCTGAAGTCGAGGCCGTTGCAACCAAGTCCCACCCCTCCAAGGACACAGATGGATGCTCTGAGCCAGTAAACGGCCAAGTCGTGCTGTTATCTCTGCCCGGCATGCCTATGTCTTCGACCGCTGCCCTCTCCTCGCGAAGCGGCATGCCTCCTTCTAATGCCGCTAGTAGAGCAATGAGACCAGCTCAACCACCGCCTACATCCACTTCGGACCGAGCCAGAAGCTCGACTGCCACTTCAGCGTCATCATCGAGGGCAACGTCAGCCGGAGCAAGCGCCAGTAGCAGCTCCACTGTCCCTGCCAAGCGACCGATTGCCTCAGTCCGGACTCAGAGCTCTACCACTACCTCCACCAAGAGGCCCCATGCAGACTCCAGACCAGGCTCTGCAAGCTCGAGTCGTCATGCTAGTGTCGCGAAGGAGCCCACTGCGTCGCGCACAGCAGAGCGATCCCGCTCAAAGACACCCGTACCCTCCTCTATTCAAGCAAGCCGAGAACGAGCAGCACGAGATCGCGAGATGAGCCTAGATGAGCTCGCACAAGGCCTTCCAACCCAGAGCAGTCTGCGCTCCTCGCCATTCAAGCGGCCTGCCGTGGTCGATCCATCAGAGAGAAGGCGACAAGTCTTCCGGCAGATCAAGGTCGACCTGCAAAGATCCGAGAGGGATGGCATCAGCATCTTTCCTGCCATCCCTGCCAGCCCCGCAGAAGCTCGATCCCTACAGAGGCGTCTTTTTGGCCTCGTAGAATGCTACTTGGATCCGAGCCTTGGAGACTTGACGTCTGCCTCCTTCTACTCCTTCCTCTTTCTCACGCTCTTCCCGCAAAGCGTAGATGCTCGTCGTCTTAGAGCCAAGTGTCTCTTGCTCGCAGGCCAAGGAGCCATCTTCCCATTGTTGCAAGAAAGAAGTCAAAGAGGAGGAGCTGTCGCTGCCCTGGCTATTCTTGAGCAGGGGCCAGTAGATATCTTCGGCGACCTTGGATGCGCTCAGATCTGGAGTGAGGCTTGCAAAGCGCTAGGCAGACGCAGTGAGGCTGAAGAGGTACTGGCTTGGTGTCTGCAGAATGCTACAATCTCTTCGTCTTCCCAGCCTGCTCTTCCTGAGGAAGAGATGCCAGAGCTGGTTGGACTCGATGACAGGAAGGCCGCAGCGGGCCTCACTCAGCTCGGTTACCTACAGAAAGATGCTAAGCAGCTCGAAGCAGCAACACATCACTTCATGGAGGCCCGAAAGAGGGATCCGTGGAATTGGGGAGCCTGGGTTGGACTATGCGAACTTGGTGAGTCTGATTCGAGCAAGACGTGTACACCTATGATCATCGAGCTGAGGGACTCCTTTGCGAATGTTTGGCAGACACTGCTCCCGAGGCCAAGGACGCATTCGCTTCCTCACAGATAAGACACGCACCTACTGACTTTCTAGATGCAGTGATGATCTCCCTTGGAGGCATACCGACCTCTGAAAGCGATCTGGACAACACAATGACAGGCGCAACCTCGCGGACAGTTGCACCAGTCCCACAGCTCAAGAACGGGGAAGCATCGTCAGCGCGCACCTCGGCACTTACCTCACAGACTGCTCAGCGGCCAGGATCGCGTCCGACCACAACTGCTGGATCTGGAACAGCGAACGGCGTAGCTACCGCCAAGCGTACCAAGGCGACTCCAACTACCACTACAGGAAGTAAGAGGCCCGTTTTCGGCCCAGGAAGTGCAGCTGCTGCCTTTGGTATTGAAGGCGGAGGTACCGAGGCACAACGCTCAACCACTGTGACTAGCCGCGGTCCTAAGCCGACGACGATGAACCGTACGTTGTCCCAAGCGCGGACCAATGAGCGGCCCCCTTCGAGTCTGAGCAGCGGAAGTCGGTCGACTGTCTCAGAGAAGGAGAAGCCACAGCAGCTCAAGGACACCTCGCTTAGCGTCAGTCGAGACAGTCTGCGGAGGAGCACGAGGAGCACAATTACGACTCCCGCCAGTAGCGCTCGCAGGGCTCCAAGCTCCAAGAGTGTGCCGGTGGGTATAGTCAATGGGGCATCAGGTGGGGCCGAGACAAAGGTGGGAGCGGTACCATCAGCGGCTCCTCCTTCACGCACCAGAAAGGCGGAACAACTCCCATCAGACTCGGAAGCAGCGGGACTGCAGCGCCCTGGCTTTCCACAGCCTGGGATAATCTCCAAGAAGAGACCTGCCGAAGAAGATACAGACGATGCAGCTCAGCTGCTCCGCGTGTTGACGTTGAAGAAAGCCGCCGAGGAAGCAGCGAAATGGCAAGCTACAGATCGAGAGCTGTTGCGCTACATCGAGCTTATGGCAGGGACGTACAAGCATGTCAGAAGCTTCCAGGGCAGAACTGCGCTCGATTTGCTCTCATCACATCAGACAGCAGGGATCAGCGAAGCTGCGCTTAGGCAGCTCAAGGGCTCCGCAGAGGTCGGTGTCTTACTGGGAAGGGTCCACCACGACATGGCGCAATACGTGGAAGCCGAGCAGTGCTTCCACAGTGTCCTGCGACACCATCCTACGACCATGGAGGGTATGGACGTCTTCTCCCTCGTCCTCTTCCACCTCAACAGACAGGAGCGCCTCTCTGCGCTTGCCCAAGAACTGAGCAGCATAGATTCCGATGCTGTGGAGACGCACATTGCCATTGGCAATCTGTTCTCTCTCAATGCTTCCCCTTCCATTGCGCTGCGCTCATTCAGACGAGCATGTCTCTCTGCGCCGGGCTACGCCTACTCGTTCACTCTAGCCGGACACGAGTGTCTTGCCCTCAATCAACCACTCAAGGCTCTGCGCTTTTTCCGAGAGGCGATTCGCATCGATCCTCGGCACTGGAATGGCTGGAGCGGTATTGCTAGCATTCTTGCAACAGAAGACAAATTCGACGAAGCCCGCTTGGCCATAAATCGAGCCTGCTCCTTGAACCGCTTCAATTCTGGTCTATGGGAGGTCATGGGTCTGCTCAACGAGCAAAAGGAGGACTATGGTGTTGCGCTAGGAGCGTACTCTGAAGCCCTCGCGTACAATCCCAAGTCGTCCTCTGCCTGCCTCAGAAGGGCGGAATTGCTATGGAAGACTGGCAAGTTCGAATTAGCCCACTCGGCCTTCCTTCAGGTCGTCGCCCTCCTACCCAGTGAACCACGGGCTCATCTCCTCTTGGCCGAGTCGTACATGCGCAAGGGAGGGGGCAGGTTTGCGCCGATGGCAATGTCAAGGTCTAGCGGCAGTGCTGCACCATCGGCCAGCGATCCAATGAACACCAAGGCAAAGGCAGTCGGTGAGCCAAAAGCTCCCGTCAAGTATCAAGAGGAAATTGCACGCCACCTGGCCATTGCTGTGGATTTGGAGCCTGCCCTCAACCGCCGAGTCAAGGCGATGGGAGAGGGTGTGGGCGCTACTCTGCGCGGACAGGCGAGCGGATCTGGCGGGCCAATGTCAGTTCACGGCCACCTCATGGCTGGAGAAGCCAGTGTAGGCTCTTCCTTTGCCGGTATCGACGAGTCTCGTCACCCTTACTCGCTCGAAGAGGAAGAAGAGGAGGGCGCAGAAGAAGGAATGGAAGGCTCGTACAGCTATGCCAGTGCAGACGGCATCGACGACAGCATTGGTGTGCTGCGGGACGAAAATGTGGAGCAGAGCGGAGGCGATGGAGATCACCCGATGTCGGAGGAGGCGAGTGGTAGTGTTGAGCATGAAGGAGAGGACGAGGAGAACCAGAACCACACTGGAGATTCTCTGCAGCGACGAGGTCAGATTCAGCTGGGAGATGAAGAGGCTGAGGGCGAGGCCGGGTTCGAAGAGGAAGAGGTTGAAGACGAGGTGGAAGAGATGGAGAGCGGTAGTCAGAGTGACGGCGGACAAGAGGAAGAGGAGGACCAGGCTGAAGGCCACTTCCCAGATGAAGGGGAGCACGATTCTGGGAGCATCGAAGGTGGAGGCAGTGAGGTGGAGATGAGCCTTGAGTAGGCCGTGCTTCTCGCAACCACGTAGTACGATCTACCCGTATGCCATTACTTTTGCTCCCAACTTCACAATGCTACCATCTCAAATTGGTCATCTTGCCGTACGCCTCGTGGCCAGCAGCAAAGCAGACGGAATCGCGTGACCGCTGATTGGGAAGCGACGCACAGGCCACGTGGTTTGTGTGCTTGCCCTCTCGGATTCCGGCGCAGGCACGCGCCTTTGCCGGTTACCCCACACCACCGGGCTCCGGGGAAAAGACGGCAGCAAAGCCCAGAAGGGGAACACTCCCGCACCACACCGCACACCTTCCCACGCAACCCTCGTCTACACCCGCACCCTTCCTTTCTCCCCTTTCATCTCATCTCGATTGTACCGTACTGTACCGTCTGTAGTCTAGTCCAATTTCTCTTATTCTACTTCACAGCAAACATTACCAAGCATCCCTCGAACCATGTCAGCCGTCAAGCTCCCAACGCAAAACGCTCTCCCCGTCCCCCCTGGAGCCGGTCTCAACTCTCCTGCCTCTAGTACTCTCACTAGCAACCCTCTATTGTCCCGCTACCTAGTAGCACTTCAAGCCAATCCCCTCCGGACTAAGCAGATTACCTCTGGTGTCCTATCCGCTCTCGCTGAAGTCCTCGCGGGACACTTTGCCGGTCTACCCTCTGCTGCTGCGAACAGTAAGGAGCGTCAGCACCAGGCTGATCAGGGTGGGATTCTAGGTCTTACCTCTGCCCTTCTTGCTAAAGCGGGAATCAATGATCGGGCAGGTAAAATGTTCATCTATGGATCATTGGTGAGCGCACCATTGGGACATGTGCTCACGGGAATGTTGCAGAGGGCATTTGTGGGAAAGACGAGCCCGAGGGATAAGGTGATGCAGATTATCGTGAGCAGCTTGACCGTCACGGTGATTACCAACATTGGTGAGTCAGACGCAGGGCAGAATAGTGGCGAGGTGAGCAGACGTAGCTGACCGCCTTCGTCTCCTTATTCTAATGGCGGCTTCACAGTGTACCTCGCCTCAATGGCCGTGGTCAACGGCGCTCGTGCTCCAGAGAAGATCATGGCCGTCGTCAAGGCGGGCATCTGGAAGATGCTCCAAATCAGCTGGGGTGAGTGGTGGCGATGGCGCTACACCAGTGCACACATGACACGCTTGTGCCACAAGTAGAGGTTGCTGACCTTAACGGCATTGATTCATCTTTACTCTGTTCCCACCTGCACCCGCACCCGCACCTGCACTCGCACTCGCAGCTACAAGTCCCCTCGCCATCGCCTTTGCGCAGAACTACCTCCCACCTGAGCTCTGGGGTGAGTATCCTCAAAACCGCCTCTCCCTTCCTCGCCCAGCTGCAAAGATTCTCCGGCAGACCTGACTAACCACCTCCCTCCCTCCCTCTTTTTCTCCTCTCCATTCTGTCCGAACGACTAACAGAGCCATTCTTTACCGTCATCCGCTTCTTCCTCTCAACTGCCTTTAACACAATGGCAAAGAAGAAGCAAGTGGCACTCGCTCGCAAAGAGGCACTTCGAAGAGGTGGCAATGGTGGAGGTACAAGTGGCAGTGCAAGTGGGAATGGAGGGGAAAAGGATTTGGGAGATGCTGATATTAGGAGCAAGGCGGCTGGTGGAAGCCGCTAGAGTGAGCGAATCAGGTCAGCGGAGAGGATTGCGGAAAGTTGGGCGTAGGCGCAGGAGGGAGAGCGTCTTGTTGTGTACCGAGTCGCTTCTGGTCCTTCCGCGAATTTGAACAGGCCTCTTCCGCCCACCTCACTGCAACAGATGTCCACTTGAATGAACGAAAGTATGTTATTCTTCTTCTACTACTGTCGCCACACCCCACCACTATCTCAAGCATTGAGCAAGCTATTATAAGCCGCCTCGGCCTGAACAATCTTGACTCCCTGTTCCACCTCTAGTCTCCTCCTACTCTCCCTCAGCCAATCCTCAGCAAGCACTTTACCCCATCCCTTCAATGAGTTGATCTCTCTAGTGGCCGCCTCCAAGTCTCCCTTTTGCAAGAGGGCATATTCTGCGCGAGCCAAGATGCTGGGAACATCTGCTCCTTGAGGGTTGCCGCTCTTTGTGAAGAGCAAGGGGGAGAGGACGGCAGAGGTGATGTGAGATAGGAGACCAGCCTGCTCGGGTAGGAGGGCGACGGATTGAAGACGAGGCTTGACCTTGGAGATGTACCAAGAGGTGAGAGAACCGAGCGACTCGACTCCCTGGTCGGGGGTTCCACCCACGTCTAGCACCTCGAGAGCCTTCTGCACAATCTCTGACTCTTTCGCCAGAGGCGAGGAGCGCAGCAGAGTCAGCTCCTTGCGGAAGGCGCGCTTGCGACCTGCTTGGTCCTCGTCGTCTCCTTCCGAGGTAGCAGCCTTGTAGAGCGCTCGGACGGCAGCAGCCGTTCGGTGGGCGCTGCTGCCTTCCTCCAAAGCGGCCGAGTTGTTGTAGGTGACCTCTTGCACCTCGGCCAGCTCGCTTGCCAGTTCATCTAGTCGGGCTAGCCTGCCACCACGCTCCTCTTCGACGCGCTTCTTGATCTCGGTCATCCATCTCCTCTGCATCTCCACACCCTGAGCCACCACTTCCTCCTTCAGTCGCTCATTGATGATCTCCTTTTGTGTGTCCAATTCCGTCCTCAATCGGGTCTCGTACTCTGCCTTTGCTTTCTCCCGCTCCTCGGTGACCTTCTTCTTGCCCTCTGCATCCAGCTGACTGAACTTCTTACTTTGCTCGTCGGCCTTCTGCTTCAGCTCTTTCTCGTACTTTTGAGCCTGAGAGCTCAACGTCTTCTCTGCACGCGATTGCTCCGTCTTCCGGATTTCGTCGAGCCTCTTGGACAGACGCTGTAGCTCTTCCTTGGCCTCGTCTAGAACGTACTTGGCATTGGTGCCAGAGGAGGGAGTGTCCTTCAAGAAGGCAGCAAGGTCGTCGATAGTGCCTGCAAGCTGGCCGATCATGGGCTCACTGCCAGTGAGTGAAGAGAGGGCAGGGCGAAGCTGAGGCAGCTTGGGCGCCTGTGGGTCTGCACGCAGACGGACAGCATCATTCTTCTCGGCCTTCAGCTTGCGGTCGCCAGACTGGGAAGCGACGTAGCCCTGAGGAGCTTCGTGTGAGATGGGGAGGGGTCGATCGTATGGCTTAGTCGGAGCAGACGAAGAGGGTGCGGCAGAGGACCCGACCTTGCTGTGGTCGAGTCTGCTCTCGACTTGCTTCTGGGCGTCCTTTGCACGCTGCTTGACCTCCTTCTCAGCATCTTCAGCAGCGTTAGTAGCCCTTTGAACGAGACTATCCTTCTTCTCCTTGAGACTGTCAATTGCGCTCTTAGTCTCGGCCTTGGCGTCCTTGGCCGCGTCCTTTGCGCCCTTCTCTACCTCCTTGGCTCCACCTGCTGGCGTAACACGGGCGACCTGCTTCCTAGCCTGGTCTCGAGCCTCAAGGAACTTGGCCTTTGCCTCCTTCTCGGCATCCTTTGCCCTCTTTGCTGCATCGGAGCTAACGTCCTGCACATCAGAGACGACTCGCCCAGCTGCTTCTGTCACTCGGTGGTATGTGGCGCCGATCGAGTCTACGGCGTTGGAGCCGATACCGCCATAGTCTAGCCTCTTTGCCTCGGAAAGGACGTCATGAGTGTCAAGGTAGTCAAGGATATCTTCTCCGAACTGGAGGGAAAGGGCGCGAGAAGGATGCGCTGGACGGCATCAGATGCAGATTCAAGAGACCTTCGAGCTACATCCGCATACTCACGGGAACAGAGTCAGAAAACCAGTCTTGGTACGCCTGGTTGTTCAGAGCAACGACTGTGGAGACTCCGTAGAAGATTCCGGCAGCACCGGCGGTGTAGAGGAGCAGTCGAGGGAGGAAAGCTCGACGGCGCTCGTTCATGCGACCTCCAGTGGGGTGAGGGTTGCCTTCGTAGGTTGCATAGGTCTGCAGCGAGGTGTTCAGATGGGAAGTATGTCAGCATCATGCAACGCTGGGGGTCCTGAGCAGTCCTTCGACTGCTCCTGCCTTCCGCTCTTCTACTCACCCTACCGGCGGATTGGGCTTGTCGTGCAGCCAGTAGCCTTTGCCTTGCCGCGACCGTTGAGGCCGAGGTTACACTGCTAGGCAGCGACCTCGATGCCAAGGCAGGGATACGACCGTTCATGACAGGACGAGGAGGTGGTGAAGGGATGTGAAACAGGGAAAGGACAGACGGAGCAGCAAAGGACGCGAGACGATGAGCTTGCACCGATCCGTATCGCCCCGGCCAGGCTGGGATCTTCCGAGGCGTGGGTTCGACGTCCGCCCTGGACCGCGCGGGGACGGACAGGCAGGCAGGCAAGCAAGCAAGCAGGGGCGTGCGTCGCGGTGCCACGAGGCTGCTTCCGTCGCCCTGTCCGTCCCTTTGTTCAGTGCATACAGAGACACATACACAAATACCGCACACATGGTCCTTCTAAAGAGGTGTCCCTTGGCTGCCAAGCCGCCTTGAGCTTCTTCTTGCCTCCTTATCCCTTCTTACTTTCTCACTCGTAGACAAGGCCATCATGAATACCGGTCTCGCTTCAACGACCACGGCCACAGAGCCTTCGCAGGGCGCATCAGCTCGCCTCGCTTCCCGCAAGCCGGTCGACGCAGCTGGTAGCAGCAGCGCCGACGTGAGCGGCAAGTCGACAAGGCTTGCTGCTTCCTCTGACACCCATAGATTCTCAACTGAGTCGATACCCTCCCACCTGGCTCCGCTCTCCATCTATCTCGTACTTGTGTCGGCAGCACTCGGCTCACTGATCAGTGCATCACTCGTTGTAGCATGGCCTATGCTCTCCCCTGCAAACCTTACTCGGTACTTGAGCGGCCGGGCAAGCGCTACCTCGGAGGCTATCGCAGTCACTGGAAGGATCTTTGCGCCTCAGCTTGGCCTCTACCTCGCCTTTTGGGGCTCCTTCCACCTCCTCGAATTTCTCGTCACAGCAAGATGGAACCCCTCGCGGCTCATGAAGGACTGTGAGTATCTGCAGCAGCGCCATCGTGGGTGAAGCCGTCACAATTCGTTGAGTCCTGTCTTTCCCCTCTCCGTTACCAGCATTCCTATTGCTCAATGGTTGGAATTACCATGCGGCTCACCTCTTAGGCATCCTCGAATTCATTCTCGAATCTCTCCTCTTCCCATCCCACAAATCCCCCCTCACCTTTCTGAACTACCTCGGGCTCTGCACCGTCCTGCTAGGCCAGTACCTACGCTCCACAGCTATGATCCACGCTTCTTCCAACTTCTCACACATTGTCGCATCGAACAAGCGACCGGACCATATGTTGGTCAAGACGGGTCTGTATAGTCTGGTGCGACATCCGAGCTACACGGGATTCTTCGTCTGGGCTGTGGGCACGCAATTGCTCCTCGCCAACCCAATTAGCACAGTCGTCTTCATCGGAGTACTGTGGCGCTTTTTCCAGCAAAGAATACAGAGTGAGTCAAAGATAGGAGGTATGAGGACATTGCCGCCAAGGGTAGTAGCTCACTGCACTCTTCCGCCCCTTGATTCATGCACTGCAGACGAGGAGAAGCACCTCATCTCCTTCTTTGGCGAGGAGTACAAGGAGTACAAGAGACAGGTACCGAGCGGTATTCCGTTTGTCTGACGAAGAGGACCGCACATTCGCCCTCGTATCTGCGACGTGTGTGAGGAATTGGTGGAATTCCTGCCTCATTTCTTCTGGAAGACATTCCCTACACCAATAAATCATACACGTTGATATGTGTGCTATAAGGAACTGTATTATGTGACCGCTCACACGATAAGCTACATGAGATTAAGAAAGACGACCCGCGTCGCCAGATGTATGCTCCTCTTCAGGTCCCACCCTCTTCTCGCGCCGTTTGAAATACGACTGCCTACGCTCCTCCTCTCCTCTGTAGTACAACCGGCAGTAAGCTGTTTTGCGCACACACCGTCAACAGCTCCTCTCCGCTGATCCCTGCTACTTCCATTGTCGAGGAAGGACCAGCAGCAGCATCTGCGCTACCCCTGCGCAGAAGTTCCGCTCGCGCCAGACTGGTGATGCCACCCCTGCCGATCTGTCCTTCGGCCTCTGGGTCGGGACCGGTGAGGGACAGGTCGATAGCGGAAGAGGCTGGACTGGCCGGAGCGCCTCCGCCACCCTTTGCGCCAGAGGGAGGCGCGAGGAGATCTCGCTCTGCGCGTCCAGCTCCCGTCTGCGGGGCATAGTAGTGTCGTGAGACGGACACGTTCCTGTCCAGGGGCTGCTGCTGCGCGGCTATCATGTGCGAAGGAAGATTGCGAAGTGGACCCGTGGCACTGCCAGGAGCGTACGTCTTGCTTCGATTCAATCCAACGTCGGCGGCGGATGGAGGAGCGACTCGGCTGCTCGAGAGGAGCGGGTTGCTACTGCTAACGGCAGTGCCTGCACCTGTACGAGAAGCGGGCGTGGCAGTGGAGGCGCTACGGTGGAGTGCATCTCCCGCATTCGCACCTGCCAATTGGCTCGCAGCATCGGGTGAGATCAGAGCCTGTCTGAGTACATGCAATGCCATTGCATTTGCAGCCCGATTCGCTCTAGCCTGCTTGGCGACGTCAGCTCCAAGACTGCCATCGAGCTCCAATTGCGTTTGCGCCCGCTTGCGTTGAGACTCTAGGATGGCAGTCTGAAGCCTCTTCGCCCACTTGTCCTTCGCTGCAGCATCTTCCACGCTGAACATGAATTTGCGCACCGTCTTCCCACCCTGCGAGGCAGAAATTGCAGGAGATGCAAGGCCCGAAGGACCCATAGCGAGAGACAGGGTGAAATTGTTCTTCATGAAGGCGCGCTCCACCATGAAAGATGTCGCGCGAGGTAGATCGCTCACGTCTCCCCTGGCTACAGCTGCCTTCAGGCCTTCAGACGCGTCCGAAGCTAACACGGAGCCAAAGTAGAATCTTGCAGATCGTCCGCTGCGAACAAAGACTGCCTGGCGTACTCCAAGGGTCTTGCTGGTAATTGTGAAAGAACGTGTGGTCTCTTCAGCAAAGGAGAGGATGGGAGGGTCGAAAGTGAGGTCTGAGCCATACAGACGGATCGAAAAGTCCGGGTCGACCGCAGAGATAGAGACGACAATGGGCTCAGAAGGCACGCCATAGACGAGCTTCAGAGGCAGTCCTGCCCCGTGGACTCGAACAGCTTTACGGACACTGGCCTCCGAGCGGTCGAGTCCTTGTTGGATGGGCTCGGCACATACGCTCGAATAGATTCGCAGCAGTGTGCGATCCGACAGAGTCATGGCTGGGTCCTGGTCTCGGAAGGCAGCAATGAATGCTCCTTGGCTCAGGCTTGGCAACGCCTCGCTGAAGATGCCGGGCGCCTCATAATCTTGCTCAATTGGAGATCTTGCGCCTTCATCCCCCTCAGCTGGTCGACAATGCATAGCATCATTGAGAGCCATGATGGCAAACGTCAGGTCTGCAGCCAACCGCTCACTGAAGGTTCTCTTGATGAGATGCTTGTTCTCGCTGACCCAATGTGAAGCAAAGGTCATTAACAGAGCCTCAAACGCCGCAGAGTCATCTGGGAAGCGAATCTCCATCATGACCATCCTCAGCGAGCTCTCGATCGAGACGCCTGTCACTTTCTGCAGCTTCACAAAGGCCTCCATGACGTTTCGTCTGTCCGGTGCACAGATGTATTCCGTCAGAGCAATTCGGTCTAGCTCGGGCGTATGGACGAGGAGCTGAGCGATCGTGGCAGGCTGGTTGGGGAGACCACTTCGCTTGATGATGTCAACAATTGCGCCTTCAGCGTCTCGAGTGAAAGCTTCCACGAAGACTTGCTGAAGGGGGTGAGGCTTCGGGCGGCTTCGTTGCTCCTTTGGCACAGTGAGAGTGCAGTGGCGTAGCTCCATAATGTTTTTAACAGCGAATGTCCATCTGATGCTAGGTAGCGGCGACGCAGTGGAGCTGCCCAAGTCTGCTTCTCCAGGCGGAGGTGCAATTGGCTTGGCCACGACTAGGATGTCGTTGAATAAGATCAGGAAGCGATCTTTGACTGTCGAAGAGTTGACAATTTGGAAGACAGGCGAAGTTTGGAGGAAGTGCCGGGGAGGCGAGTCAACGTCCTGTGCAGTCAAACCGGGAGGTACATCGGACGATGTGAGATCGGTCTTTGTAGTCGAGGTCAAGACTCGGCTGTAACGGTGGAGCATAGCTGCTGCATTGCTTCCGAGCTCTGAGGTTGCCGTGAGAGGGAGCAATCCTATCGGTCTAGCTTCTGTTAGACCAGAGTCCAGCGACTCATCTCCGACTGGCAAGACTTGCTTGGGCTTGGAGGAAGCATCTGGCTCTTCTCGAGTACTGGAAGAGACTGAACTGATCGAAGTGTTGCGAGAGTGCATCTGGATCCGAGGAATCGTTGACTGTTGCCCCGGCTGCGAAGAGAGCGGCACCCCTCTTACAGTGGACGAGACTGGCTCGGGACTGATCACAATGGGTGCCGATCGAGATGTTTCTAGCGGCCTAACATCGAAGCGGTTGAAGGTCTCTAGACGTGCTGAGGCATTGTCAACCGCCTCTCTGGCAATGGCCGTTCCACCATGCTCTGCCAGAACCGGGCTGGGCGCAAACGTCACTTGCTGTCCCGTCCTCTTGGCCATCGGTCTGTCTGCGACGGATGTCTTTCGACCCAATGCAGCAGGTTGTACACGAGGGAGAGAAGCTGCGGCCACAGGAGGTGATCTGGAACTTTCTGCCTCCACGACACCCGACCCGTCAGGCGGCTCTGACCCTTTCCTCGTCCTCATGCTTCCCTTACGTACTGCATTGGAGGCTTTCCGTCGAAGAGAGCCGAACAGACCTATTTGCGGAGAGACGCTTCGAGACCTGTCGTCACCCGGTGTCGTCGTCGAAGCTGATGAGGAGCCGAGGAGGCTCGAGCTGTTGCCCTCGGCACCCTCCTCCCCAATTGGCACCCAGGGAGTAACGGTCTGCGCCAGGCTGCGCGACGTCTTATGGAAACGCGGGATGGGGCCGAATGTCGCGTTGGTGCGGGTCGAAGCAGCTGTGGTCGTGCCGGCTCGTTGCAGCGAACTTCCAGCAGGCGAAGTCATTGGCGAGGTGGACAGCAGCGTAGCTGACGCAGATCGCATGTCGGCTCTGTCGTCAGCGATAGGGCCACCAAATGAGTCTAAACTGTGGCTGCTACCACTTTGAGCTCCGCCCGACGAAGCGTTGCGCAATAGGCCAGGAAAGGGCGTGAGCTTGTCATTGGCATATCCTGCGTCTGCTGAGCCATCCGTAGCGGAAGGAAGACGCGTGGCACTGAATTTGGCAGACTGATCGTGAGACTGCGACTCTTCAGAGGCAGTGCCAGCCAAAGGCGACGGCTGAGGTCGTCGGTAAGGCTGCTGCGATGTCAAGGTACCAGCATACTCTGCGCCGGAGACATTGCGGGACAGTGCAGGTGGAGACAAGACCCTGGGCTCTCCAGCAGACGGTGATGCCAGGGATGTGTTCTGTCCTCGCGTGTCAAAGGGGCTGTTCGCAGGTCCACGACCGATGCCAGCCCGCGCTTGGTTCTCTGACTCAGGGATCGCGTTGGATGTGGGGACCCGGGGCACGTCCACGCTCGAATTTGGACTCAAGAAAGGGGTGCTGCGGGCACTCGACTGGCTGCCCCCACCCGAGTGGTGCGGGAGGACCCTACCTTCCTCGGCATCAAAGACAGGCGGAGCTTTCCTTTTCCCGCTGCCGGTCCTCTGCAGCCTGGTCCTGGAGCCCTGGGGCGGCAAGACGGCAGCGACGGGAGGAGAGGGTTTCAAGCCAAAGTCTTCCTCGCGAAATAGTGATCCATTCGCCTGACGAACGAAGCCTGTCGGCGTTGGAAGATCAGGATAGCCGTCATGGGACGATCCCTGTCTTGTGCTGGGACGAGAGCCCTTGGAGACCGGGGGCGGGGGCGGCCCAGAGCCAGGCCAGTCGAGATTGAGCTGCAACTCCTTCATGAGAGTCGGTGAGATCGCCAGATCATGCTCGAGCCTTCCAAGACTCGAATTACCGCCCATGTCCGTCGTCAGAAGGGGCACAGCAGCGCTGGTAGTGTCTGAAGCCGTCCTGACTGGGTGTTGTGCAGAGGCCTTCTGATGATCCTCGGTCGACAGCCCCTGAGCCTTCATCCACCTCCTCCAAGCAACGACACGATCAGCATCATTCAAGTCCGACGTTGGTGTAGCAATACCGGGAGACGCAGGAAGTGATCCTGCACGCTGAGTCGAAAGTCTTTGTGAAGGGACCTCGTGCAGCTGTAGTCGCGCGGGCGCATGTCTACTTTTCTGCTCCTGAGCGCTTGCATCCGAGCCACCTCCTTGAGCAGATCTGTCTCTGGCAAACTTTTGCGAGGGTACAATGCCCGTGCTGACGCTATCCTTGGCTGCGCTATTAATGTTGTCAATTCGCTGCCCGTAGTGATCGTTCGTTGCTGCAGCCCTGTCATCTCCAGCAGCCGGCCCAAACGTCACATTATCGCCATCCCCTCTTGACGCGGCCCGAGAGCCTCCCGCCGAGTTGTTGCGGAGGTCAGGGGAAAGTGTATACTCAGATGTAGCTCCACTTCTTGTGGCGAAGCTCTGTGGCAGAAGCTGCAAGGCGTTAGCCTGCTTAGGGGCGTTCCCAGAAGGATATGAGGGATCCAGACTAGTAGACCCTTCCACGGGTAGAGTGGCATCAGGATCTCCGGTCCGCATCATATTCTCGAGCCCCAACCTAGTATCACCTGAGCCATTGGCCTCCTCCTCCTCTTCTGAGATAGCGGCATCTCCATGTGATTCTACAGAGTTGAATCTGGAGTGCATGCTCTCACCGTATCCTAGTGAGGAATTGGTAGGTGAGCTCGGCCAGTCTTGCAGCGAGGCCTGTGCCCTCACTCGACCCGCCGATCCTCTCCGCCCGTCCACCAGCGGCTGATCAGGACCTCTGAGCAGATTGAGTTGAGCGAACCGGTCGCTTGCAAGCCCAGCTTCTCCCACGAAATGCATTGACGGGATCAGATTCGCGCCCGTGGGAGAGTCGTACGAGGAGCCTGCGACACTCATTGGTGCACTGTCGAACGACATAGGAGTCTCGGCTGGTCTCCCTCTCGTTTGTGGAGTCTGAGGTACCATCCGCTGAGTCGGAGAGGAGTAAGTATCGCGGTGCTGGCTGGGAGATACAGATTGGCCCTGGCCACTGGCAGAGAGCTGTAATTGCTGCTGTTGCAGGACTTGCTGCATCTGCAGGAAAGTCATCTGCTGCTCTGGTGTGAGTTGCGCATTTGCAGCTCCTGTGATTGCTGCGCTTTTGAAGGGTGTCTGCGGCAGCTGCGTGAAGGGGTATACAGGTATGGCAGCATTGTCGGCGTCTTCTCCGAGTGCCGCTGGAGGAGTTTTTTCGTCCTCATGAAAAGTCTGTTCAGCAGCACCTCCCATTTCGCGGCTGCCTCTACTACCCCAGCCCGCTTCAGTGTACTGCTGCTGAAGCTGAGGGGTTTCGGGCGGTGGCACTGGCGATGGTCCTCCCAGCCGCCGGCCGCTCAGCTTCCGCATCATCTGCGTACGGGCCATTTCTCTCTGCGATGGTTCTCGGACGAGAGATGATTGAGAGATGTTCTGCGCAGAAGACTCGGCTTCGTCCTCTTGGTCACTTGCGGCATGCGTTCGAGACGCTCTCGTCGCCGTTCGAGATCGGGCTGGTGTGAGCGGCGAACTGTTTTCAGCGGAGCTGCCTCCTGGCAACGGTACTTCTGCCAGCCGAATTAGTTCTCCTACCTCTCGTCTTTGTGGCAGCCTGCTCATCCTTTTCTTCTTTAGGTAGCCAGGAGAGGGCGGTTGTCCTTCTGATGATGGACTGAGGCCTTGGGCGAAGGCGGCTTTGCGTTCGTCATCAGCCCTCTGACTCAGGCCGGAGATCGTACGGCTGCGCCGAAGCAAGTGTTTGCTAGAAGGACTGCTGCTGAAGGTAGGGGGGCGCAGGTAGATACTTCCCATCCCGCGTCTGGACGCACGCAAGGCTGCTGGAGGAGAATTGACTGCTTGCCCATCTTCAAGCTCGTCGTCGTCATCCGTATCCTCTTCATCATGATCGCTGAGCTTTCCGCCAGAGTCACTGACTGGGCTCGTTGCGCCATCTCTGTCGGGATCGTGGCCTAGCAGCTTCTTCAACGCATATGCTCTCGCAGCAGCGCTAGCCGCATTGGCCGCGCCGGCGCTGGCACTTCTTTGGAGGCCTGCGGTAAGCCGTTCTTGAAGAATCCTAGAACGTAGCTGTTCCAACGAGGGGAGTGGCGAGCGATTGGCTTCCGCTCTCGAAGCGGAAGCCGATCGGGAAAGAGACATTGCGTGGGCTGGTGAGGTTGCGCCGGAGTGTGTAGGTCGGCCAGGCTCCAGGAGCCTATTGGGTGATGGAGAGGGCTGGAGCGCTGTTCGATTAGAGGATGGTGAGGCAAGAAGAGTGTGAGGTTGTACTGGAGACGGGGCTAGCTGCACCCGCCTAGGTTGATCTGGACTCTGCTCGGGTGCAAGTCGCGATGCTGACGACGATGGTGACAATTGAGCTAGATTGATTCGTGCTGAGGTTGGGCTCTCATCGCCACCGGCAGTGCCTTTGACCTCGCGGTTCGAGGCTGCTCGCTTCAGTCTCGCGATGGCATTGAGTCTGGTCGAATTGCTGGGTATCCTCTCCAAGGGCTGCGCTCCTCTGGCCGGCGTGAGCAGGTGATCCTCAGGGCCTCTGCCATCTGTCTCATCGCTCTGTTGCTGCTGCTGCTGCTGCTCGGCATCGTCGTTAGGCTGAATACGGTACTTTGAGAGGCCCGGAGATGAGGCCATGCTAGCCATCCTGACTTGTCAGTCGCAACCTAGAGTAAGGCACTCCCAGATGCTGAAGACTCGCCCTGGCCGACGATTTTGTAGGGCGGTGTCGGGTATGCGTGCCCAAGCGGATAGTAATACAGTCTTGGGGCGATGGCAGCCTTGCTTAGGCAGAGGCGCAAGGCGTCGTTGTGGTCGTGAATTGTCCGTAAGAGATCATCAAGGCATGAGTGGAAAGTTCGAAGTGAGCTTGAGTGCAATTGGGGCCGTTGGCAAGGCGTTGTATCCTTGACGGGCCGATTGACAGCTGATGAGGCTGCGATCGACTTTGGCCCGGGAAGGGGGAGGGGGCAGTTAAAGGGGGATTGACGCCCAGAAACCTTGTCGCGTCGGCGTCTGACAAGGAGACCTGGCGAGCTCTATTTGCCTGCCGCGTGTAAAGGAAGGGTGAAAGCTTCAGCGATGAAGATGAAGTATGCCGTACGAGGAATGGCCAGAGGGAGTAGATGGTGCTATACAATGTCAGGAATGATGGATCACAATTTGCCCGTCTAGGGAGGTGTTGGTTGCCGCCTGCGTCTGCGTCGCCTCTTGTCCGTCGGCCTTTGTGCCTGCGTGTGTGTGCTTGTGTGTCTGTGTCTCCGTCTCCGCGTGCGTGTGGTTGCAACTCCGCCCTGCAATCCGAAGATCCGATCCGCTCAATCGGCAGCGCCTTTGCCGAGGAAGGCCTTGCTGCTCACCATCGGGCATCTTCTAGGCAACACCACCATCCAACACTCACCATGACGCCCGAGGCTGGGACGTCGACCCTGCCTGACCATGCCTCGCACTCAGCTGCAACGCAGGTCAAGCCCCTGACGGTCGTACTCAAGCTCGGAACCTCGTCCGTACTGAATTTGGACACCCTCACCCCACGTCTCTCCCTCCTCTCGTCCATCGTCGAGACCTGCCATGCACTGCGCCTCGCTGGTCACCGTGTGGTCATTGTGTGCTCTGGAGCGATCGGAATCGGGAGGATGAGGATGAATGTTCGCGCTAAACCCGATACGCTAGGGGAGAGGCAAGCGCTTGCTGCTCTGGGCCAGCTGAGGCTGATGGCATTGTGGGACAATCTCTTCAATCAGGTTGGCATCTCCGTGGCTCAGGTACTGCTGACCAGGAATGACATCGCAGACGTAAGTGGGAAGAGCTCAAATGAATCCACTCTTCCTATCTCATGTGTGGACTGAACTCCTCTCGCCATGCTCTCCTCGCAGCGACCTCGCTACTTGAACGCAAAAACCACGCTCCACACCCTGCTGCACACTTATCAATCCATCCCCATCGTCAATGAGAACGACACCGTCTCCGTATCAGAGCTGCGTTTCGGAGACAACGATACCCTCTCTGCCATCACTGCGGGACTTGTGGATGCAGACTATCTCTTCCTTTGTACAGACGTCGATGGACTATACACTGGCAATCCCCGGTCAAATCCTAATGCTAGGAGATTGGGCGTGGTCAGGAGCGTGCAGGAAGCTCGGAAAGCTGGTGAGAAAGCCATCATGGAAAGGCAGCTGGACACCATGAAGTTGCTGACTTTCTATCACGGGTAATTCTTCTCCCCTAGTGTCGGTGGATACTCCCGGCTCCTCCTTCGGTACAGGCGGAATGCAGACAAAGCTCATTGCCGCCGAGCTAGCCACAGCAGCAGGCGTAGCCACCGTCATCATCTCCTCGGATCATCCGCCAGACATGCTCTCCGTAGTCGCACGCGGTATTCCTCCCACATCGAAACACACCTCAGCCGCCCCACAACGTACAAAATCAAACGAGCCGGCGGCAGATCTAGCCTCATCTATCTCCTCTCTTACGTCAGAGGAATCTTCTCTAATAGGCTATCCTCCTCTAGCAAATCCAGCTCATACCCTCTTCCTGCCCCAGTCCACTCCGTTACCATCGAGAAAATGGTCCGTGCTGCATGCCCTGCATCCCACGGGAGCAATCATCATCGACGAAGGTGCCTACAAGCGGATCAGCAAGCAGGAAAGCGGAGGAAGGCTCTTGCCAGCTGGTGTAGTGGAGACGAGGGGACACTGGGAGAGGATGCAAGCTGTGCGGTTGATGGTTCGGAGAAAGGCGGCGGATGTAGAAGATACCAAGAGCAGCGCTGATGCTGCAGAGGGCAAGGGAGAATCGCTCATGGACCGCATCAAGGAGAATTTGGGGGTGGCAGCAGATGCTGCTCCCACTGCTAGCGATTCCAAGGGAAGCGGTCTGGCCACTCCCCCACTCGTCGAAGCGCTCCATACAACTACTTCTCCTCCCTCCTCTGTCCCTTCAACCGCCCAACAAACACGGCCTCCTCCTCCTCCTCCTCCTCTCTCGCGCAGCACTACCACAAGCGCAAGCGCCAGCGCCAGTGTCGCCGAAGAATCCTGGCACATCGTCGAAGTCGGTCGATGTCTAGCCAACTATACTTCAGAGGAAGTGAGCAAGATGAAGGGACTACGGAGTAGCGAGATTGAGAGGGTGTTGGGATTTGCCGACAGCGAGTATGTGACTGATACGGTTGTTATGCTTGAGAGGGGTGAAGCGGTTGGCACAAAGGCATGAGAGGCGTGGAGAAGGATGTATGTCACGAGATGTTCTGGACAAGGCAGGGCAAGAGTGGCTCGTACGGTAATTTGCATATAGATAGCATCGCACTAAGGTATCAAAAGAGGACAAGAGCGAAAAGAGGCGTACAAGCGTACCGAACGAAAACGAAGCAATCAGACCAAATCATCCGGGGAAGGGTTCTCTTCACTCTTCCATCTGCTCCTCTTCCTTGCCAACACTCCCTTGACTGTCATCCGCACCGCCGCCGCCAGCAGCCTCCCCCTTTGTCTCAAATTCCACGCCCACCCTTACTCCAATCTCCTCAAGCGACTCGCCCACTCTCGCCTTGAGGGCCACACACTCCTCGACGGCGGCGCACAGCTCATCCTTGTACTTTTCGAGATTTTCACCAGCGACCGTCTGGAGGTGCTTCATATGTGCTCTGAGCTCCACCAGTCTCGACTCGGCCTCGGCCAATTGGCGATGACCCGTCTGCTCCGTCTGTTGAAGCTTGCGCTCCTTGATCAGCTGATCCTCGTTGAAAGCGCGTGTCTCCTCATCGGTCAGACGAGTAATCTCTTCGATGGACTCTCGAATGACCTCGAGCTTGGCATTCACTTCTTCTTCTTGTTCCTTGAGCACGTGCAGGCGCTCGCACAGCTCGTCGTAGCGCTCTTGACGCTCTACCTTCTCCTCGATGGCCTTGCGTTGCTCCTTCTCCACGTCTCGTCGCAGAGAAGAGATGACGGTGCGCGTCTCGTTCTTGAGGTCCAGACCAGGGTGGAGCAACGTAGGCTGACCGACCAGGAGATCAATCTCGTCGACGTATTCCTCGCCGCCCTTTGCTGAAGAGCCAGAGACGCGCAGTGGGAAGACGCCCGTCTTGGCTGCCAGAGGATTGAAGGCCTTGAGCTTCTCCTCGAGCTTCTGCTGCATGTTTGAATTTGCCAGCTCCAGGTCGTAGCGTTGGTTCTCCACATCGCGAATGTCCACGTCCAGCTTCTCCTTCTCGGCAGTAAGTCTTGACCGCTCCGTAGTGAGGCGATCGAACTCGTCACTGGACATTTCTTGCGATGCGACTTGCTTCTCCAGTACCTCATGTTGGACCTGAAGCTCGGCCACCTCATTGCGGCCCTCTTCATTCTTGTCCTCCAGCATGGCTACCGTGGACTGCAGCTTGTGCATCTTGGGCAGCAGAGCACTCTCCTTGTACTGCTTGAACTTTGCCACATCGCTAGCATACAGATCTCTCTCCGCCTGAGCAGCCGCTAGTGGTGATCCTTGCTCCTCCAGCCTAGCCAGCTCCTCTTCCAGCTCTCGCTTCTCCTGTTGAAGACGCTCGATGTCCGTCTTCACGCCAGCATTCTTCCGCTGGAAATGCCTTTCAAGCTTCGCCTTCTCATCGGGGAAGACGTCTTCGCCCTGCCAGAAGCGCTCGTAGCATCTCCAGTTAAACGGCACAAAGACATTCGAGGGCTCGTCATCGTACTCCACTTCCAGTGCACGCAGTGCAGCAGCCCTTTGGTCTACACGCTGACGTAGAGCTGCAAGTTGCTCTGCGCCGAGAGACTTGGGTGCCGCACGTAGCTCAGCAACAGCAGCGGCGTGGGCTCGAGTCGACTCTGCAATCTCATCCCGGAAGGCTTGGTCCCTGGCTAGGGGACCGGCAGGAATCTTGCCAGCAGCAGACTGTGAGAACGGATCAGGGAGCACGGGTCAGTATGCTTAAGGACTTTCCTCGCTGTACTGTCTCGACGACTCACAGCAAGCTGTACCATCCAGTCCAAGATACCCAGCGTCTTGGGCCAATACTGCTGACTACTGGCGCTGCCGAGCAACATCTTGGTGATATCGCCCTGAGCAGGATAATTGTAGTCCCTCAAGATGTCCATCACCTCCTCTTCGGGCTTCTTGGCGTCGGCAGCAAAGACATAGGATGGGTCGATGGTTTGTTGGAAGATATGTCGGAACAGAGCCAAGAAGATGGCCTGTGTGGGAGAGTCGAGTGAAGTCATGCCTCGGTAGCCTGCAACACTGAAACCCGTTGCTTCGGCCAGCTCGTGTACCCTGCGCTTCATCTCTGCCATATACTCTCTGGACCGGAGAGGCCGTGGGTCGGTGTTAGCAGCCGGTCTTGAGCCCAAAGGTCCTGCAGTCGAGAGTGGGAATGCGTTGGGAGCCAAGGACTGGCGGCCGCCAGTCATAGATCTGCGTCCATTGGGAGTTGACTGCCCCGCCGATTGCCCCCCAATGGTGCTATTACGAGCTCCCCCACCGGATGCCGATGCTGATGCGTTTCCCATCACGCTCTGCCTCGAGTTGCGGTGGGCAGCAGCAGGTGTGCTGTGGGTATAATTACGCGACGAGCCCAATCCAGATCCTTCGCCTCCTGCTGATGCTGATGTTGCTGCTCCGCTGCTAGCTGCCATACTTTGTCTCTGTGGGGCGAGTGACTGCCTCGAAGAGCGATGTGTGAGTGTGGGTTGAGCAGTGTTGCTAATGGAGCTCTTGGGTGGCTTCATTGCTGATGGCGGCGCGATGCCAGAGTTGTGAGCATCGATGGATGCCAGCGTCGAGCGACGCGTTGCCATGACAGGCAATGGTGGTGGTGGTGGGAGGTGGGAAAGGTGATGTAGCTGGTGTCGAAGGTGGTGACAAAAGTACGATTGTCTGTGTATCTGTATGCGGCCAATGCGTCGGAAGGGAGGAGTCACGAGGTGGATACGGGGAAAGGAAAGGAACGGGAGGAAGCGAAGTCGTGTTGGTTGATGAATCTCGCGTGTCGGCGCACCCAGGCACAGGCGGCACCACAGATACACACGCACACACGCACACGCCTCGCCTCGACGCCTCGCCATTTCCAAAACACTCGTGATCGCATTCCGCCTCCTTCCGTTCCGATGGCCTCCCTCTCTCTCTCTGCTTCCTTCCTGTACGCCATCACCAGCCAGCCCTTCCGTTCGTCCGTCCGTCCGTCCGTACATCTGCCCTCGTCATCTGCATCGCTGCGACTTGGCTGTCTCCGCTCGTCAGCTCGACTTATTCTCTGCATCGAACTGGTCATCGCTGCATTCTGACGAGCACGACGACGAAGACGACGGAGTGAGGGAACAGTGGGTCACTACCCTCCTCGACTGGACCTCGTCGAGGTGGTAGCAAGAGAAGGACAAGAGGGTCACAGCTTCGAGACTCAAAGCCCTCTGGGGAGACAACGATCGCCCACTTCATCGAGTCTTCTTCACATCCTCTTCTCTGCCTGCGATGTTCTTCCTCAAGAAGCTCGAGCATCCTATTCCCCTCCATCCCTCCTACTTTGGTCCCTCCCTCGCAGACTTCATCGAGCAGAAGCTGCGAGATGATGTAGAGGGAACTTGTTCAGGAGAAAATGGATACATTGTCAAGGTCCTCAGGATCGACAGTATTGGTGATGGAGTCGTGTTGCCAGGAGAAGGTCTGGCGCAATTCAACAGTGTATACCAGGCCTTGGTTCTGAGACCGTTCAAGGGACAGGTGGTCGACGCGATTGTATCGAACGTCAACAAGGTGAGCAGAAATGCTTGGGAGGCTACGCAGCAGTTGAGCAATCAGTCGCTCAAACCTCGATTGCACTATTCTTCTCTTTCGTCAGCTCGGATTCTTTGCCCAAATGGGCCCACTTCAGATCTTCACATCAGCGCATCTGCTACCGGTAGCATACCGCTTCACCCCTGATGCTAATCCGGCAGAGTTCTCGCCAGTGGGAGAAGGTGCTCAAGGAACTGTGAGTACATTGTTCTGGACTGGCGCAGGCCTGATGAATCAAATGACATGTACTGACCTCGCTACCTCCTTCTCTCCTTAAACACAGAGCGTGGTCAAGGGCAGGAAGGTCAGGCTAAGGATCATCGGTGTCAGACTTGATGCAACTGAGATAGTAAGTGCCATGATGCTTACTCCGAGACCTACTTGACTGATTGACTGACCACCGAACCCATCTGATGCACAGTTTGCGATTGGGACCATGAAGGAAGACTTCCTCGGACCTTTCGATTGATCCACTCGTCTTCGGCAGGTACGGTGGACGTTATGCATGACAGCCTAGCGGAGGCTATGTCAGTCAACTTTCGCTAGACCAATCAAAAGGTGGACAGGATGTCGGGTGGTCACCAGACGTGACCCCCTGCGCATGTTCACACCCCACAAAGAGGCGCCTCAGAGATACAGTTCAGAGCGATGCCATTTGTACCTGATCTTCCTCTTCCAACTCATTCGCTTCGTCGAGAGGCGGGCGTGGCGCTTTCCAGTCGACTGCTCATAGAAACGCCCACACAGGTGGTCAAGGCGTGATATGATGTGAATTTGAAGAGTAATTACATTGTACAATTGAAAAGGAAAGGGTCCTGACCAGGCAACCATGGAACAACTTGAGTCGTTTCTCACCAATTGGAGAGATCTTGACTGGCCAATGGTCTGGTCTCGACTTCTTGCTCGTACTCGATCTCCATACCGGGCTTGCCTCCCTTCCTCCCTCCTGCAGGTCGCTTCTTCTTTGATTGCGGTTGCGACTTGCCTGTGGGCCGGGCGGTAGGGGCTTTGCGCTTTTTCCCGCCAGCGCCCTCCTCCTCCTCGCTTGATGGATCCTCATCTTCGTCTGAGTCCTCTTCATCGGAATCTTCGGCGCCCTCGATCGAATTGCCTTCTGAGTCATAAAGGCCATCCTCGATGTCTCCCTCTTCGTCCTCACTCTCATCGTCGTCACTGACGAATTCTCTATCACCCACGCCTGCCTCCTCTTCCCATTCCCGCTCCATATCGCTGAGTAGCTCCTCATCTTCCTCCTCGCTCTCCTCGTCCTCCAGCCTCAGACCCTCTCCATCCACTTGCTTATCCTTCTGCTTCCGTCCCTCCAGCACTGAGTTCCAGACTTCCTCGTTGACGTTCAGTGGAGCGTCTCCGTATGCTCCGGACTTGAGACGGGTGAGAAGCTCTTGCTCGATGGAGCGCTCCAGCCGTGCTGCGCGAAGAGCCTTATTCTCCCTCGTTGCTTCTCTGCGCTCCGTCTTCTGCTTGATGCCCACCAGCTTGGGCTGTTCTTCCTCCTTCAGCCTGATCTTTCTCAGCTTGATCAGGTATTGTGTGATCTTGGTCAACCTCTGCTTCGCCTTGTGTACGACGAAATTGCTCCAGTAGGGCAGCTCCTGATCAATCTGCTCCAAGGCCTTTGAGTAATTGCTAGACAGTCTCACCCTCTCCCACAATCGAGCAGGCGAATGGGCTCTTTCTGCCGTCTTGATGTAGAGGTACACCTTTCCCTCCGATTCTCTTACTGTGGCATATCGAGAGTTGGCTAGCGGGCAGGACTGGCGGTTGCAGAGACCGGTAAGGTTGTATTGATTTCGGCAAAAGGTGGAGTGTGTGTCGGATTTGATCTTGTAGGAGCAGAAGGTGTGGCCGATGATGGACCAGATGACATCGTCCGATTGCGCCATGGTTGGAGAGGAGTCGCTGTAAGAGCTGGAACGAGCTGACAGATTGCTCACCAGAAATCCTCGGCTCCCTTGAGTTGGCTGGTGTTGATTAGGAATATGCTCGAGCAAAGGTGTAAGAGGAACACTACACGGTGGATTCAAAATTTTCAAGACTCGGATCGGAAGAGGGCCACTGGACACATCTTGGAACTCCGCTGCTTCCGCTTCTGCAGGGAGGAAGATGCAACACTTCTTCGTGGAGGCACCGAGTGGACGAGGGGCTAAGATTCCTGTTCATTCCTCATCGACGAGATCCCTGAACAAGTACCCTGCTTGGTAGCCACGGCCATCACCCTGCAGAGCCATCTTCGATGGACGATACCCGCCCAAATGACATCGCGGAAGTGAACGGCACGTCGGGTGCAGCAGGCTCAGAGTCCAAAGGCGAGGAGACCACCAAAGTATACGAGAAGAAAGATGATGCCTACTTTGGCTACTATGCTCTGCTCAGTCATCAGGCTCAGATGTTACAGGTGAGAAGAGAAAGCATAGAATCGACCAAGAGTTTCCAAGCACGTTGGCTGACATCTGGCGTGCAATGGCGTGCATTTTCTCTCAAAATTGTAGGATTCTGTGAGGACAACAGCCTACCAACGGGCTATCCTGGGCAATGCCGTTGGTCACTATCAGAACAAGCTCGTGATGGACGTCGGGGCAGGCAATGGTATCCTCTCCCTCTTTGCTCTGCAGGCTGGTGCGAAGAAGGTTTACGCTGTCGAGGCATCCGACATGGTGGAATACCTCAAGCACGTCGCTGCTGCTGCCAGCGGGAAGCCTGGGCCCATGAGCAGATTGGACGAGGATGAGCAATGGTATCTCGAGGCGCAAGGTCACTCTGCTCAGGGCACTGGGAAGGTGAGCAACTCTTGGATCGGCAACCGGCTTGTGCCAGTGCACAGCAAAGCCGAAGACGTTACAGCGGCTATGCTGGACGGCAACGACAAGGTCGATACAATCGTGTCTGAGTGCCTTGGAGTCCTCCTCCTCCACGAACGCATGTGCGAGTCGTTCATCGATGCCAGGGACCGCTTTCTGAAGCCTGGAGGTGCCATGTTTCCTAGTGCTGGAACAATATGCTTTGCTCCAATCGAGGATAAGCCCGTATGGGACGAGACAGCTGCGAAGGCAAGATTCTGGCAGAACCAGGTCAGTACAGATCGATTGAAAATGTGCCGAAAGCCGATTTTCAGCTCACATATCAGACGACTCACCCCCTTTCCGATGTTACAGTCCTTCTACAATGTGGACCTGACCCCTTTCTTTGCATCAGCTTGGCGCGAGGCATTCTCAAGCCCGGTGATAGGCTGCTTCAATCCTCAGACCATCCTGTCCACGACGGTCGAGCACGACGTCGACTTCCAGACAGTGACAATGGACCAGCTGAAAACCTTTGAGATCCCTCTCAATTGGACCATTCAATCCACTGGTCTTATGCACGGCATTGGTGGGTGGTTCGATCTCAGCTTCCAACCAGCTGTTTCTGGAAGCGATCCTGCGTCCGGTGATACCACTGACGAAGGGGATGACCCAATGACTGAGTCTGAGCTTGGGCATCAGCACAATGCTGCAGCAGCTGCTAGCAGCAATCTATCGGGCACTGCTCCACCCTTTCAGCCCTCGGCTTGTACTGGCTCGTCTTCAAGCGCTGCCGGTGCTTTACTAGCAGCAGCAGCATCCGCTTCTTCTGCATCTGGCTCCGCTTCTAACGCCTACGAGATCCTGGCTTCAGCGGCTGCCAATGGCACGAGCAGCTCCTTCATGTCTACGTCTCCCCGGTATCCTCCAACTCATTGGCAGCAGGCTCGTCTTTTGCTACCCGAGCCACTGGCAGTCAATCGGGGTCAAATGGTCACAGGCTGGATGAAGTTCAAGGTCAACGAACAAAGGAGCTATGACATCGAGGCGGAACTTCTACTTGTAGACGGAGCAAACGCAAAGTCTGAGTCTACTCGGTCCACCAGGAGGAGGTGTCACTGGAAGCTTGACAAGCAAACGTACAGCTGGACTACGACGCCGTCCGTCTGAGTCTTTAGCTTCGCGTCTGGAAGTGGAAGAAGGCCTTTGAGCTACCTCACAGTGGCTTTTTTAGCATCTGTGTCCTCTTCGGCTGCCTTCGCGAGCCAATTGCTGGACATGTTCTCTTTCGCTCAGGTTTTCGTCTTGTCAGCATTGTGATAATCATCATCATCATTGTCGTGTCAGTCATGCTGTTGTGTCCCCAAAACATCCGCGGAGTGGAGGCGTCGTCCGCACTCCGCACTTTGTTCCCGTCCGCCCTGACCAACGAAATGGTCCGTGTCCCTCGTACCTGACGAGGCAGTGCTGTCTTTTGTCGTCCAAGACCGTACCCTCCATCTTTGTTCGTAAAAGTTGACGTAGTCCCAAATCCAACCTACTCTTGGTGGACGTCACTCATCAGCATGGTCCGAATCGCAACGCAGAGCCCGCTGACGGGCGAAGACGGTAAGCCCCTGAGCACGGATCATGCACGAGCTAGCTCACCCACTGACAGCAGCCTTTGTTCTACCCTTGCTCGCAGTACCCACTCACTACCTCCATGCATCTTCAGCCTTCTTCAGAGACACATCAGGCAGAGCTGTCCTCCTGCGAGGCATCAATCTCTCTGGCTCGTCCAAGGCCCCTGTGGACCGACCCACGCAACTGGCAGACGGCACTCTCTGGCGCGAGGCCGAGGACGGGGGCAAAAGCTTCGTTGGACAGCCACTGAATCTGCAGGATGGATCGGCAGATGTGCATTTGACAAGATTGAAGATGCTGGGGATCAATTGCTTTCGATACGTCTTTACCTGGGAGGCGTTGGAGCATCAGGGACCGTGAGTGGAGCTGAGAGAGACCGTCAGCTGGACCTCGCCTACGAAGCGATGCTCACCTCGTATTCCTCCTCTTGTAGGCGCAAGTACGACTATGAGTATATGGACTACATCGTAGCGGTACTCCGCAAATGCAAAGAGTATGGCTTTCGAGTGTATATGGACCCTCATCAGGACATCTTCTCGCGCTTCAGCGGCGGATCAGGAACGCCCTTCTGGGTCTTGCCTGCCTGCGGAATCGACCATCGAGCGTTCGCAGCTACTTCTGCCGCCTACCTACATTCTGAGTGGCCCTCGCCTGAGAAGCCCGACCCTGAGACGATTCCTAAGATGCTATGGGCTACCAATTATGGCCGTCTAGCTCCGGCGACCCTCTCTGCCCTCTTCTTTGCCAGCCACGACTACGCGCCTAGATGTCGCATTGACGGGAAGCCACTCTCCGAATGGCTGCAAGACCATTTCCTGGCTGCTTGCCGAGAGCTGGCTATCAGAATTAAAGATGCAGGTGGTCTGTTCGAAGACTGCGTCATAGGCTGGGATAGTATGAACGAGCCAAACCAGACGTACATAGGACTGGAGGACATCAAAGTCATACCGCAGAGGTGGCAGCTTCGTCAAGGACCAATGCCTACGCCTGCTCAGAGTATGCAGCTTGGCATTGGGAGGGTACAAAAGGTGGAGAATTGGCGCTTCACTTCCCTCGGTCCAAAGAGGGATGGGTCAGTGACCATCTCACCCAACGGGGCTAGCGTATGGCTCTCGCCTGAGGACGATGGCATTCATGGCGGTAGCAAGTGGGGATGGCAGCGTGACCCAGACTGGCCATTGGGTCAATGCGTGTGGGCAGCTCACGGGGTATGGGACAGCCAAACCGGGGAGGTGCTCAAGCCTGACTACTTCCTCAACTACCAAGGTCAGCGCAAAGTAGACTTCATCAGCGACTATTGGCTGCCATTCTGGCGCAGGTACAAAGCCGCCATTCGGCCCATCCATAAAGAGGCGATTATGTTCGTCCAGCCACCAGTCTTCGAGCCGCCGCCGGAAGAGATGGTCGCAGAGCTGGACAATCGAGCCTGCCTCTCAAGCCACTTCTACGATGGGCTCACGCTCATTACCAAGCACTGGAATTGGTATAATGCCGATGCTGTCGGCCTCTTCCGGGGAAAGTACGCTTCCCTACCTCTGGCACTCCGCTTCGGTGCCAAGGCGGTGCGCAAGGTTATCAGAGATCAGATTGGCTATTTGCGAGGCGACACACTCGACGTGCTCGGTCAGTACCCTACTCTCATCGGTGAAATTGGCATCCCCTTCGATCTGGACAACAGAAAGGCCTACTATGGCGACTCGAAAGGCAAAGGCAAGGGAGACTACTCGGCGCAGACTGCCGCCTTGGACGCTTCTCTGAATGGATGTGATGGGAAGAACCTCTGCAACTACACCATGTGGACCTATTGTCCTGATCACACACACAAGTGGGGCGACGGATGGAATGGAGAAGACTTGAGTATCTGGAGCGAGGACGATGTGGACAGGCAAGCTCTGGCCGACTCCTGGGTGGCAAACGAAGCCCACTCAGGCGATGGGCAGACTATCGTGGGATCTGCTAGAAGCTCTCTGGACAAGCCTGACCTGGAAGGTACTGGAGCTGCAGCCTCCAGCTCCGTGCTCACCAAAGCTTCAGGCGAGATCTCGCCCAAAGCCTTGATCGCCATCTACTCCGGTCTCCGTTCAGCCGGCGCCGTCTCGCGTCCATACCCAATGGCGACGGTCGGCACTCCCCTCGAGATCGATTTTGACATCAAGACTTCTCTCTTCAAGTACACCGTCCAGGTGACCGCAGAGGATGTCGGAAGTGCAGATCTGCCAACGGAGATCTACGTGCCACTGTTACACTATGCTGCGGACGATGAGCTGGCGCAGAAGTGCGGCAGAGCAGACGTCCGTCGTCGTCGTCCCGCCATCGCTGGAGCTTCCCCTAGTGAAGTCCCGCGTCTCCCCTCGCTTGCTTCCTTCTTCGGCGATGAGATTCAAAGCGCAGCCGCTTCCTCCTCATCGTCAACACGCCGCAATCTCCTAACCGACGCTCGTCTCCCCTCTCTTGCCCTGGAGGTCAAAGTCAGCTCCGGGCGGTACGAGGTGCAGGGTCAGACGCTCAAGTGGTACCTAGCCCATGGGGAGGGCTCAAAGGGTAAGCAGACGATTGAGATTAGGCGAAAGGGAGGAGCCATCAAGCCCAAGGAGGGAGAGAAGCCAGGCGAGGGGGGTATGTCGTATTGGTGTTGTATCATGTGAGGAACAGATAGGATGGGCTTTTGCTCGTTGTGTTGTGTTTATGGTATCATTGAGGGTGGATGGTATAGATACGTCCGTCGGGTCCTTCAACACACGTCACGAAAACGATACTTCACACATGTCACTCTGCTGAGCCTGACTGCGAGCGAGCCTCTGCAGTGAAGGAGCAGCGAAGAGGTTTTGCGAATTGACTATAGTACATTGTGTTCGACGAGACCTAGAAGAAGTCCTTGCCAGCATCCCCATTGCCATCGTCAGCAGGTGCCGCCGCGACTACAGCTGCCGCCCCTCCCGCAGCCTTATCCTGTCCACCTTGCCCATTCGCCTCTGACTCGGCGCTCTCACTGACCTCCTCGGTCCCCATGAGCTCATCAGCACCTTCCCCCAGCGATACCTCAGTGGCAACAGGCCTCTGGTCCTTCGCTTCTGCATCCTCCTCCTCCTCTTTGAGCTTCTGCTGCTCCTCTCTACGCTCCTGTGAAGCAGGACCCTCTGCATGTACTTCCTTGTTCGCACGATGACTTCTTCTCCCTTGCTCTTCCAATGCCCGGAATTGATCCCTATTCAATGCAGCGTATCTTCTCCTCTCTTCTTCACTCGCACCGACTATTCCAGAAGTACTGCCGCTACCAGTAGGAGGTGCAGAGCCTGCACTGGCCTTAGCACCCCTGGCAGCTGCGCTTGCAGCCTTGGCCAGTCGTGCCTCTTCCCTCTCCCTCTCCTTGTCCCACTCGCGCAGCTCCCGTCGCAGAGCTCCCTCTGGACGACGATAACGCTGTGCGGCGTCTAGATTGGCATTGTACAAATCGATCCAGTGTCGGTGGCGCGACTCCAGCTGAGCCTTCGATCCCGTAGTGGCCAGCCCGCTGTCGGAGCACTGTTTGCGTAGCTCACGCTCAGAGAGTAGCCGATATTGTGGGCGTTTTAGCTTGGTGCCCGCTGCCGAAGAGTCGTGGGATTTGTTGCCATTCGTCATTGAGGAGTCTCCAGTACTTGAACCAGACTTGCCCTTCTGGTTGAAGAAGCCACCGAGTCCCCCACCCTTGCTACCGGTGTTCTTCACGGCAAGACCCCGCTCTCGGTCGCTTGGCGGTGGATGATCGGGACCTTTGCAGGCGCCTGCTGTGTCCAGGTGACGATTCAGAGCTGCGTAGGTGAAGGTGTAGGAGCACATGGGACACTCCACGATGTCCGACGCTGTGTCGAAGAATCCAAGGCAAAGAGGAAGCGGTAAGACATCATGACATGGAGAAGATCTGCCACAGGCCAGCTTAACTCACGTTGGACATCCTGTAAGCTCCTTTCACTCGCAGCAGCTCCATTGCTCTTCACCGGACTCGCCCTGCCAGATGCCTTTCCGTCTGCAGCGCCATTCTCCAAAGTCCAGTCTTCATCCGAATCGTCGTCAAGAACAATTGCCTCCTCTTCCTCCTCCCCGAGGTTCTTCTCTGGCCCGCTGCGAGAACCAGTGGCGCTCCGCGTCACTCTCCTCGGTCCAGCGTGCTCAGACTCGCCGCCAGCCATGCGAGTATGCGTGGGTGAGGATCGAGAGGAAGACGAGTCCCCTGTTTGGGCAGAGGGATTGTCTGTAGACTGGGAGGGATGAGCCTTGCGCTTCTTGCTGTTACTGCCACCTGCTTGGTCCAGGGAAGCAGCTGCCTCCTGCTGACGCTTGAGCTGCGTCATCTCCCTCTCTGATCGCATGAGCTCCGGCCTGCAAAGGCAAATCAGACCATGTCAGCCCTCAGCTCCATCGCCAGTAGACTGTCTCCTTCGTTCCCTTGACACTGACCTCGCGCTCCTCCAAGCCTCCGCCGCCACCTCTAGATGGGTCACCGGCACCAGCTCTGAGTCATACACCTTGGGCTGTCTACAGTTCGGACATGGCCGGTCAGTAGGGTTTCCAGGCAGGGTGGGTTGATTGATGTAGTCGCGTATACAGCGCGAGCAGAAGACATGGTGGCACGTCTTGATAGCCACGGGGGCTCGCAGGATATCCTGCGTCGAGCGAGCGAGCGAGGGAAGTGAGGCGGAGGAGAGCGAGTCAGTATCGCAAAGGGTCAGGGGAGCAAGATATATGGCGCAGTGCTACTCTGCATAGTATCTGTACTCTACTTCCTCAACTCACCGAGCAAATCTCACACCTCAAACTCGCATCAAGATCCTTCAAGAAGCTCATTCCACCTCCCAGCCAATCGGAGGGATCACTGACATCCCCCAGATCCATTTGCCATTTCGGCACAGGTAGTGTCGATGAAGAGGATGTCGAGGCGAAAGCAGAGGCAGAAGTAGAAGCAGAGGAGCTCCCGCCGACTCCCGCTGAGGGAGGCATTGAGATTCGCTAGCGCTGGGCTGGCTAATCAGTCGATGAGAGGGGGACCCGCGAAAGGGTCGCGCAGCGATGGGCGCGCAGCTGCTACTGACAAAAGAGACCAATAGGTATAAAGCAGGACCTCGCCAACTTGCAGTTGCATTCGCAGTCACAGTCGCAGTCGCAGTCTTAGACAATGTGTTGTTGGTGTGTGTGTGAGAGTGTGTGTATACTGGGAAGAAGCCCCCTTTTGATTGGATCTAGTCTAGTCGCGTGCATCTGATTTGTAAATGAGCGTGTCGGAGCTGGGACGCGCTCCACTCCAACCTCACCGTCACCGTCACCGTCACCGTCTGACGACACGATGACCACGACAACAACAGCAGCAGCAGCACTACCCACAGTACGTCCATGTTGGAAAAACTTCATTCTATTTACATCCTCCTTGCAATCCAGCGCTAGTCTTTTTTGGCTGGCAGATGGCGACGAGAATTGAGACTGGACAAAAGATGGACAAGTGAGAGGGAGAGGAGAAAAAGGGCTACAATGAATGGGAGCAGGTGGCAAACAGGGAGAGCAGATGAAGCAGAGAAGATCTTCGTGCCAGGTAGTACTGAATTGGTGATGAAGAGATGATGGGAGGTGTTTTTGAGGAATGAGGCAGGATGTGAGTTGAAGTGGTACAATGATCGCGTCGAGGAATCATGCTTCGGGAAGACAGAAAGACAGAGGGAGAGAGAGGCAACGGCTGCCTGCTATGGACCCAGGCAAGACCTCCTTGAGAGGGAAGGACGTCCGAATTCGAGTAGCCGAGAGAACCGTCGTCTGAACAGGCTTCCAGTAGATGAGCCGACTGGACTTCTGATGTGAAAGCCGTTGAATAGCGCGCAGAGGAGATGCTTGAGTGAGCCATGAATGGCAAGTCTATATAATGAGTCTATATACGGGCCGGAAAGACCGAGAAAGAGGAGGGCCGAACTGCGCGAGGGGTGGCTGTTGACCTCGGGTTTAGAAGGAGAAGAGGCCTCCCACGCGCTGCTTGCGGCCGCCCAGGGTATACGCAAGGATCGTAGCCGTGAAGAGGCCGACGGTGAGGCCCAATGCGACCTCGACGAGGGATTTTGCTACCGTAAACCCAGACGAGAAGTTGTCCGTGTCGTTCGTCGTGTCTGCAAAGTTGAGCAGACCTCCATTGGAAAGACCCGAGGGGAGCTGGTACAGCACACCAGTGACGGCAACGACGTAGGAACGTCCATCGAAGATGCGACCGTAGATGTTGGACAGGATTCCCACCGCCAGGGATCCCAAGGCCGAGGTGATGTCTTGTCGTCCGTTGAGAGCTGGCGCTGTAGAGGCAAAGTGATTGCAAGCCCATCCCGCGCAGGCAATGAGAACCATGGCGGGGAACTCCTTTCGATTCACCTTGGCCTGGTTTCTCAGCGAGAGACAGATGGAATAGGCCGGCACTGTCAGCAAAGCCCAGATGAGGCCAACGTCGCTCTGCCACCAGACATTGTCGTTGTGAACAGCAGTGCAGTCTGTCACAGAGTCGGTGCTGCCTCCGCCCGAGACAAGAGCCCAGAAGGAGGATCCGATAGAGAGTCCGAAACCGAGGAACAGCGAGTAGATGATGGCATACACCATGCGCACCGATCCGGCGATGAGGTTCTTCGACTGTAGCTCCAGAGAGCCACTCAAGACGATGAAACCTGGAAGAATAAGCACGATGGAGCCCGAGACGACACCAGCGTAGCAGAAGATGTTGGTGGAAGCGACTGCAGATGCGATGAAGGAATTGAGCGAGGCAAAGACGATCTCGAAGACGTTTGAGAACAGCTCCGTGGTAATGACAGACTGGCAGTAGACGAGGAAGGCTCCGAGTGGCCAAGCCATGACAGCGTCGATGAAAGATCCGCCGAAGCCCATGGGGCCGACCGCGATGAAAGAGGAGCAGAAGCCGCCGATGATGACCATTGGCCATCGCGGAATCAGTGGCTTTCTCCTCATCAGCTCATCGAGCTGAGCTGAAGCCTCGCTGACTCCGATCTTGTCGTGCACAACGTTCCAGTAGATTGTATGCATGTCGGTGAGCTTCGTGAAATCCAAACCACCGGCTTGCTTGATGAACTTAGTCTCAGACGTGTGAGTGGCATCGTCACCAAAGGCGAAGAGCATAAGGTTCGGCAGGTAGATACAGCGGCAGTTGATCTCCAGAACACGGGCAGTCTGCTGGATTTGCGTCTCAATGCGGTGCGTAGGAGCTCCAAACATCATCAACGATCGACTCAGTTTGAGGAGGAATTCTTGCCGTTGCAGGATAGCTGCAACGTGCATAGTGATGAAGATCTCTTCCTTCTTGCGCTTGTCCCTGGAACGCTTCTTGAGCCTCTTCTGCCACTCCTCTTTGGCGAGCCTTTCGTCGTCTTCAGCAGAGCCGAAGTAATCACCGCCGCCATGCTGGCCCGGGTCGGGCGTGTTCATGGCTGAGTGAGCGCCGGTCCATGATTTGAACGTGTGACCTGGTAGGTGTAGCAGGTTGCCCTGCCCCTTGCGTGGCATGAGACTCGACGCATATCCGGTCTTGGCAGTTGGTGGAGGCGGATACTTTTCGTTCGGCGTAGCAGCTTGCGTCTCAGAAGAAGCATTTTGATCTGGTCGGCCCATGACGTTGGCCATGCCAGTATTCGGAGAGCGGGCCGCACCGGGCGTGCCAGGCTGTGATTGGCTGCGACGGTACGGTCGTGGAGCAGCATGTGCCACTGCCTCTGCTGTTCTCTTGAGTGTCTTGGCGTTCATCTCGGGAAGGAGGTAACGATCCAGTGTGTAGCCGGGTCTCTTCGGATTAGGACCCAGCTGAGCGTGGTAGGGGCTGACGGCTCCGATGAGATTTCCTGTAGTAGCAATCAGGCCACCGACGACACCGGCAGATGAGCGAGCCGCCTTCGGGCGCTCATCTGTCACGTCTTCGAAGCCCGCTTCGGTAGTGACGGCCTTGAGCGTCTTTGTGGCGGCCGTTGTAGTCAGGTTGGCAAATTTGGTAGCGTCTTGGCCAAAGTCTCGCTTTGCCCAATTTCCAGTGGATGATATGGATGGAGCGTAACTTCTGCGGCGATACGAATCCGGAAGGCGGGCACCTCCTTTGGTCTCAGCAATTGGCCTCTTCTCGTTTTCTGAGGTGAAGGGACGCTCTCGGTCAGGGGAAGACATGACGCTCATGCCGTCAGCCGTACTAGCAGCAGCACTTGACATGCGGCGATTGCGCTGGTTCTCCTTTTGTTCTTGCTCATAGAGCTTGAGAAGATTGCCAAGTACGCCACCAGAATGCACTGGCCGAGCGTCAAGCTTCGTTGCCGTATCCATGGGGTCGGGTGTGGAGGCTTGGGAATCGAGGTGGCGACGGTTAATGTTGGGCATTCGCTCAGGCTCGTCTTCATCGTCGCTTTGGCCATCTCGTCCTTGGCCGGTCATGAGCCTATGAGCCTTGACCAGCTTTGCAGCCTCCCGTTCGTACTTGCTGGGTCGACTGCGGGGACCTTGGCGAACTCCAGTGGAAGTAGTAACAGCCACGCTCTTGGTGTTGGTAGGGCCACCGGTCTCATGCGATCGCTTCTCTGGTTCCTCTTCGACGTCTGCCGCCTTGTCCTTGCCCATGAGGGTTCGCAGCTTTGCCCAGCCACTCTTGGGCTCAGTGTCCTCGACGCCACGAGCTCGCTTTGGCTTGCTCGGCATACCATCGACTTCTCCGGGGACAAAGTCAATGTGGTCCAAGTCTGAGTCATTAGCAGCATCGTAGCTGCCCGAGTCAGACGTGCCACCGGGAGTGGATGCTCCTGACATGCCCCACTCAGGCGTCTCTTCAGATCGGAAGCGATTGCGGCGTTGCTCTGCTCGAGCATGAGCTTTTGTCTGCAGCGCCTGTTCTAGAGCGGTAGCTCTACCACCATTCCAACTGGCAGCGTCGTTGTCAACGTCTGCGTGAGCCTCGTGACGCTGCAGCTCGCGTTGCAACTCGAGAAAGGCGCGATTGTCGAGTCCCTCTTCGTCGAGTCCACGAGCACCAGTGAGGGTGAGAGCGGCGGCATGACCAGAGGCATTGGCTTCTTCGATGTGAGCGGGTGCTCCATGAGCAGGCGCAGTGGCTGGAGCAGGAGCAGGAGCCTCTTGCGACGTCTCGCCGTTGTTAAGACGCGAGGACAAGTGCAGAGGGCCAGGGTGGTTGTTTCTCACGACGCCGCCTGCTGAGCCCCGTAGTGTGACCTTGGGGCCATTGTGACCTCCCACTTGCAAATGCGAGTGTGGATGCTGCATCGAGGCATTGGCCCCAGCACCCCAATGCACCCTGTTTCGGCGCGCCGTAGCGGGTGACTCGAAGGGTGGTGGTGCGGCATAGGAGGCGGTGGTGCTGCTGGTGTCCACCTCACTGGAGGGCGCCGTAGCTGGATCTGCGTCGGTGGAAGGTGGCTGTCGAGGTGATGAAGACATCCTTGGTAGGATGGGGTTTTGGGACTGGTACCCTTGGCCACACAAGTATCAAGTCAGGGCTGAAGGGGAAAAGGAATGTGTCGAACGAAGCCTAGCAGAATCAGAGGGGACGTGGCCGCACAAGGGTGCGAGAGGAGGAGTCTGTCCAGGCGCTCAAAGGAGTGATTGTTGGCAAGTACCAATGTGGGACAGCCTTGTTGGATTGAGAATGGTATGTGGGGGTATGTGGTGGAGTGGAGAGTGTGATCTAAAAGCTGGCAAAGAGGAGGGTACGGCGGCAGATGGACGGGCACACGCCTCTGCCCTGGACGTCGGTTTCAGAAGACCTGTGTGCGTTGCGTGTGTGTGTGCGTTTGTGTGTGTCTGTGTGTGTGCGTCTGCTTGTGTCTGTCTGTTCCTGCAAGGCTCGGCACCTCCGCTCCTCGCCGCCTGTCTTCCCCCCGCCCCACCGCCCGGCTCTCTACGCCCGCCCAAACGGCTGCGCGGCACCACAATTTCGCCGGGGATCCGAGGGCGGCCCCCCATCCAAGGCGGCCTGGCAGCCCACCTCCGCCAGTCGGTCCCGCCGCCAAGCTGAAGATGCATCCACTGAGGTCATAGCAGCCAGCCTCTCCAGCCCCTCGCCTCGCCTACCACTGACCACTGCTCACCCGGCACCTCTTCTAGAAAAAGCACTGAAACCCATCGATCCTTCACTCGGCTCGGCTGCAGGCACCCAAGATCGAACCACAGAGGCCACAGAAACAGACTTTGCTCCCTTCTCTTTGGCACAAATCGGGGCCGAAGCTTGGTCCCCACACCCCCTACAGCAGCAGAATTTCGAGGGGGGAGGGGTGCATGAAGTGAAATGCATCGATCACGCCCGTCGCGGTGCTCACTTCGGCCAGACCCAAAAGGTCCGTTCCGCTCTGCCTCACGTCCGATCCGATGCACGCCATGTGGAGCGACTCGCATGTCGCCTCCTCCTAAGTCTCCGACGAAGCCCCTTTCCGTCGGCAGCAACAGCATAGGAGTCTGCCCTTGCCAGCCTCGTATGTCGTCGGCCTCGGTGCTCGCCCTGCATACTTGCCCCACAGCCCACTTCCGTCAGCATAGGCTCTGGGATAGAGCATGTCTCCCCAATCCAGAGGCGGCGGCCGACTCCAGCGCTGCCAAGATGGTACTGATATTGCCCCGGCCTCGCAGCCCGTAGCAGGGCCCAGTGCTCCATCTCCAGCCTTGCGTACCCAGGTCCTCTTCCGCCGGAGTAGCCATACCCTTGCTCACACGAATAGTGCTCAATCTGTCGCATCAAGAGGTGCCGGCCTGACTTCCCCGTCTAGGCCTTCGACTGCAGACCCCGCCACCACGCCGGCTCGGAGCACAGCCAGCTACTTTGAGACTTATACCCCTTACAAGCTCAATCCCAAGCTGACTCCTTCGATCAGAGACCGGCGCGACAAGGTAAGGCCGAGCAAGCCAGAACACCTCGACACTAAAACGCCAGTCGACGCCAGGTGTCTGGCAGTAGAGGCTGGGACCGCTCGGAAGCCGCCGTTGGAGGCGCACACCAGCACCGTTCATCCAAGAGCTGGAAGCAATTACAGGTCAGCTTCACCATCGCCGTTGGAGGACAGAACCGTGCTTTCACCGTCCTCGTCCCTCTCGGCCTCACAGAGCACAAGCAGTGTGCTGAACGTCAGGGCTCCGCTTGAGACTGGCTTCGATCAGCGTGGCATACAAAACGGCAAGGCCGCATCGGTAGAAGCATACAGGAGGACCGCTAAACAGTCTGCCACTGGGGACCTCCTGATGAACAGCGATCCAGTGCAAAGACCATCTCGCCTCCAGCGGGGAGCCCGGGAGAGATCACTGGATATGCCTACGTCTGATACAGCAGCGCGGATCCGGCCGCCGCTTGCGCAGTCGCTGTCATCGCCATCTGACTCTTTTCCTTCAACCTCGCGAGTGCAGAGGTCATACGACTCAGACAGCGACGACCAGTCCTTCGACTCAGTCACACTTGAAGCACAAAAGATGTGTCATCCGGATCCACAAGGGCAAGAGCGCACAAGGAAGAAGTCGCTCGGTTCTGCAATGTCAGCCGCAACGAACATACCAGCTAAAGCCTTGCCGCTTGCGACGCTCCCCAAACCACTGCGTCATGCCATATCCTTCCCAGACCGGAGGCGTGCTCATTATACATCTTCAGAGTCGCCGAAGGTTCCAGACATACCGGCAACAATATATCAATTTGCTCCCCCGCAACCGATTCTGTCATCTAAGGGGGCGCCAAGCCCTTTACCTGACCAGCTCATACGTGAGAGCAGGGTATCGAAGGATAGTACAGCATCGAGAACATCTGCCACTGGCGACGGCTCACCGACCGCAAAGGAAGGCGTTCAAAGTTTTGTTCGATCATCACGTCTGACGCGGATAATCACCCTGGAAGACCCACCTCACACGGACCTCAAAGTATCTCTTGCCGATGTAGGTGCACCCGGAGGCCATCCCGTATTCGTGTTCCTAGGTCTTGGAGCCGTCCGCTATCTTGTGGGTCTGTACGATGATCTGGCTAGCTTATTGGGGCTTCGCTTGATCTGCGTAGATCGTTGGGGCCTAGGCAAGACAGATGACGCTCCCAACGAAAAGAGAGGTCTGCCAGAGTGGGGATCTATCATCACCGCTGTAGCTGACCAGCTACAAATCGACCGCTTCTCCATACTGGCTCACTCTGCTGGTGCTCCCTTTGCCATGGCAACTGTGCTGCAACAGCCTAACAGGATCTGCGGTCCTGTGCATCTGTTGGCGCCCTGGGTCAGTGCAGATTTCGAGCTCGGTTACAAGTGGCTGCGCTATGTCCCGGAGCAGATCATCAGGACAGCGCAAACGGCAGAGTGGAAGCTCGCGGGATGGAAACTGGGCAAAGGTGATGCGGAGGCACCTTCGGCAAGCGCAAGGACGACTGCAGACATTGATGCAAATCCAGGCGGATCTGGTACTATCGTGCGACCCGAGGGGACAAGAGTGCGTTGCTCGTCGGCTGCCGGAGGAGTGCGGTCAGCTGCCCTTGCAGAAACATCCGCAGCATTACGCTCACCAACAGGCAAATCGCCAGTCCGAGCACCGCCTACGCCTGTCAAGATCAAGACGTCCTTCTTGTCGTCAATCTTCACGCCCAAGGCTGGCCTTAGAAGAAGCAACGGGTCCGGCGAAGACTTCTTCGAGGGTTCCGACATGGAGGTCCTTTCTCCCACCATGCGCGCAGACGAGGACTACTTGGTCGCCTCAAGGAGACATCAAGCGGGTACTGGTGACGAGGAGAGGAGCAGGCCTAGTACGCCCACTGGTCGACTCATTCGCAAGTATCGACCCAGGAATGGATCGACGTCACAGTCCATTCACATCTCCCCGGCAGATCTGGACTTCCCTACCTCGCTCCTGCGCACACGGGATAGTGTCCTTTTGGAGGCGGGGAGTCATTGTGAGGACATGGCGACTCAGGGCGGACCAGGATCTCACAGCGGCAAGGGCGAGACATGGCCAACCCGTCACACTGCCTCGCCTTCCAAAGCGACATTCCCGTCGCCGACGACGAGCGTGATCCGGAGTACCTCTTCTCTCAGCGCTGGCCTTCCAACAACGGGTTCGACCTCTGTGGCAGACGATCCTCAGCCCCCTTCGACGGCACCAGCAGCGCTGGCGCAGACGTCTCCGATTCCAACTACAGCTGCATCCACTGCAGATCTAGCCACTAGTCTGCTCCGTGCCTCCCACGCCGAGTCCCTGCGAGGCAGCACTCCTGACCTGCTCACCATCCTCGGCATCCACTCCTCCTCCTCTTCTTCCTCATCCGGTCCCACCTCTAGCTCAAAAAGGACCAAACCCTGGGGTTTCACATTCAGCGATGTATCGCACCCGCTCAAGGTCTGGCAGGGAGACAAAGACGAGCGTATTGGCCTCGGAAGCGCCTATTGGCTTGAGAGGGAGTGTATGCAGTGTGAACTGGTGGTGGTGAAGGGTGCGGGTCATGGACTGATGACAAATTCGAAGGTGATGCTGGAGGTCTTGGAGAGGTGAGTGGAGGGGATTGGGGAGAGGGGAGGTGGAGATAGACACAGACGATGGCTGACCCTTGCCTGCTTGATTACCCACTTCCTCCCATCTACCCTCCGCAAACATTATCCTCGATCACTCACAGTCTCGCCTCGTACAAAGACACACGCTAGCTCACTCAACTGTCAGCTAATCCTCGTCCGGAGCGCATGCATAGCGACAGCTTCATCCCTCCCCTCACATCCTCATCCTGAAGGCCTCCACTTCCGTACTGCTCCTGTCGTGCTCCATCTCTCTTGTCGACCTTATTCTCTACTTGATCTGTACGCTCCGTGTATACCCCAATATGATACCCCATCCTCAGCTGGAAGACCACATTGCGACTGAGTCACCATGTATTTACCGACTCATTAAGTCGCATCACCCATCAGACATCAGGCAGAAGACGTACAAGGGTAGTGATTGAAAAAAGAGTAAGGTAAAGAGGTAAAGACCCTCCCTACTCTCCGCGACTTTGCTAGTTTATGTATTGACAAGGGGTTTGGGTTTGGGGGATGAAACATTGTTTGGTCTTGCTTTGCAAATAAGAACCCATGAGGGGTGACATGACGTAACGTAACGTAACGCAACGTGAGAGAGTGTGTGATGGTCGTCTTGTCGTGTCGTGATGAGCGTATCGAGGTGGGCATTGGTCGTACGATAGGCTCCTTCCTCTCTCTCTCCCTCTCAATTTCTCTCGATCTCCTTCATTCTCATTCTCACACCATTCTCTTCCTCCCTTTCCTTCTCTCCTTCCTTCCCAACGCACCACGTAAGCACACCACTTACTTACTATCAGCAATCAAATCCGCATTCGACCATCCCTTTTGACCAGGCGAAACCAGCAAATCAATGAGTTCCTCAGCAAGTGTCACATCCCTTCTTTGCATCTCGCTCATCCCTCCTGTGGATTCGGATTCCATGGTCTTTACAAGACTGCGGAGAGTGGAGAGGGAGCGACGAGCTAGCTCTTCCTGTGCCTGTACCTGTGCCTGTGCATGTGTGGCGCGAGGGTAGAGGTTGGTGAGAGCAAAAGAGGGAGGAGAGCGTCTGGAGTTTGTGTCGGAACCGGTGGAGTTGGTAGTGGGATCGGTGGAGTTGGAGGTGGAATCGGTAGTGTTGGTGGTAGTGGTGGTGTCGGTAGTGTTGCTGCTGGTGGTGGTGGTGTCGGTAGTGTTTGAGGAAGACGAGGAGCTGGTGCCATTGTCACCACCGTCATTGTCACCATCGCCAGAAGTAGAAGTAGAAGTAGAAGTAGAGGTGGAATTGGCCGAAGTAGTCTCGCCAGAGATGAGCGTGACGATGAGATCATTGATCGTCTGCAAATCAAAGTCTACACTCTCCACATCACCCTTTGCTCGCTTAGCAGCACTTGTAGTCTCAACGGCGGTGCTAGTGCTAGTCTTACTCTTAGTCCTAGTCTTAATATGCTTCTTCGACTTTCTAGTCTCCTGACTCAACGAGTCCAAGATAGTCTTGAGCTTCTCCAATTGACTTTCAGAAAGTCCACTCATCTTGCCTGCAGAACGACGGACATAGCGCATTCCATCTCCCTCGAGGAGAGAGGAAAAGTCACGTCGCTCCTCTTGGCTGGAGGAAATGGCACCGTGGGCAATGGTGGCAGCAGAGGCGGCGGAAGAGGTGGTGTGGGACACCTTGAAGTTATCGGCGGTCGTGCTGGTGGTACCGGTGCTGGAATCATCCTCGTCGTCTTCGTCCTCTTCGTCGGACTCGTTCTCGTCAGCCAGGGCACTAGCTACGGCAGCATCGGTAGATGCAGTAGTAGTGGTCGCTGCAGTACTGGTGTTTGAGGCAGCCGAAGTGAGTGTACTCGTGCTTGTGCTGGAGGTAGAGCCCGAACCAGTCGCAGTCACAACGACGGTGACCGTTGAAGTAGGCTCGCTCGATGTTCCACTCAGAGTGGAAGTCATGGTATCCTCGTCCACCTTCTTGTTCTTGTTCTTGACAGTCTCGGTCGATTTTGCCGACTTGGTGCTCTTGGTCTTGGTCTTGGTCTTGGTCTCAGTCTCAGTCGTCTCGTGAGTCTTGTGAGTCTTGTGGCTCTTGGTCTTATCCTTGGTTGTACTTGTGGAGGTAGGTGTAGAAGTAGCAGTGACAGTCATTGTCATTGTCTGAGTCTGCGTCTTGGTCTTGGTCTTCTTATCCTCCTTCTTGGTAGACTTTTCCTTCTTGCTGTTCTTTGCCAGCTTAGCATTTGGCGCCGTCGAAGTTGGAAGAATGGTCTTAGTGACTGTAGCCGTTGTGTCAGCACTGCTGGTGAGGGCCTTGAGGATGACCTTGAAGTCCTTGACGACGTCCTTGTACTCAGTCGAATTGGTGAGGTTATTAGTCAGGTTGGCAATCGTTGCGAGCTGGGTGACATTGACATCGGTGGCGTTCGACGAGGTAGAAGCGGCTGCAGTGTCCATAATGAGGCTGGGCACCTGCTCTAGAATGGTAGCCAAAGCTGGGACGAGCTTGTTCAGGTGCTTCTCGGTGACATCTCGCTTCTCAGCTAGACTCCTTCGACCGTAACCTGGGCATCCGGGGATGTACTGACCGAGGTTCTCGGCAGTGGCAGCTGGACAGGCCACACCATTGGCTCCATAGCTGACTGTAGCAGTAGCTTTGGTGCTGTGGTGGCCCTTGGTGTGAGTGTGGTGAGTGTGAGTCTTGGTCGTGGTAGTGGAAGGTTCGTTGTCATCGCCACCATCAGTGGAGTTGGAAGCAGAACCCTCCTGGGCCAAAGTGACCAGATCAGTCATCAGGTTTCCGATCTGAAGCTGCAAGTTGCTCAGCACGGCCAGTGCATCATTGGTCGAGGAGCGAGCGTAGAGCTCCAGTGGGTTGGCAGCAGGCTGTGAGAAATCTCTCTTGCTAGCCTGCTCCTGAGCTGCAGTGACGGCGGTACTGAGGCTTCCCAGCAATTCACTGATCTTGGACTCGGCGACGTTGCTAGAGCTGAGATCGCTGCTGTCTGCGGAGCAAGACGAGTCCGCCTTGGCGAGGAGGGTGTCGACCATGCACTGCACCAGGCTCAGCACGCCCGAGAATCCTTGGAAATCATCGGTGGTGGAGCGTGCAGCGAGGGCCTGAATCTGACCCATTGCGGCGATCATACCAGCAGGCGATCGCTGGAATGGAGTCAGGTTCTGACCGCGAAGGGCATCGGCATGCTGGCCTCGCAGCATCAGCTTATTGAAGCTGGTGACACCCAGGGCTCGTCCTTCGTGCTTGAGCGGCACAGCCGACACGGCAGAGAGGGTCAGGGCGGAGATGACGGCGGGGGTGAAGAGCATCTTGGCGTTGGATGTAGATGAGAGAGGTATGCTTGTCTAATGAGGGGAAAGTGAATGGTCAAGTTCTCGCAGAGAAACTCGGGGTATGGTATAGAGAGTGTGGGGGGCGTTGATATTTGCAAAGTGAATGTCTCGACTAGCGAAGAAGATCAGCGACCACCAGGGTACGACTGAAGATGGAGAGAGCGGAAGGAGGGAAAAAGGGAGGACTGGAAAGTGATCGTAGGATGAGGGGAAAAGAGAGGAGGAGTGTCGCAGTGCGAGCCTCTTGTCCTTTTTGAATACTTCCCGCAAAAGGTAGATTCTTCGGCCAACACCAACTCCACGTCGTGCACGGGCCCGCGTCGCGCCTTTTCGGCACGCCCAAGTCCGCCGTGCAGGTGACATGGCGTGGGCATCGTACCGACGGTCAAGCTTCTCCGATGCGCTGCGTCTGCGCCAAGGCAAGGCTTGACTGACTTACACCACGCCTCCCCAACGGCACAGGGAGCGCATCTTCCCACGAGGGTCTTGTGTTCGCCAGAGCATGTCTTTGCCGCCCTCTGCCGTTCGCTCGCCGTTGCAGTCATTCCGCGTGCTTCTGCAGTACCATTGCAGGTGACCTGTTATCGATTTCCTCCCCTCCCCTTTCGCGTAGGTCACTGCAAGGTGAGCGCTTATGCATCGACTTCCATCCGATGCTCTTCGCCAAGGAGAAAAGGTTCATCACGGTTGCTTATTGTACAGACACTTGGAAATACATGGATGAAAAAGTGTGGCGATGAAGATGATGGTGGTGCTCCCCTTCTATCTGACCGCCCCCGTCTATGCTCAAAAGCCCTCCCTCGCCAGATCCTCGCAGGCATTCAGGTAGAAGTTCTGACAGTCAAATGGCGCTTCTGAGCCCGTGAGCGACGCGCTCATCGAAGCCCAAGCATTGCCCCACCCAATGATCTCTATGTGCGAACCCTTCAGGGTGCCGCGATATTTGCCCCACTGAGAGCTCGAGACGCTCACCAGGCCATCGTTGTGCCCTTCCTTTTCCCACACTACGGCCCAAGGCCACCTGAACTCGTTGAACACGCCGGGACGGAAGGCGGCTCCCCAGGAGTAATACTTTGTGTCCTTGGCATCCTTGCACAGCTCATTGAACTCCTTCATCCTCTCCGTGGTGAGGTTCTCAAAGGCTCTGCCTTCGCCAGGGATGCCTACCGTCTTGACCAGGTTCAGAAGGGTGGGCAGTCGTTGCCGGCCAATCATGTTGTACAGGAGGTAGCTCGCAAAAGGCGAGCCACGGTGAGGCGTCGCAATTGTTGTGACAGAGGCTACCTTGAATGTGCGATCCTTGATACACGAGGCAATGTACCGCGAGTCTAGGCCTCCCATGGAGTGTCCCTATGAGCAAGGACCATGGTCATGAATAAGATGAGCGACAATCCATGGTGCAGAGTACATCCTCTGATCCAGCTTTCTCACTCACCAAAAGGTTCACCTCTCTACCCGGAAACCGCTCTTCTATCATCCTGCAGGCGTCTTTAGCCCTCTCCTCGATGCTTGCACTAGTCGTAGCATTCGTCACCAGCACCTCCACTCCATTCTCCTCCAGAACATCTATCACGCCCCTCCAGTAATCGAATGTGAGCTGTGGCAGAGAGATGAAGGGTGTGAGGGTGGCAAAGCCAAACAGACCGTGCAGGAATACACAGGGTAGCTTGGGCTTCTCGTACGACTTTTGCACCCTTACTGCAGTATACTCCAAGGGAGTCTGTTTGGCTTGCTCGACGTCGTCCAAGGCTCGGTCTACCCTGTCCTTCTGTTCCTTTGCCCACCCTTTGCCCCTCTCCTCGTTGGACCCTCCTGAGTCCCCAGAGGCAAAGAGCTTTCGCATCTTGTCCAGCGTTACTTGCAAAGGATCTGGCTCCGTACGGAAGCGAGGCCGCTCTAGTTCTGCCACCGCACTGGCTGATTGAAGGCTGACCGTAGGACTGGAAGAGTGAGGCGCACTAGTCGTGAAAGGTCGCTTTGCCATAATTCTTGCATTTGATTTGGAGGCCGAGCGAGAGTGACTAGCTGCGCTCATCTTCCAGTATGCGGGACGTTGCGGTCTGTTGTGTCGGTTTGAATGCGAATGAGTGCTATTGATCGCTGTATCCAGGACATCAGGGTCAACTCCTGGCATTGGCCTTGAAAGGGATTTGCCCTCGCTAGCCCACCATGCAGGGTACGATGGGTCCAGCTTCCCCGGGCGCCAGCTCCGAGGAGGCTGGAGTAGACGCAGCGGAGGTGGCATATCGGGCAGCGTCGGTCGCGGAAGCCGCACTCGGAAAGGGTAGCGGAGGATTTCGGGAATGGTGACGGAGGTGATAGGGGTGGTTGTAGAGAAACGAGGATGCTTCAAGACCACTCGAGCACGAGGAGGCTTGGAGATGACCCAGGGCTGTATCTGAGTTGTCGCTTCGAGCAGTGCTGATGATCCTTGTGTATGCTCCAATACAGGTCGGGACGAGCGAGGCTTGGAAGGGAGAGCAGAGGCGGAGCAGGAAGGAGAAGGAGAAGAAGAGCTCGCTGCAAAAGGCGCTGCTGCGTGATCAGGTCTGGCCATCAGCAAGGCGAGCGACTCATGGACACGTTGGCGGGATCTGGCTCGAACGGTGATGAAGGTAACGGAGTCTGGGATGTTCTATGGGTGTGTGGCACAGGGTGAATGAAGTGAGACAGACAGGAACGAAGGCAGGAAAGGCATCTGGGTATCGCCCGGAGATGCCGAGTGCACTGACATGCGGAAAGAGCGACGGAGTGGAGAAGAAGATCTGGGCCGCCCACTTTTGTGCGGTACGAAGGTCATCTTTTGCTTGTGCCCAGAAGATAGTGCTGCTCTTGCAAAGTATATACTGATGGCCTCTTGCTTGCCTCTTCGGCTGCAAAGGCTCAAGTTCGTTGTCACCGCTGCTCCTCTTGCGGGATCATCTCAGCACCGGCTACCTCGACTGCCTGCTGCCACGCGCTGGTCGAGTAGCGCACCTCCAGCAACAGGCAGCTCTGTCTCCCCGCCTGGCGAAGCAGGTCCCTCTTCCTCTACTCGTCCATCTCCTTTTCTCTGCACCACTCCCATCTTCTATGTCAATGCCTCTCCTCACGTGGGACATCTCCACTCGGACGTACTAGCAGATGTCCTCACGCGCTGGAGCTCCTTACGACACAGCGGATGGTCGCCTGCTGCTCTTGCAGGGAAGGGTAAGACGCAGCCTCTGCTCTCCACTGGGACAGATGAGCATGGTCTAAAGATCCAGAAGGTAGCGGAGATGAGTGGAGAGGATCCTCAGGCCTTGTGTGATCGAATCAGTCAGAAGTTCAGAGTCTTGGCAGACACTGCTGGAGTTGGGTACACCGACTTCATTAGGACCACTGAGGACAGGCATAAGGTGGCCGTCCACGAGATTTGGGTGAGTCGATCAGTAACAAGGGCAAAAGACTTCCACCCATTCAACTCTTCCCTCATTCCCTTGTTCGCGGTAGCGTCGTCTCGTGGATGCTGGCCATATCTACAAAGGAGCTCACGAAGGCTGGTACGCCGTCTCAGACGAAGCCTTCTACCCTCCGGCTCAGGTCCGGTCTGTCACTGACGAGAAGACTGGAGAGAAGTACCACGAGGCCATTGAGACGGGGCAGAGGGTTGAGTGGACGTCCGAAGACAACTACAAGTTCCGCCTGTCGGCCTTCAAGAACAAGCTGGTGGAGTGGCTGGAGAGTACACCAGATGGTAAGTAGGACAGGGGTGAAAAGGTGCCGCACACAATGCTCAACTCTGCTGCCCTTCTACTCGCCAGCTATCCTCCCTCCCTCGCGACACGCCGAGGTACTTGAAGAGATCAGAACAGGTCTCGAGGACCTCTCCGTCTCGCGGCCTTCATCGCGCTTAAGCTGGGGTCTGCCGGTACCAGACGATACATCGCAGAGCATCTACGTCTGGATTGACGCTTTAATCAACTACCTCACCGTCACGGGATTTCCTTGGAAAGCCCCTAGTGGCCAGAGCGAGGTCGGAGGCGAGGCTTCGGCTGCAAGCGCGGGCGAAGGCAAGGCACTAGCTGAATGGGAGGGATCCGCATGGCCTGCAGACGTACACGTTGTTGGCAAGGACATCCTCCGCTTTCACGCCGTCTACTGGCCCGCTCTACTCCTTGCCGCCGGTCTGCCCCTACCCCGGAAGATCGTAGCACACTCGCACTGGACGATGGGCAAGTCCAAAATGTCCAAATCAAAGGGTAACGTCGTTGACCCATTCGAGGAGATTGAAAAGTACGGGCAGGACGTCGTGCGCTACTTTCTCTGTCGAGTAGGGGGCAATCTGGCAACTGACAGCGACTACTCTACAAGTACCCTCATCGAGTACCACCGCAAGTATCTAGGAGGTCAGCTGGGGAATCTTCTTTCGAGAATCACCTCGCCCCTAATGCAAGAGCTGCTAATGGGCGAGCTTAAGGAGAAGAGAAGGCAAGAGCGTGGAGACGTGACCAAGGAGGAAAAGGACAGACTGAAACCACTGACGATTCGGAGGCACGTCAAGGGTGGGGCACGCCTCCTTGAGGTCAAGAGACCTCGGCCGGGGCAAAGACACGAGGAGCTCGAAGCGGCAATGAACGCTCTGGGAGGTGAGTTGGGAGAGGGCAACAGGGTGCCATGCTCGCTTACTGATCCTCCCACTTACCCCGCACCTTGTTCCCTCTCCCCACCGCACTCCTGCCTTCAGACAAGGTCGACTCATGGATGCAACGCGGCGAGGTGTCCAAGGCCCTCGAGGTCATCTTCGACCTCCTAGCCCAAGTCAATGCCTATCTCCAAGAAGTCGAACCCTGGCGTAAGCACCCTCACTCCTCCACCCATCGTCTCTCTGCCATCTTCTACACCCGCGAAGCACTTCGAATTACAGGAATGATGTTGCTTCCTTTTATGCCAGGGAAAATGCGAGAGTTGCTACGGGTGGGACTTGATTTGGATTTGGAAAAGGAAGAGGCTCTGTCGTGGGATGAGGTGAGGAAATTGAGGGGAAAGGTGGCCTTCTTGGAAAAGGAGGAGAAGCTGCTGCCGCTCTTTCCAAGATTGGTAGAGGAGCAGCCGGTTGGAAAGGGAGGAGCCGGAGGAGGAGGCAGGGGAGAGGACAAGGACAAGAATAAGAACAAGGGGGACATAAAGGACCGAGGCAAGGAGCCGAGAACAAACCATCGACCCTCAAACTCGTGAGGATGTATGATACAGTGTTCGAAAGCGTCTTCCCCAATTACTAGTCGTTCACGATCGAGCTACCAATCAATCACCAGTGACAACCACAAAGCACAGCCTGAACCTCTAGTCTTGATTCTTTCATATTCAATCTTCCTTTGCTACTACTGCTTGCATTGTTCTGCCTCATTCCAGCTTCTTCCAACGTTCGTCGTGTCCCTTCATGCGTACATACGTTCATCTGCTCCCTTCTTTTTCATTTCCTACTCCTCCGTTGATACCCTACTCCGCTACTCCGGCTCCCCCCTCTTGCGCATTTTTCTAGTCGTTGAAGTTTTCCCACCTCGCCTTCCATATTCGCCCGAGTTGCGCTCCCCTTCCCTGCCACTTCTTCGTCTTCTACCCTCCCCACCAGTCGAGGTAGTCCAATAGGCGACTACCATCTCTAAAAGAAAGGTTTCCGGAACGAGAGGAGTGGGGAAGGGGCAAAATAGATGAGAGTCGTCAAGATGAAGGGAGGAGGGGGAAGAGAGAGATGTAAGATAGAAGAGGAAAGTGTGGATGGTGAAGGATGGAGATGAGGGGACTTCTGAAATGGGAATGTGGGGTGGCAGTGGGGGAATGAAGCGAGAGGTGACAGCTGAACTGATGTCGAAAATTCAAAAGAGTCCTTGAAGGCGTTTGCGGACACCGACACTAGAGTAAGCGCAGATGCTTGTTCTGACGAGGACTTCGTGTTGCTGTGCCAGTACTCGTGATCTTGTTCGCAATGTTCGTAGAAGGAAAGGGCAGCGCCAGTGATGTCGTAAGAGATGGTCGCTCGATGGCTCGTAACAAGTCGTACGAGATGGGCACTTTGTGGATCCTTGCTGCATGAGGCCTTGTCCGCGGAGCACAAGTCCGAGTCGTGAAGTTGCCTCCGGCAGGTTGCAGGTCACGACTGCATAGTAAGCGTTCCAGACCAACCCTTGCCGCCCTGCGACCTTGCCGTCACGTCCGTCCCCCACCTCAGAGCGTCGGGACGCCCGCCGCATTCTGAGCCGAGAAGATGAAGAGGTTGTTTGTGGCTGCGATGGCGATAGTGTTCTCTCGGGGATGATAGCTGGCGTGCAAGATCTTCTTGTTGAAGTCCACATTGTCCGTGTTAATCTGTCCCACTGCTCCAGCTGCTCCCGCGCCCTTGCCCTTCTTTCCGCCTGCAGCCTTCTTCGTCTTGAAGGCGGACTTGTCGGCCTGCAGAACCACATTCTGGTCGTCCTCCTTGTCGAAGATGTGGAAGTAGTTGTTGTAGCTTCCGGTGAGAACCTTGTTGCCGTCGGGACCCCACAGAGCCTCGAACTTGTCGAAGATACAGTCGTTCTCGTATAGATCGCAGAGCTTCGAGCGAAGATGCTCGTGTATCGAAATAGTCTTCACAGGCTTCTTCTCCATGTTGACGTCCCAGAGCTTGAGTGTCAGGTAGTCTCTTGACAGGATATACCTTCCATCTCTGCTGAACTTGACATCTGAAATGGACGAAATAATTTCGCTAAAGAAGGACTTGTTCGAGGGGTCTTCCTCCTCTTCAAAGTGCTTCGCATGGTGATCACAAAGCGCCGAATCTCTCATGTCTGCCAGCTTGATTGTACCCTTCGAGCTTGAATACACGAAGTTGTTGCAGTTGATGGGATGGAACTCAGCAGAAGTAATGACCTCGGTCAATTCTTCCATATTCACAGGCTTGATGTCCACGATGTCTGCAATGCAAAAGATTTGCATCGGTGAGTACGTGTCCCTGATGCACCACGTGAGGTCCAACCGCTACTCACTGAAACTTTGGTCACTGATATTCAAGTTCCACAGGTTGATCCTCAGGTCATCTGCGCTAATGTACGTCTCGCCGTCCGAGTTGACCGAAATCGAGTTGATATGGTAAGCATGTGCGTTTGCGTAGATCTTCCGGGGAACAGCGGCAACGATTGTGTCATGATGTTGGAGTTTGGGCAGCCTCAGACTCGATCCGCTGCCAACTGCGGGTGTCGTTGATAGCAAGCTCGGATGTACGCCTCCAGCTGGCGGCGGGTGAAAGCCATCTGAAGACAGGTTGTTCTCCGCTACCACTTTGAGCGACTTCTCAAAGACTTTCCACAACTTGATCGTTTTGTCTAGAGTAGCCAGAGTGCGGGAAAGTCAGCAGAGCATATCGAAGGCCTCAGGCTTCATGACGGTGCAGAGAAAGACTCACCATTTGTGCTCAAGAGGAAATGAGCAGCGTTCTGCCTCCTGCACCACTTGATCTTGTTGATCTTTTCCTCAATCTCTAACGACTTCAAGTAATCGAATTCGGGCTCATGCGATTGGAACTCTGTATGGAACTTATACTCGCAGCCCTTCTTCTGTGAGGCAGAAGAGACAAGATTCAAGCGATGTCAGTACACCTGCTTCTCCCACGGGCAATATTCGATGTGCGAACCCGTATGCGACTCACAGATTCGTTCCTCTCGAAAAGCACCACTCGTCCACCTTTGTCACCAGTCGCCAGATAATCTCCAGTGTGGTCGAACTCCACTGTCGAGATGATATCGGCTGTGGGAGGAGAAGAGGCAGGTATGAAGACGCGTCAGTATCTCTGATTTCTTTCTCGCCTTGGCGCATACACTGCCCAGACAATGAATGCCCTTGAAGGCGGAGCTTGCTACGCATAAACGCAGCGCCTCTCCAGGATCATCCTCATCTCAAGATCTAAGTGCTATTCGAACCGATTTTCGAGACCGGCAAAGCGCAACGGGAATGCGCCTCTGTCTACCGCCCTTGATCTCTGGCGCTTTCACCACAACATCGAGGCAGCTCCAAGAATCTGATCTGCTGTGCGGCCGAAGGCTTCTGACGGGTCTGGCTATACACAAGTCTCTACCAGACTTATACTCGTCGAGCCATCGACGCCCGCAACAGCCCGGAGCAGATGCCGAAACAGGCGCAATGGACCAAAGGAGCCGACAGATGCTGCCCAGAGAGCATGAGGGATGACCAATGTTGCCCTGACACCAGTACACCGATGTAAAGTCGGGGCCGAAAGTAACAGTGGAGACACATCGCCGAACCAGAAGCGGGCGCAGCGTGTGATCGAACGTGTTGTGACCTGGCCTGAAGCGTTTGCTCAAGCCAAGCTACTGTGAAGCAGATGACGATGGACCAGAACCTGGCTTGAATCTGTCGACTGCGATGGCTTGCGATGATACTCACCCTCTGTGATGTCTTCCACCTCTCCCTTATCACCGAAGCACTGTGCGAACCTCCATCCTCCCGAGGGATCGCTCTCTCTCTCCATCTTGTGATTGTGTAAGCGTCACGCAGAAGTCTGGGGTGACGCTGATATCGCTGAGGTGCAAGACAGGTGCGTGTGTGTCCGTCTACCTGTCCGCTTCTATGTTTGATGATGTCCGGAAGTCGTGTTGTGTTGTTTTAGGCTTAGTGACGCTCTTGCTGTTACGCTCACTCCAGTAGCTCGGCGAAGAGAAAGAGAAAAAGGAGTGGAATCGAGGAGGAGCGACGTGTTGAGAGTGCTGTGTCTACGTTAGAATCGTTAGCGAAGTGCACAGATGTGCGTGATCTGATGAGTAGGCCGTCGCGATGATGTGAGGCGCCGGACGGATGAGAAAAGCCCGGAGGGGAAGTCCGAGGGGGATGTTATCGTCCTGTGCGCGGGCGGTCGGTGCGTCGAGGATCGTGAATGGAAAGGGAAGAGTAGCCGAGCAGAGTGAAGTCCGTGGTGGCTCGAGGAACACCTTGTACGTCGTGTTGTGGATCGTGTGGGTATTAGCTCAAGCCTGGCTGCTGTCTGTCAATCGTGAGAAGAAGGAAGGCGGGGAGGACAGGCAGACAGGCACGCCGGTTGGGGGGAGAGCGTCGACTGCTGCCACCAGCCACAGCCAAGCAAGCAGGTCGCCTGTGCTTTTGCGCGGGAGACAGCAGCCACGGATCACCAGAGTGGAGGCAGACTCGGGCGGGTATCCACCACGCCGCTGTCCCAGGGCCCCGAGGCGGAACATCAACCTGCGTTTAAGCTCTGGCAATGACGAACACAACACCTACAGCTGTCCGAGTATGATCAGCACTGGGGGTATCGCGGTGATAGTTGAGGCTGCGAGGCATCCCTGGTTATCGGATCACTGCATGGCCAACGGTGTGGACCGGATCAGAAAAGCCACAACCACCCGAGCACTTCCCTCTTTGCGGGCGACACATTGTACCCATTCGTCTGATGGATCGCATCTGAGCCCCACACAGCTGCTATCACAGCAATGCTGTCCGGATCTCACAACCACTTGATGTCGCTATGCTTCCTTTACGCCCCCTCGTGTGACCGGCGTGGTATCGCTCCCTGCCTGTGTGACACCGCGTTGGACGTGCTCTAGTTCCGATCCGACTTTCAGAGGCTGCCAACGGAGACTCGGCACGAGATTCAGTCTCCGCAAGGTGTCAATGCTCACGTCCAGGACTCCTTCTTCGCTACTGATCACCAAGGGCTTTCTCTACACCTCACAACCCCTCATCGATCGCCTCAAGATGACGTACGCATATCGTCTGCCGACGATGTCGCCTGAGACGACGAGGAACGTCGCTTCTCTCTTGCGTCTGGTCATCATCATCCTGATAGCAGGCGCAGCCGTCTCCTCTCGTCTCTTTGCCGTCGTGCGTCACGAATCCATTATTCACGAGTTCGACCCCTGGTTCAATTACAGAGCTACAAAGGTGCTCACCGAGGACGGCTTCTACCGCTTCTGGAACTGGTTCGACGAGAAGGCTTGGTACCCGCTCGGAAGAGCGGCAGGTGGAACACTCTACCCCGGCCTAATGGTCACCTCAGGCGCCATCTATAATTTCCTCCACGCCATTAATATCCCAATCGATATCCGTAACGTCTGCGTCCTCCTCGCTCCCGCCTTCAGTGGTATGACAGCTTGGGCAACATATGCGTTCACGGCCTCGATGAAAGATGATGCCGCTGGACTTTTGGCAGCAGCCTTCATCGGTATTGCTCCAGGTGAGTGTCAGCTTAAAACCGGGAGGACGGAGTGACCCAAGATGCTCTTAGACTGAACCCTTGCGCTCATGACAACCCCTCAGGATACATCTCTCGATCTGTCGCCGGCTCGTATGACAACGAAGCTATCGCCATTTTCCTGCTGATGATCGTCTTCTACCTCTGGATCAAAGCCATGAAGGAGGGTAGCATGATGTACGGCACTGCTTGTGCATTGTTCTACTTCTACATGGTGGCTGCTTGGGGAGGCTACGTCTTCATCACCAACGTCATCCCTATGCACGTCTTTGCCTTGATCCTCATGGGGCGGTTCAACAATCGGCTGTACGTCGCCTTCAGCAGTTACTACGTTGTTGGTACTCTCGCAAGTTGTCAGGTGCCCTTTGTCGGCAACAACCCTGTCACCACGAGCGAGCATATGGCTCCGCTAGGTGTCTTCGGTCTCTTGCAATTGGTGGCCTTTGCCGAATTTGTTCGGTCTCTGGTCCCCTCGAAGCAGTTCAAGGTCTTGCTGCGAGGCGCCGTGGTCGGCATCTTCCTCATTGCCTTCAGCGGCTTTATGATCCTGTCCTTGAACGGCAAGATCGCGCCTTGGACTGGCCGATTCTATAGTTTGTGGGACACAGGCTACGCCAAGAAGCATATGCCTCTCGTTGCGTCCGTTTCGGAACACCAGCCTCCCGCGTGGCCGGCTTTCTTCTTCGACCTGGAGATGCTCATCTTCCTCTTCCCGGCTGGAATCTTCCTCCTCTTTAGGCAATTGCGAGACGAGCACGTCTTCGTCATCATCTACGCCGTGACTTGCAGCTACTTCGCATCTGTCATGGTGCGTTTGATGTTGACGCTCACACCAGTCGTCTGTGTCAGCGCTGCGATTGCGATCAGCACTCTCCTGGACACCTATCTGGACCCTCAAGAGCCCGAGACTCCTGCAGACAGCACAAAGTCTCTCACCGAAGACGTTCAGCCTACAGTCCCGACCTCACCGGCCAATGGTAAGAAGGGGGCCAAGAAGGCTGGCGGTGCTAAGGCCAGTGCTGGTCCGGTACAGATTGCAAAGGCTAGGGCTCGCGCTGCTGTGGGCAGCGTCGGTGTCTACGGCCTGGACACAAGAATACTGGTCTCCGTCTATACGCTAGTCCTCCTTCTGGTGTTTGTCCTTCACTGCACTTTCGTCACATCCACTGCCTACTCATCACCCTCGGTCGTCTTAGCAAGCAGGAATCCTGACGGATCTCAGCACATCATCGACGATTTCCGTGAGGCATACTACTGGCTGCGTCAAAACACGCCCGTCGACGCGAACATCATGTCGTGGTGGGATTACGGATATCAGATTGCCGGTATGGCCGATCGACCTACCCTTGTGGACAACAACACGTGGAACAACACTCACATTGCCACAGTGGGCAGGATGATGTCTACCTCCGAGGAGAAGTCCGAGCCATACCTGAGGAAGCATGACGTCGACTACGTCCTCGTCATCTTCGGAGGTCTGCTCGGATTCTCGGGAGACGACATTAACAAGTTCCTGTGGATGATCAGGATCTCAGGAGGTATCTGGCCCGATGAGATCAAGGAAGCCGATTTCTTCACTAAGCGAGGAGAATACAGCATTGGTGACACTGCAAGTCAGACGATGAAGGACAGCCTGATGTACAAGATGTCCTACTACCGCTTCAACGAGCTGTTCGGTGGTCGTGCAGCTATGGACCGAGTCAGAGGTCAGCAGACGTCGACTATCGGGCCCAAGCTGGACATCCTGGACGAGGCTTTCACGAGTGAGAATTGGATTGTGAGGATCTACCAAGTGAAGAAGGAGGACCCTCTTGGCAGGCCGCTGCCGGTTGCCAATGCTTTCGAGGCTGGCAAGAGGAGAGACGGACCAATTGTTGCGGGTGCTGCCTCTGCTGGAGGTGCGCGACCGAGTGGTAAGACGGCGAGGAAGGGAAAGAAATCGGTCACTTAGAGAGGTAGAAAAGACAGGCGCATGGAACCAAGTCTGACCAGGACTACCTTATTAATAGAGCAAGTTCCGGTTCAGGACTAGTGCCTTTCGCATGAGACAGAACAAGGCAGCAGGACCCGCGGCGGTACCAATGACAAGCCCTGCGAGGGCTACAATTCCCGATCCCCCCTTCCATCACTTTCCCCCATCATCCCGATCATGCAAACCCCTTCCGCTCGCCGTCCATCAGTCCTCCTGTTCTTCCACGACTGCACTGGAGGTGTGCTCTCCCTGCGCCTTTTCCCACCAGCAGCTCAGGCTCTCTGGAAAGATGTGGCTGTAGGGATCTAAGCAGAGTCCTTATCCTCGATCCTTTTGAGTCGTTGAGATTCAAGCCTGGGGTCAGAGAAGGGACTGGGTAGCTTAGCATTCACAGTGGAGGGGAAGAGCAACAGTACGCCCCGATTTCTCTGAAGCGCGCGAGGAGATTCCCCTCTCATGTGATGCGGGACTCTTTTGAGCGATTTGACTTTCGTAACGACTGGGCGTGACATCGAATAAGCATGCAAAGGGCAGCCCGTTGGATTCCGAAGGTTGCTTTACGAGGTTGAGCTGCTGTAGTAGAGTAGAGTATGGCGGGGCTTTCCTAATTGCGAGGCCCCGAGAGGGCCTGGACGGAACGGAAGGATGATTTTCCCCCTTTCCGCGGTGAGAAGAACGAGGGAGAGGAAGCCGGTCAGCCGGAATGTTCATGAATGGAAGCTTTCTATTCGTAATACCGCTCATCATCCAATCCCGAGTTACAAGCCTGGCAACGAGGCTTTCTACCCTCATTGTCTCGGCTTTCAAGCTTTCTTCCCTCACTTCTGTCTTCCCGGCGTTTCTGACCTTCTTCTGCAGACAGACAAGCAGCGCTCGCAGCTTGGCATCATGGCAACCGTCAATGGTGCCTCCTCCTCCTCTTCCTCCACCTCTACTTCTCTCCCTTCCGCCGCTCCTCTCTCCTCGTCCTCTTCTTCTACCCCTTCTCATCCGAAATTTGACAGTATAGACTCTGCGGTTGCAGAAATCGGTCGTGGGAACTTCGTGGTGGTGTTGGATGATGAGGATCGGGAGAATGAGGGGGACTTGATCATTGCAGCGGATAAGGTGACAACGGAGCAGATGGCTTGGCTAATTAGGCATAGCTCGTGAGTGAACATACAGCTCTCACTGTCCTTCTCGACATGGTAGCTTGCCCAGGATCGTCTGGCTGATACAAATTGGCCCATCCCCGTGACAGCGGCTTCGTGTGCATCTCTCTGCATCCCTCACGGATCGCTGCTCTAAATCTACCCATGATGTTCCCCAATAACCAAGAACCGAACAAGACGGCTTACACCGTCACTGTGGACTACAAGCACAACACTACTACTGGTATCTCTGCCCATGATCGAGCTCTCACTTCGAGGATGCTGGCTGCTACTGGGACAGATGCCAAGGGCGAGGCAGCAGGAGCGAGAGCGAATGCGCAGGACTTTACGAGACCGGGACATCTCTGTCCCTTGAGGTATACCGAGGGTGGAGTGAGAGTGCGGAGAGGACATACCGAGGCTGCTGTTGGTGAGTAGCAAGTGTGGAAGTCGAGGATAAGCCGGAGAGAAAGAGAGGGTAGAGGCACGTAGCACAACATCCTAACAGCCTCTTCATACCCTTCCCATCTCTTACTGTTCACCTTTTGCTGCGAACAGATCTAGCAACAGCCGCCAATCTCCCACCCGCCGCGCTCCTCTGCGAGCTCGTCGACCCCGACTCGCCTCAGGGCTCCATTGCCTCTCGAGACGCTTGCTTCAAGTTTGCGCGTCAGCACGACTTGAAGATCATTACCATTGATGCACTCAAGGCCTGGAGGGAAGAGAAGGAGGGTCCACTACCTGCAGAGCTTGTAAAGATTGCTGGAAGTGCAAAGCAGAGGGGAGTGGATTTGCAAGAGCAGAGCGTCGTTGGACCTAGGGCATAGGGCCGATCATAAGCGCAGAGGACGGGGAGGTGGGTCAGGCTTCTGTACAGCCGCTCAGATGGGCGGCGCAGGTGGTCAATAAGGAGTCGCGCTATGTCGTACTTAGGATAGCAGGCGATGAAATTCAATGCTTAGAGGAATGATAGTGCAAACAGAGGCGATGCATCGAGCGCTCAGTCTACGAACAAATGAAATCTATAGTGCCGCTACGCTCTCTGTTCTTCCTCCTTCAAACCCCCTATCAGATGATCGCCCTCTCTCTGCCTCCAAGCCAAGGCCAACACCGCTCACACATTCTTGAAACGATCTGCCTCGTTGGCAAATGCTCCCAAGGCTCTCAGCACAATATCAAACGCCTCGACCTGCTCCTTCGTCCACGGCTTTCCTGGCGAGCGGAAAGAAGCCGTGATGAGGCGGGAGAGCTGCTCCCGTAGCAACTTCAATGATAGGAGCGAGGCGAGAGAGGGTAGACGGAATCGCAGCTTGTTACGATCGATGTAGATGGAGTTGCAAGAGAATTTGTAGTCCACATCTCCACACAAAAGGAGAAGAGCGGCATCCAGGACCGGGGCAGTCTCTCTCGCGTAGAGTCGCCTGGATTGCATGATGGTGAAGTAGACGAGATTCGAGACGCCCTTGGGTAGGTCACCCAATCGTAGGCGGAAATTGATAGAGGAAGGATGGATGGCCGCGGGCTGATTGTTGCCGATGGTTCTGATCTGGTAGCTTCTGGGATCGATGGCGAGCAGCTTGGGGTAGAGACCTACGGCGAGGGCTGCGTGCAAGACTGCAATGCTGTGTCCGTTTGAGTCGAGGGAGGCAGGCGTCTCCATCAGCCGCACTTGAGAGCCACCGCCAGACCGATAACGGGTTCCGACGATCTTTTGCTTGGTAGCTTCATCCACTTGCGCAAAGCCAGTGTCGAGAAGAAAGGCCATGTACTGTTGTCGCAGCTCCTCAATCTGCTGGAGCGTCTGATGACTGAGGAAGCTCTTGCGACAGAAGACAAAGTGATGCTTCTGTCCGATGGCCCGTCGCCAACTGTTGAATGCATTGGCGATAGTCAAAAAGTCAGAGTTGCCGACTCGGAAAGAGGCCTTGGCAGCGTCTGCCTCGGCTTCTCGACCGAAGGGAGTTACAAAAGGTGACTTCGAATTCAAGGCAGCAGCAGTCGTCAAGGCAGCGTCAAGGCACTTGAAGAGCGTGGCGATGAGGAGGAATTTGCCCATGTGAACGTCCAGTGGGATCCTAGCCAGATGACGACCAAGCGGCGTGATCTCTTCCGTTGTCGTAAGAGCCTTCACCTCGATCAATGCCGAGACGGCTCTCTGCACATTGACAGGGGAAGGTGGGTCTAGAGCTTGTGCCAGCGCCTCGCCGACGCTGTTGCCAATGCGAATTTTCATGATCTTGAGCTTCAGGGCAAGGTCTTGTAGGGACAGCCGGAGCATCTCTGGCAAAGGATGATCGGCGAGATGCTTGTCATGACGTTCTTTCGTAAACAAGTGGAAGCAGATGCCCTCCTGTACACGACCTGCTCGACCTCTCCTTTGCTTTGCGTTGCTCTTGGCCACGAAGCAGTCAACCAGTTTCGATGTCTGCCTTTTTTCGTCGAAGCGCATCTCTCTATGTTTGCCTGTATCTATGACGCACGTGACGTCAGGTATAGTCACTCCGGTCTCTGCAATGTTGGTTGAGATGACGATCTTGCGCATGCCTTTTGGGGGTATATTGAAGACAGAGCTCTGCTCCTCACTGCTCAGTGTCGAATGTAGGGGGGAAACGATGAAAGATTGTGACCCGAATGCACGATGGGAGAGGAGGAGGTCGTGCAACTTGCGAATGTCTTGCAGCCCTGGCATGAACACCAGGATGGCAGGGCTAAACTGCTCTAGGTCTGGCGAGAAGCAGATGCGCTCTATCAAAGACACAATCAGGTCGTGATTGATGACGTACTCATCCATCCGGTCCATAGTCGAGATGGTCTTGGGCGAGTACCGCTGTCCCTTGAGAGATGTCGAAGCTGTGCCCTGACGCTCGTCTTCATCATCATCGTCATCAGGAGGGACCTCATCGTCCGCCGTCGACTGCAATTTGGCCTTGTTACCCGGCACATCTGCCTTGCGGCCGTACTTGTCCCTTCGCTGGCGGACAGCGTACTGTGAATCGTCCTCCACGATGTAGCCCGTCAACTCGACTGCGTCCTCCAGATAATTCGTTTGCACAGGAAACGTTCTTCCAGGCACTTGTATAACCGCGCAGCCACCGCAATAAGCACTGATACGCTCAGCATCCAGTGTAGCCGACATAAGGATGACCTTGAGGTCCTTGCGATATTGAATGAGGGTCTTCAAGATGATGAGCAAGAAGTCGCTTTCGATGCTCCTTTCGTGAACCTCGTCTATGATGATGTGCGTCACTTCGTTGACAGATGTCCCCTCCAGCATGCGCAGAAGAATACCGGACGTAGCGTAGACCAGCTTGGCTTCCCTGCCGATGTGGCTGTCAAGTCTGATGGCATACCCGACCAGGCTGCTATCGCCTCCCACAGCGCCTCGAGGCTCGCCCAGCTCCTGACTGACTCGCTCAGCAAGGGAGATAGCACTGATTCTCCTTGGCTCAGTACAGTAGATCTTACAGGGCTTTCCTTGTGACATGCAGTGCTCAAGAATGTACGCCGGAATTTGCGTAGACTTACCACAACCCGTCTCACCACTCAGCACAAACACTTGATTGTTGTCGAGGATGTCTAAGATGTGATCGCGATACTTGTAGATGGGTAGAGACTGTCTTTGCGGAAGCATCTTCTGATACGAAGGAGCCGTCATCTTCTCCTGTATTTGCTCCCTCTGCCTCGCTGCTTGCTGTTCGTTGAGAGGTTTGACCGCTCCTTGGGTGAGGGCGCCGAGATGTGACTGGCCATCGGAGTCGCTGACTTTGCCAACGTCGATAGATGTGGCGTTTCCTGCCTTTGCTTGTGCCTTTCGAGCCTCTATCTCATCCAGTCTAGGCTGTACGATCGTCTTGATCTGCTTGAGTGTCTCAACCGCTTTTGCGCTCTTCTCAGTCTTCCTGTATCGCTCCAGCTCCTCGTACCATTCGCGGTATGGTCCAGGTAGACTGCGGTATGTAGGGCGATCCCGCTCTATGCAGTTGAGGGCGACTGTAGCAAGCATATCTTCGGCAGCAGATGCTGACTCTGCCCCTTCACCTGTCAGCTGGAAGATGTCGAGGTAGCTCTGGGAAGACTTCTTGCCTTCCGGTCCCGACCACCGTAGCGTGAGACGACTTCGACAGATTCTGCCCCCGGTCAACACTGCATCGAAACGTGTATGAGCTGTGGGGTCTAGTCGTCTGAGAGACTCTGCGAGCAGAGCACGAGGAGTCCGACCACCTTTGATGGTGGTGGGTAGCGCTCGCACTTTGATAGTCACGCCGGTAGATGCGTCGACGACTTCTTGTGGTGTCTCGTCGAGCAAGCCACCGAACATATCCCCACCCTCTTCATCAGCATGTTCGTCTTTGTTGCCGTTCTCTATGGTGGCCTGCTCATTCGGTGTCGCCGCGCCGCTGGGTGTCGCTTGCGCTGAGCTCTGAGCTTGCGAATGATCCTCCTCGGAGTCAGGCTCTTCACCATCGGCCGCCGTAGTCGAAGCAATCGCTTCCCGTCCTTTGCCGTCATCTGCTTCGACCAGCGTCTCTTCCCAAGCTGTCCTCTCCTGTCGGAGGTACTCTGCAGCACCTTCCCTATCGAAGTCTCTCTGACGCTCTGAATCTTTCATCACGTCTGTAAGACGAGAAGACAGCTTTGTGATTTTTGTGACGTCGAAAGCCGCACTTTCGTTTGCCCCTGTCCGGACTAGCTTTGTTTGCTGACCTTTAAGGCGATCGAGCTTGATCATGCCAAGTCTGGCTCTTGCCCAAGCTGTCGACGGACTTTCTAGGGTGTCCATCAGACCTGACCCACTAGAGCCCTCGCTAATCTCAGTCTCAAGATCCGACACAATAGCAAGGCATGACATTGAGAGACTTCGGAGCTTGTTTGTGAGCTCGGCAGCTTCGAGGTCGGTGACATCAGCAACGGCAGGCGTGCTCTCGCCATTAGTCTTTTTGCCCGTCTTGCCTTTAGCTTGGGAGTTGAAGCCGCCTCTTGGACCCACTGACCGCTCGAAGGAATAGGCGAGGTGCTGGGGCGGTATCGAAGTATCCGTGCTAGAGCTACTCTCGCCCTCTGCGCCTGAATTTTCAGTCTCTAGACCTTTCTGCCGCCTCTCTACAGCTGTCATCTCTTGCTCGTCTAGGACAGACACCAGATATGCGATGCAATCTTCCAGGTCGTACGGTCCCGTTGTGGCTCTCAGAGCCCGCTCTGCTTCTTCTGTGGAGAAGCCGAGTTTCTGTAGAAGGCCATACGTGGTGAGGGCACGAATGTAGAGCTTGTCCTCGTCGAGGAGGTTGGACGGGAGCGGCGTCAGGGCGGAAGTGGGCAGTACACTGCGTTGCCCTCCCGCTTCAGACGGTGTGGCAGCACCAGAAGCAGGTTCTGTAGTGCTGGCAGAAGTGCTGGTGGTTGCCAAGTCGAGGCGCGAGATGCCATTGGCAGCTAATGCGAGTGCCCGTTCATTGGTACTTCCATCGACCTCGAAGCTTGGAAGTGAGCTTGACATGCGACGATCGAAGTCAATGGCCTGCATAGAGGAGACACAGCTGAAGAGTCAGGAAGTGCGCTCACTCCTGCCATTCTTTTGTACTACCTTAATCTCACCTTCCATAATCGAGTGACCTCTCGCTCTGCCCGATCGTTCAGCCGCTCTACCAGCAGCTGCAGCTCCATTTCCTCCGAGTCGACCTCAAAGTCAGCCTCCCCATTCCCTGCTCCCGCTTCTTTTCGCGGTATAGCTCCAGCTCCAGAGACTGCTTGTGAGGCCGAAGAAGCAGTTGCAGCCTGTCCTTTGCCATTGCTCTGCTCATCCTTGGCTTCTTCCTCTGCTGGCGTCTCTACCGGCTTCTTGCTGGGCACACTAGTCGTGGCAAATCCCCTGTTCACCGACGACTTGAGCGTCGGCTTCTTCTTCTTTGCCATGGTAGGGGTGGCTCGTCGAAGGGAGCGCAGGCGAAGAGTGCCAGTGTGGGGGTGAGCTCAACGAGTCAAGGGGGAGGAAGAAGCTCTTCGCTCCACGGTCACCGCCAGATTTTGCGCGGAAAGGCGAGTGGAGTGGAGTTGGTTGTTCTTGCAGTCCGTCCAATCCTTCCCATCCTGCTTGCCTCTACAAGGACCATACCAGCAATATTGCACCCGATGAGCTCATGACCAATAAGCCCTCTTCCGCTCGTCCTCTACCAAGACGATGCCAGCTCACTCTCAGAGCCCACACCGGACCCTGTCATGTAGCGCGCTATGACTCCAATGGCCGTTATCTCCTCACAGCAGGGACCGATCGGACCATCAAGCTCTGGAATGCCTCTTCTGCCGCCGACAGCAGCAGCAGCGATGCAGCGCAGCCCCCACCCATCAAGACGTACTCTTCTGGACACAGCTATGAGATTCTCGCTCTAGATGTCTCGTCTGACAACAGCAGATTCACGAGTGGGGGAGGTGACAAGAATGTCCTCCTGTGGGATGTCGCAACGAGCACTATCCTGCGTCGCTTCTCGGCTCACGAAGGTCGAATCAACGATGTCCGCTTTGCAGGCCCTACATCAGCACAGGGTAGCAGTGTGCTCTGTACAGTGGGCTTTGACGCCATTCTTCGATTCTATGATCTTAGAGCTCAGGGCGCCTGGAGGCCGATCATGGAGTGCAAGGAGGCAAAGGATGCGATCCAGACAATGGCCATTAGAGGCGAGGAAATCTGGACAGGGAGCGTGGACGGGATAGTGAGGTGCTATGACATGCGAAAGGGAGAGGTCAGGGAGGACACAGTGGACGGTGAGTCAGACGAGGGCCACGAATAAGATCTTATAGTCCAGGCGGTGACGCTGATGCTCATGCTGCGTTACCTCTCCTCTGCAGAGCCGATCGTCTCTATCCACGTCTCGACTTCGGGCTCTCTCCTCCTGGTGAGCACGACTGCTTCAATTCACCGACTCTTCGATACCTCAGACGGGTCTCTCCTGCAGACCTTTACCGGCCACACCAACACGTCCTACCGATGTCACTCCACCCTCACCTCTACGGAAGACGCTGTCCTCGCAGGAGACGAGAAGGGCAGACTTAGAGGGTGGGATGTACTAAGTGGGAAAGAGACAGATGTGGCCAATGGCAGAGCGTCGACTATGTCGGAACATGACAAGACGATCCTTTGGACCGAGTGCAACCCCAAGAAGCTGGGAGAAGTAGTCACGTCTGCGGCGGATGGTAGTGTCAAAGTCTGGAGCGGGTGAAGGCATAATTTTGTAGGACCCCTATACCCTGTAATACAATTGAGAAAGTGACCTCGGTACCGTCTCAGGGCTGTACGTGAGCTGATGTGAGCTGTCAAGGCGTCCACGATCAACCCAATCTGTTGCAGTGTGACATGTAGGTATCTCATTACGTGCAGGCAATCTTAACAAAGGCAAGTGCATCAGTGTGTGAAACGATGGACTAGGTATTGTGCCAGACGAGGTTGCGCAGACCATCCCAGTGCTCCGCATTGACGTATAGATCTGCAAAGGGAGAGAGGAAGAAGGATATTCACAGACTTGCCGGCTCATCAGCAACTCTTTCCCGCTAGCCGCAATCTTGATCGACTCCCCGTCAAGCGCAGTAGTACTCACAGTCCATGCTATTCACCAGTCCATTATTCAGATTCACCCTCCTGTTCTCAAACAGCCACATGACACTTCCCCATACCAGTGCTGCAAAGATTTCGAATGATTTGGCGTCCGTCGGAATGGGCTTCTTGGCTGGGTAGCTAGAGGGAACACTTGCGCGGGGTAGCAAGGCGGATACACACCGGGCGCAGGAGTAGAGGACAATCTGGAAGTGGGAGAGAAGAGATCGTCAGACATTCAACAAAGCTAGGTCTCGATCCGGCTACTAGCACGTATCGCGCTTCTTCTCTGAACTCACCTGCTCGTTCACTGTCGTCCTCTCTCCAAAGATGACCCATCCTCCAAACAAGCCAGCCAGGAAGCTATCCATTGACCTCTCCTTTCCACCATTGGTTCTCCTGAGCAAGATCATCAGGAACTTGTACAAGCTTGCAAACTTGGCCAGATTAAACGAATGGTTGCGAGTGGCTGTCAGGATGAATTTGAACTTTTCCCGAGGGGTGCCACGCCCGAAGAGAAAGGTCATGACGAGGGCGTGGGGGAAACGGATCTTGGCGCCGTAGACGGCTCCATTGCGGGCTGCCTGGCGCGGGGGTGGAGTAGAAGGCGAGGTGGAGGATCAGCCTAGACATCGCCTCTACTGTGTGTATCGCCTCATTTGTACTTACCTTTGCGACTGTGAGGACATCGTGATAGGCTGGGTTGAGTGCGATGCGAGTGAGAGACTCGCGAAGATCTTGCATGGTGGAGAGGTGGGGGGAGGGAGCTGGGTAGAGCGGATTTGTCTAGGTGTCTATGAGAGGACCTTGTACCAGCTACTCTGTCTATACCAAGCGGACGACGACAGGCAATGAGGATGACAGAGGTGATTGTTTGCCCGAGATGGTGATGGTTGTGACGGCGTGAATATCTGTGCTGCGAATGTCCTGTGCGGTAGTCTGGTCTGTCCCCGCGTGAGTGAAGCGGTGATGCGGGGTTCGGCCCCTCGGCTCTTTCCAGGTTGGATGCACACTGGCCCGGTCCGCCCGCCCGCCAGGCCAGGCAGAAGCGCGTGCCGCCCGGCGAGTGGAAGCGGACTGGCGGCCTCGTCAGATAAAAAATTTGACGCAGCGGAAGACGTCCAAGCCAATCATCATCAACCTTCGGGTCCTCACTCAGCCCAGGCCTACCACCATCAAAGATCACCCCGTATCATTCGCAGCCATCATGACCATCGACATTGCATCATCTTCTGCATCGACATCGACTGCGGCTCCCACGCTAGCCTCCCTCGAGCAGACACTGTGCTCTCCCTCTCCTCCTACACCTCTCGATGCCCAGTTCCGCGCCCTCTTCACCATCAAGTCCCTCTCCACCTCTTCCTCTGACCCCGCCTCTCTCCCCGAAGGAATCCGCATCATCGGTCAAGCCCTCAGCACCTCCGATTCTGCCCTTCTCAAGCATGAGCTCGCCTATGTCCTTGGTCAGATGCAGGACGCGAGAGCCATTCCTACCTTGAAGCGGGTACTGGAGGATACAGCCGAGCATGCAATGGTCAGGCACGAAGCTGCCGAAGCCATGGGAGCTATTGCCGATCCAGTTGCTCTGCCCATATTGGAGCATTACAGGAATGATGAGGACGTCAGTGTCAGGGAGACGTGCGAGCTGGCCATTAGAAAGATCGAGTACGAGGTCAAGAGGCCAAAGGCAGATGGTGCCAAGAAGGAAAAGGCCGAAGATAAGTGAGTAAAGAGCTACTGAGGAAGCTGTTGAGAAGATTTGATTAAGCGAGAATGCGAGCTGATGTGATGCTCGTACCGTCGCACCCCACCCTAGCCCCTTTGCGCCAATCGACCCAGCCCCTGCCTTTCCAGTCTCCTCTTCCCAGCCAGGCGCTTCAGCAGCCTCTACCTCCTCCTCTGAGCTCCTTTCCTCCATCCCAGTCTACCGAGACACCCTCCTGGACGCCTCGCAGACCCTCTTCGACCGCTACCGCGCCATGTTCAGTCTGAGGAATGCAGTGCATGCCGCTCGGCGCGAGACGGAGAAGCAGTCCCTCACACCCCAGGAACGCTCCGAAGCCCAACTCAAGGGTCGTCAGGCGGTGCAAGCCCTATGCGACTCCCTTCAGGACAAGTCGGCCTTGTTCAGGCATGAGATCTGCTTTGTGTTTGGTGAGCTGGCACACGCTTCATGCGTTCCTTCCATGCTCAAGGTACTTGGAGATGATAAAGAACATGAGATGGTGCGGCACGAGGCGGCAGAGGCGCTTGGTGCCGTGGTTGAGGAAGGAGATGCAGCAGAGGCGGGAGCGGATGAGGAGAGTCTGACGAGTCAGGTGATGAAGGAGCTGAAGAGATGGGCCGAGGATCTGCAGGCTCCCAGGGTCGTAAGGGAAAGCTGTATCGTAGCGCTGGACGAGATGGCTTGTGAGTAAATTCCGCACCAGCAGTGGAGCTGGAACTGGAGCCAAGTCTCCAACAAGTGCTGATCAATTTTGCCTCACCCCACTTTTCGACCCCCCCTCTCATGCAGACAACAACGACCCTTCGCAATTCCAGCCGATGGACAACGCCCTCCCCGAGCAGGTAGCTGCTGCTTGAATCCCCTACTTCTTCGCAGCTCCGGCTCCCACTCCCTCATTTCGACTTGTATATTAATTTCAGTCAATTCGCCCCTCTCAATGCCACTCGTTCAAGCATTACACCCTTCCAGCCCAAAGCCTACGTGGTACGCAATATTAGATGACAATTGACGACGACGACGAGAAGGAAAGGTATAAAGGAAAGCGGGAGAGGAACAGCAAGAAGTACACAAATCCATGTATCAATCAGGCCCACCAGAACACGAGCGCGAATCAAACGCCACCTTCTCACTTGCTCACCCCGTCCCCACCACCAGCAGCACCAGCGGCGGCGGCGGCGGCGGCGGCCCTTCTCCTCCTCTCCAACGCAGCCTGCAGCACAGAAGGATTTGCTGCCCTCTTCTTCCCGGCCGTAGGCGCAGCAGACGCAGATGCAGCGGGTGTGGAGCTCATAGGCGGTAGTGACGACAGCGCGGGGGCAGGCTGTGTGGCGTTCTCCCTCGCCCTTGCAGAGGAGGAAGAAGATGAGGAGGAAGAGACGCTCCGCTGATTGGGCACGTCTCTGGAGCTTAGCGCGGGGCGTGAGGCAACCTCTGCTCCGCTCACACGCTGCCGTTTTGTTGATGAAGAGGCAGCGGCGGCGGCTCCATTGGACGATGCTGATGCTGAAGAGGATGGTTCTGTGTTTGTCTTGCGAGGTCGACGAGCCCCATCTTCGATCTTTGCGCTCTCGACTGCGGGCGGGGTAGTACTTGGAAAATGTTTGGGAGCGGGCTCGGAGGAAGCGTCTAGCTCTGCTTGGCCATCCTCGTCGATGCCATCCTCATCTACCTCCCCTGCGTCTTCGCTCTCCAAATCATCTCTGCTGCGTTTGAGCTCAGAGCTGACCAGTCGCTGGACCGGAACCTCGTAGGTAGGCTGGTGCGATTGCGTCCTCCTGGCGCTCGATTTCGGGCCCACCGATTCAAGGACGTACGACATGTCGCTGTGAGCGGTATGATCTGCCTCTGCGTGTGAATCGAATTCTGCCTGAGCAAGCTGCTCCGTCATCGGCGCATCTTGCGGTGTAGTGGCATCTTCTTGCTCTTGTTGTGCCTGCGCCTCGGCAATCGACCTAGCCGCTTCCTCCCTTGCGAATTGCATAGCCTCTGTCTCCCGCCTCTCAGCGGCTTCTGCCCTCTGTCTGACCTCTTCCACCTGCTGCTCACGCTCTTCGAGACGATCTTCCATCTTCTTCAAGTCTGCTTCCCTCTCGAGCAATTGCGTCTGTAGCTTGTGTAGCTCTGAGGCCAAGCGCTCTTGAGCATCCGAATCAGATAAGTCTACCACTGGTCTCGCAGAGGCGGAAGTCGACCGTAGAGGGATACGGGTAGCTTTGGGGCGACTTCCTGTAGACTTTTGGAGCTGCTCTCCCTCTTCTGAGGTTGCTTGCTCGGTAGCGGGAGCAGCGCTTTCCTTGAGGGCTTTTCTCTCCCCTTCCCACGCGAACAAGGCCTTCTCGTTGGCAGCGATCGCCAACGATAGGGCCCTCACTGCAGGATGAGCTGAAGCATGGGCTGCCAAGGTATAATCCTTTCGCAGCGGCCGACCCGATGGGAACAGATCGGACTGTAGTGACCTGGGCGCGTTGTCTCCTGTCAGGGCAGCCGAAGCTTCGCCAAGCGCGTTGATACTCTCTGTGCAGAGCCTTCGCATCGCCGAGTTGCTGGCGAGGGTACTGCTCCTCTGCGTCTCCAGCTCGGAGATTTGCTGCCGGTAAAGAGAGGACGCTGAATCCTGCAAGCTGCTGCTGCCCTTGGCAGGGAAGACTCCAGGTACCACCACGAGTCGAGAACATCCATTGCGAGCAGCCAGGATGGCAGCGTCTGCGAAGCGCTCTCGCTGTCGAGCAACTGAGCGATCGTTGACCAGCTTTGCCTGACGCGTAGAGGCTTTGAGCGCCTGATTCTCCCTACGCGACCGACCCAAGTCCTGCTGAAGCTGCCTTTTCACCGACTCTGAGGCATTCAATTGCGTCTTCGTGAGGCTGTATAGAGGATCCCGACATCTTGTCAGCTGCTTTCCATGCCTCTTGGCTCAAGCTCCGTCCTCTCTTGCTCACCTCGCCTGAGTCTTTGCTATTTCCTCATTCCTCTTGCAGCTATCCACCTGAGCGAGCATATCCCCTTTCTCACTCTCCATCCTCTCAATTTTCCTCTCGAGCTCTCTCAGTCTTCCGCTGAGTGAGAGACGGAGGTCAGCGTCCTGCTCTTTCTGAGCCAGGATTTGGGTGCATGCATCCGCCAAGGTTCCAAAGGTCAAGCTGTCGAGGCAGGAAAAGTCCAGAGCAGCCTTGGATGATTGCGGCGCATACGCGAGTAGTGAGGCCAGAGAGCTTGTGCCCTCGAGCTGTGGAGCCTCTGTCATGCGTACTAATAGCTGTTCAGTGGCAAGTGGGAGCGTATTGAACGGGAAGAGGAGGGGAGGGTGAATGCACACCCACATCAACACACCATCAACCCTCGACGCGCTGGCGGAGTTGCAAACACAAAGCCCTCTTTCCGTTCGCCGTTCCCTCTGAAGTCTTACTTCTTCCCGTGCTCGGCCACGCCTCAGCAACTGAATCTCCTGTCTCACCTCACTCGTTGCAATGGGCAAGCCAAACAAGACGAAGCACTCCAACTCGTCCGCAAAGCACGGCGGACTAGGCTCCGGAGGCAGAGGTATGGGTGGAGGCGCTCGGGGTGGGAAAGGCCGGAATCGCGGGCCCAGGGTCATGGGCGCCGGCTCAGAGGTCTTTACGGAAGGGTGGAGACCAGCGTCAGCCATCGACGATGTCAAGGTCGAAGAGGATGAAGACGAAGAGGAGTCCAGCGAAGATGGCGAGGACAGTGACAGAGACGACCGCGGAGAAGGACCGTCGTCTTCGCGGGGGCCCGAGTCTCTTCCCCAGGAGGGGAGCGCTGAGGAAGAGGAGGAAGGGTCTGGGGACGAGGAAAGCCAGGACGAAGACGGAAGAGAGGATCATCATAGGGGCTATGGTCTGTCCGGAGAGAAAGGGTCCGAAGGTATACCGATGCCACTGGCGATGTGGGTGAGTCCAGCAGCTCGCGTGCCGTTGGTGGCCACCGCATATCCCGATCCTGAGACGGTTCTCTCGTCTGGAAAATCTTTTGCGTACAGGATTTCAATCACTGCGATCCCAAGCGCTGCAGTGGAAAGAAGCTTGCTCGATTGGGCTTCGTCAAGGAGCTCAAGGTTGGGCAGCGCTTCGGAGGCATTGTGTTAACGTGAGTAGAAAGGGAGACGCTATCACCTGCAGCTGCTGACAGCACCGTCATTCGTCATCATTCTAGGCCTAATGCCACTCAAGTGCTGGCTCCAGCTGACGCTCCCATTCTGAAGGAGCGTGGACTGGCTGTAGTAGAGTGCTCTTGGGGTAAGTATGCGCATGGGAGGGGACTTCTTTTGCAATCGCTGACAATGACTTCCCCACATTTGTCCTCTGACAGCGCGGCTAGATGAGATACCTTTCAAGCGGATCAAGTCTGCACACGAACGGCTCCTGCCAGAGCTCGTTGCAACTAATCCAGTCAACTACGGAAAGGTATCAAAGCTCAACTGCGTCGAGGCGCTAGCTGCTGCGCTCTACGTCTGCTCGATGCCAAAGCTGGGCGAGATCCTGCTCTCCAAATTTGGCTGGGGTCATGCTTTCCCCAGCGTGAATGCAGAGATCATTGAGAAGTACGTTCACTGCAAGGATGAAAAAGAGATCAAGGCGGTAGCTCAACAGATGGCGACGGAGAACGACAAGGCGAGGCGGGAACGTGGCACTCGAGACGTCCTGCAGGAGATGGAAGGCAGTGGAGACGAAAAGGACGTCGAGGAAGGCGTGACAAACACCGCAGATGATCAGGATGACTTGGCTACCGTATTCGAGAGGGATGTGGCGGTATCTTAATCACTCTGCTGCAGGACCGGCGATATCATCTGTCATTGCCGAACGCCTCGCAGCTGCCACATCGTACCATCAGGCGTGACCCCCGCGACCCTGCCGGCCGCGCCGCAACGGCATGAATGGGTACAGCCTGCTTGATGCGCCAAGGGCTGCAGGAGGATCTAATCGCACTCCCTCTAAGCGACGACATGCAGCGGCTGCTCCGCCGATGGCAAGATGAGAAGCGCACGCATAGGCGAGGAGTAGCATAGTGTGTCCATTGGACTAGAGACGCGGGTTCCGCCACGAAGAGAAGCATTGGCTGCATAAGAGGTCCGTTGCGGAGAGTGGGCAGACGCCGACGCGTTATATTTTGATCCTGTCATAGGTTTGTCTCGCCTAAATTGGGAAACAGAGCTCTTTGGATAATCGTCATCGCGAGCTTGGCCTTGGCCTGAGATCAGCCCGAGGCGCCAGAAGACCGAGGGGGCGTGGGGCCGGCGAGATGGTGGCCCAAGGTCGTCGATGAATGTGTCGAAGAATCTATGGTGCATCATTTTGCGGACGCTGACGTCACGCGGCCAGGGTTTGCGTCTGTGCCTTGCCTGCATGACGCCGCGCTTCTCCGCCCAGGGTCTAGCCTCGCGTGCTCTGCCTGCTCCCTGGGGCCCTGTCCTGCATCGCCCAGATACCAACCCCGATGCCGGCATCATTGTGCACCAGCACCGCGTGGAGGTGGGTGACCTAAAGAAGAAAGTAGGGGGGACCTTGCCGCCAGGCCTCTCTCTTTGCTCCAGCGCACACAGGGCCCTACCCCATAAGTAGAGGCACTGCCTGCTCAAGGACTGCTCCTGCCTCTTTCCTCTTTCCTCACATATTCCTTCACGTCTTCTGTCAGCATTCATTGATTCATACCCTGGCTGTTATATCCAATCAGTGTCTTAGCTGTCACAACACCAAAGCAACAACCGCAACTGCATACTAGACGATTACCAAAAAGTCTACCACTCTCTCTTTGATCCACTGCAAACAACTTCGCCTTACTCGATCGAGACCACACCCTTCTCGTCTTAGCCATGTCCGCCGTGCCCAAGTCCCAGACTGGAGTCAGCGAGAACCCCGCAAAGACTGCCGTCGCTCTCTCCGTGAGCAAGGAGACTGTTGCCAAAGATGTTGACCGCAAGGTGAGTTGCCCTCGATGGTACTTGGTCTTCCAACTGCAACGTCATAGCTCACCATTCGTCCTCTACAAACACTCTCACATCCACACAGATTCGATTCTTCGGTATCATCCAGGCTTTCCGCGAGGGCAAGTACCCCGACAACAAGCAGTGCGACGAGGCCCTTCGCTACATCGAGCAGAACAGCCCCGTCAATGTCAGCGAGCTGTCCAGTGACGGTAAGAAGCTCGTAGAGGACTTCCGTGCCATCATTGTCACATCTCGCCAGATGCTCCTGGAGAAGAATGCCAACGAGGAGGCCCAGAACTTCCTGTTTGCCACACGCAAGTCTTCCGTAGCCGACAAGGCCGGTGTCCAGGCACCCGTGTCCAAGACCGAGGCTCAGAAGGACGCCGAGGCCGCTGGCCAGGCTTTCCAGACCCTGCTCAAGCTCTTCCTGCGCAACGGAGAGTTCCGCAAGCTCATCGAGGATGCTGGTGTCATTGGTCGAGACATCTTCGCCGATGCCGCCGTCAAGGCAGGTGACATTGCTCGCCCCGACCAGGACCGACTGGCCCAGGCCGACCAGCCTGCCCCTCACAATGAGTTCCACGACGACATTCCCAGCGCCCTCCAGTCCAAGTCCCCCGAGCAGAAGGAGGCCGACAGGAAGAAGGTCGAGGCCGAGGCCGCTCAAGCCAAGGCTCGCGCCGCCGAGGCCGCCAACCAGGTCGACCCCAATGACCCCATGCACCCACAGAGCCAGGACGCCGTGAAGCAGCAGGCTCAGGTTCAGAAGGACGCCCTGCTCAACAAGATTCCCCAGGAGCACAGGGAACGACTTGAGGAGCACAAGGACAAGACCATCAACTACTTCCAGGACAAGTTCCCCGAGGAGCGACGAGACCACTTCATCTACCGACTGAAGAAGGTCATCGTCGAGTGCCAGAGGCACCGTGATTGGCAAGACTCGGTTGGCTACCTGATCACCTACTTCGAGACCTACAAGGGCCACGCCTCTCACATCCATGACCAGACCGTTGGCTCTGCCCAGAACGTCCGTGGAGAAGGCAACGTTCAGTCCGCCGAGAACGCTTTCCGAACTCTGCTCGAGCGATTCTCCAACGGTCGCCCCACTCAGCCCATCCTAGATGCCGTTGACCAGCTTTACACCGACGCCAAGAACGACCCTGAGCTGAGGGACTGGTTCTCCCGCATGGACAACTACATTCGCCGATGCCTTCTCGAGCCCGGCTATATTATGAAGGACGAGGCCAACTCCTCTGCACGCTCTCTGCAGGAAAGCGGCAAGATCTTCTTCACTTCGCACGGTGGCTCGCAGCGAGAGCAGGGCAAGTACAAGCCCCACGTCGACCGCCTGTTCGATGAGATCACCACATTCACCAACGGCTTCGCTCAGGACCCTCTCAACCAAAAGTTCGGTCAGCAGTGGAAGCACCTTTTCAACGACCTCATCCACGACTCTGAGGGTAAGCTCGAATTCAAGCCTCACCTCATCTCCGACATTATGCAGCACATCCTGCCCGACACCCTCAAGACCATCTCGTACGTTCCCCTCCCCCGTATCGAGTACACCGACTCTACTGTCGACCTTGTTGTTGAGAACATCGCGGCTGCCCCCATCAACCTGCTGCCAAACGTTGTCGAATTCGAGGCCAACAACTACTTCAAGGCCTCTGCTTTCAAGAACATCTCGAGCCGTCACCAGCACTCCTTCAAGCTGGTTTTGGGTCAAATCCAGCTGGAGATGCGCGACGTCTACTTCCAGATGAACAAGAAGACCGGTCTCAAGCTGAAGGAGCACGGCTTTGCCGACATCTTCCTCGGTGGAAAGGGTCTTACTGTCACTGCTCAGATCGAGGGCGGCAACGAGCCCCGAGGACGCCGATCGAGGCACGTCTTTGTCGTCAAGGAGGTCAAGGCCGTCATTGACAACCTGGACTTCGCCGTCCGAGGCAGCAAGCACGATGTTGCCATCAAGATCCTGCGCCCATTGGCCAAGTCGATCATCAAGAAGTCCATTGCCAAGGCTGCTGAGGCCGGTATCCGCGAGGCCCTTGAGAAGCTCGACACCCACCTCACCGAGGCCAGGAACGCCGCCTACGATGCTGAGAGTGGTAACAAGATGGACGCTGCCAAGAGCAAGCTGCAGTCTGACAAGCCCCAGCAGGCCAAAGAGGCCGCCGCCAAGGCCGGTACCTTCAAGATCCCGGTCACCACTCGTGACTCGGTGCTGCCCCAGATGGGTACCAAGGAGGGATGGATCCGAAAGATCGACGCAGCTCAGGCCAAGGCCGAGGACAGCGGACCCGCCCACAAGCCCGACTGGCACTCGCCCGCCTTCGCCATTGCCTACAAGTAATGGCGTCTGCTGCACCCCTCACACGTTCCGTCTAGAGGTTGGACTACCCCATTTGTTCCTCTCACGGTTCCGTTGTGTTTCACTTCTGGCGCCGCGATGAATTCATACCCCAGTCCTTCCATTGCCTCTCCTTCTCGTATTCCTTCGTATCTATCCGCTGTATGTGCTCATGTCTTATCTCTCGCATCCAGGAATTCATATCTTATGGAAAGCACATCTTCGTTTCCTTAGCGTGTAGCAGATTCATGAGTGCCGTTACTTAAAGCTGAGATGCTTACGCCGGTTGGTTGATAGGTCAAGGAGACAGTAAGCGAGCTCGGGGGAAGGTTTGAAGATTTGAAGGCCGCGCGGTGTGGCCCCTGGTCGTGGTCCGGCCTGGCCTGAGCAAAAAATCTCGCCTTCCTTCGCGCCTAGAGTGGTGAGGACCTTCTTCCGTTCACCACAGTCCGCCCTCAATACCTAGTGTCCCTACTTCCCCCCATACCCGCTCGCCTCCCTTACTTCTGTTATCACTGAACATGGCTTCCACATCTGCTGCTGGGGCCGCTGGCGCTCCGGTCACTGGCGAGATGACCAGCCGCGACTAGTGAGCTCACCTCGTGGTAGCAAAGGCTGTTGCTCTAGCGTACGATACTAATTACCTCTGCTGCCCACCCTCTTGCCTCCCACCTGACGCTTCTTTTCGCCTAGCTACGCCGACTCGTACGCTCACTTTGGTATTCACGAGGAGATGCTCAAGGACGAGGTCCGTACTCTCGCCTACCGAAATGCCATCATGAACAACCCCCACCTCTTCAAGGGCAAGACTGTCCTCGATGTTGGATGTGGAACTGGTATCTTGTGCATGTTCGCCGCAAAGGCAGGTGCCAAGAAGGTCGTTGGAGTAGACATGAGCAACATCATTGATCAGGCCAAAGTCATCGTGGAGAAGAATGGCTTTGGAGATGTGATTACCCTGGTCAAGGGCAAGCTGGAGGAGGTTGACCTTGGTCTTGGACCAGATGGAAAGGTGGACGTTATCATCTCCGAGTGGATGGGATACTTCCTCCTCTACGAGAGCATGCTGGACACTGTCCTCGATGCAAGAGACAAGTACCTCGCCCCAGGAGGTATCATGATGCCCGACGAGGCCACCCTCTACCTGTCTGCCATTGAGGACCAGGAGTACAAGAACGAGAAGATCGGCTTCTGGGACGATGTGTACGGCTTTGACTACTCTTGCATCAAGGATATTGCCCTCAAGGAGCCTCTGGTGGACACTGTGGAGCTCAAGGCAGTCGTCTGTGACCCCGCAAAGGTCTTGCACCTTGATCTGACAAAGTGCACAAAGGCGGACCTGACCTTCTCCAACACCTTCACGCTCAAGGCTAGCCGGAACGACTGTAAGTGATGGAGCGAGGTGGCAAAGGCGCAATCGAGACTGTAGGACTGACAGGTATGCACTGATGCTCCACCTTCCATGCTTTACAGATGTGCACGCTTTCCTGGGTTGGTTTGACATTGGATTCGAGGCATGCCACAAGCCAGTGCGGTTCTCCACTGGCCCTCACTCGAGGTATACCCACTGGAAGTCGACCGTCTTCTACATTCCCGAGGCTCTGATGCTGTCGCAAGATCAGGAGATCAAGGGCTCCATCAAGGTATCACCAAATGAGAGGAACCACCGCGATCTGGACATTGTCCTCGGCTGGGAAGTACAGGGACAAGGCGAGGAAGGAAAGGGGGAGATGGCGTACAAGATGTGAGTATCGCTCTTGCAGCGAAGCCTCTGCACCATTGCTCGCATGGATCTTCCTTCCTCGAATCTCTTCTCACTCCGCTCTCTCCCTCTTCATTATTCTCTTCTACTGCAATTCGGTCGCTCTTTACTGATGCTCAGGTCTTGATTTGCCCTTCACCCTACTCGATCAACATCACTACTAAAAATCACGCATGCCCACTGGCTCATCATCTCTAACAGGTACTAGCTCCTTCACCAGCAACTATTGTGATTCCTACATGCTTGCGACGAGAGTCATGTGACGGACAGGTCAAGCGCCTGTCAGAAGCATTCCGTCCATAGATATGCACTCTGTATCTCGTCCCAGTAGCAGCCAGCCCTCATTCGGCGTGTACCTCGCGTCCCACATTCCCTCGCAGCATCTTTCGTCACTTGTCAATCTTGAATACGAACAACTTGTCACTGCCCGTCTCTCGTCTGAGCCATTGGGAGGGAGGTGCACACATCGGATGTCTGATCGTTGCGATCGTCTGCACAGATTTGTGACGCGTTATGATCGGCCAACCTGCCTGCCCGTCGGGTTGGCTCTAGCTTGATCGATCGCAGGGGAGCCAAGCCACCCCCTCCCCTGTCAGTCGTGCTTCACTACCACCCGTGGTAAGATCGGAGGTCCTTCTGCTGACACAACGAAGAGATAAAGTGCTGGTGCCATTCATCTTGAGAGAGCAAAGTGCGGAATCAATTCTCCTACCGCCGACTGACCGCATTCATTCATCGGCAGACGGTGGGCGGGTGGTACAGTAGATTCTCTCCTAGCCCGAGGGACGAGAGAGGCGCATGGCTGAGCCCGGAATAAAAGGAGAAGGGGAAAGGAGAGTCTAAAACGCCTCACGCTGGACGACCGAGGCGTGGCGTGGCGTGGCAGGCGGAGCGGAGCGTGTGTGCGTGTGCGTGTGCCTGCGTCCAGCAGCCACAACGCCTCTCTAGGATTTTCCCACTGTGTTGGGCGCCGGATCCACTTCACCAACGCCGCACTGGGAGTGGCTGGGGACACGCAAGGGCCTGCTTGGAGCCACGACGGTGTCTGCCCATCTACCCGGCCATCAAGGAGCTGACGTTGCTTAGATGACAGGCTAAGCCCGGCACTCGTGCTCTTGAGAATGGCATGGCGTACACGGGACTTTTTTTTGATCGCTTGCATCACCACGCAGAGAGGGACAGTCGGTGTATGGCTGAGGGAAGTGGTGGGCATTCGTCTGGCTCGGCACCGGGAGAATTACCATTGTCCGCCAGTCCCTTGTCCAATTTGCCTGCCTGTATTGTATTCCTATCATTAGCTGCGTCTCTTCCATCTACCTTCTCCTCGTCGCGATCTACTAGTTGCTCTAATAACCCTTTTGCCATTAAACGGGAAGCAGTGCCTGCCTCGGTCTCAGGGTCTCCTCCTCGGCAAAAAAGCTGGAGTAGAGTTGCTCCCGAGGTTTCTCGCGCGTCTCTCTTGGGGTGCGTCGCAAGGGCCTCCTCCTCGACCCCTCCCTTCCATCCTACTGCCCTCTTTTGCACTTCGCTTCTCAAGACTAATTCGCCCTTGTTCACCTATAATCGTTCATCGATCTACTCTTACGAATAATCGGCTGGTCTATTCTCGCAGCTCGGAATACACCATTAGCCACGACCTTGCATGCTTCATCTTCAAGAAGCACACCTCTAATTCATTCTGCGTCCGTACAAAAGGACACTGTCGCTCGCCCTACATTTGCTTCCGGTGGAGGTACGAAGCGATCTTCGTCCATCACGGAGTCTTCGCCGCCGCAAAAAGTATACCTCTTGCTCTCTGTTAGGTAAGAGGCTCAAGAATCTCGCTTCACAGCATCTGGCATTACACCCCAGCAACAGAAGCGCCTGTGTCCTTGCAGGGTGAAGCCCATTGACCAATCTCGGATCAGAGTGCAAGGACCTCCTCTTCGTTGCATTTCATCACACAAAACCCGCAGAGGGATCGTGCACTGGGTGGTAGCGGAGCAACAATTAGGATGCCTGGCTCCAGTGCAGCAACGTCATCTGGCCAGGGAGGCGAGGCGTCGCAGCAGCAAAAGCAGAGCAGCGGTGCAACCGGCAACAGCAGCAGGCCCCCCAGCGCCTATGAGAGGCGAGCTTCTCAGCAAGGTGAGAGTCGAAACCCGGAGGATTCCACTGATTGCTTTCGATGCTGACAAGCCTCTATTCTGCCGCTTTCGTACCTTTCTCTCCGTCTAGACACTAATGCCAGCGCTGGACCTTCTCAGCCTTCTGCCCTTCCCCCTTTCTCAAAGAGGTGAGCAACACAGTGCTAGAAAGAATGTCAGCAGGGCTCATGACTGACCTGCACGCCTTCTGTCCGTCTCTCTTGCAATCCTCCACTGTTTGCCTCCGATCAGAGCTCGACAGATTCAGGAGGAATCTGGAGTCAACCTTCCCGTCGCAGCTCCTGTCTCTCCACGCAGCTCAGTGTCTGGTGGTCACTACCGACCGCCAGCCTTGAGAGAATCTGCCTCTTTCACCCTCGAGTCTCTCAACGAGATCCTACGGCCTGTCCAGCATCCACAGGGTAATCGTCACTCCATTAGCACACTATCCCAGCCAGCGACAAAGGGACGAGACAGAGCGGGCACCCTGCCTTCTTCTTGGTCTGGCCAAGGTGAGCAACTCCTTCCTGCTCGTCCTCGGGAGAGACTTGGGTCAGACTTCCAACCCACCAGCAGATCTGGCAATAGCAGCCCACTCCTGTCCGGTGAAGCAGGCGACGGAGGCGCTGCTGCATTCGGAGACGGTCTTCCCAAGAGACTGGGCTCGATCGGCTCTATACCTACTCTCGGTAACTTCGGCAGGAGACAGACCGCAGGGCCTTCCACTCTGTCGTTGGCTTCGAGTGCCAACGACGTCCCTTCAGAGACTTCTGCTGAGCTGCCAGCAAGACTACGGACTGCGTCGCTAGCTTCTGGACTCACAAGCTCGGACCCCTTTGCTTCCGGCATCTTCTCGTCACCCACCTCTGCTTGGCCCGATCGGACACGAGCCCAGAGTACACAGCTTACCGGCCGTCATATGCAGGAGCTCCGCGGGCGTGGGGCCACCATTGCCAACCCGTCTTCCGTCGCGGCCGACAAGGCTTACCACCTAGATGCTGCTGCGAATAGTCTAGAACAGAATAGGATCATGATGGACAACTTGGGCCTGAGTGAGCCCAGAGCTGCAGACACTGAAGTCTACTCTGGCGTTGGAGGGGGAAGCATCTCGGGAGCCAGCGGCGCTGTTGGCGCCAATCGCTACAGTATCTCCTCTAGTGTGTCCTCAAGCGCGGGTCGTGATCGAGCCACTACACTAGCCGCTGCGACAGCTAGACCAAAATTCGATAGCAGCACAAGGGGCCGTAGTAGTAGCTTTGCTCCAAATCAGATCTTCGGCAACTACAGCATCGATGAAGAGTCGGCAGTACCAACGTCTAATGTACGCTCGGGTCAGGACGCAGTTTCTCCGCTGTTGACATTTGCTCAACATGGCGGTCTCGCCAACAACGCTCTACAGCAGCGCCTTTCATTGGAAACTGCAGGTGGAAGACAGGTCGGAAGGGGTCGCGCTACTTCGTTGAGCGTTCTCAACGACGCTGGCAGCCATCACCCAGCTTCCGTACGCAACGAGGGCAGCCTCCATCAGTATCGCCCTACTGAGCAGCAGCAGACGTATACCTCCGAGTATGGCTCGGGCTACGGAATGGCTCCATCCCCTTCGACGCAAGGCTTCTTCTCTGATGTGGTGACACAGGAGGCTCTCTATGCTTGGGCAGCGGAACACAAATTAGACCCAGTCGCCTTTGCCGAGGTTGCTGCAGCTTCGGGTGTCCTCGTTGCTCCTTCGTCTGCAGCAACCGATCAAGAAGAATTTGCACGATCTGCAGCCACTACCCGATTGAGAGCAGGGACTGTCGCGGTGCTTCCAAGTGGCGCAAGCTCAAGAATGAGGGCCGAGCAGGAGTTGATGCGGCTAGCAGGAGCAGGACCGCCTGCATCAGAAGGCGATTTGAGCTTCCAACAGCTCTATCCCCGTCCATTTGCAAGCAGTAGCTCGCCTGTCAAGGCGGCGGCATTGGACAATCACGTCCGAGAGAGAGGTAGCCCAGAGAAGGTACCCAACGCAGTCCACCAAGCCACATCGCGCTCTCATAACCACCAACAGCCAACAAGAAGTCTCTGGATCGGCAACCTAGACGTCTCGACTACCGGTCAAGAGCTCATGCAGGCCTTTGCACCATACGGAGCTATTGAGAGTCTTCGACTTCTACCGGAGAAGGAGTGTGGATTCGTCAACTACGTAGAGACGGCCGATGCTGTACGAGCGCGCGAGGATGTCTTGCATCGCCTGGGTGGCAAGATCAAGCCTAATGGCACGGGTCCTAATGGTACGGTTAGGATCGGATTTGGCAAGATCGATTCTGCTCCAGATTCAACTGCGCACGGCAACTCGGGCGTTACATCTCCGAGAGGTGGAAAATTCCGGCCTATCAGTCCCAGTGACGGCGCGTCCCTCACCCCAGGAGGAGGAGAACGGGATGAGAGTCTGCCTACGCGGGCCCTTTGGATCGGCAGTATCCCGAGTACCACTACACCCGCCACTTTGCTCAGTATCTTCCAGCCGTATGGGCCCATTGAGAGTGCTCGGGTGCTGACGCACAAGAATTGCGGATTCATCAACTTCGAACGAGTGGATGATGCTGTTCGAGCTCGGAAGATGCTCAACGGTCGCGATGTCTTGGGCGCAGAGGTAGGGTCGGTCCGGGTAGGTTTCGCCAAAGTCCCCAGCAAGCCTGCCGATGATGCTTTCCCTGGTGAGCCATCGAGCGAAGGTTACGCCAGTGCCGTGGACTCTCTCGATCGTCTCAAAGGCGCTAGCGGGGTCCCGGCCGAGCGTCAGGCGATCGCGAGCAATCTCGATAACTATCGAAGCCCGCTGGTCACTGATCTCCTCAGTAACAAGCACGTTCAACAGCAGAATCTGCTCGATGAGCAGCACTTGGCTGGCGGTATGCCTGCCCCACCTGGCGTCTCGGCTCTGGCCCTCTCCCATACCCGCTCAGCCTCCCACTCAGGTCTCAGCGCTAGCAACAGCATTGTGCCGAGCAGCGATAAGGGTGGAGTGCCTCTACCTGCTGAGCTTCAGCCGAGACCTTCGGTGACAGACCTGCAACTGCTGATGGAAGACTTGTCGACCCAGGACACCGATGAGGAACGCGAAAGTCATCTCACTGCTGTCAGACAGTTCCGCCCGCCGGCGACATACTACACAAGCATCCCCTTGGTGAGCGAGATCAACAATCCTAGACGTTTCGACTCGACAAAGCTGAGGGACATGCGCAAGGGCATCGAGTCTGGTCAATACTCTCAGGCAGACATTGACAACATTGCCTCGAGCTTCCTCGAGTCCATTGTCGACTTGGCGTCTGATTATATCGGCAACACGGTGGTTCAGAAGTTCTTTGAGAAATGTAGCGAGCCGATCAAGACTGCATTGTTGCAGCGCATCGCACCTCACTTGGCAATGATCGGCATCCACAAGAATGGCACATGGTCCGCACAGAAGATCATCGACACGGCTCAGACTCCAGAGCAGAGGTCGCTCATCGCCCAACACTTGCGGCCGTACATCCCTCCTCTCTTGCTCGATCAGTTCGGCAACTACGTGGTGCAATGCCTCTTGCCCTACGGTTCTTTTGCAGAAGCGGGAGAGCAACGAACAGGCTCGGACTTCATCATCGATGCAATGACCGATCGCTGCTGGGAGATTGCGCAGGGTCGCTTTGGAGCAAGAAGCATGAGGGCTTGTCTGGAAAGTCCCAAGGTGACGAGGCTGCAGTGCAAGCGAGTAGCCATTGCCATCATCCTCAACTCAGTACCTCTGGCAACGAGTCCGAATGGCTCTCTGCTCCTCACTTGGCTTCTCGATGCTTCTGAGCTACCAGGCCGCTTCAGACTGCTCGCGCCTCGCTTTATGCCTCACTTGACACACTTGTGCACTCACAAGCTGGCGTCACTGACAGTGTTGCGAGTGGTGAACCAGAATGCAGAGCCAGAGGCTGCGAGCAGGATCATGGGAGCACTCTTCGAGTCTCCCAATGACGCCACACTGGAAGAGATCCTGACGGATCAGGTGCACGGTAGTCAGTTCATCACAAAGGTGCTGCAGTCGCCTCATATTGACTTGAGCAGACGAGATGGCTATTGCGAGCAAGTCAAGAGAATCGTTCGTGAGCACCGTTTGACGAGCGTGCCTGCCTACAGGAAACTCGTCGAGGACTTGGGCTTGCCATTCCAGCCCAGTGGCCCACACATGTTCGGCAACGGCAACGGTGCTCAGCACTCCGGTGGTGTGCCCGTCGTCCGAGCCGGATATCCAATTGCTACCTCTCCTCATACGAGTCACGCATCTCAACACAGCATGTCTGGTATTGCAAACGGCTTGACGGGCTATCCTACTTCGACCGCTCCTCGCTACGGCTCTCATCAACAGCAGTACAGCTCGACTGCCTACTCTCACCCAGCCCAGTCGCCTCAAGCCCCACCGCGCCACTTCGGCCAACACGACCCGCAATTTCGAGATGCATTCAACCCTTGGCCGAGCATGTCCTCTTCCCCCGCCAGCACCGGAGGGTACAATACTGGCTCGCCTACGCCGCCCATCAGGATGGGAGGGCGAAGCCCTGCTAAGACGCCCCCCACTCAGGGCGGTAGCGGCGGCCCAGGTGGGTCTGCCGCCGCGGGTCGAGGGGGATATGTGGCGACTCCTGGTTACTAGGTCGGGCAGCGAGGCGTGCCTGGCCTAGAGATAGCAGTCCACAAGTAACATGTGGGAGACGATGAGTGCAGTCACCTCCCTCCTTTCTTCCCTCTTCCTATTTTTCAACACTTTGTTCAAACTCTCATCGTTTCGCCCCGCCACACTTTCTCCCCTTGTGTCATTACGACTTTATTCCATTTCCTCCTCTCCTCCCAATGTCCCCTTTTTCTTTACATTCTACAAGAACATATACAAGAGCAGCAGCAGCAGCAGCAGCAGAGAAGAGAAGAGAAGCCGGGGCAAGGGCAAGGGCAAGGGCAAGGGCAAGGGCAAGGGCAAGGGAGCACAGATGATCAAATACATGCGAATATACAATCTTCTCCATCCCTTCTCCTCTTCTATTCTGACCTGATGATACTGATACTGATACAGAGGAGTCGTTGGCAGCTATGTGTGTGTGTGTATGCGTGAGCGAGAGACACAGAGGGAGAGGGAGGTCAGGTGTGATATGCAGCAGCAGCAGCAGCGGCAGCGGCAGCGGCAGCAGCAGCAGTACGACGGCAGCAGCAGCAGCAGTACGACGAGGTCTATAGCAACAGCAACAGCAATAGGAATAGGAATAGCCACAGCATGATATAGTATAAGTTTCCGACCTGAACCATCTAAAAGCAGAAGCTGAAGGTACAGTGAAGTAAAGTAAATGTGTGTGTGTGTGTAGAGAGAAGGGGGAGTGAGCCAAAAAGCAGCACGAAAGGAGGGAAAGGAAAAGAAGAGGTATTCCGGTGAGGGGGATTGGGGAGGGAGAGTCCGACTGTCGAGTAAGAGTGAAACCAGGGAGTGTAGCAGGTGGGACGTGCAGGATGAAGTGCAGAATCGAATAAGATCAAGAATCGCAAGAGGAAGCTGCATCCTTTCCTTTGCTTTGCTTTGCTTTCCTTCTCGCAATGGGACAGGACAGGAGGCTCCTGTTTCGGTCTAGACTACCAATTCTCATCTTCCGGATCTAGGAGGGACTTGTGCTCATTCGGTGGCAGACGATACTGTAAAGTATTGTGCAGAGAGATGATGAAATCAGTGTCACTTGGTCCGCCAAGTCGTGAGAGCTGCTCCTTCCATACCATGCCTCGACTCTGAGACACTTACTAGCTGATGGGTCTCGATGTACTTGATGACCGAGTTGGGCAGGAGGTACTTGATGGATTGACCTCTTCTCACGAAGAGTCTCACCTTTGAGCTATTCAGAAGAACAAAGGAAGAATGGAACAGTCCAAGGGTAAGCGCACTGCGAGCGTAACCTCCGCTCGTGCTCGCGCACTCACCTGCTAATATCGTTGTAAATGGTCTGCTTGACAATCTTGAGGTTCCGCCTATACTCCCAGAGCAGATCATGCGAAAGGAGGAAGGACCAGACGTCCGCCCCTGTCCTCTCAACAATCATACAGCCATACCTTCCCAGGATGTGATGCAAGTCGGCGTCCGCCCAAACGCCCGGCTCCCCCATGGATTGGATCAAGTCTCCTCCGGCAAGGAGCATGATCTTCACTCTTCTCCTCCTGCCATCCTTGAGTAAAACGCCTCCTTCGGGCTGAGGATGACCGGACCCATTTGTCGCAGGGTGGATGGGTCCGTTGATCTCGTCATAGAAGTGGTCTAACACGACTGCTGTTCGCTGGTACTCGTCCTGCAAACTCTCCCAAGCATCCACCATCAACCAAGTTGACGTCTTTTCCACTGCCAGCTCGCACATTCTCACTCGATGACGAGCTGGTGCTAGACCGGCTTTACGGTAGTGATCCGATACGGGAGAGTAGTATCCTGCGAGGAGCTCGTACTTGCCCGATTCGATGACTTGGTCTTTTGCCATTTCGAAGATGCGCAAGTGGAGGTAGGTTGGGGGAGAGAAGGACCCGCAGGCGACGATGACGAGGGGAGTCTTGGACTCGTCCCGCATGCGAAGCGGTAGACGATGGGTTGGAAAGGCATAGTCGGACTGACGTCGTCACAAGGAGGATGGGACCTCATTAGCACCTAGCTCCAGACTCGCGCTGTCCGATCTTTCGCTGACCTCTCTGACTCACCTTTTGTTGACTTTGCACAGGCACAATCTCCTGTCCTTGCCGACCTCCTAGCACAAATCCAGTCCCATCTCCATCGACCTCTTGATCAGGCTCATGCTGATTCATCCGCTCCGAATGGTCCTGATCGTCGGTCAGCTGTGTGTGTAAAGGTCTTCTTCTGCCCTCCTCTCCTCTTGAAGAGGACCCTTGCGGAAGGGGAGGTCGCAATACTCCACTGCTTTTGCTGCTGCTATCCAGATTCCATGAAGGGACGTCCACGTCTCCCCATGCTCCACCCGATGAGGCCTCCGACTGTCCAGACCTCACTTGTGACGACTGTTGGCGGGAGGAAGACGACCCTTCTTGCAGATCTGACCGGACAGGCCTCTGCGAAGGACTCCTGTGGGAAGCAGCATCTTGCCGCTGGTCGATCATGGACGTCCGGACTGCTGCATCCATCCTGTCCTGTTCCCTTGCTCCCCCGACTGCAGTACCTGTGAATGGGGGGCTATCGAGGTGATAGGACTCTACGCTGAGTGCTGCGTACTTGAGGGGAGGACCATTTGGGCCAGATGTAGAGTCAGTCATTCGCATAGCTGGCTGGCCAGGAGGTAGCGCTCCAGAGCCTGCTGAGCTTTGCTGAGAAGAGGAAGAAGCCGAAGGAAGAGGAGAAGCTGCGCCCGAAGCCGGTGACTGGTGTGGGGAGTAGAGGGCGTCCAGAAGACGGAAATGGTTCAGCAACATTGGACTAGAATTGGAGTGAAGAGAGGCCGATGCGGGCCACAATCTTTGGTCTTATGCCGTTGTGATACCGGCCGAGACGTCGCTATCTCCCTCCGAGCCGGGGATGTACTCTTCGATCACCTACTTCTCCCGAAGTGGTGGATCGGGTGACCGTGTTCCATCCCGACGTCTTGGGTCACGGGAGCGTGTGGGGCCTGGCTGCCTCGGCTGGGCGGACCCGGCGGCGTCTGGACCTGACCTTGCCGCGGGAGCTAGCTGTACCAGGTGGGATGGGCAGCGTCTGGGCTGGCTACTCACGCGATCGTCCGAGGCCATATGAGCGAGTGTAGGGGAGTGTGTATAAGTTGTGGAGAGGCGATTGCGGAGGAGGGCGGGCAGGAAGATACCAGCCAAGGCTGAAAGATGTGCAGCGCCTGTCTACGCGGGGAGGCGCATCCGGCTGGCAGCAGCCAAGACACAGCACCCCGGCAATCACTCTGCGCACGGCAACAGGCGCAGGCAGGCACGCACGCAGGCACACCCCAGCCACCACGCCTTCTCATCGCTACCATCCGCCCTACACCACCTCACCATCCTCCCATCGTACGCAGGGCAGTAGCGGCGGCCACTCCACCTCCTCCTCTTCCCCCCATCCTTCAGGCAGGTCATGGTCGTCCTCGACTACCAGCCTTCGCCATCCCTCCATCGTCCCCAGTCGGAGACATTCTCCGATTCACCCTTCTGGGACAACTCGCCCGCATCCACACTCGCCCTCTTCGAAGATGCGCCCAATGTACAGGCCCACTCCCGCGAGAAGATCTCCTACTACTTTCCAAAGGGCGTAGGAGAGTATCACTATGGCATGCTGCATCCCATGAAGCCTGCTAGGCTCACCTTGACCAATAGGCTGGTCCTTGGCTATGGCTTGCATGAGAAGATGGAGTGCTATACCCCGCGCTCAGCAACGAGGGAAGAGTTGGAAGAGTTTCATGACCAGGAGTACGTCGAGTTCCTGAGTACGTGAGTATGGTATGGTAACAGCTCGGCTTCACCAGAGACGAATGCTGACCTTGTCCTTCTTTGGTTCTGCCCTTTCCTAGCGTGACGCCGTCCACTGTCCCCAACGCCTCCTTCTCTCGTTTCAACTTTGCCGATGACTGTCCCATCTTCGAAGGCATGTATGACTTTTGTCGCTCCTACACCGGAGCTTCGCTAGCAGCTGCGCGGAAGCTAGCGTCAGGAACTACAGACATAGCCATCAACTGGTCCGGAGGATTGCACCACGGCAAGAAGGGCGAGGCATCCGGATTCTGTTACATCAACGACATCGTCATTGCTATCCTCCAGCTATTGAGATATCATGCTCGGGTCTTGTACATTGACATTGACATCCATCACGGTGATGGAGTACAAGAGGCCTTCTACAACTCCAATCGAGTCATGACCGTCTCTTTCCACAAGTACGGCAATGACTTCTTCCCCTGTACGGGTGCGCTCAGCGAGGTGGGCATGGGGCTGGGCAAGCACTTTTGTCTCAATGTACCTCTGCAGGATGGAATCGATGACGCTGGCTACGTGGGTCTCTTCAAATCGGTCATGGAGCGGACCATCGAGACTTTCAGGCCGGCCTCGATCGTCTTGCAGTGCGGCGCAGACTCACTGGGACTGGATCGTCTTGGCTGCTTCAACTTGAGCATCGCAGCTCATGGCGAGTGTGTAAGATTCATCAAGTCATTCGGCCTGCCCCTCTTGGTCCTCGGCGGCGGAGGCTACACGATCCGCAACGTAGCTCGATGCTGGGCCTACGAGACGTCTGTCTTGACTGGCACAACCATCCCAGATGCCCTTCCCTCTACGCCCTACGATGACTTCTTCCAGCCGTCCAGGCGCTTGCACGAGACGCTAGGGGCAGGCAGGGTGGAGAACCAGAACACGAAGGCCAGTCTGGAGAAGATTCGGGTGAAGATCATGGAGGAGTTGCGGTACCTACATGGGGCGCCTAGTGTGCAGATGCAAGAGCTGCCACCAGATTTGGCTGGGGGGTGGCTAGAGGAGGATAAGGTGGGCGATGAGAGGGCGGACAAGTAGGCTGTCCGCCGCGAAGAAGAGAAGAAGTTGATGCTGCTATACCCACCCATTTGTACCACTTGTACCAACATGTCATCTGCATCCATGTACACTGTACCAATACACAATCATCGCTCTCACGGTTCTCTTGCGACAAGCCGTCGTTGCGAAGATGCCCTTGGCTGCCTGTCGTGTCGTGTCGTGTCGTGTGCATCTTGCGTCCCTCCACAAAGCCTCGCGGTCGGTCGGGAAGCGAGCCTCCTTCCCAACACCACATCACCTCACCCTTCGAGTCCATCCTCACGTCCGTGTGCTTCTTCCTTCTATACCATAGCCCCATGTCAATGAAGAGAGCTGGCTCGCCCTCCCAGATTGTCTCTTCATCCGACGCTAAAACTCCTCGTACGAACACCTCATCAGCCACCCTAAACACCTCCACAATGTCCTGCCCACACCTCAGCGACTCCTTCACTTCCCTCAGCGCCCCACGTCCTTCTCAGCAAGTGCACCGCGATGAGTGCACACTGTGCTTCGATGACCAAGATGGACCTGAGGGGATTGATGTCTGTCTAATCTGCTTTAATGGAGGATGTACTGGGAATGGAGATCGGGAGCACTCCAGGTTGCATTGGCAGAAGACGGGACATGCGATTGTTGCCAATGTGAAGAGGAGGAGAAAAGCGAGGGCTGAGCAGGTGAGTGTGGAGCTGGACATCAAGGTGAACAGCGGACATATGTCAGATTGAAGGCTGGTAGCTGACCATCTCAAACTCTGATCATTGCTACCACCTCTAGCCAATTCAGGAAGCGCCGAAGAAGCTAGCGATTAGTGCAGAGACAGAGGAGGACCTGTACGAGTGGGAGACAAAACCCAAGTGTCTGGCATGTGATCCGGATGCTGGAGGTAAGGAGCTACCGAGGACCGAGAAGGTGACTAGACGTGGGGGCATTCTATTCGGGTGATTCTTACTGACTTTGGCTCCCCTCTTACCTCATCCTCCTTAGCTGGAATCGGTCATCTCTGCCATGATGAAGTCTCTCTCCTCTTCGCAACAGAGCGAGGTGAAGGCTTGGGAGGAGGAGATCGTACCTTGCAATCATACAAGAGAGCTCAAGCAGCTCGGCGAACCCTTCAGCCTCGAAGCAGATGGTCTCGCCAAGTGCGGCAAATGCGACTTATCCTCTAACCTCTGGCTCTGCCTCACTTGTGGCAACCTCGGCTGTGGACGGGCCCAATTTGGAGGCGTGGGTGGAAATTCGCATGGTCTGACTCACTTCGAGGAGTCAGGACATCCAGTCAGTGTCAAGCAAGGGACTATTACGGCCGAGGGCACAGCCGACATCTACTGCTACGCCTGCAACGACGCCCGCATCGACCCCAAGCTGGCGGAACACCTTCGGCACTTTGGCATGAACGTCTTAGATCTCTCAAAGACGGAGAAGTCGATGACTGAGCTCCAGCTCGAGCAGAACTTGAAATTCGACTTTAATATGACTGGGGAGGATGGGAAAGAGCTTGAACCTCTTTTTGGACCTGGTCTGACCGGTCTCCGGAACTTGGGAAACAGCTGCTACATGGCTTCGACGCTCCAGGCACTCTTTTCTTTCCCCGCATTCCAAACGAGATATTCCGACGCATATCGTCCTCACACCGTCTCGTGCGGAAACACTCTTCCCGCAACCTGCCTCGAGTGTCAGACGGGCAAGCTAGCCGACGGACTCCTCTCTGGTCGTTACGCTGTTCCACGTCCCGCCGATCAGGCATCGGTAGGCAGTGTCGGAGCCATGGCCGATGTGCCAGGCTCGACTCATGACGGAAAGGAGAGAGCCAGCGAGGGGCCCATCTTCCAAGCAGGTATCCGCCCATCCATGTTCAAGTCGCTGATCGGCAAGGGGCACGAGGAGTTTTCGACGATGAGGCAGCAGGACGCCGATGAATTCCTCAAACACGTAGTGGTGTCTTTACAGAAGGAGAGTCGGCGGCTGAGCGCTGTTCCCGAGACTGGAGGAGCTCCGACGAATGATCCCACGACGATCTTCAGCTTTGGGCTGGAGCAGAGATTGCAGTGCATGGAATGCAAGAAGGTCAGATATACCGTTGAGGCTCAGGATGCTGGCCTGAGCTTGCCGGTGCCATTGAGGAAGAAAGTCAAGCAGCAGCATTCCAGCTCAAGCGGTGACGGCATGGAGCTCGATGCAGATGCGAAAGGGAAAGCACCCGTGGAAGGAGTCAACGCCGAGAGCGACCTAGGTAGCAAGCCTTCTTCTTCTGGCGCGAACGACAAGATCGAATACGAGCCCGTCGAGCTGGAAGAATGCCTGGACATCTTCACCGCGGCAGAGGAGCTCGAGTACAATTGCCCTTCGTGTCAAAAGAAGGTGATCGCTACAAAGAGGACGCTCTTCACTTCTTTCCCTGAGGTGCTAGCCATTCAAGCACGAAGATTTCAGCTGGTCAATTGGGTACCTCAGAAAGTCGATGTGCCCATCCTCGTACCCCTGGAGCCCTTCACACTCGACAAGTACCTCGGCACAGGCAAGCGCGAAGACGAAGAGGAGCTGCCAGAGGGGGACAGTGAATTTGCTGGCAGCGGAGCTGGCAGTACTAGCAACATCCCCCAATTTGACGCAGCTGCCATGTCGCAGCTCACCTCGATGGGCTTCCCGGAGGTGCGCTGCCAGCGTGCTCTCCTGGCGACAGGGAACAATGGCGATGCGGAAGCGGCCATGAACTGGCTCTTCTCGCACATGGAAGACCCGGATATTGACGACCCCATTGACTTCAGCCAGGCCTCTTCAACCCCGGCAGCGGCAGCGGGTACGGGTGCTGCTAGCGGAGGTGGAGGTGCAGACACGAGCATGCTGGAAGAGATGGGCTTCTTTCGCAACCAGGCGCGCAAGGCACTCCGTCTCAATGGCAATAACCCCGAAATGGCCGTCGCCTGGCTCTTTGAGAATTCCGACGATTCAGGAGAAGAGGAGGAGATTACTGCCTCAACCGGTAGCACTGCTGCTGCTGCTGCTGCTGCTGCTGCTACTGCTGCTGGGGGAGAGGGAGAAGGGAGCAGCGCGCCAGCAGCGACGTCTGTTCTTGGCGGTTCGGCGGAGCTCCCCGCCAGGTATCACATCAAGGCATTCGTATCGCACAAGGGCCCCTCGGTCCACTCGGGACACTATGTCGCCCACGTCAGAAAGGCAGCATCAATGCTCGGTAGTGGGACAATAGCGGGCGCGGGCGTGGGCGCGGGCGAGCAGGGACAGGGACAGGGACAGGGACAGGGACGGGGACAGGAGGGAGAGAGTTGGGTCTTCTTCAATGACGAAAAAGTCGTCAGAGCTCCTTTTGAAGCTGCGCGATCCAAGCTCCAGGCAGGTGGGAATGGGAATGGGAATGAGAATGGGGATGGGGAAGATGAAGGAGAGCAGAATGATGTAGGAGTCAAGGGCCTGTCCCGTTTGGCCTACGTTTACTTTTTTGAGAGACAGCTGTAGAGCTGACGGGGTTGCGCAAATTAATAATGATGATAACGATGATGACAATTGAAGTGATGATGAATTGGTGATGATGATGATGGTAGTGATGTTCCTGCTCTAAATTCTATGCTGTCTACAAGAAAGAAAGAAAAAAGGAGTATAATTTACTTCTCCATCCCTCTTGGTCTATCTATCCTCTTACTAAATCACCTCCGCAAAAGCATTCGTTCCTCTAGGTGCAAATTCCAATCCTCACACGACCGCTTAGTCTAGACTCCCCACATGGGTGAATTGAAGTAGGACCCCTTTCCACTCCCGCTGCCTTGTCCACTTCCATCATGACCTCCCATGACAGCCGGTGTATTAACCGCGCTCTGATTGCTAGTATTTGCAAAGACTTGACTGAAATAATCTGGACTAGCAGGTCTACTCTCACTCCAAGCTGGTGGTTCCTCATCCATCCCGTGCGTCTCGCTAAACATTCCAGGAGCAGTAGGTACTCCATCTAGTAGACGATGCTCGGCTCCTGCTAACTCCTCAGTGGTACGACCACAGTTGCACGTGTCGTGGGAGTTTCCTGTGCGGGGTGGGAGGTGCGAGGCGCCCCACGGTGCATTGGGGGCTAGGGTCGAGGGACCGTGGTGGTGATGGGGAAGGTGAGGGGTGTGGTAACCCGAGTGGTACGAAGGCGTCACGGCCCCCGAGGGTGGGGCACTGGTAGTCTGTGTTGCCACGGCGGGAGTGAAGCCCTGGAAATTGCTGCCGAAGCGACGTCCTCTGTGCGAAGATGGGTGGTGCGAGGCGGCATTTGCCGGAGAGGTGGAGAGGGAGGCAGAGGCACTCCCACCATCGTGCGTTGGGGAGGCAGGACGACTACTGGGACGACTGGCAGGACGACTCTTGCGACCCATGCCGTGGGGGAAATGACCATTGAAGGCAGCCGAGATGCTGTGGGAGATGCTGTGGCTGGAGCTGCCCCTGTCGAGGGGTGGTCGTGTGGGAGAGGGATCTCTTGACCCTTGCCGCGAGCCAACAGTCGAATGGGGTCCCGAGGAAGGACCATCAGGTCGTCCACGTCCTCCGGGAAGGGTGTTGTGGAGGGTGACGGCGAGCTTCTGCAGGTCAGCATTGGAGTGGTTGCCGATGTTGTTGTTGCTGCTCGAGAGACCGGGGCTGGACATCGCCCCGGTATGATGAGGCGAGGAAAAGGCATTTGCCTGATTGCGAGCTAGGTTCGTCGGCGAAGGAGGGCGCGAAGAAACCGGAGACTCTTGCACGTAGGGTGGCAGGTGCACAGTGTCGAACGTGGCCGTACACGATGGTACCACGACGGATCTACGAGCTGAGAAGACCTGCACTTTCGGCTTGCCATAATTCTCCGTTCCCTCTCGAGTGTCTAGGACATCTTCGCGTGAGAAGAAGACTTCCACACCCATCTCATGGCCAATGCGAATCTCTGCTCTACTACCGCGTACAGTGCTTGGCCGCATGTGGTCGTCATTTGGCAGCCTCACAGTAGCCTTGAGCTTGTAGCCCTTTCGATTTCCAGGAGTGACATTGCCGCTCCCGGCTCCCAGCCGTAAGGGTGATCGACTGCCTACATCCAATGACGTCGGTAGGGGTATCGATGAGTTCTGAGGCGACGAGCCAAAGGCCGGTGTGGAGGGGCCAGAATTGGCGAGAGAGGTGTGGGGAATGGCTTGTCCGTAGGGAGCAATGTTGGGCAGCGCGTGATATGCCCCCTTTCCAGGCTTGCCAGCGCCCTCCTTGTCGGCAGTCCAAATGATATCGGAAGGGTCTGACTGGACTTGCTGCGACAAGGGCAGAGGCTTGGCCGGCTTGTTGGGCATGTGGCCCCACTCGGCCACTCGCAGCTTCTCAGGGGGCAGCTTCATCCAGGCCTTCTTCGCTTCCGAGTACAATTCGAAAGTCTGCTCGCAGAAGACGCGGATGACATGCACGTTGAGCTTCGGTGGAGGGTCGGGGTGGACGACCGTAAGCGTCACTGTCCCGCCCACGGTCAAGCTGGCTGCTGTGAGGGATAAGCTGATAGGGCCCAAGGCTTCGTGGACATCGGCGTAAGTGATCTCGAGGGGGGTTGGACCACCGTGCTTGTCAACGTTGAGGATGACAAAGATCTCTCGCCAGGCGGAGATGTTGTGACGAGCTCTGCCAGCTCCGAGAGCTGTAGCTGTGACAAGATAGCGCACTCTTCCGTGCTTTGAACGCTCAAAGGGCGGCGAAGAGGCGGGAATGATGAAGGAGAATTCGAATCTGTAGGCGGCAAAATTGTAGAGGCAGAAGGATCAGAGGAAGGCCTCATAGCTCTTTGAGCCTGCATTGACATTCCACTTACCCGTGGACTCCCTTGCCGAGGTGAATACCATCGTCCCTCTTCTCTTCTTCGGCCCCATCGCATGCTGGAGCAGTATTCAGGTCCATGCCTTCAACGGCTGCCTCGAGCTGCTTGACCTGTGAGCTCTTCTCCTTGCCTTTGCCCTTACCTCGATTCTTGTGATGCTTGACGATGCCTCCCTCTCCATCACCAAGAATCTCTACGCTCTTGTCCACCACGACCTTTTCTTCCCACCTGACTCCACCTGCATCCCTTGAATCAGGAATGGCAAGTGTCTGTACAGCCTGAAGGGTGACCTTGAGGCCTGTGATGATGCGCTCGGTGGGAGACTTGATCTCGACGACACCACGCAACGTCTGATCGTGACCCGGGAGCTCGCTGTTGGGAGGCGCGGGATGGATGAAGATGTCCTCGGAGAGTAGATGGAGTGCAATCTCGCATGGGTGATGTATCATAGACGACAGCATCGTGGGCTAGTGTAGCGCCAGGAGAGGAGCGAGACCTCTCCACTGACCGTATTGCGAGAGTGATGGATGAAGAGGCTGGAAAGGGAGCAGCCTAGATGAAGCTGTAGTGGCGCGATAGGAGGAGAAGGTGGAGCAAAGGCAAAGGCAAAGGGCCGGAAATAAAGACGGTGAGGGCGGGGAATGACCGCACGCGCCTCGTGGTGTCTGACAGAAGGCGCTGCTTGCTCAGAGGGATGGATAGGATGGATGTAATGGACGCAATGGCGGTGGAATGAGTGCGATGAGTAGAGGAGACACGAGTCAATGGCTGCTCCGTACGCAGCCAGGGGTGGCTGATGGCCTCTGGTACACTTTTCCGTCTCTTGGCCTGCAATTGCGCCGGCCGGGAAAACAGCGACGCAAGCGGACGTCGAAAAGGCAGACGTGAGGGCGGGCAGGCGGGTCTTGGCTCGTCTAGGTTTTCCCAAGGCACCGCGCGGCAATGGCAGTGAACCTACCTTGCCACGCTTGCCTCGCTTGCGCCTTGGCCTGGCAAACCTTTGGCAAGGGTACCCTGCGTGCGCCATGCTACCGCTGACACTGCTGCCTCGGAGAGATTCCTCAGATCTCGGTGTGCTAGCGGCCCGATCTGCGCGCTTCAGACGAGGTAGAGGCAGCCAGCTGACTGCTGACGAGCTTAGCTGCCTTTGCGAACAAAGCACTCAGGCACGCACGCATGCATGCCGTCGATCCCAGCCACATCTTCGGCGACTTACGCGATTGGGCTCCGCGAAGCGCCAACGCGGTCCAAGACAGCAGACACAAGATGAAGAAGGAGAAACAGCAGCGATAAAGATAAGAGGTGGGTGTAAGGGTGAGAGGAGAGAAGTGAAGGTGAAGGTGCCATAGAAAAGAGTGATGTGTCAGTCAGCTCTCAAGCCACAATCTGGCATGCTGCGTCGTCAGTGGAGTGACAAGGGCTTTTGCACTCTCATTGGGCTCTTGATCTTCTGGTCTCCTCATCCAATTCAACCGCGGAGCAAAGCGTGGTGAAGATCATGCGAGATGGAATGATTGCCTTGCTTTGCCTTTCCCAAGCAGTGACGACCTCGCTTGCCAGAGAGCTGAATACTACGGAGACATCCTCCATCGCCTTGCACCTCTTTCTCAACTAGCCAGAAGCCTCGAAAGGAGTGGAAGGATAGCGTCCGTACCCACCCACACGGGAGCTAGCAGATGCCGGCCAGCGAGCCACCGGACTCTCCGAGGCGGGGTAGACGTGGACCTGTAGGCGCGCTTTGAAATGGCAAAGGTACCGATGGGCGCCATGTGTTGTCCCTACGCTATGAGATCCTGGGTGCGAGTGGGTATGGACCATAATCCTTTTTCCTGGGCCTCCCTGGCCTGCAAGATGGGCCGAGGCGGCGAGGGGCGAGGCGAGGCGGGATGCGCCGACAAAATGGCGACGGCAATCAGCAAATGGGCCTGCAGTGCACCGGCCATGCCCTTTTCTGGCACTGCCCACTGCCCGCCCCCGCCCCGCTCGCCCAGCTGACCGACGGCGCATTCTGGCTGGGCCTTGGTCCCCGGCGCAGAGGCGACCCTCGGACCCCCAAGCACCCCTAGCTTCGTCTTTGGTCTACCAACCCTACCACCACCCTTTCCCGCACACACCTTATCGCTGCTGCTCGGCAGGTCGCCGTCGAAAGTAGCTTCGCGCTTCACGCTCGTCTGCCTGAGAGGCAAGCCCGCCCACCAGGCCCATTGCCTTTCACACCACAACTGGCTGAGATAGCGCCGCGGTCGCCTATCTTCCTGGGCTATAAGGTACAGCAGGGCCCCTCGTTCCCAGTCGCCTCGCAATCCCATCCCTTCTATTCGGCACAGTCCGAATTCGCAGCACTTCTTTGGTAATACCGTTCACTCTCACCGCATCTAAGCAGCACCGATAGTCCCCTGGACCAGCATGGCAGCAGCACCTCGCACTGCAGGGGCCGATCACCCGAATCTCGCCGCCAGTATGGACCCTCAGAGCTCCCAAAGTAGCCCCGATGAGGCTTTCCCTTTCCCTAGTGGGAATAGCAGTGCAGGCAATGCCCGTACCGGAGCTTTGACCTCCTCAACTGGCAAAGAGCGGTCTGAAGCTCTGAGCTCCCAGCACCTCACAATGGCCAAGAGCACACGTCCTCGACAACGTACAGCTTCCGATGGCCTTCTGGACGACCTCTTCTGTGATCCCGCCGCCGGGCACGACGGCTCAATTCCCACTTCGGAAATCCCAGATGAGCTGTATAGCCCAAGCGAAGGCAAGATGACTCCTGTCTCTCCTTTCTTCCCTCGAGAGGGCTGGGCGATCATGGGCCAATCCCCTGCCCGACATCACAGACGTCGATCATCGTATGCCATGTCCAGCCACACTCGCGGCACATCGTCCTTTGGTGCTGCTAGTGACTTGGACTACTTTGGCAGCAGCTCCTTTGCCAGCACCGCACCTACCAGCGTTAAGTCGATGTCTCCGGTCCGGGGCAAGGGTTGTTTACAAGTCTCGCAGTCAGGGCAAGAGAATGAGGCATACGTGTATGAAACAACAAGTACAAGTGCACATCAAAGCATGGCGGAGCAACATATGCCAGGCAGCAGTCAGATCCTCGACGATAGACACATAGGTTCTGAGGCTGAGAGAGCAGCAGATGAGGGACATCCGACAGAGCCAGCCCTACTTTCTGTCCCTTCAGATCAGTCTCTTCCCATCGATGTCACTTCATATGGTGCGGGATCAAGTTCTTCACATATTGAGCATGAGTCACCTGTACCAACCCACTCAGAAAGTATCGCCAGAGTCTCAGCTACGAGCGACGACGCTCGCAGACAGTCTGTAAGGCTACCGCGATCGGACTCTGCTCCATTGTTGTTCGCCAGTGAGCCTGGAATCACTGTATCTCGGGCGTCAACCCCCGCTCATCCCACCTTCGAGCGGTCAATCACGCCCGGAGGTGAGATCGAGGCCATGACTTCCTACGATCAAGCGCGCTCTTCACCAAGACGACCTGACAGGACACGACCATTTGTCAGGTCTCTCACCGAGCGTCCTTCGTTCTTAAAGCCGTCTTTCTGGCGCAAGGAGACTCACGCCTCCATTCGGGCCGCAGAGTCACGGACCTGGAGGTCCACACCACCCTCTTTGGATGACCGCCGCCCTTCCACTCCATCCTCTCTGCGCTTCAGTCGAGCCACTTTTCGGAGAGCACCCTCTGTCAGTAGTAGCGGCTCATCCTCCAGACGATTTTCGGCAGCTGCCAAGTCGCTCTTCACTCGTTCCGAATCTCGCTCCTCGGAAGGGTCAAGAGCAGTGCTCAACACCGACGTTGCTTCCGAGAGTGTGTCAAGGCCTCAAGTGGCCGAAGGCAAATCTCTAGTCAGTCCAGCTGCCCCTGTCGAGGCTGTTGTCCCCTCACACCTCCTTGCCAGTCGCCGGCCAACATTACTCCGCGCTGCCGTGTCTTCGCCGTTGGGCGCATCGACTGCCGTCACACCCTTGAACTCAGCCGGAGCGAAATCAGAGCGCGATGTGAAGCTGGACAACTTTGGTGTCCTTCCCCGAGAGCTTCAAGTGCACATTCTGACAACATTGATCAAGCTCCACGTCTCCGAGCAGGAGAAGAACATCGCTCGAGGGCTATATCGAGGCCATCGTGCCCGTGAGACAAAGTACGTCGGACTTGAAGCTGCTATGAAGGAGCTGATCAGACTCAGTCGTGTGAGCAAGTCTTGGATGGCACTTGCTCTCGATGGTCAACTTTGGACAGAGCTCAAGACACTAGCGCTACCTGGGCTGTCCCGAGCCGGACTCCTGAAGCTGGCCCAAAGTGCGGGCTCATTTGTGCGAGAGATCGATGCGACTGGCATGCGGGACATGAACAACGCCAACCTCAGCGCCTTGACGGGTCATTTGCGTGGTCGTAGCGGTGCTGGTCATGCCTCAACAGGCCTGTCGTATTCGACGGTGACCAATCTGACGTGCATCAGCCTTCGCGGACTGCAAAGCATCAGTACATCAACACTCAACTATCTGCTGTCGAATTCGCCCTATCTCATCTCCGCTCACCTAAGCGATCTCGCTGCAGTGACCAACGACACTTGCATAGAGCTTGCTCGATGCTGCCCTCAGCTGCAGGTCCTGGATGTATCCAGGTGTGTCAATGTAGATGGAGAGGGGCTGGAATATTTGCAGCACCTCACGTATCTTCAAGTCATCAAGGCGACCGGCATCAAGCAGCTGGACGCGACGGTAATGGGCAACCTTGCACGCTCCCTGACCTGTCTGCAGACCCTCGATCTCAACTACTCAGACCTGACAGACGCCTGTCTCTCTGCACTGACCGAGCATGCAGGGCCTGCCAGCAGTCACGCAAGGGCTGATTCTAGAGCCTTCTTTGAGCTTACTGCGTCTCAGTCAAGGAGCTCAGGAAAAGATCGCCAGTACAGAGCTCTCTTGCCTGCCCTGAAGCATCTCGCCGTCTCCTCCACTCTGATCACCGATCGAGGGCTGCTCTCTTTAGCCTATGGTGCCGTGCCACACCTGGAAGTCCTGGAGATAGCTCACAATCGAGGTATTAGGGATGGTGGTCTCGTGACCCTGTTGACATCGGCGCCTTACATTCGTAGGCTAGACTTCGAAGGTCTAATTGAGATCTCCGACAAGACCCTCAAAGCATTGACTCCCACTGACGAGGCTGATGGTGGTGCTTCGCGGCGACGTGCAAAACAGGCTGGTCCTTTACCTGGTTCGCAACTCACCCATCTTCTCCTGTCGCAGTGTCGTCGTCTGCACACAGGGCCTATGATTGCCTTGATCAAGGCCTGCCCCAATCTGCACCATCTTGAAGTCGACGACACGGGCATGGACGATGCCTTTGCCCTGCGCTGTCTCAAGCAAATGTCGGCCAATTCGCGACTACGACTTCAGCAGCAGCAGCAGGCGGATGCCGATGCGAAAGAGCAGGCTTCCTCGTATTGCCTATCCATGATCGACTGTAGAATCCTCACAAGACCAGGCTGTAATGCCATGCTAGCCACTAATGTCGTCCGTCCCAGACTCGGGCGGAGGGGCTTCCGATACAACCCCTTCGAGTACGGAGATTGCGATCGACCTCCCCCCTCGCTCCTCCTCGATCCTTCTGCCAACAATGCAAGCTTCTCGACGACGGAGCAGACGGCCAAGATGCTCGAAGACGAATGCAATGAGGAGCGAGTATGCGTAAAGACGTTTTGGTTCTGGCAAGCCATCGACGCTAAAGAGCGCAAGTTGCGCAAGAGGGAGAAGAAGTCGATGATGGGCAGGAAGAAGATGCTGCTCATCGGCGGCGGCGGTGGTGATGGTGGTGCTGCCAACGGTCGCAGTGGTGGCAGGAATGGGAGTGGAAGTGGAAGTGGGAGTGGGTCCTCTTCGCCTTTGCGCGAAAATGGTTCAGAGGGATTCAACGGGACGGAGAGTGCCGTCAGAGGACTCAGCAGAGCACTTCTCGGCGGGGGCAGCGGCAGCGGCAGTGGTCATGGCAACGGCAACGGTAACGGTATTGTTAATGGGGCTGGCTACGGCTTAGGTTTCTCCCGAGGCAATCGTCTAGGCACCGACGGTCGTGTCACACCTGGTCTCAACGGCAATGGTGCTCGAGGCCGAGCTGCGGCTCATGCGCAACTTCAAGCCGAAGTCCTCGCAATGGACAATCAAGGGGAGCGCACAATTCCCAATCCAAACCCGCTGCTGCGCTGGTCTCGTCTGGCGAGTGGACTATTTGCTGCTCCTTCTTCCCCACCTTCCCCCTTTCCTGAAGAGGGAGAAGGGGAAGGAGGACGAGGAATGGGACAGCGCCTTGGAGAGGAGGATAGACAGGGTGGTGGTGATGTTGATGTTGATGGTGATCATGAGGAGGGAGAAGAAGGAGGAGGAGGAGGTGCTGGTGGAGGAGAAGCTACACGAGGAGAGCAGGCTCTCTGTGTGATCATGTAGTAATGGGGGGAGATGACGATGATGAAGGCAAAGGCGAAGGCGACGAAGATGATGATGATGATGATGATGATGATGATGATGATGATGATGATGATGATGATGATGATGATGACATGGTGATGATGACGAAGACGACGACGACCCCCCTCCCCCTCAGCCCCACCAGGGGCAAGCAACGCCCACGCCCACCTACAGCCAGACCCATCCTCAGAAACAAGAACTCCTGGATCCTTTTCTCCTGTCTTACCAAACCTCCATGTATCTCCGTGTACCCTTTTTCACGATCCTCCCCACTCTACTCAACTCTACTCTACTCTTTGCATGTACAATCAACTCCACCCTCTCTCTCTACGTGGCCTTTCACCACCTCACTCGCACACGCACACGCACACGCACACGCACACGCACACGCACACAATGATCAACGAGTCAATACGACCGACACTCTTGATTCGCCTCCCTGTACCAATCCATTCCACTCCGATCAGGCTCGAGTTCGAGCTGGATGAGGCTGGCGTTGCGCTGCCTGCAAGGAGAAACGTAATCAGCTAGGCATATCAGCAGACGAGGTTGACCGCAAGTCACTTCTGAAGGGTGGATGGGTAAAGTGTGTGTGTGTGTGTGTGTGTGTGTATTACATGCAGAGGGTCAAGCTAAGCGGACTAGAAGAGAGAAGCGGTCGGACAGTGACACGAGTGCAGGGGTGGGCAAGAGGACAAGAAGGAGTGAGGAGAACAGCACGGCTTACTTGTCATCGTCATCGTCCTGAAGAAAGGGATTAGTAAGGAGGAGTAAAGGTCAGCATCTCCGTCGTACCCATTGCGCACAATTCCCAACGCTCAAGTGTCGGCACTCACATCTGACAGCTTAGGCGCGAGGTAGAACCTGACGTGACCGTTCTCGAATGCAAACTCTACCAGGAGGGGCACTTCGTTGCTCATGTGCAAGGCCACTGCATCACTCAGCGGTGCGGCCTTTGCGAAGTTTGCTAGGTACTTGTGAGAAAAGGTGAGGTTGACGGCCTGCTGCAGCTCAATCGACACGGGCACCACGTCGCCGCTGCCTTCCTTGCTGGAGGTCTTGCGCTTCTTCTTGTTGGGCTTCTCGTCGTCCTCGTCATCATCATCGTCAATGGTGGTGGCGGAACCGGATCCCTGCTTCAGAGTCAGCTTGGCGGCTCCAATCTCTCCCTCGGCTGAGAAGTTGACACCCTCCTTGGACACCTCGATCCTGACGCTCTCTCCTAGTGTGCCCAGATCACGGCAGATTCTGGAGTACTCGGCAGAAGACATGCGTACAACAGCCTCGTATGTTGTGTCTGGGATACCCAAGTGCTCAGAGTCAATGTCGAGCAGCTTCATGTCGTACTCTGCCACCCTGTCCGACTCTGCCCCCGAGAAAAGAGGACGAGGTAGGATGCATCAGTATCTGCGGCGCGGGTACGCCTCCACGAAGCAGTCTCTGCTGCTGCTGCCGCTGCTGCTGCTTGCCCACTCACTAGTAGCCTCAAAGACGAGGTTGAGGTTATCACCATCATCGTCCTTTTTGAGCGTCACCACATCCTCGTTACCAGCGGTTCGAACAATCTTCTGCAGCGAGTCCAGCTTGACACCAATGGACATGGGCCTGTCACATCGGAACATCTCAAAGGCATCTGTGCGCAGCTCTACGGAGGAGAGGGCGACGTGTGAGTTGTCCATGGCTTGAAGACGCTATCATATTGTCGAAGAGAAGAGAAGGTAAGAAGAGAGGGTCAGGGCTGAGTCTGGCAGAGACACAGGGGAGGACTGGGAGGTCGCAACTCACGATACCGTCCTCGCTGCAGTCGAAGTTGGCTTCCTGGACCAACTCTCGCACAGCTAAAAAGAGGGGAGAAGGAGGGGAGAAAGGGTGCTCATGTCAGCTTCGAGGAAGCGAATATCAGACTTGGGACCATGCAACTTACATTCAAGCACCTTCTTGAGCTGGAGTGGGTGAGGGGGGACAAGGACACAAGGTAAAGGACCACGATGGTCAGCGTACGTCCAGTGGCGAGGCAAGTCTACTGCTTGATTTCATTGTTTGCACTTCGCGTCCTCCTGTATCCTTCCACTACACACTCACAAGGGCGGCCTGGTTAAGACGAGCTTCAAGCATGATGGGCGATTGAGTGAGGGGGGTGTAGAGAGGTCAATGTAGACAAGGTGAAGAGGTCTGATAAGAAGGCGGGCGAGAGGGGGAGGCCAAGGTGGTATGGGTGGTTGGGTGGGTACGTAGAGGCCAAAGGGTGTAAGCTGGAAAGTACACTTCCTCGTCTACGCGCCGCCGCCACGCGGGAAGGCGGCCCAGAGGCGACTCGTCTGCAGTGCGCTGCGCGTCGCTTTGCGCCCAAGTCTCAAAGTGGCGTGTTTCGCGACGACGGACTGGCGAGAAAAGGGCGACGCGACGGACGACGAGGCAGCAGAGAGGCAACGATTCGAGCAATGGGGGAGTGGGGACGTGTTGATTTGTATGGTTACACTGCACACTCTCAATACACAGCTTCACGCCTCGCACTTCCACCATACCGCCATGCTGACGGTCCCAGCAGTAATCATCTCCTCCACCTTGACACCCTTCTTGGCCTTGCCTGTTTTCCCCGTCTCGCTCGGCGCACCCTTTGTATCATTCTTCGTCTCAGATGCCAATTGCAGGCGGTTGTGAGGCATATGTGTCAGCGCGCCGCTGTTGATGTCCGCTTCTGCCAGCTTGGTGCTGACTATGATGGTGTCGGGAGCTGGGGCGCCAGCAGTGGGTGTAGGCGGTGGGAGAGGGTGCAGGTGTTGTGGCACTGCAAGGTTCGAGCGCTTGCCTGTGCCGAGCTGGTAGGCTGCATTGTGCCCAAATACCATCACATCCCTACCAAAAGCAGCATGACCCTCTGTCTCCACAGTGTCCAACACTAGCGCCACGTGGCCGGGTCTGCCCACAGCGATAGATTTGATAGGCACAGGATGCGTGAGGTTGGAGCGCTCCGAGTATTCCATCAGACCGCTGACCGTCTTGACCCTGCTGGGATCCGGCTTGACCTGACTCCACATGGCGTTGCCGAGTGTTCCCCATTGTCCCTTTCCCGAAGCGAGGACGTCGATGCTCTTGCCTGTACCGAGCCTGCCCTCTTCCCGCCTCTCGGTAACAAAGAAGGAATTGTCACCTCCAGCAGCAATGCCGGTACACTTCACATCTCTAGATGATCCGGAAAAGGCCTTTGCCAAAACGACCTCACTGGGGACCGGGACGCACTCGATTGACATGTTCGCTCCGAGACCCAGCTGCCCATGTGTGTGACGACCCCACGCCACCACTCTGCCGTCATGCGTCCGGGCGAGATTGTGTTCATTACCCACGGCGATGTCGGCAATGGCTACTTGGCGCAGAGACGGTATCTCAGAGAGCGTTGTACAGAAGCGGATCGAATCGCCCGGTTCAGAGAGGTATGCCGGGGCAGAGGCTTGCGCAGGGGTGGTCGCCGTGCTTTTCGGTTGCGACTTGGCTGCCATAGCCTCCTTGCCTGGTGGAAGGGCCCAAGAAGGGAGGGTGACAGCATTTGCCGGCAGATTCATTGCCGACGCCTGGCCCAAGATCCGTGGCTCGAGGACTGCATCGACCTTTGTAGCCTTGCTGCCTGGTGTGGCAGGAGCATTCAGGATGACTTTGCGAGATCCGAGCTGGCCATAAATGTTGCCATTGGAATCAATGGGCAGAGAGAATGTCCTGCCCTTCGATGACAGAGCTATGAGGTGTGACGAACCAGCAGCGATTTGTGCAAGCCGGTCTCCGCGAGCAAGTGAAACCGAAGGCGCAAAGGAGATCTTCTCATGATCGATCTCAGGATGAGAGAGAGTACCAAAGAGTGACAATGGGTTGGCACTCCAGCTTCCTTTGGCGCTACGTGGCTTCTGTGCCTGATGAGATGCAGAGAAGACATACAGATCTCCCTTGCGACTGAGCGCAAAGACTTTGGTGTCATTCGCTGCGACCTTGATGATATCCTTGCCCACCAGTGTTTTGACAGGGTCACGGGGACGAACGGCTTCGCTTCCCTTGGGGAAGAGCTCATTCGCCCGCTCCTTCTCGCGACGTCTGCCTAGTGGCGCCTCTTCGATGTTCTCGGTCAATGCCCGCGAGGTAGCGTCGAAGAAGCCTAGTCCCCATTGAAGGACATCGCCATGAGCGTCTACGGCCACAGCATGTTTCTCTTCAAGTACCACGTCGCGGAGGGCCATGCCGGCAAAGAAGGGAATCGATCGAGGAGTCTTGACCAGAGTAGTTGCCGGGGAGTCTGGGGCCACGACGTTGTATCTATTGCTGCCCCAAGTGTAGACCCCTTGCTGACTAGCCCGAGCTCTCATCTGATCTTGCTGACTGATAGTAGTTGGCGTCACCATATCAGCAACAGGGTTGGCACCGTCAGAGAGGGGAGCGGCATCATTGTGGATCTGTGACTTGTATACCAAGGCAGATGCGACAATGGCAGTGACAACAGCAGCAGACGTGCCAGTTGGGACCCGCCGAGCAGACGAAGATGGAGGCGAACGGCTGGTGAAAGCACGTGTCTGACGCAGGTGGCGAGCAACGGCTTGACGATGAGGCGTCGATGCTATCCTCCCAAGCGAGGTAGCATTCGGTCTGACTTGGCGGGCTATCATGGTTCAGTCTACTTCTCTGGGCTGGGGAGGGCGAAGCAAGCAGAAGCGGTAGAGATTGCACTCTTGTAGGAAGGAACGGCGGGAGGAGCCCATCTGTGCCTTTGTCAGCGACTTGCGTGTGGAGCGGAAACGGAAGCGGCTCAGATTGTGACGGAACGGGAGGATCTAGACGAGATGAACCTCGGCAACCCGACAACCCGCCAAAATTGGCCTTCGCCGAGACCGACAGCTCAAAGGAGAAGAGGATACATCGACTCCTGATCATCCTCAGCTGCGTGTCTCTTTCCATCGCCCACTCGCCATCACTCTCAGCGCTTCTCTTCCACACAGACTTGGAAAAGTCAAGATCAGCAAACTTTCTTTCTGCTGATGCTTGTGCAGGCCAAGTTTCTCTGCCACTCGTTCCAATAGACTCGACGCGCTCCTTATCGTTTCCCCAACATGTCCTCCGATCTTTCCAGCATCCCTCTGGCCTCTTTACGACCGCACCAGCAACGCCAGATCAGTGAGGCCGGATCAGACAGATCTGATATGCCCACCAGGCCTCCTGCTCACTACGTCCACGACCATAGCTTCTCTAATCCTCACTACTACGAAGGTGTTGAGCCGGGCGACCAACCAGATGTCCACGCCGACGAGTCGTACGGGTCCAGCTCAGCAGCTCCCTACGTAGCCAAAATTCGCCCTCGGGACACCAAGGGCTATCACGGTATCCGAAATGACGGTGACTACGGTAGTGACGACCCTTCTGTTTTGCAAGCGCCCCATCCTCACTTCGCCGAGGAAGGCAAGCGAGGCCGGAGCCAGACTCGACAGGAGCCTCATTCAAGATCGTCGTCAATCGCAGCTTCTTCCGCGGAAGACGACACTGATGACTTCGACTGGGACGTATCGGATGATGACGACGAAGAGAAGGACACAGACGGGCGCACTGGACATCGAAAGAAAATCCGCGCCAAACGAGGTCGTCGAGTCTACCTCTTCTGTATGCGTCTTGCCCGACCCGTTCGGATCTTCCTGATCGGTGCTTTTCTATCAATCTTGGCTCTGGTGCCTCTGTTTGTTGTGCTTTTTGCCATCGACAGGAGCAATAGTGCTCGACCGCACGTGCAGACTTGGTCAATCTGGTTATCCATCGTATGCGCTTCCTCTGCTGGAACCTTCATCATCCTCGACTGGCTCCCCCCCTTGCTGTTGCGCTTGGCCGTCGCCTTCTACGGCCGATGTCCCGAAGTCTTCAAGACTTGGTTGGAGGTCGCAATGACCACTCTCGTGTACTTCAAGCTCATCCTCTGTGTGGCCTGGGCCTGGATTTCGATTGGCTCCATCCTGTCTGCAATCTGGGGCTCTACTCGACCTCACTATTGGGTCTATATCATCGATACTCTGCAGGCTCTCTTTGCGACAGCGATCATACTCACCACGGAGAAGGTAGCGCTGCACGTCGTGGGGGTCAACTTCCACAAGATCAGTATCAAGGATCGCCTCGAAGAGAATCAGAAGGCCTTGAAGAGTCTAGACAAGCTCAGAGACAGCAAGTACCTCCATGCGTCCCTCACCAAGGCAGCCAGGCGTCAGACTGGATCTGCATGGGGTCGACTTGGTCAAGGTTCACGCCCGCCCAGCCCAGGCCCTAATGCGCTTGGTGGTGGGTATGGAAGCCGAGGGATTCGAAGTGCCCCTGCGGGAGACTACCTCACTGCTGGCAGTGGTGGTGATGGAGGCGTCTCACCTGCGGTAGCGGCCTCTGAGAAGTCCTTTGCCGCTCAGCAAGGTCTTGGTCAGCACCACCGTGGTCAGTCTGAAGATCGCCTCCGCTCGGCTGGCAAATCTGATCGCAAGGCGAACTTTGCCAACCAGCTACAAGAAGCGTTGGCCACAGCTGCGCTCAAAGACTCTAAGCTGTACAAGCAGGATATCTATGGCAACCAGCAAAGCGCCCGCAAGCTCGCTCGACAGCTCTTCATCAACATCGGTCACCATCGCAAAACCCTCACTGCAGAGGACTTTATCCCTTACTTCAAGACAGAAGCGGAGGCTCGGGAAGCCTTCACTATTTTCGACAAGGATAAAAATGGTGACATTTCCAAATCTGAGATGCGAGAGGCGGTCCAGAGGCTCTATCGCGAGCGCAGAGCGCTGGCAACTAGCCTCAAGGATATGAGCTCTGCCATCCAGAAGCTCGATAATGTCCTCATGTTCCTGGGTCTGATCCTTGTTGTCTTCATCTGGCTCCTCATCTTTTCTCCGGGCACAACAGTATCGAACCTGGTACCGGTCAGCACCATTGTGGTGGCCTTCTCCTTTGTCTTCGGCAACTCCGCCAAGAATGTTTTCGAGTCTCTGATCTTTGTCTTTGCGACGCATCCGATCGATACGGGAGATCTGGTCTGCATCAGTGACCAGTGGATGTTCGTCAAGGAATTCGGCCTGCTCTCTACGACATTTGTCGATACGACCAACCAGTACATCGTTGCTCCCAATGCTCTCCTATCCACGCTCTACATCCACAATGCAAGGCGATCGCCCAGACAGTGGGAGACGACCAACATTCAGATGAGCTTCGACACTGCTCTTCAGACCATCGATGAGTTCAGGCGACGCCTTCGAGCATGGGTCCAAGAGAACGATCGAGAGTGGGGCGGAGGCCTAGAGGTCAACTACAATACTATCACAAATCAAAACGCCGTCGAAATGGTCATTGCCATGGAGCACAAGACTAACTTCCAGAACTGGGGCGAGCGATGGACACGAAGGACCAAGCTGATGAGGCGAGTCAAGGAAATCGCCGAGGAGCTCAGCATCGGCTACACTCTCCCACCTCAACCGGTGTCGTACCACCCTCGCAGTAACGCTGGCCTGCGCGCCAACGACCATGCTGGCGGTAGCCGCGGACCATCGGGATTCCCTGGCGCTCAAAAGAGCAGTGCTGCTGGTCAGGCATCTGGGGGACCTGTCGGGTTCAACCCACGAGCAATGGGCGTCGGTGGTGTGGGCTCCGGCTTTGGTCTGAACAAGCCGACTGACACTACGAGCTAAGGCCGCGCAGCGATGGCTTCTCTTTGCATCCATCCCGGCTTCCTCTCTTTCACCTTTTCTCACAGCCCCTGGAGGGCATCACGACACCCTCTGCACGCTTGTATCGCATGACATGTATCTTCCCGTAGTCATTTCTTTCACCCTGCGCCTCGAACATTAGAACGCTCCCTCTACGAACCTCATCATTCGGCGGAGCTGGCTCTTCCCCCCTTTCTTTTCCCTGCATTTCTTCACGCTGCTTTCGATCAACAAAAAGGACGACTAGAATGACGTGCACAATCAACAATCAAATTGGTATTCTCCGTGACACAAGAATGACGCGACTTGGAAAGACGAGATGACAATGACAAGCCCTTTAAATGAGGTACCTGAAGTTTCTCCTAGCTCGTAGAACCCTCTCTTCAGGAGACTCGACGGCCTCGTGATCACTGATATTCTTCGGCCTGACCTCGACTTCACCGAACTCCCTGTCCAGCTTCTTGTTCTCGCGGATCAGCATGAGACGGAGGACAAAGGCGAGGACGATGGTGGCGAGGAACATGGTGGCGCAGATGGTGAAGGACTGCCAGTAAGAGGAGCCCCACTTGGCAGGGAAAATGTAAGCACCGGCTAGATTGCCCGTGTTGGCAATGCAGTTGATCATGGCCAGGGCGACGGCTCGTTTGTAAGCAGGCCTGGGGATCGAGTTGGACATCCAGGAGAGGATAATGACGTAGCCTGCATAGGACGAGGCCATGATGAACATTGCGAAGAAGCGAGCAGGGATGTTGTTGGTGGCAGCAGCAATGATAAAGGCAATCATACCAGTTCCAAGCGGAATGGAAATATGGTAGAATCGCTCTCCCGTCTTGTCAGCGTGCAGAGCATTGAGATAGACGCAAACGAAGGCCCAGAACCAGATGGGTACGGTAAGGAAGAGGGTAGTGATCCTATCGTAGCCGAGAGTCTTGACGATAGTAGGGAAGAAGGCATTGAAGCTGAGACCGAGGACAGAGGCAAAGAGCATAAAGGTGAGGATCCAGACCTTGGGGTCCAGGACACAGAGGATGAATCCCTTCCATGCTCCACCGTTCTCTCCTTCAATGTCGCTTTCACCGGCGTCCTCAGCAAGACGCTGGACGGCGACGGCCTTCTCCTCCTCAGAGTAGAAGCGAGTGGTGTTGTGGGGAAAGTCGGGCAGCAGGTACATGACGCAAAGGCCGACGAAGACGGTGATGGAGCCCTCGATGATGAAGAGCCACCTCCAAGCAGCAAGACCACGGGTACCCTGCATGTTTGCCAGCACTGGCGCTGCGATCAAGCCGGCGAAGGCGTTGCTGATGATTGAACCTGCGTAGAGCAGTCCCATACGAGTAGACAATTCCCGACGAGTGTACCACTTTGAAAGGAGGAAAAGGGCGCCTGGGAAGAAGGGAGCTTCAATACCTCCCAAGATGACTCGAACAGCAACAAGTTGACCATAATTCTGGCAAGCGGCAGTGCATCCAGAGACGACGCCCCAGATGCAGACAAAGGTACCGAGGTAGAGAGAGGGCTTACCACACCAAGCCAGCATCATGTTGGATGGCACTTGCATGGCGATGTAGAGGGGAAAGAGCAAAGCGACGGCGTTTTGATATTGACGATCATCCAAATTGAGGTCCTCTTGGAAGGTGGAAAGACGAGCTTGCGAGATAGACTGTATGGGAACGGAGGCATGGGGGAACAGGGTGAGCGATTCATGCTGCGCGGCATCTTACGAGCTCCTCGGATGTCACTCACCTGTCGATCGAGGTAATTGAGAATGTAGATGAGAATGATGAGAGGCATCATCCCGAAGTCTAGCTTCCTCTTGAGGCTCTTCTCGATACGCTTGCGATCCTCCGCCGACATGGCCGTCTTGCCCGAGTGCAGCGCGGGCACACCATCGACGGTAGAGGTCAAGGGACCACCACTCTTGTGCTGGTCGGACAGCTTGTCGTCATCATTGTAAGGGTACGACATTGTGAGCCCAGACGATGGAAGAAGGGAGGAGGGAAACAGAAGAAAGTGATGAGGAAGGGAAGGGGAGGCAAGTCGGCCTCGCAACGCTGCCGCCTCTTTATGCTCGAGCCCTGTAGCGTACCCTGCTCTCCTTCATCGGTCTGCCTTTTCTTCTTCCTTCCGGACTTGTCGTCTCCTTACCAGTCACTGCCGTCAAGTGCCCGAGGCAGGGAGGAGCTGGTCATTGCATGGGGCATAAATTAGATGTCGGGGCCCCCGCATCCCTCCCCGGAACTTCAGACGCTGTGCCTACGAAGAGGCACCCCTCGTTCAAGTTGGGGCTCCACGCTCACCTCATTCGCCTTCCCTTGCAGTTCCCATTTGCAGCTCGCTCGCAGAGAGCGCTGCAAGACTTGGCGCCAACTGCTTCAGGACTGTAGGCAGAGGGCGGGCATCAGGATTGGGGTTCACTGCGCTTCCCGCATGGCGGAGTGGGGCATCGTGTGACTTTCTGCATCTTGGACGCGGGTGAACATTGGCGTCCAGTGCGGCAATCGCCTTCCCCCCGCAAAACCCCGATCCCGAAGGAGATGACTGAGGCACTGGAGCAGTCTAAGCACTCAAAGGGGCAAGCTACCTCCGAGACATCCTGCGGAGGGGCTCCGAAATTCGGACGAGGATCCCCATACACGCCTGCAGGCCAGAGCGCCTTGTACCTGGCTCCAGCTTCTGGTAGCGTGTCCAGACTCGCCGACATTGCAAAGACCGACTACGCGAGCCCTGGAAAGCGTTCCTGATCAACAACGTCTCGTGTACCAGCTTGTTCTTCGATAACAGAGATGGGAAGGATCGGGCCTCCCGATCAGATCCGAATCCTGGCGGTCGAGGCCAGAGTCTGTCAAGGTGCCCTAGCAAGCTGCGAAGCGAGGCGGCGTCGTGCTCGGTCGGAGCCACCCCCACCTCAAGCTCATGCCACATGGACTGCCGCGTGGAAGACACACCCTTGATCTCACTGATTGCGCCTTCCTAGAAATGGTCATCTAGGATCAGGCGATGGGGTGAATTCACGCTATCGTACTGCGCCTCATATATACACGCAATTGGGGACTGATGGTACACAAGATCAAGGTATGAATTGGTATTGAGCCTTGAGACTCGTTCGAGATGTCGTGACGTTACTGTTCTTTGTGCTCTCACCCCTGTCTGGGAATCTCTAGAGAGCCGCTCCTTTTCGCCCTCTCCGCACGCCCTAGCCTTATGACAATGCAGCCCTGATGCTTCTCCTCTGCTCTTCGCTGAGGCGCGATGGCAGTTCCACCTTCCACTCCACGACCAGATCGCCCTTCCGAGCTCCGCCGCTCTTGCTGATTGGCATCCCTTCCCCAGCCACCCTGGTCGTCTTGCCATTCTCTATGCTCGTTCTACCAGGTCCTGCAGCTGGCAAGGGAACGTTGATGGTCCTGCCGTCGAGGGTACTGATTCGCTTGGTGCTACCTCCCTTGGGTGGGTCGAGGGCGTCGAGGAGGGAGATTGTTTGTGTGGAATGCAAATCGTCTCCCTCTCTTCTGAAGGTAGCGTGGGGCTTTTGCTCGATGACAAACACCAGATCTTGAGCCGGGCCACTAGGCTGCTCGCTACCTTTGCCTGCGAATCTGACCTTGGTGCCTGGCTTCCAACCCGGCTTGATGTCCACCTCGATGACATTGTCTTCCATCATTCCGCTTGCCGTCTTTCTGCTGATCTTCATCTTCTTCTTGGCGCCCTTGTAGAGGTCTTCGAGAGCTACCGGTAATGATTTCTCCCAGTCTGCTGGTTTTGGAGCCGGTGATCCGCCCGGGCTGGAAGGACCGCCTTCACCCATGCCAAAGCCTCCTGGCATGCCTCCACCCATTGAGAAGCCGGGCATACCACCCATGCCGCCCATGCCTCCCATACCGCCCATACCTGGCATACCGCCGCCTGCGCGGGAGCGTGATCCACCGCCACCGCCCATGCCTCCGAACCCTCCCATGCCACCGAAGGGATCGCCTTTTCCTCCACCGCCCATTGCTCCGAAGATGGATTCGAAGATGGCGTTCGGGTCGCTAGGGCTAAAGCCACCAGGTCCACTTGAAGAGAAGCTGAAGCCTGGACCACCTGCTCCTCCCGGGAAGCCTCCCATACCACCAGGGAAGCCTCCTGCGCCCCCGGGGGCCGGACCAGCTCCCCCTCCCTTGAGACCGTCTTCGCCGTACGTATCGTAGATTGTACGCTTGTTCTTGTCGCTGAGAACCTCGAATGCCTCGCCTACTTCTTGGAACTTCTTCTTGAACTCCTCGCCCTTGTCCTTGTTGCGATCTGGGTGGTACTTCAGAGCTGCCTTCTTGTACGCCTTTTTGATATCATCATCGGATGCCCCCTTGTCTACGCCGAGGATCTGTAGCATGCAGGAGAGAGGTCAAGAGGTCAGCTTCGCGATCGGGTGCTAGGTAATGCGATGGCGTTCGTGTCTATGATCAAGTTCGCAGACTCACCTTGTAGTAGTCCTTTCCGGCCATGTCGTCTGTGCGCTTCTCTTTGCTGTGTCGCTGCGAGCCAGAAGAAGAAGAAGAAGAAGGAAAAGGTCTCTTCCTTTGTGCTGGAATGGTGAAAGCAGTATGTCAGGGGGAGTGATGGATGTTGAGAAGGATATACTTCAAGTGGATGAAGGCTCACGTACTTGTGAGAAGGCGGGGTAATGCGGGCGGGTCGAGGTCATGGCGCTGAGGATTCCCTCGGCTTCTACTCGCATCTCGGAACGTCTGGCAGGGTGGAGGCGTCAAGCCACGGAACAGTGCGATTTCAAACTCCGCACATGAGATAGATATAATCTCCATGGCATCCTACGTTCATTCGGTCTAATTCGTTCCTCCAAAGACCAACCCACACTTAGAGATGACCACACCCGACTTCACAGACAAAGCCGCATCATCCATCAACACTGCAGTACAGCTCGCAAAGGACTACAGCCATCCTCATGTGGTGCCTGCCCACATAGCCCTTGCTCTGCTCACCGAGAGCAGTGGGCCAGCGGCATCGTCCTCACGGCCCGCTACGCCAAGCGGAGCTAGCGCCAACGATTCGCTCTTCAAGAGTGTACTGTCCAAGGCTGGTGTCACGCCAAGCAAGGTAGAGGATGCCCTCCGAGCGACGTTGCGCAAGACACCTCAGCAGAATCCACCTCCCACAGACCTATCCTTCAATGGAGCAGCAGCTAAAGTCATCAAGAAGGCATCCGAGATCAAGGCCACCCAGCACGACAACTTCGTAGCTCAGGATCATCTGTTGCTTGCGCTGATTCAGGACCCAACAATCGAGGCGCTCCTTAAGACACATGGACTGGCCAACACACAGCTACTGGTCACAGCAATCAACCAGGCCAGAGGAAACAGGAGGGTCGATACTAAGACGGAAGGCGAGTTTGACGCCCTCAACAAATATTGCGTCGACCTTACAGCACTCGCAGCAGACGGCAAGATCGACCCGGTCATTGGAAGAGATGAAGAGATTCGCCGCATTGCCCGCATCCTAAGTCGTAGGACCAAGAACAATTGCGCACTCATCGGCGAGCCGGGAGTGGGAAAGACAGCAGTGGCGGAAGGACTGGCTATGAGAATCGTAGACCGAGATGTACCGCCGTCTCTCATCGCGCGACTGCTGTCACTAGACACAGGAGCTCTCATGGCCGGTGCCAAGTACAAAGGAGAGTACGAGGAACGAGTCAAGGCCGTGCTGGACGAGATTGAAAAGTCGCAGGACGCCGGTACTGGCATCATCCTCTTCGTCGATGAGGCACATCTCCTCATGAGCGGCAGAGGTGGAGACTCTGGGATGGACGCAGCCAACCTCATCAAGCCAGCATTGGCTCGCGGCAAACTCCGCATGATTGCCGCTACCACGACCAAGGAGTACCGAGAGTACATAGAGAAGGACCCTGCTTTTGAGCGACGATTCTCACTGGTACAAGTCGCAGAGCCTACCGTCGACCAGTGCATTTCCATCTTGCGAGGCATCAAGGAGAAGCTAGAGAACCATCACGGTGCGACGATCAAGGATTCGGCCCTCGTCGCAGCCGCTCGCCTCGCAAAGCGATATCTATCTCAACGACGACTACCCGATGCCGCGATTGATCTTGTTGACGAAGCCAGTGCAGATGTTTCGGTCACAAGCGAGACCGTACCCGCACAAATCGATGCTCTTCAGAGACGCAAGGTTGAGCTCGAGGTCGCCATCCATGCCCTCGCAAGAGAAGCAAAGAAGGACCCGGCGTCCAAGGAAGCTCTTGAAGCTGCTCGCAAGGACCTCAGTGAGCTACAAGAGACCCTTGCTCCAGCGCTTGCTCAATGGGAAAGCAAGCGCGCTAAAGGAGACGAGCTGAACAATGCCAAGCGCAGACTCGACGAGCTCAAGGCCAAGGCTGAGGCTGCTGAGCGACGCTACGATCTGCAGACCGCTGCTGATATTCGATACGGTGCTATTCCCGATCTCGAGCACCGCATTGCTGTCCTCGAGGACGAAGAGAGGAAACGTCACGAATCTGGAGAGGATGAGGGGCAGAACGTCGTCGGCGCCGAGCAGATCGCTACCATCGTCGCGAGGTGGACTGGTATCCCTGTCACCAAGATCACCGAAGGCGAGCTGCAAAAGCTTTTGAAGCTCGAGAAGCTCTTGAGGAAGGAAGTCATCGGTCAGCCCGAAGCGGTCAAGGCTGTTGCCGATGCTGTCCGACTGTCGCGCTCAGGTCTGAGCGACCCCGGAAAGCCCATCTCCTTCCTGTTCGCTGGACCGTCGGGCACTGGTAAGACACTTACGGCCAAGGCTTTGGCTAAGCTCCTCTTCGATGACGAGTCGGCCATGCTCCGCATTGATGCTAGCGAGTACAGCGAGAAGCACTCCGTCTCAAGACTCATCGGAGCTGCCCCTGGCTATGTCGGCTACGAGAGCGGTGGGCAACTCACCGAGAAGGTTCGACGCAGGCCCTTCTCCGTCATCCTCGTAGATGAGCTCGAAAAGGCATCTCGAGAGTTTGTTCAGATTTGGCTGCAAGTCCTCGACGACGGTAGGCTGACTGATGGACAAGGTCGCCTAGTCTCCTTCAAGGACACGGTCATAATCTTCACGTCCAACCTCGGAGCCCAGTACATCAACGATTCAAGCGCGGACGCTCTCACGCCCGAGACAATCAGCCTCGTCAATGCTTCTCTGGCTGCTGCCCTCCCTCCCGAGTTCAGGAACCGACTGTCTGCAAGTGTCATCTTTGGCAAGCTCACCAGAAACGACATCAAGGCCATCGTCGGCGCGAGGATCCGTGAGGTTCAGCAGCGACTGCGCGCCAACGGCAGAAGGATCACCGTCGACGTCGACGAAGAGGCCATGGCTTATCTTGCCGAGCGAGGCTATGACCCTGCAATGGGAGCGCGTCCCCTGGCCCGTGTCATTCAGAACGAGCTGCTCTCGCCACTTTCAATCCTGCTCCTCAAGGGCGGGATCCTCGACAATGAGGTTGCTCGGGTCACCTATGACTCGGCTAAGATGAAGATCCTTGTGCTGCCCAACCACGAGGTCACTGAGATGGATGCTGACATGGACGACGAAGACGAGTACGAGATGGATATGGAAGACCAGGATATGAAGGTGGAGCCTCTTGACTGAAACCCACGAGTTCCACGCAACGGAGGACGTAGACCGAAAGTAGCATGATACCCACTGTAAATCGCAAAGCAAAATCGTTATCAGATCGAAAAGTAGAAAATAAAATCGAAAAGTCACCTTGAACCAGACCTGTTGCCTTTAGATGTGATCGCAGCTCGCTTGAGTGAGCGTGAGATATAGATATCTCCCAAAAGGCCCAATCGTGTAGAACGTCGTAGTAGTGAATCATTGAAACGAGAGCTGAGGGTACAAGTACAATATAGAACAGGGCATGGAAGCAAGGGACGTCTTTGACTGGCGACCTCCTCAGGAGAACAGGCAGAGATTACGGGGCCAAGGGGATGTTCATCGGAAGGTGGAGCGCCTCCTGGCTGACATGAGGGATGACCTCAGCGGATTCGCTCGAAGAAGGACGAGCGACCAAGGAAGACGACTGTGAAGTCCGTGAGCTGGTGGGAGCAACAGAGAGACCAAGAAAAGGTTCAATGAGGCATTCATCGACTGGGCTCTTTGGTTCATCTCTTGCCCCACGCTAATACTCACCCATTCTCCCGTCTCCAGCCATACGCGCACCAGATTGCGCAAGTCCTTATTGGGGATTCTCCTCAGCGAGGGTGTGAGACCAGTGTTGCGCTTGATCCCAGACAGGGCCATGGAGATGAGGAAGGTGTCGAAGAGGAGGTGCGTTAGTCGCCCGAGACCGAACATTGTGAGAGAGGTGTACGAGTGGGGTGGAGGAGCGCAGCTGGAGCGGCGTGAGGAGGTGGAGAAGCGTGGGGCTTCGGAGCTCAGTGACTCTGACCTGTTGGCTGTGTGTGATGCGGCAGTCTCTACGATGATCGTCTGACTCAGGCGAAGGATGGTGAGATGGTACTGACCAGTGTGTTGGGCTCAGGACGCAGGCACAGGCGCACCACCCCGCCGTCTGGCGGGCATTTTGGCCTCGCGGTTGAGCCAAGCGATTTTCAAGGCGGAACCAGAGGCGCGACCAGTGCTTCTCTTCCGAGCGTGTCCCCGTACGCCCTTGGCGAGCAGCATACACTCACTCGCAGTCTACCTTGCGCTCTAAGCCAGCGAGCTTTTGACGGCTCGTCTAAGCTTGTACCACCGAGGACGTGATGAACCAGTCCTTCCTGAACCCCTTTTCCACCCCCTCGATACCCGAATCCGTACACCAAGTCCTCGGCCCGCGGACAGAAGTACAATGCCACTGCGCCCGCTTCAACCCCCGAGGTCTCTTTGCGGGACAGTACATTGCATCTGCTCGCTCAGACTGGGCCGTTGCCATCTACGATGTCGAGACACAAGGAATGATCAGGCTGTTGCAAGGACATGTCAAGCCTGTGACAGCGATTGCATGGAGCGATTCTGGCAGGTTTTTAGCTAGCGCTAGCGCGGATTGGAATGTGGTGCTGTGGGATCTGAAGAGCCAGCCGGCTAGGAGGGTACGCACGATGCGATTCGATGGGCCCGTGGCTTCCATCGACTTCGCACCGAGGTGTAGGTGAGTACAAAGTACAATCAACGGTCCTGCGATGAGAACGGATCTGACCACACCTTCCTTCCATTGACATTTGGCAGCAAAGTATTGGTGGTCACTCTAGAGTCTCAGCAGGCCATTGTAGTTGACCTGAGAAGGAGGAGGAGAGCCAGTAGAGGCCTCACGCAGGTCAATGGCATCAATGGTGACCATACAAACGGCGTCACCCACGACAACCTGCCCTCTTCGTCTAAGCCTGTATACGATCCCTGGCAGACAGTAGAAGTGCGCATGGATTTGGGCGAGATTTTTGAGCAGGACAGGACAGCGAAAGAAGAGGAGGTAGGTGAAAGTACCAGCGCAGACATGTGAGTCATGTACAGGAGTCACGGAAATTCACCTTCGCCGCTCACGACCGAAAGTCTGGCCCACCCTTCACAGTCACTCGTCAGCACTTCCACCGATTACGACGACCAAGTTCCATCCTCTGGGCGCGTACGTCTTCGCAGGCACATCTCGCGGCGAGATCCTCGTCTTCTCCCTGCTGCACAAGGGACGACTCGTCTCTCGCTTCAATGCCTCTGGAGCATCAGCGATTAAAGAAATTGCATTCGACAAGTCCGGGAGAAGCCTCGTTGTCAATTCAAACGATCGCAGTATCCGCATCGTCTCCATTAGCATCTCGGCGCAGGCCGCGGACGTGCCTCAGATCAGTATGCAGGTGATTCACCGCTTTCAAGACTTGGTCAATCGCACCCCTTGGAATGGCATCGGCTTCAGTGGCGATGGCGAGTACGTCTACGCTGGTGCAGCCCACAAGGCTGCACACAACGTGTACGTATGGGACCGCGGAGCTGGTGCACTCGACAAGATTCTCGAAGGTCCCAAGGAACCCCTCGTCGATGCGGACTGGCATCCCACCCGCCCTTTGCTCCTCTCGGTGAGCCTTTCTGGCTCGATCAATATCTGGTTCACGCCCAACGCCGAGAATTGGTCCGCCTATGCGCCGGGATTCGAAGAGCTCGAGGAGAACATTGTGTACCAGGAAGGAGAAGAAGAGTTCGATCTAGAGGACGAGGATGAGGTCAGTCGTCGGAAGAGGGACGAAGAAGAAGTGGATGTGGATGTGCTTAGCGTGGGCCCATTGCCTGGAGCGTCGGGGGTGAAGCCGGCAGAGCAAATAGTGCACCCCAAGGCTGCAGGGCTGGACCCTCGACCGTCGCCCAACGAAGAAGGAAAGGAGTGGGAGTATGAATGGGAAGATGACCCAGAGAGACTGCAAGAAGACTTCGCTTTGTACGTCAATCTCGAAGACGAAGATTTGGACGAGGACGCTCTAGGCGATATGGATGGGCACTAGGCACTAGCTCCAACCAATGCAAAGTCATCTTCTCCGCTGGCATGTCATGCTGATGCTGAGAAGTAGTCTATCTGCTAGAAGTTTGCAATTTCATGGAGTCGTCTATGTACCGACGATGGTAACCTTCTTTGAGCACAGCATATGTGGAGCTCCATCCTCGTCAAAAGGCTCGCCGGAAGCTGTGTAGCCAAGTCGCTCGTAGAACTATCGATATCCGGTCGTGCGCCATCGAGGATAAGTGCATGTCAGCATACAGCAATCGCTATGCCTTCACTCTCGCCTACTCACCTTGATGACCTGCATCTGCGAGTGAAGCTTCATCCCCACCTCCACCTGCTCTCCCTTGCTCAAATTGGCTGCAAGGATGCTCCGAATCCACTTCTCCGAGTCTACCACGAGCTTCGCCCCCAGCTTCTTACCTCGTACCTCTTTCCGTGCGGCTAGCCTGCCTAGCTTGGCCTGCCCAGCAGAGACAAAGGACCGCGTGAGCTCCTCGGTCGTCTGCGCTCTTCCCAGCGGCAGACCTTCCTCCGTAGAGCGAGTTGCGATGGCCTCTTTACTGCTCTCCAGAACAGGTCCGGTGGGATAGGGTACCCAACGAAGCGTGCCGAGACCTTGAGAGGGGTTGGCAGTGTCGATGAGGAGAAAGTGGGCACAGATGGCGTCGTTCTCGTCCAGCTCGTCCTGCACGTCGAAGCCTTGCTCGGCAATGAAGACGTCCATTCTAATGCTGGCCGCCTCGCGCAGGTGGTGCGGTGTTGTGCATAGAATCACCTCGTACGAAGAAGAGAAGGAGGAAGGAGGCTGGGTGGACATTTTGAGTGGCTCTCAAGAGATGTATCACAGGACTGAAAAGGGACTCTGCGAATAGTTGGGAAGGATCAATGGTCATCCAGGGTGGCAGCGGGAAGAAGTGATCGGTAGTCTAGTGCGCACGTCCTTCGATCGGATCTCGGCTTCTTGTCCGATGCGCCGAGTGAGACGAGCCGATGCAGTTGGATGCCCGATTGCTGCCAGGGCCCAAGGAATATTTGCCCGCCGCATCGGCACAGCACAAGGCCTCAGCAAGGTGACAAACCCCCCTTTCTCCTGTTCCCATCGAGTAGTCTATCACATAGAATCCATCCTCGGAGGCACCCATTCATCAGATTCTCCGCAGCGTGACCTCTCCAGCGACGGAAGCCAGTCCCTCGCCCTCGGAACGATCTGCACTTTCGCAGCATGGCGACTCGAGCTGCAAGCACAGGCGAGCGGCAACCACTGCTGTCTCAGGCACGACCCTCCGACGTCGATGAGGTCAATGGCGATGGCAGGGGCCTGTACCACTCTGCAGATGCTCGAGATGAGCAGAGTCAGCCCTTACTGGGGAATGGTCAAGCGCATCAAGCTGAAGAGACAGGACAGGCTGATCGGCCGCCTGCGACACCGCTTCCTAAGCTGCAGATCTTCATCGTGTGCAGTGAGTAGTCACCGAGGTTGAAATGTTGGCCACGAGCTCAAGGCTCCTCTTCTGCCCTTTTCTCTCCAGTCATGAGGCTTTCCGAGCCTATGTCATTTCTGTTCATCTTCCCCTTCATCAATGAGCAGCTACATGATGCCTTGCCAGATGTGCCAGTCGCCGAGCTCGGGTACTACGTTGGTCTCATCGAGTCTTGCTTTGCCATCATCCAAGTCTGCACGGTACTCTTCTGGGGACGACTCAGTGATCGGATCGGACGCAGACCTGTGCTACTCATCGGCATGGCTGGAACGGTTGTCTCAGTCAACGCGTTTGGTCTGGCCAAGTCCTTCCCGGCAATGATTGCCGCTCGATGCATCAGCGGCCTATTCAATGCTAATGTCAGTGTACTCAAGTCTGTCCTTGGAGAATTGACCGACTCGACCAACAATGCTAGAGCTTTCTCCCTTCTGCCTATCATGTACGGGTGCGGAGCGATCATTGGTCCCTGGCTCGGCGGCAGCTTCTCACACCCAGTCGAGTCCTTCCCCTCCATCTTCGGAGGATCCTCTTTCCTCGCAAAGTACCCGTACTACCTCCCTTGCGGTATGTCGTCGCTCTACATCCTCTTCGCCATGGTGATCGGATTCCTCTACCTTGAGGAAACGCTACCTTCCAAGAGACGGCAGCACAAGGTTCATGCGCTGAGGCAAGAAGCCGAGACCACTGACGGTCAGACCGCTCGCCAAGATACCGAAGAGGCTGATGCAATCGAACAGACGACCGAGGAATCCAAGCCACCATCTGTGAGGTCTCTTCTCACGACTCAGGTCCTCTCCATCATTACTACCCAGACGTTCCTCAATCTTCAGAACATTTGCTTTACGTCTCTCCTGCCACTCTTCTGTTTCGAGCAGGTCAAGTATGGAGGTGTGGGATTCGAGCGCTCGGATATCGGACACCTACTAGCTACGAATGGTGTACTTGCCATTATTACACAGGCAGTCTTGTTTCCTTGGACGGAAAAAAGACTAGGTGGCCCCCTCAACGTGTACAGAGTAGCCCTCCTCCTCTACTTGCCTTCCTTCCTCGTCTTTCCCGTAGCCCATGTAGTGGCGGAGCACTTTGGATACAAGGCGACCTGGATGACTTTCGCCGTGGGCATTGCCTTCAAAGCCATGTCTGGGATGTCCATCGGTGAGTGCTCTGTCCTTTTACAACAAAGAGCGCATGTCACCTCACCACTGACACTTCTGCTTGCCCATCGCTCACATCTTCAACCATCTCAGTATGTGCTACCCTCTTAGTCAATAATGTTGCCCCCTCTCGCAACTCTCTGGGCGCCCTCAATGGCCTCAGCCAGACTTTCGGCAGCCTCAGTCGCGCCGTTGGCCCCACAATGTCCACGAGCCTCTTTGCCTTTTCGACAACGCACAAAGGATTTGGGCAGCTAGTATGGGCGGTGATGATTGCCATTGCCACGACGGCGTGGTTGTTGAGCTTCCGCATTGCGCGAAGCGCTAATAGACCTGCTTGGGCTGATAGATAGACTGGACACTGTGCTGTGAAGAGCAAGTAGACCATGCTAGGTGGCAGTGGATGCTCGGTCACGACACTGTAGAATGTAGATCATCGACGTGTAAATAGATGGTGCGATACATTACTCGAGAGAAGCTGACTTGAAGTGAAATGTAGAGCACACTGGCTTCGCCGTCTTTCTATACCTCTCACCTAGTCCCCACAGCCAGTCAACCGATTCTTTGGCCAAGCACCGTACAGCTCTGTAGGCCAGACCGTCACATTTGGGTTCAAGTACATGCCCGGATGATTGTTGATATATTCTGCCGTCGGGTGATCCGGCGGGTCGCAGCTAATCCGGTCCATGGGCGCATTATCAGATTGATACACCCGCACGTGATCCACACGCAACGTGGCTGGGAATTGAAGAGTCGGGTACCGAATCGTTTCAAAACCATCGCTCATTCCCAGGTTGAGAATGATCTGCATGGGCTCCCTGGGGATCAATCGTTGGCCAATATCGAGCGCACGTCTAGGTCCGAAAGCGCTGGCAGGTACAGTCCAGGACATTTTACCGTCAATGAACCAGGTGACTGAGCCTTTACCCGTCCCTTCCCAATCCGGTTCGTAGTGCAGACCATACTTGATTACCCGAGGTTGGTCCGCTAGCTCGTACCCGTCGTCGGGAATGTTGGTAATGGCACTGACGGACTCCTGGTAGCGTCCGCCGGTGTAGGTGTTGAAGACGGTCTTGTGTCTGTCGCCAAAGGAGGCGACGGATTCGTCCCAGTTCCAGTGATCGTCGAAGGGAGCGCATTGCAGGGACTGGCTTCCTCCTCCTACACCATTTGACGTCTGGGCTTCTAGTATGTCGATCTCGGGTGCACCACGGCCGACATTGTGGGAGGGACCCGGGTGATCCTCGCCTGGACAAGTGCAGGCTGACATTCGTTGCCCAGGCAAGTAACTCACCCACTTCTTGTTCCCTACAATGGCATCAGGGCCAGTTCCATTGAGGAAGGTCTGGTTGGGGAGGATGCCCGTGTCGCATCTGTCGTAGCTGTACGGCCACACCCCATCCGTCGTTCCTGGGTAGCCTCCACGGCCCAGATTGCCCAGAAGCCACATGCCAGGCCACCAGCCTTCGGTAGAGGGTCCTCCGGGGAGAATAGCCGCCGCCTCGATGTACCCTCCTTGAAAACAGAATTTGTTCCACGATTGCAACATCCCCGAGCGGAACCAGAGGTCGTGATTGATCTTTTCCTCCATGGTAATCTGGAGGAACCCGCCAGTAGTGTTGACATTCTCTGGCGAGTACCACTCCTTGTCACCCGTGACGCCATACCAGATATCGACGGCGGTCCAGAAAGGGTCATCTCCGGGCCAGAAGGTCCGACCTTCGACGTTGAACTCGTCTGAGAAGACAAGATGGTGACTCTCCTTTGTAAGCGGGTGGGTCCAGCTACGCGCCTGCTCTGGCGTATCAGGGTCAATCAAAGATCTTAGGTTCTCGAAGAGGGGTCGTTGTCCAGTACCATTCGCTCCGCCTAGACCGAAACCGACGACGAGGGGAGGAGGCTGACCGATGTAGAGGAACCAGCTGACGACAGGGTAGCCACAGAGGACCATGATCATGGCCATTGCCAGAAAGATGATGCTGAAACCATCAAAGCATCGCCGTCCAAAGCGCATCCTTCCGGACTTCTCGCAGTCATCAGGCCTGTGGAGCTCATCATCATCTTCTGGGCCCACGTCGTTGTACTGATCAAATAGCTCAGTAGCAATGCCGCCGGGTAGAGGGCGGACTTTGGGCACGGAGTAGGTATGCGAGGCTTCTGTACTCGCGTGGGCAGTAGTGGATCTTGTCTCGGCCCGTGGTGCTGCAAAGTCCCGAGTAATGACCGGGTACTCTGCTTTGCACTCATCCGTCGGCGAAGACGATATTACGCCTGAGTTTTGAGGGACAGGTGCAAATGACGGCTGTTTCTGGAGGGAGTCGCCAGACTGACCCTCACACTCTAAAGGATGCGCGGTAGCTTCCTGCTCGCTCACAGCCGGCACATCGATCGAATCGGCAGCTTGACTCTCGACATCCGGGGGCGTAACAATGACAGTGACGGGAGTGGTAGTACCTTCTGTCCTAGCCTCATCAGGAGATTCTACAGGGGTAGAGGGAGCATCCTGCTGCTCAGCGTCTAACGTCATCTCGCACGAGGCGTTGGGCTACATTGTTGACAATCGGTGGCGCGCGAAGGTCAACGGAGATGGAGTTGAGGTGGACGAAGATGGGCAGCAACAGTAGGAGCAGCGTCACCGTCCCGAAGCTAAATGGAGCGGTCAGCATGAGAAGGACCGGAAATAGGCAAGAGAGGAGCATGAAAGAGCCCAAGTGGTTGTCAATATCCCGGGTAGCCCGGAGCAATCTGTACCTGGGCCGAAATGGTCCGGTACCTGATCAGAATGAAATTTCTCGGTGCCTTGCTCGCACAGCCGGGAGATTTTCACTGAAGCTTTACTTATGAGAACGTATCAAATTTTGTACAGCATCGACAATGATGCTTTCCCAGCAATACAACAGCTACGCAATTCCCTAACTATCTATGACCTATCCGCCTCCTCCGTACCTGCCTCCTTCCGCTCCAGCGCTGCATTCTCAGATGCGTTGCCTTCTTCCATCTGTGCAGGCGTCACACCCGCGTCCCTCTCTGCGAGGCCAACGGTCGCCTCTGCTTGGGCTGCTGAGCCATCAGTGACGGCGCCATCCTTCGAGCCCAGTTCCAGAGCATTCTTCTCCTTCTCAGCATCGGCAGCAGTCACATTCTTCCTTTGCATACTGTAGCCTTTCACTCCCAGGCTGCATAGGAAGCCCACGGCGATGATAGGCGCGAGAATGATGAAGTTGAGGTGGAGAGCCTGTCCATATTCGTATGTGACTTCTGATGCCAAGGCAGGAGGCTGCAAGTTCTTCAAGCCCTGAATGTCTTGTGACGGATCAGCAGGAACTGTATAGCCTGGGATAGTGCCGGTGAGGGTGGTGACACGCGATGTAAAGATTGACTGGGATACAGCAATTCCGACGGCGCCGGACATGGTTCGCATCAGAGCGAGGGTGGTGGTGCTCGAAGGCATCTCCGAATGAGGCATGGCGCTCATCAGACCAAGCAAGGGTACCTGGAAGAGGCACCCGTAGCCAAGAGCAGCTAGTGTAGAGGTGCCCGAGACGATAGCCAGGGTAGAATTGCCGCCAATCGCGGTCATCGCCGAATATCCAATGATTGAGAATGTCCAACCCCACCAGTACACAGGACGCCAGCGCCCAAGTTTGACCACTGCGACACCGGAGACCAGGGACGCGATACTACCGATCAAGGCATAGGGCAGCATGTAGACTCCACTCAAGAGGGCGCTGGATCCCAGAACCGCCTGGAAGAAGATGGGGAGCTGGTAGGTGTAGCTGAAGAAGACGAAGCCATGGATGAAGACAGTCACCAGGATGAGGCCAGTAGTTCGTGTCTTGAAGATTCGGGGAGGCAGAATGGGCCTGACGCGCGGCAAATGTCTCTCGACGTAGAAGGACCAGCCAACGGCGACAGGGAACAAGAGCCCTCCTACTACAATCAGAGCAATGGTTACAGCCTGGTCAAAGCCTTGTGTCTCAGCTTCAGTGAAGCCGAAGATGAAGATGATGATAGCGGCTACCAGGAGGACATAGCCGATGAAATCAAACTCGTGCACCATGTCACGCCACGGCCGCTTTGGCGTGGGGTTGAGCTTGAGGAAGAAGAAGACGATGGCAGCAGCGATCACGCCCACTGGCAGATTGATCAAGAAGCACCATCTCCAGGAAAGAGCAGTGTATTCCGTCAAGGCGCCACCGATCAAAGGGCCAATGACAGAGGAGATTCCCCACACTGCTCCGAAGAGACCCTGGAAAGCGCCCCTCTTCTCCAGAGGCACAATGTCGCTCGTCGTCACCTGTACAAGTCCGATGATTCCACCACCACCAAGACCTTGAATAGCCCTGGATACACAGATCCAAGTTGGGTTCTGAGCTGCACCACATAGAGCCGATCCGATGAGGAAGAGGGCAATGGCGGAAAAGAAGAGTGGCTTGCGCCCGACGAGATTGCTCAGACGGCCATAAAGTGGAACCACGACTGCTGCTGCCATGAGGTAGGCGCTAGCAATCCATGTATAGGCTGCTGCTGAGCCATTGAGATCGCGATTGATCGTTGGCAGGGCGGTAGAGACGATGGTCTGATCCAATGCGGCGAGGGAAACGGAGAGCATGAGACCCAAGAAGACGACGGGCAGATTGTTCTTGGGTATCACCTGCCTCTCCTGTGTGAATCGGTTCACACCTTTGATCCTCCCAGGTTGACCCGATGCAGCTGCTGCAGCGGGAACAGCAGCATTCTCTTCGCCGGTGGGAGTGTTGGATTGACTGTGCTTCGCAGCGACCACGTCACTCCCGGCAGACGAAGGAGAGTGAGCTCGGCTTGTGGGAGTGGGAGTAACTGCGGTGGTAGCTGCTGCTCCATCGCTGCCCTCACCACTGCTACGACTCTGCTGAGGTAGGCTGGGCGCAGCGCTCGTGGACATCCCTAGGGTATAGGTGGTTGACTAGTGCGAAAGAGCGGATGCAATGTCTCTATGTGGCGTGGGTAAACACGTATGACGACTCCGACGAGAGAGGAGGAAGATGTTTGAGAGAGAAATCGATGAGGGGAGATATAAAGGAGGTGGGGCAATGCTCAAGGGTCCACTAATCAATCGCAAGAAGATGGAAGATGAAGGGGAGGAAGTGGTCGAGGGTGAGTCAAGGTCTCGTCGCGAGTCAGGGGAAGCTGGCCATCTCTCAAGTGTCCCTCATGTAAGGTGATCCGCGTCTCCCGTCCTGCGGGACGCTTCCAATTTTGACTCGAGGCACACACCCAGGCCTGAAGCGAAGAGTCAACTTTAGTCCGACCCGACGCCGCCTTGCCATTCGGCGCGATGCCGAAGGGTGGGGGGCCACGCCCGCCTAGACTAAGCGAGGGAGCAGCAACCAAAGCCGAAGGTCCGAAGAGGCAATCAGACGCCTCCAGCCGAACTTCGACCCACCTCTTTCCCACCTTGATCCGCTACCAGGCCCACCCAATCTATCACCCGGCTGATCAGCTTACTGTTTACCGAGTTTGTTTCATCCACAGAGTTGCTGTCCAGTCGTGTCCACAATTTGAGAACGCTATCGAGCCTCCCTCCACACGCCGAAATTTATCAAAGTACCTCAGACCTGTCCCTGTCGGCGATAAGAGCGACAGACTTATTAGGCGAGAAAGTAAGCTTCGCCCCAAGCCCGCCGGCTTGCGAGAAAAACAAACGTGCAAAGTAAGCAGACAAACGACATCGGCAAAAAGTCGGCTTGGAATTCTGGGTAGAGTGGGAAAAGCAAGACAAGGGGTTGGTGGGATGAGTGGAGGACACTGCTGAGGGATGATGTTTGTACAACATTTACACCGAAGCAGCACACTTGTGACAGTGCGAAGTGATACAGAATCCACCTCTTCACGACTGAGCCGATCTCGACGGCCACGGCAGCTCAGCAGAGCATCACAGCTCAAGCCTGCTGTTGTCTCTGCTGATACTGGTGCCATCCGACGGTCGGACCTCCGGCAGCTGAGTTGGCCCCAGCGCCATTACCTCCGCCCGCCGTCCCTGCTGGCGCGGCTGAGCCGACCATCGTAGGCGGGGCAGTCGCATACTCTTCCTCCTGCCCCGAGTAGTACCCACCACCTCCATGATACTGCCCGCTGTGACCTCCCTGGCTACCGCCACCTCCGCTTCCCGTACTGTGTCCTCCACCTGCCGCACCTTGCCACCTGCGAGGACTAGTGCCGTATGAGGAAGAAGAAGCCGAAGAGTTCATCATGTGCTGCTCTTGTTCGCGCAGGTTGGAGGCAGAAGAGCCGTACTGCCTTTGTCCACCATTGGGATAATGACCCGCGCCACTGCCCCATGAGCCATGTTGCTCCCGCTCAGGACTGCCATAGTAGGAGCTTGGTTGGTGCTGCTGCTGGTGCTGCTGATGACTGCTACCGCTTCCTTCTCGAGAGGACCGGCTGCGAGACTCGGCCCAAGGAGCTCTGCTGCCGGGGTTGTCATCGTCGAGTGGACTCCGAGGATAGGCGGAGTTGATGCGACCGTTGGAAGAGGAGACTTCAAGTGTCTGGCGTGAGGAGACAGCGTCGTGGAACTCTGGTCGCTGATTCCGCGAGCCGATATCAAGGTAGGGTCCTCGATGACCTTGCCCACTTCCTCCTTGCAGGGAGCCACTTCCTTTGCCACTATCGCCGCTGCCATTTCCACCAATGCCGCCTCCACGATTAGGCCCAGCTCTTCGAGCGTACTTCTCGCACTTCTTGAGGATATCTCTCGAAGTCAGGTCAGCCGACGCGTTGAGCAAATCTCGATCTTGCAACACGACGTCCAGCTCGGGAGGAATCTGCCAGAAGTCATCGAGATGTTCCAGCAGACACAAGATGGCTCGATTGGCGAGGAAGAGCTCGTCCTTGGCCGGATCGCCGCTCTTGGCGTAGAGGATATTGGGTCCAAGGACCATGGCGAGATTTTGCAGGTCCATTTTGGAACCAGTCTCCTCGTCGACGTGGGAGAAGGAGGCGACCCATCGCAGGAATACAAAGAGGACCTCGAGGGTATCTCTGTGAGCCTTGGGCAGGAGGATAGTCACTAGCTGCAGGACTCGCAGACGCTCTGACTCCGGCTCAATCTTCTGTGACATGACAAACAGACGGTGCAGCTTGAAGGTCAAGAGTGGGTCGGGAAGCTCACGGAGGAACTTCTTGAGCAGAGCAGCCAGCTGGACTGGGTTATCGTCCGCCAAATTGACCGAGGAGCTATCGCGATCCAGAGCCTCTGACAGCTCTTTCAGTCGCCGAATATTTCCGTTCTTCCTGAAGATTCCCTCGACTGAGACATCCATCTGTTTCATGGCCGAGATGATATCATCGACGAAACAGGGGATCCTAAGTTGAGCACCACTAGCTCCAAGCGTCGAGTCTGCGCCGCTCCTCTCAACGAGAATGTCAAGAGCGATGCCGAATGTGCCCTTCTTCTCGACCTTCTTCTTATCCTTGCCTCCTTTGAAGAGCTTGCCCCAGAATGTATTTTTCCTCGTCTCAATGAATTCGATGAGGTCGTCCATGGGCACCATGTCCTTCAGTGGGCTCTGCTGCAGCATCATTACAGCCATGTGCTTCACGATGAATAGCTCAAGGGCGGACAATTCGCCCAGAGAGCGCCCGTCATGCTGGAGTGAGCGACGCTGCTCTCGGGCTTGCTCGGCCTCTAGCAGCTGCGGGATGTCCGCCAATGTCAGACCTTCATCGTGTGCCCCCAGAGGATCTTTGCCATCGTCTCCGGATGGTTGCCGCATGGGACCATCCTCACGAATGCGTACATCGGTATTGTGTCTGGCAAAGGCAGGCCGAATGGGAATGACTGACCCAGGCTCAGGCACAGGTGAAGAACCCGCTGTTGAGCCACGAACAGGAGATGGGGAGCGACGGAAAGGCTTCTTCGAGGGTGATCGAGACCGAGTCGCTTCCAGGATATTCTGTTGCGACCCATCCCTGGGCGAAGGTAGTCTGGAATCAGTGCTACCGCCATCTGTCGAAGGTGAGATGCGCTGCATCGAGCTGGCTGTTGGTTGTCGACCTGATGGACTGCCGATCACAGTCGAGATCCGGGGGACTTTGGCCTTGGTGGAGAGCTTGCGATCGAGATTGACCGACTTCATGCGCCTCACTTCCGTCGAGTCGCCGTACGTAGAGTCTCTGTCTGCTCCCTTGATCGTCGCAGTCGAGTCGGAGTTGCTGATCTCAGTAGGTGCAATGGCAGGAGGAGAGGCAGGGACGACGCCGCGTTTCTTCAGAAGAGCGTACAAGCGGTTCAGAGCTACTCTGAGCAGGAAAGCATACTGCTCGAGCCTTGTGCCAGTTTCGAAGCCGCGACGAGCATTTGCAGGCGAGTGTTCAGAGCAGTAGGTAAGGAAGAGCTTGCGACTTGAGCTCCCTCCATTCCTCTGCGACCCCTCTGCCGGCGGCGGCCTTGCAGTCACTTCGAGGGCGAAAGCTGAGGGCGGCAGACTAGGCAAGTCCTCTGATGCAGAGTCGGATTCGGTCTTTCGGCTCGCAGACTGAGTACCTTGCCCAGAGGATTCCTTATGCGCCCTCCGCTTGCAATGACAACAGCGCAGGCACGAGGTATGCCACCTCATATTGATCCCCATTCGGACACACTCCTCCTCGACAGTCTGACCACAGCTGACGCAGAGGTCTGTCGCACCTTCATTACCGTCTGTGGACGCTATCGAGGTGCTTCTCGGAAGACTACGGTACCCGTACCACTTCCCGTCAGGGCCTTGCATGCTAAGCTCATTCGAAGGGAAGTCGCCCCGCTCATTATCGTTGCCCTTCTCCTCGGCACTCAGAGCAGCTCGTTCGGCAAGGTAAGCCAATTGATCCAGGAAACGGACAAGGGCTGATCGATTGTCGTGATCGCGGTCGAGCTTGAGAGCGCCAGTGAGAGCGATGCGGATGAGAATTTTGAGGTAGTGCGCTAGACCGGTAACGAGAGAGAGCAATTCCTGAGTGATTCCCATGCGCTGGGCTCCTGTCTCCTGAGTATGCGAAAGGAGTGAGAAGAAGTTGACGATCTTTTTGCAGAGCATACGAGCTTCGCGAATGTGCGAAAGACCCTTGGTCCGTTCTCTTCTGAAAGCCCTCTCGATGTCGTCAATCGCAGAGAAGAGGATCTCGACGTGAAGAATGAACCTCTCTGCCATCCTGACGCCTCCAAGATACCGCCCACTGCTGACGTGCCTGAGCATCTCTGAGATGCACGCCGCTGAGCTCTCTTCAAAGGCAGACAGGACCGTCCATATCCGGAAAACCTGCTCTTCCATCGTCTTCTGCTTCTTTTTGAGACTCGAAGGCGTTTCTGATGCCTCGATCTCGAGCGCTTCAGGACCTGGTAGATCGCTCGCAGAAGCTCCAGTAGTGGGAGCCACGCCCGAATTGGACGGAGCAGGAGCATCCGATACCGTCGGCTCAGCAGCGACACTCCCCTTGGGAGTTGCTCCCGTCGGACACAGCTTGATATTCCAGAATTTGTGGATCATGTAGCACTCAGGATGCCAATGCTCGTCTTGATTGTTCCTGTTGATCTCCACAAATTGCTTGAGGATGGCCGTTCTGCAACCGCTACACTGAATAGCAAATCGCGTCGAGTAGTGGAAGTGACAGAACACCCTACCATCATGCTCGTAGTAGCTATCTTGAGGACCAAAGACTGTCGTGCATACCGAACAGGTAAAGTGCTCAACGTGGAATTTTTTGCCCAGAGCGGTGATGTAGCTGCCTCGCAGAGCGCCACCACAGGTTGCGCAGAGAAGGTCAAGCCGCCGGAAATAGTCGGTCTCGCAGAGGGGGAACAGCTTCTGGGGCACTCCCTTGCCATCAGAAGGCCGGCTGCGCTGATCCTCATCGCCTGCTGTCGTAGGCGATGTTGCGTCCTTCATATCCTCAGTTGCTGGGAAGAATTTGGAAGCGACAACCTTGTTGCAGTCTCGACATCTAAAGCAGTCGAGGTGGAAGACCACCCCCAGGGCCCTCACGAATTGCCCAGTCATGGGTTTTCCGCACGCATCGCATAATTGCTCCCTCTTCCCGCTAGAGGAGCCAGACGGTGTCATGTGCCTGTCTCGTTGGGTCGGATGGGAGTGGGAAGGGGGTATGTTGCCTCCCTCACCGGCGCGATTCTGTGTCAAGCTATTCCGCGGCGATGAGCTAGAGGGGGTGTTGGGAAGTTGTGGTCCTTGGAATGAATCGTTCCGAGACCGGCTAGGGCCTGCGGAAGGCCGTGACGAGTACCTCGGTGGCACGGCAAAGGAGCTAGCCCCTTGCTGTTGTCCTTGTCCATCACTAAGTTGACCACGATCTGATCGCTGCTGAGTACCGTCTTCTCCCCTTTCCCTCTCCGCCTCCCAATTCCATCCAGAGTCCACGGCCCTGGACTTGATTCTGTCCATTGCTGCTCTTCTCGTCGTGGGGCTTTTGGCCACCTTGTCTTCCTCCGGCGCTGTTTGGCCTCCTGATTGTATCGAGGCGACACTACCCTTGCGGCTATGCATTGCTGTGGGCGATGTCGAGCGCGAACTGCCGGCACCGCCGCTGCCTTCGCGTAGGCCGTAAGGATTAGAAGGAAATGCTTTGGAAGAGGTAGATGGACGGTTTGGGTAGGAACGGTTTCCTGGGTTGGGCGAGGCGAGGGAAGAAGGCCCTGCATCCATATAGGAGCCGCCACTACCAGTCCCTCCAAAGCCGCCGGGAACCAGGGGCGAGTCTCCCGAATAAGAAGACATGGCGAGGTCTAGGGCAGGCGAGAGGATGGCGAAGGAAGCGGAAAAGTGAAGAGGCTATGCAGCGAGGACAGGCTTCAACCCCCGGGCGGGATGATGGGCGCAGATGTGCAGCCTTGCCGATGTAGACCCAACTGTGTGAGCTTGCTCGTGGTCTTGAAGGCGACGAGATCCGGGAGAGTTGACCGTTCCCGAGATCCTGAACGAGAGAAAAGGCTGCAAAGAGACAGGCAGCGCCGCCCTCGAAGAGAGGTACGGACGCTGTGAGGACGGTAGGCGTGTGGAACTCCTGTCGTGGGAAAGGTTCCGTGGAGGTGACGATGGGCAAAGACTGTCTCACGCGATTGAGGAGATGACGCTGAGAGTGATGGCTTGAGCAAGACTGTGCGATAGGCTGGCAGAAGTGAAGTAGTGGGTGCGGAAGGGTCGACTTGTTGTGATAGGATCCAGCCGAAAGGGATCGACCAAGGCGGAGGCGGAAGGCTGACTGTGCGTCAGTCGCGGGCGCTGCGCTGTGTTTGCTTGGCGAGCCTAGAAGTGGTTACAGCTGGCGTGTTCCTGACGTCAAAGGTGAAGGTGAGAGAAAGAAGCGGGTGAGATGCTGCCAAGGTAGGCGCGAAGCTTGCCTGGCTGGTATGAGTCTAGGAAGGAGGATGGAGCAGGTGGACCGGCGAACTTGGGTGAATGGCCAGGGCAGGGTAGCGCGGGCACGCGGACGGGCGAATCATCCGTGAGGGGGACAGACAGGCGGATGGGGAAACAGCGCTCACTCGCGGACATGGCTCACACCACAAGCACAGGCGGACACACACCCACACCCACGAACTCAATCCACACGCACGCAGGTCAGCATCCACCCACCGCACAAACCCAGGGCACATCACCAGAGCGGAGCTACTCTTTCCGCCTGCGCGCCTGCCGCGCAACTGCCTGCAGCCACGGAACTTCTGAACCTCGTCTATCCCACGGCCTCTTGGACAAAGGGGAGTCCACCACAGCAAGGCCCATCTCGACCCCAGCATTCTCGCACCCATTCCGAGCTAGATGGTCCCTCAGCCCGTCAACGGAGCCAGTCCCTCGGGTCTTCCGGGTCCCCTCGCGAAAGAGATCCCCTCCCCCTCTTTCCCCGTCAGGCCCTACTCTAGTCCGTCCAGCCCGTAAAGGCCATTCATTGCAAAACAAGGGAGAACGCCGGACCGGCTTCTTTCACCTCGGCAATCAAACTTTACCAGTGCCCGCCACTTTCCCAGGAACGCCGGACTCGCTTTCCACGGCAACACTGGAACGCTCGATCCGTAGCGAGTGATGGTTGTTCAATTGGTAATACAATGGCAGAAATAACAAAAAAAGGATGAGAACTGTTGTACGATGGATGATAGATAGCGCGAATATGTTAAGCTAGCCCCTGCCGGCGGAACCTCGTGATGGTTGTTTAGATTTTGCCTTTCAGACCCCATGTTTTCAGCTGCAGCTGCCGCGCGAGATGGATCAGCGTCGTGCCTGCCAGGACCATGCACCCAGCATAGATCATTGCGGGCCACCACTTCAGGTCATCACCCGTACCTAGGATGGCACCGGAGATGGGGGTACCTAGCAGACCACCCAAGGACATGAGAAGGAACATTTGACCCAGACGCGTACCCACGTTTGCCGTGCTTCCTAGCTGGGCAACTGAGACGAGGCAGGACAGTCAAGATCAGGGTCAGCACAGCGTCTACGCTCTGACTGCACATTGTACTTCAGTACTCACCACCCGCTGGTAAAAGAGATACATAACATCCGGAGCAGTATCCAAAAATGATTGCAAAGGTCACCAATCCGCCGAGATTGGTACACAGGGGAAAGATGAAGATGAGCACCACGCAGATGTATAGGTGCGGGATGATGGTGTTGATCCTTCCCACTCGATCCGAGAGAGCGCCAGGAAGCGTCCTGCCAAAGAGGGAGGCCGCATTGAGGATCGAGAGCATGTATTCGCCTTGTGGGATGTTGTATGCGGTCGTGAAGAGACCAATGTAGGTAAACGGTGTGTAGAGACCAAAGAGGATCAGGGAACAACCAATCACCCAGACCGTGTAGGGCGGGTACTTCCATGCTGTGAAGTCGAAGAATTTTACCTTCTTCCACGCCCCATTCTTGGTGGGGATGGACGGTTCCAGGCGAGGCGCCATGACAAGCCACGAGAAGAGCAGCAGGACTAGAGCCATGAAGCCAATCTGTCGAGGAAAAGGCGGCGCCGCGGATCAGTCGCTGAACATCTACTACACCACGATTGCTCTTCGTATGCTCGAACTCACCACCCTCATCGTCCATGGGAAGCCAATCATTGGGATCAGCCGCTGCGTCATAATGGGAAAGATGACACCTCCTATCGAGCTTCCAGCAGCTACGATGCCGTACGCTAGCCCTCTCTTCGCAAAGAACCAGTGCGCTGGCACGGCGACTGCGAGTGAGAAGATGATGCCGAAGGCAATACCGCATCCCAAGCCTTGTGCCAGAATGAGTTGGTAGTACTCGGTCGAAAGAGAAGTCATCATCTGACAGAAGACGAAGAGGAGAATTCCAAAGAGCATCAGGGGCTTGAAGAAGCCCATGTCGAAGAGGCGACCTGTGAAAACGCCTGGAAAGAAGATGAAACAGTACTGGATGGAGTTGATCCAGGCCACATCGGATGATGTCTTGTTGCTGAGATTGTTGGCCAGATAGTACTCTTCGAATACTCCGAAGCTGTGAAGAGTCAATGATGAGCGAGCCTCAATGTCAGCACAACGCCTGGCTCCGAAGGTCCCTTGCTTCAACCAACTCACGCATTGACAAAGCCCCATGTGAAAAATGTGCACCAGAAGGCTCCCATGACCACCAGCCACGCCCGCAGTCCTCCTTCTGGGTACGTCACAACTGTCGGACTTGCTCCTTTCTCCTGGACCTCTTCATGCCCATCTCCTTCCTCCGCCGCCGTGATCGTGGAAGAATCGCGGATAACATCATCTCCTTCGAGCACTCCGGTCGCTGGCGCTTTCTCCTCCGTAGCCGTAAGCGCGCCGTGACTGCCACTTCCATCGGCACTTGTGCTCCTCTGGCTAAGAGCTGGTGCGGCTACGATGTCGGATGTGTATGTACCGCGTACATGTTCGTCGGTCGAAGACCCTTGCGTCTGGTTCAGCGTATGGAGAGGGTCTGAGCCAGAGGCTGTCGGGATCGTCTTGCTCATAGTAGAAAGTACACTGCGCGGTGTGAGACAGTGATGGGCCCTGGGCAGATGACTATTTCCCTCTACGAAAATAGAGAATGCGCTTCCTCCTAGACACGAGTGCAAGTGACTCGGGTTCGCTCCAGGTGACAAGTAAAGCGGCGAACCTTGAGAGGCGCAGCGCTCTTTCGAGTGGGCACAAACTGCAGAAATATGCAAGGCCCACGCTTGTGGCAACAATGGACCAGGCGGAGGGAGTAGGAAAGATCAATGCAACGAGGAAGAGCAGACGGCTACGCTAGCTGGACCAAGTACACGAATATGGAGAACGAAGGAGGAAAGGAGTAGAGTGGAGAGGAGCCGGCGGGTGGTAAAGCAGACATCGAGGTATGGGGGGAGTCAAGCGGGGCAGCCAATTCTACCGCGCCCCGCATAGACTATCATCGCGGGGGATGGCCGTCTTCGGCATTGATCGGCGGACCGGAAACAACGGCATGCCGAGGAAGCGCGATAGGCTACATTTCCATTCCGGCTCTGAACAACGAAGGTCTCCTCACTTCAGGAACATGGAGAAGTGGGAAATGACCAGGTTTGCAGCACTGTTGGAGACGAAGCGGAGCGCAACCATCAGACATGCATGAACTTCCAGCAGGCTCCCGCTCATCACTGCCTGGTTTCATGCGGCGTGTACTCACTGTTGCATTCCGATAGCAGTGAACTCGTCCTCGTCATCTCCCTTGATTGCGTAGCCGTGCGTAAGGCCGGCGACGTAGACAAAGGAGGTGAAGACCTTCTTAGGTCCAAGAGTTGATTTGGCGACTTCCCAAGCAGCGTTTCGCTTCTCCTCTGGGAACATCTGGTCATGCTCGGGGCAGATGAACAGGCCTGGGGTAGCCAGGTTCGAGAAGCTGACAGGGAAGACCCAAGAAACGGTGAGTATCAGATGGCTCAAGGAAGAAGACCCAGCACGACTTTCGCCACATCACTCACTCCGTTGCTTCGATGACCGAAGGATGACAAAATGCGACAGCGTCGACCTTGTTGGGCCCGTCTTCGCCCAGCTTCAAGCAGGATGTGGCGCCCCAGCAGAAGCCGACCTGTGAAACAAAGGGGAGGAAAGGGATCAGCAAGCTGAGTCCTTTAGCCTGGGAGACCCTTTGCAACCCACTCACCGCTCCAATTTTTGCACCCGGCTGCAATTTGCGGATCTCACCCACGAAAGCTTGAGTCTTCTCCCAAGCTGCCTCTCGAGGGGAGTACTTTGGAGGAAACCGCAACGCATGTAGTCAATGGGAAAGAGTCGAGGGTGTCAGCCAAACGCAGCATACGTGCCCTGCCGGCGCTGCAAGTAGTGACTCACCTGCCCAATGAAAGCTGGGACATCCACCTTCTTGCCCTCCAGAACGCCTTGCTGAACGAAGTCGTTGCCTTCGAAGAAGTCGGGCAGGTAGACTGCCGCGCCTACGGCAGCTGCGTATTTGTCGGCGAGGACCTTTGTGTTCACGAGGGAGATACCAAAGACGTCATGGACGATGAGAATGGCCGCCTTGCTGCTCCGATCGCCGGTGATATAGGTGTCCTTGCCATCGATCTTCTCGATGGAGCCCTTTGGGGTGCCCTTTGCGAAGGAGCCAACCTTGAGACAGCAGCTGAATGACATGGTAGCGTAGTCTGAGCGAGTGATCTGATTAACGTATTTGGTATGTGAGAGTAGTGTGTCAAGAAGGAAATGTGGGTTTTCCTTGCCTGGACATGAATGCCGAGGCACACCATCATCATCGCGGCACGAGCGGCAGGCAGGGTGCTGCTGCCCTGTGCGGCAGTGGATCCATTCGCCGTGCGTGGTTGTGCGTGGAGCGAGTTGGTGCTCCTCTCCTGCTTCCGCGCCGAGAAGCCCCCACGCCACGGCCACCCACAGCGACGCTCTCACGCCTCCGCTCCGTCTTCCCAACCAACACTTCCTGTACACGCATACAAGGACCTGCTATCATGCCTACTTACTTCGAGACCGTCAGAAAGGTGAGCATCGAGTGCAAGAGATTACCAAGTGAGGTGTAGCACCACATCCCCTACTCTGACTGACCCACAATCTATACTATTCCACGATCTTGCCTCGCAATCCCCTTTGTTCCCCTATGCCCCTTCCAGTCGTATGCAGATGTGATCATCAATGAGGAGGGAGTCGATACATCACAGTTCTTAGAGGCCACCGAAGGAGTCATCAAACTCTTTGATTTACTGGGCAATGCTGCGTTCACCATTGTGCAGAACGACATGAGTGCGAATGTAAAGGTGAGTAGTTCAGGGGTAAGACACGAGTCGGCGATGAGGTTCGGACAGGGAGCTAGCCCCGCATTGACGACTGAACGCCATGCGATAGGCACGTTGCTGATACCATGCCACACACTGCGTCTTTGATCCCCACCAGAAAGTAAAGGATCGTCTCCTCGCCGCTCCCACCCAGTCCCACTCCCTCGAGCTGCTGGTACAGAACGAGGGAGCTCCAGGAGACAAGAAGCGACCGGCTACGGAAGGCCTCATGTGGCTGCTGAGAGGACTGGACTTCACGGCAAAGGCCCTCCGGAGCTCGCTGGGCAACAAGTCCGAGGAATTGGCAGATAGCTTTAGGAAGGCTTACGAGGGCAGCTTGAAGCAGTACCACAACTTTGTTGTGAAGGGAGCATTCAGCGTGAGTGTTTGAAAGAGTCACAAGATACACAGGCTTCAATCTCTGCCGCCTCTTGATATCTACCAGAGCTAAGTCGCACTGACAAATCGTTCCATCGCCTCCTTGATGATTCTCGCAGCTCGCCATGAAGGCTTGCCCGTACAGGACAGACTTCTACGCCAAGCTAGGTTCGCCTCCCGAGAAGGTCGACGAGGAGCTGGAGAAGTGGCTGAATGCACTGGAAAAGATCATCAGCAGGATGCAAACTCTGTACCTGCAAAAGAATTACGCAAAGGGTCTCTAGGTTGAAGGTCATTGTAGATGTAGATATCAAAGAATCGAGAGTCCAGCGTGGCCGGAGTCGCAGGGCAGAGGATGCAGCATGACACAGCTCGAAGTCTCTTGACTGGCTTCGATGCCGTTGGTATCTCTTCGAGGATGCTCAATGCGTCAATGTCACGCAGCCGCCAGTCCATTGCACCATCTGCAGCCAGCGGAGGTGTTGGTCTCCCGTTCCGCTTCGCGTTCGCCTTCTCCACTTGACTCGACAGAGTGTGCTTCTCGCGTGCCTTCCTTCCCACTTGCTTGTCACAGCCTAGAACCTCACGAGTCCCGAGTCTCAGAATGACTACCACTCCCCGTCCCCTCCTCCTCGTACGTCGTCCCTCTCCCCTCCTCTCATCCGGGCAGCTCACCCATCTCGCGCCCGCGTCTGATCCGCCCAAGCCATCTCGCTCTCTAGCCCAATGGCAAGGTTATTGCGATGTCTTCCGCTCGCAGCTGGGCTGGGAGGTCATTGAGGTCGATGCCGCCGACGACTGCCCCGATGGAGTCTTTCTAGAGGACGCAATGATCGTCTTTCCCGCCTTGGACGAACGAGGTGGGGGAGTGGTCGTTTTGGTGAGGAGCGGGAGTCCTGAGCGCAGAGGGGAGTACGAGAGTGCCAGACGGGCTACACAGGAGCATCTTGTCCCCCGTGGGTACGAGGTATTTGACTTCAACGTGGAGGACAAGAGTGGTGAAGCTACCTTGGATGGGGGAGATATCCTCAAGATCCTACCAGGGGCCTCGAGCGCAAGTCATGCAACAACGCACACAGGCACTCGTCCGCCCACAGTGTATGTCGGGCAGTCCACGCGTACAAACGCACTGGGTACATCTCTGCTCAAGAAGTGCCTTGAACCAAGAGGCTGGAGCGTACAAGGTGTGCCTGTGCAGCATCACTTGCATCTCAAGTCGGCCATTACTGCTCTTCCAGACGGGCAGGTCATAGGACATTCGCTTCCACGCTCCAGCTCCAGCTCCAGCTCCGGCTCTGGCTCTGGCACGTCCCAGCCCAGCGTGGGTGTCACCCTTCCGGACGGTCATGAGATCCTGCCTATTCAGGAGGAGCATGGAATTGCAGTCGTCGACGTTTCCTCGCCCAATGGATCGCCAAAGGTGCTCTTGTCCGCCGATGCGCCGCGGACAAAGAAGCAGCTCGAACAAAGGGGGTACGAGGTGGTCACCGTGGACATTGGCGACTTTGAGAAGATGGAAGGATGGTGAGTGCAAGACTACTACAGTCCTTGCCCCCTTGACTTGGGATCAGAGATAGCTTACCTTTTGAACACGATTCCACCTTTGTCCCATTGTGCTACACAGTGTCACGTGTCTCTCGGTCCGAGTACGCACACCAAGATCACTCGGCAAATGATGAGGGTGCATCAGGGATGGTGTCGAAGAAAGGCGGAACTGTTAGAATCTTCTCTTCGAGACAAAATGTACAATCAAGACATGAAGGACGCAGCTCAGGAGTTGAGCAGAGTATGTCAGTTTGACCCTGAGGCCTGCGAAGCGCAAGATATGAAGGACGGCGATTGCCTGAGCTCACGGTGCAGCCTCGTAGGGTCCATTCGCAATTTGCGACTGCCCGCCTGGCCCAGGAGGAGCGGGAGACAATGCCCTTGCACTCCCAGCTGTAGCTCCAGCTTCTGAAACAGTTGCACCAGAGGTAGAAGCAGCAGAGCGAGGCGAAATCTTGCCAATGTACCAGCTGGGCACCCAGCCTCTTGCATGCTTGCCATTCTCTTGCACACAATAGCTCCAGTGATTGTAGCGCTTGAAGACACGCAGTCGATCGTCCTTCTGTAATTCTAGAGGCGCGCCATCTGTCGCCGTTGCTCCATTCGCATCGGGCACGACGGCTGTCTCGCTGCTTGAACCCGACACAGGTCCGCTCGAAGAGGAGGCGGCTGCTGCGACTGAAGAGTACTCCATGAGCATGATACCTGGAGTCGAAGTCGATGTAATGACACTTGGTGGTATCGGAACGCTTGCCTTGTCCCACCCTCCCAGACGCCCAGAGGAAGAGATCGAAGGGCCCTCTCTCTGCAATCTGCTCATGGGACCGCTGCGAGCACTTTCTGCATTACCACTATGAGCTCCTTTGATCGAAGCTGGAGTAGGGGTGACAGCATCCTCCGCTTCTGCCATGGGTCGTGAAGCAATCTCGGCGAGGTAGTCTTGCGCCTCAGAGGCCGTCGTGACGCCTGACTCTGTGCCATCCGTTGCCACTACTGCCGCCAGTGGTCTGGACGTCTCGATGAGACAGCCTGCTGGTACCCATCCCGAGCGGATTTCAGCCCCCTTGGACTGGCCATCGTCCCGGCTGCCGTCTTGAGGGCTCGAGCCTGCGGCTATATCGCCCAGTCCAGTCGCGTTAGAGTCACGCTGCACGATCCACCATCCCTTCGCTTTGGAGAGGACTACGAAAGTATCGCCAACGCTGACGTCAAATTCGTCTTCGCGCTCGCAGGAGTACGGGTATATCGCAATCGCGAAGGTCTTGTGACCGTCGAGATTCTCCAACTGAGCTGCCGGACCTGTGAGGATCGTTTCACCTCTCAGAGACTGAAGCGCCTCGCCCGCGTCAGCGCCTTGCCCGCTCTGCAAAAGAACCTCTCTTTTTGCAACACTGCCGCTTCCGTTACCCCCGTCTGGCAATCTTCTCGACCCAGGCGTTGAGGAGGCGGGACCGGACTCTCGTCTAGCAGCGGCTTTCGCATTAGCAATAGCAATGGGGCTCTTCACGTCACGTATGTGTCTGAGCATGAAGACTGGGCTCTGTCGTGCTTCCTTCAGCTTCTGAAAGAGCAATAGAGGCTTCTCGTCGTAGGAGAGACATCGCTCGGTCGAGCCGTAGCAGATGAACAGCGCATAGAGTCTCCAGTCGTCGTTGATCTTGTACTTCTTGAGTGCAGCTGGGAGCACCTTGTAGCACGGGTCTTCCAATGTCACTCGGAAAGACTTGTAGGGGTTCTCTCCGTTGCCAAGGGTCGTCTTTGTGCCTAAGAGGTCCCGACCTGCAGCCGAAGAGGCTGAAGAAGGCGTGCCTACATCCTTGGCGCTGCTCTTGACGATTCCTGCTGATTGAAGAGAGGATGGTGTGGTAGGGCTGGCAGCCGCGCTATTCGATCTAGGCCGATTTGTAGGAGAGGCCAATCCCCCTGGCCGCTGGCCCAGGGCCTGACTTGACAGATTGGGAATCGAAGGGGAGGACAGCATCCCACCATAGACTGCATTTCCAGTCAGCTTGTGAGCAGCTGCTGCACTTAGACTGGAATCAGGTGCTCGATCAGAGCGAGTCGAAGATGGGAACGTGGCACTCGAGGGAGTCGACATGACACCTTTGATGGCAGAGGACCCAATGGGGGAGACATGCTTCCTTCCATCAGTGGCGGAGCGGGACACCTCGTCTACAGCATGAGTCATAGCGCCTTCTGAGCCGTGACCGTGGCCAAAGCGATGGTGTGAATGTGCTTCTGGATCTAGATGGCCCCCACTGAGCGGCATCCGCAGCCTTTCATCCCCGCTCTGGGTATGATCGTTGACCGCGAAGACCTGAGATCTAGCCGAACTCGGCTGCTGTAAGCCTTGACTCCAGCCTATATGTCCGCCTGCGCCATCCGTACCTGAGATCAGGCTCGTGGGCGTTGATCCTTTCGCAGAGGGGGTAGCTGGAGAATGCATGGTAGCATGTGCAGGGGATAGCTTCGCGCGAGGAGAGCCGCCCACATTCCTGAGATCATGAGGCGCGAGAGTGTCCTTGCTGCTAGTGAGGCTGTCAAAGCTGACCGTATCAGCCGGCGATGCCGCCGCAAAGGGACGGAAGGAATGATCCAGAGTAGGGGCGTTAAGGCCCTGGTATCTACAGACTCCGGTGAAGTCGTGTTGGAACCTGGCCAGGAAGATAGTCGCTCTTCGCAGCTCTTGTTCAAGCCTGGCGATGCGGTCATCTCTCTGACGGAGCGATGCAGCAAGTTGAAGGACTGTAACAGGAGGCTCAATCGTTGCCCGAATCTCCTCAGCTGGTGGACAATTATGCGCTATGCGTGAGTTCGAGCTGACCCTGTTATTTTTGGGCCTGCATGCTACTCACATTGAGGATGATAGTCCCCTTCCTCAATTTCGAGACCCCAAACTACTTTGAGTCTGTAGATGCCACCCAGTAAAGCCAACCTCTGTCCCACACTTGAGACGCCAAGGTCTTTCAAAGCTTCATTATCCAGCTGTACCAAGACATCGCCAGTGATACCTTGCTCACGGAACGAGGTAGCCAAAAGCGTAAGATTGAGGGTAGCGAGCCAAGATGAGACGTGACTCTCCTCCCAATCTGTCACGGGAAGTGAGATCCCTGGCGAGGGAGCGCTAGTCATGCCCTTGCCGACATACCGACTCCCATCGACGCCGCTGTCGGAGGCGGGATGATTCCAAGCGGTCGCTGTAGCCGCCATGCGGGCACGCTGAGAGACACTACGCGGCCTCCGAGACTGCGACGATGTTCCGCTAGCTATGTATGCCCCTCTGTAATGCCCTCAGGGCTACAATAGGAGGACCGTTCCGGTGTGACTTTGTTGTTGGGAGGAGGGGGAGGAAAGTAGCGCGACTGGACGTCCGGGCCTGACTTCACCGCAAGCCAGCAGACCTGAGGATGGAGGATCTGGCTGTTGCACCCCACGAGCGACCGAGTGCGACTGGTCAACAGCGTGTCGGAGCACGACCAAAGAGAAGGGATGATGTATGCGGTGAGGAGGGAAGAGCAAACAGGTACGAAGCAGGGAGGCCCAAGTGTTGGTCAGGAACGGGAAGGGCGTACAGATGAGCGGAGCTTGCCCTGAGTGCAGCGTGGCTCCTTCCGCGTCGTGGCTGGCTGTCACAGAGGAGTGTACCGTTGCGGTGTCATGCATCTTCGTCTCGCTTCCCTCTTCCCATCTCGCTACGCCTGAGCCGGTCTGGCTTCATTGTCTGCTCAGTCAACTCGAAGTTCAGATGCATCATATTACTCGATCAAAGCCAGGTCGCCACATTTCTCAAATCTGTCCCGAAGGGCTGGGGGCGTTGATGCAGACTGTTAGGGCCCCTCTTCACAAAATTGCCGTGCGACAATTGGCCTACGATCTTGCCATTCGACCAGATTAGCTTTCCTCGCACCATAGTATAGCGTGGCCAGTTCGAAAGGGTCTGCCCTTCATATGGCGTATAGTCGACGTTGTGGTGCAAGTGGGAATTTGAGAGCGCAAAGGGCTTGAAAGTTGCTTGTGGATGCCAAATGACCAAATCCGCGTCGGAGCCAGGCATCAGACACCCCTTTTGCGGATACATGCCGTACTGCAAGACGATGAAGGGTGATGATGAGGAGAGCAAAGGTGAGGGGATGTCGACTTCGTATGGAACTCCAGCATCAAGACTCACCAGCTTGGCCGGATTGGTAGACGTCAACTCAACGAAGCGTGAAGGAGAGATCAGCCCAGTCAACAATCCCTGAGAGAAGAGCAGTGGCAGTCTCGTCTCTACGCCAGGAATTCCGTTCGGGACGTGCTTGAAGTGGCCCATTTTTCTTGCCAAGAGACGCGAAAGGTCTTCTTTCGGGACTTCATGGTAGACAGACGTGCACGGTGCGGCAGGATTATGGCCGTCGCCACTCTCACCTTGCATACTACCTGCGTGCTCAAGCACTCCCGCTGGCTTTCCGTCAGGGTCATCGTACCGGAATGGACAATGATCGGAGGACCAGATCGTGAACGTTCCATTCGCAAGATAGCTGCAAGGACCGGGCAGGTAGCAAGCGATCAGCTCGTTGATCCCGTACACCGTGTCGAGAAGGAATTACATACCGTTGCAGGGCCTCATGATCATTCTTTTCGGCCGGTGGAGGGGGCGAGCAGATCATCTTGCTGTTTTCGAAGCAAGTCGGCGAGTGGAATCTTTTCTGTGGTCGCGAGATGGTGATTTATGAGTGTCAGATGGGGGACTGTGAGCGCGTGCGATGCTCCCAGAGCTCTTGCAAGCCTTACCAGGTCTTGCCACGTCAAATTGAAGTACTGAGGACACGTCTCAGCGTATATGGGAAGTCCCCGACTTTGTGCCTCTCGGACATTCTGAGCGGCCATCGGCGAGCCTATGTGGACGAACAAGATGGGATTCTGCACGAGTTGAGCCAAAGCAATGGCGCGATTTGAAGCCTCTGCCTCAATCAGGGGAGGACGTGAAAGAGCATGGTAGTAGGGAGCGATCATGTCTCGCGCTTCGAGCTGCTCGGTGAGCCATTCGATGGCATCGCCATTCTCAGCGTGTATGAGCGTCGTGACAGAATTCTTGCGCGCAGCGACCATCACGTCTAGGAGCTGTCTATCGGTCAGACGCATGGTGTCGTAGGTCATGAACAATTTGCAGCTTGTGATGCCCCACTCTTTTACTAATACGGGAAGCTCAGATTGGAGGACATCGGGGTCGTTGCGAGTGATAATGACGTGGAAAGCGTAGTCGATGTAGCTGCCGGTGCTTTGTGCCCGAGCTGCGTATCTTTGTACAACGCCGATCAAGCTACGGTCCGCTTCGTCGAGCCTGTCTTGAGATGCGAAGTTGACCATGGTAGTGGTGCCACCGGCAGCAGCGCTACGAGACCCAGTCTCAAAGTTGTCACTGCACCTACCTCCTAGCTTGTTGGGACCTTTGAGAGACGGAACGCCAACTTGTCAGAAGATGCAGAGGTAGGAAGAGTCAGACCGTCTCACCTGTCTTCAGGTCCTGGCAAAGATGCACATGGCCATCGATACCACCAGGCATCACATACGCCCCTCTACCATGCAGGTCGGTCAAGGATTGCGAAGAGAGTCAGGATCAGTGCGACAAAAGATGACCTCGAGCTTGCTGGGTGCGGGCTGAAATACTCACTCTGCGTCAATGATTTCGCATCCCTCAAGATCAGCGCTCGAGAACTCTCGTGCAAGGGCCTCTATCTTGCCATCTTTGATGCCAATGTTGTAGTAGCTGTGCAAGGGTGTGGATCCATCGAGACGAAAGGTCCAATGTCTGGTTGAGGAACTTCCAACTCATAAGCGCGCAAAGGGGTGAGCCACCTACTCACGCAGAATCTGCCGCCGTGACGACCAGGCCATTGACAATCACGGTATCAAATCTTGGCATTGTAAAGGAGTTGTTGACATGGTGATGAAGAAAGCATCGCCTAGGAGCAGACTTAAATGGCGTACATGCGTTCTTTCTTCCAGGCGGCTCTATCTCGACCCTCTCCACCCGGTCTCCTTCCGTGCACCGAGATCCGCTTCCGCACGTCGGCAAAGAGACCGAGAGGAGCCGACGCTGCGCCGCATCCTCCCCCTTCCGTATCTACCCAACCATGGCGGCTGCTCCCATACGCTCGCCGCGGCCCGCCTCACCCACACCATCCAGCCCGACCGGCTCTGCAACCTCATCCTTGAGCCCACATGCTCAGACACGTAAGCGTGCCAGAGGACAAAATGACATTACCTCTACTTCGCCTCAGGTGGTGAACCACGACGATCGGCCTCGTCGCATCAGTAGAGCCTGCTTGCAAGTGAGCATCCGTGAAGAGCGGGGGTTTCCATCAATGCCACGCACTCATCCCGCTGCTCTCCATACTTGTTGTGATCTCTCCAGTGTCGTGGCAGAAAGCAGAAGTGTCTCGTGGACGAGAATCACAAGGATGATCCAAGTAGGCCATGCAGACGCTGCCTTCGGAATCGCTTCGCGTGCTCCTTCGAGACGATAGACGAGGGACCTTCTGTGCAGACCGGCACGCGTCCCACCATTGCGGATCTGCAGGCATTGGAAGCAAAAGTCGATGGACAAGAAGACAGACTGAGAGCTGTTGAGGCGTGGGCAACCGCTGAGCGTTCCAGGCACGGAGGCAGCTCCCCAGAGCCATCAGCAAGAGTGCACTCAGCATTGACTGATCTCCCAACCCTCGCAGACGTTGCTACAGCCCACGGCTACTACAATGCAAGAACAAGAGGTACCTCTGAAATTGAGGGATCCGGCATGGTCCGCTTTGGAGATGCCCAACCCATTGCCCAGCCAAATGGCACGTCGGACCGTACGCACTCAATGGCCGGAGTGGATACTCTGAGGCTCGAAGCGCCCATCGCAACGCTCAGATCCCTGGTAGGAACCATAACCAGGCGCTCGCCGTCAGGAGCAGATCTCACGCAGGTTCAACCTTGGGATCCAGTCACCAGAGGGCTCCTTTCCTTGGCGGATGCCAGCGAATGTGTGCACACGTAAGTCACATTGGGTCGAAAGCGAGTTCGAAGTGTTCTACCGCACTCATGCAGATCCGTACTTTATTCGAATCGCAGCTACATCAAGCACTGCCACTACATGGCTCCCTTTTTGGACGACAAGATGCTGCAATCCCTGCCCCAATTACGCTCGCGCTCAAATCTATTCCTAGCGATTTGCTGTGTTGGTGCCCGCCTCTGGAGATCTGTGGACCTCTCCTCCCATCTCACTACACATCCTAGATACGACGACTTGATCAAGCTCTTGGATGACAGCCTGGCTGTCTTTCTGCTTCATCCCACGTCGAAGGATGTCAGCCTCGAATCAGTGCAAGCCCTACTGGTGACGGCTCAGTGGATGCCAATGGTTCGCTCTGCCGCTTCACCAAAGGGGTATGAGAGCAGATACAGTGAGATGAGCGTATGGTCTATGCTTGGGCTCGCCGGGCGCCATGCTCTCTTCTTGGGTCTCGAAAAGGCGTCTTCTCCGCCTTTCCAGGGGTGGAGAGGCGATCGACAGACTTACAAGACTTGGCACAATCTCTTGACATGTGACGCAAACTTGATGATGACTTCTGGTCTTCCTCCTTCGACTTATGCTGCCTCTTCTTCGCGCAACATCCTCTCACTCGAAAGTCACGGCCTGCCTCAGACTGCTGATGACGTGAGGGTAGGGGCACTGCTTCAATTAGCCGCTATCGCTCAAAGCACTGTGCAACGAACAAGTGCGCTTCCAGAAATTGACCAACATGCCATCAATCGCTGCAATGAGGGACTGGACGAATGGGAGAGGTGAGCCAAATCAGAACCAAACAAAGAAAGTGCCGAGATTGACAACGCTGCATGCTACCACTTTGACGCGGCAATAGGCATTGGGCCGATCCTCTTCGTGAGCAGGGCACACGACATGATCAGATGCCCTTGACGTCTTTGCGGGTGAGTACTGTCGACCTAGGCCAGAGGCGTCTGACATTGAGCTGAACCTGTACGTTGTCCAATGCATTGCTGCAGTGGTACCGTCTGACCATCAATAGCTTAGCTCTTCGACCTCTGTTATCGGCGCAGGAGGCGCAATCGCCGTCTCGACCCTCGCAGCAGTTCCTCACCAGTGCTCTGGTTCACAGCTTGGATGCAGCCACGTACCTCCTTGTGGCCTTTACTCGATATGCCCAGACGCGAAACACACAAATGCTTAGCACTCTATCGTTTCCTACTTTTCCCGACAGTGCCGAAGGTTGGTCACTCAACGATCGCTCTGTCAAGCGGCTGTGCTATGCGCTCGACTCTATCTGGGTTACACTCACCTTCGCGACTGTCTTCATCGTGCTCTGCTACACCCGAGGGCACATTGACGGTAAGTCATGTTCCACACAGCAAACGATTCAGATGATTCGATGTGTCTCACCGATGCAGCCCTCGCCGACTGCCTGTCCTGCCTCATCCCAGATTCTATGAAGATAGTACCTTTCGACGTTTCGACATCGCCGCTCCTATTAAGAGCACCGCCTCGTCCCCCACGTCAAGGAAGTGTTTTTAGCGAGTTGACTACTCTGGCTGGCCAGATATACGATACAGTATGTACTTTGGCTCCCGGCCCGCATCCTGCACACGAGCTCCGCATCGTGGTTCACAGTGTCATCAATTCCGTGATGAGTTTGGCCCAATCAGCCTCGGCGCCTGTACAAGAGAACAACAACCACTCGTCACACAGCCATGGGGTGGACACCGACACGGCAGCAGTACAATCGCTACAAGAATTGCTCGATGGCTCCGACCTACAGTGGCTCGGGCAAGTATGGGATGAAATGATGACAGGGACCGGAGAGATGCGGAACGACATCGGAGGGCAGTCAAGATCGGCATGGCCGTCTGAATGAGTCCGAGAGCTTAGTAATCATAGGTGTGCTTTTGTGATACCCGCGAACTCCTTCAGGCTAGAGCGAGCAAATTCGCAGAAGTGTGATGGGTGATCAGCCAAATGCTCTCCCAAGATTCCACATCGAGGCGTCAGCATCTTTGCATAACAGCCTCACTCACGTTTGCTCGGTTGCCCAATCAAATGCTACCGTTTGAGCTCCCTCCCACAGAACTAGCTTGCCCAAAGCAGGCAAGTTCTCGGTGCCAGCCACGATCTTCATGAAATGGCTGCCGGCTAGTGGACCCATCTTGCTGGCGAAGGAGACCCCACCATACGCCAAGAGGAACTCAGTCTCTGAGATTCCTCCCGGATACAAAAGGAAGTCACCTTGGCTGGGGTGGCAAGTGTGATTTTCGAAAGGTACTTTGAAGTCCGTGTCTCCTAGAGGCACCCACAAGCCTTCCCCACTCCACCGCACGTGGATGAGCTTCTGCTTGTATGGAAGAAGAGAGCGGAAGAGAGCCGTCGTCTGAGGCGCTTCCTTTTGCAGAAGACGAGCGAGGAAGCGATATGGGCCTGCTGTGATCGCAATCAGGTCATTTGTGGACTCGGGAGAGGGAGTAGAGAGCGATTGACTCATGGTCGGTGAAGTGAATGCTTAGTGTGTGATGGTAGCATCGTGGTAGGCACTGCGAAGAACGATTAGCCTAAAAGTCTAGGCGAGGTGTCGGTGTCGGTGCGGTGCCGACTCGGTCCGCTCCACTTCCGTTCTTATCAGAGATCGTCGGGCCGATGCAGCCGACGCAGCTCCCGCCAGGTCCCCGCCTCGGCTTTGCTCCCAGTCCCACAAGGCTCGGTCGGCAGCGGACCGAGGTCACGCTGAGCGGCAGATATAAATATAGGAGCTCAGGAAGAAGCCAAGCCCTGATATGCTACTCCATACTCCCAACGACAATGCCTGCCAGAACATCTGTACAGACGTTCCCCGTGGCCTACGCAAATCGCTGCCCTGATGCCGCGCCGACCCCTTCGTCAAGCATCGTCAAAGGTGGCTCACTGCATCTGCGTGGTGGCACATTGACCGTCAAACCAGTGCTCAAATTCGCCAATGGTGCCTTCGGAGCAGAGGTGGAAGGTATAGACTGGGATGTAGCACAGCTCGACGAGAGCCTCGTAGCTGATGTGAGTAGAAGATCTATCACAACTCCGCGTAACATCACCTCGCATCGCTCCTGACAGGATACCCACTTTCACCTTCCTTCCTCTGGTGATAGCTGATCAAGCTCCAGAACACCTACGCCGTCCTGATCTTTCGCAAGACTGGTCTGGATAATGCACGTCACATCAGCTTTACCCGCCAGCTGGGCCCTGAGCTGGAGGTGAACCCCTTCTATCATGGTATCGAAAACGATCGTCTACAAGAGCCGCTCTTGTTCGATGTCAGCAAGTGAGTCATGGAGGCGGCGAATCAACAAGCAGCTTTGGAACATTGCTGACACCAATCATTCCCTGTCTCTCCACTGAACAGCATGAATCAAGATGGCACACTAATCGAGAAAGACAGTCGTAGGTGGCATCATTCCCTCGGCAATGCACTCTGGCACACCGATTCTAGCTACCACCAGAAGCGATCCAAGTATTCGCTCCTCCTCAGTCATGGCAACGTCAGTCCTGGAGGGTTCACTCACTTCGCAGACACGCGCCAAGCATATGAAGACCTTCCAGAGTCCATGAAAGCCAGCTTGGAAGACCTCGTTGTCGAGCACGACCTTTGGTGGTCCCGAAAGCTGGGATCACCCGCAGTTTACAGCGAGCCGCTCCCTTCAGAGCGGGCCAAGAAGCCTCCTGCGTATCACAAGCTCGTTCAGGTTGGCCCTGATGGCCGCAAGACATTGTATCTTGCTGCGCACGCTAAGCAAATCGTGGGCCGATCCCTCGAAGAGAGTCAAAAGCTCATCTGGGAGCTCATCGATCATTGCACTCAGCCACAGTACGTCTTCAGTATGGAGTGGATTCAAGGAGGAGACATGGTGTGGTGGGACAATCGTCAGTCTCTACACAGGGCGAACCCATACAAGGAGGGTATGTCAAAGCGGGATGTAAGACGCTCGACTGTCATCGATGACGGACCACTGGCTTTCGGCTGTCCACGCGACACTTCCACTCCTGTCACTGATGTTTAGCTGCCATCATGGATAATACAATAAGTCAACGCACATAGATGATAAAGGATTCTCATTGAAGATTTCAAATTGTACTGATGAAAGGGCGACAGAGGACTTGTGCATCTAAAGGAGTCTAAAGGAGATATGCTTCTGTAGGAAATGTGCGTCTAAAGGAGATGTGCTTCTAAGGAGACGTGCTTCTAAAGGAGATGTGCGTACACTATTGTGGAGCCAAGGATGCCTCAAGGTCCATCATTTCTACGAGCTTTGCCCAGAATGCTTCCCCATCTTGATCTCCCAAGGGTAGGAGGGGTCGCCGGGGGAAAGGGCTGGTGCCATGTATCCTAGCCAGGGCGTACTCTGGTAGCACAGGATGAGGCGACTGTCAGCCATTGTGGGTTCCGCAGCTTCAGCAGATCGACGGAACTCACTGAGACCTCGAACTCCTGCAGGCACTGCATATGCATCAGCTTTAGCTAGAATGGCCTGGATCCGGTTGAGCTCAGATTCCTCGTCCTTGGTAAGCGCACTAGGCTCCTTGTTCACCAGCTCCCACAATCGCATTGTGGCATATGGGGCAAAGTTGGAGATACCACTAACGGTCCCATGACCACCGACTCTCATCCATGGTACGAGGTCAGAGATCAGACCGTCCAAAAAGAGGAGCTTGGAGGCGGAGGATGGCGACTCTTGGTGTCCTGATGTTGGGGATCGCAGTCGAATCAATTTCGAAATGCTTCCACCACAGCTGCAGTCAAATATCGGTACCGAAGTGTCAGATCGATGTGTCATTGTAACCAACCTCGCTATCCGTACATCTTTGGTGGCAACTCACGTCAGCTTGACTCCTGCAAGGTTCGGCGACTTGCTTGCTATCTCCTCAATGATGTCAGAAGACATGTCTAGGCCTGCGGCGTTGGCCGGAAAGTTGTATAGGAGGATCGGTATCTATATCCAGTGGTCATACAGCGGTGAAATACACTCGTCAGCCCAATGACAGCGGAGATCGGTTACTGGGGACGGGTGACCTACAGGTGAAGCACTGCAGACGTCGCAGTAGTATTGCACGATTTGCTTTGGATCGGTTGCCAAGCTTGCCGCGTAGTATGCTGGTAGGATGATCATGCCGGCATCGCTATTTGGAGGAAAGTGTGTTATCTCAGCTTCTCGAACGATTGATTACTCTCTGTGATCATGAGGACTCACGCTCCGGCCGCCGCTGCGTGTCGAGCGAGCTCGATGGTCTGACGAGTCGAGCTGCCTCCAACTCCCGCAACGATCGGAGTGTCGGGTTTTCCACATTCTTCGAGCACCTGACGAGTGACTCTGATGATTTCGCCACGTTCCTCATTTGTCTATTCGAGAAAAGAGAGATGAATCTCATGGTGAGCTTGTTAACCCTGTCTGCCTCATACCTCCCATGCGGAGCCTCACCAGATGAACAGCCTCTCCCAAGGAGCCAGCGCAGACTGGAAAGATGTCGATCTTCGCAAGACCTGGGTGTGAGAAGAGCAACATCGTCTGCAGCGTCAGTGTCTAGTCGGACGGCGGGAACAAGTTCCATCACGGACGACTCACGAGTGAGGTGCTTCCGGAACGATGTCAGGTCAAGCTCCTCATTCGAATCGAAGAAGGTTGGCAAGGGCGCATAGACACCGCTAGGCAGAGAGCGTCGTCCACCGTTCATGTTGCTCATGCTGCGACTTCAATAGTATAGTGGTAAAGAAGATGAAGAAGAGTGCGTACCGGAGAATGGAGAAGGTATTCCAATTCCTGTTCATTCCCCTTCCCGACCCCGTATCTTGTAGGGCGTCGGTAGGGCGGGCCGCTTGCCGACGCGCCATTCAGCTCCGCTCGGTAAGCTTCCGTGCTCCCGACGCCGACGCCACGCGGAGATCCAAGACTTGCTCTCCTCGTATCTCTCCGTACCTTTGGCCAGCTCTCCTCTGCAACCCCATCCGGCTGGAAATGGCCGATTAAGGGCCTATCAGTAGCGATGCAATCTCTTGTCTTCCCTCCCTCCCTAATCTCAACCAGTCAAAGTACCACATACTCAGTAGACTGCCCTTATCTTCACGATAGGCTACCACTACCCAACCCAGTGGCCTGCGACTGCAGCTGCAATGGCTCAAATACCAGGGATCTGAGAGTCTCTTGTCGCTACTTCCTTTCGTCCTCACTCCCTATCGTCCTCACTCCATTCCTCTCCAACCGCTACAATGGCTTCGCTAAAGGTGAGTGCCTGGTCGTGGCGCCGCGGGTACCGATGATCAGTACCTGACCCCCCGTGGGGACTCCTCCAGGCCAGCACCCCTGACATGAAATACGAACTGGACCAGTCTTCCTCTATGGAACATGAGCAGGATCAGGACCTTCAAGCAGCCGGGCTTCAGAGGAGTCTTCAACCTCGTCACATCACCCTCATTGCCATTGGTGGTGTCATTGGGACTGGTCTGTTTCTAGGCACCGGATCTTTGCTCCAGGCCGGTGGACCACTTGGCCTCCTGTTGGGCTATGTCATCATGGCAACGCTGCTCTTTTCGGTGATGGTCGCCCTTGGAGAGATGATCACGGAGCTCAACCTTCCCGGTGGACAGTTCGCTCTGAGCACAAGATTCATCTCACCGGAGATTGGATTCGCCCAAGGGGTTCTGTTCTGGTATAAGTAAGTAGATCAGACTGAGCGGATACCGTTCTCCACCTGCCTTGGACGCCATCTCACACGCTATTGCCTCCCTCCGACACTTTCTGTTCACTTTGGTTCAGCTATATCATCGTCCTTCCAGCTGAAATTTCGGCTGCGGCCGTTCTGATCTCATACTGGACGCCAGCGGGTGAGGGTGACTCGACATGTACCTCTGCGATCTGCAACAACGCACTTTGGGTCGGTCTTTTGCTCATCCTGGTGATTGCTATCAATTTTGCGGGGACTCGTGTCTTTGGCGAATTCGAGTTCTGGGCTTGCTCCATCAAGGTTATCACTATTGTGGGCCTGATCATTGCTGGAATCGTTATCACCTCAGGAGGAGGCCCCAACCATGAATCGATTGGCTTCCGCTTCTGGAAAGAGACAGGGGGTTTCGTCCAATACGAAGGCATAGCCGGCGCTAAAGGACGCTTTCTGGGCTTTTTTGCCGTTCTACTGCAAGGTGCCTTTGCCTTCATCGGCACAGAGATTACTGCCATCGCTGCTGCTGAGGCTGCCAGCCCTCGTAGGTCCATCCCACGAGCCATCAAGAGCGTCTGGATCCGTCTGGTCATCTTCTATGTAGCGAGCGCCTTCATTATTGGTCTCTTGGTCTCTCCCGATGACCCCAGCTTGAGTCTAGGCACTGCAGCAGCCAAGAGCCCCTTCGTCATCGCGATTCGCAACGCAGGAATCTCTACCCTGCCGTCGATCATCAACGCCGCCCTCCTGACCAGCGCGACTTCTGCCGGTATTGCAGACCTATACGTCTCATCTCGCTCGCTCTACGGTCTTGCTCTGCGCAACCAAGCACCAAAGATCTTCCTCAAGGTGCGCAAAGACGGACTGCCCTGGGTCTCGGTAGCATTCTGTGCTGCATTTAGTCTGCTCTCTTTCATGGCAGCAAGCAGCGGCTCTGCAGGCACTGCTTTCGGATACTTTGCCGCCATGACTGCCGAGTGCGGTATCATCAGCTGGATCTGTATCCTTACTGCCTACATTCGTTGGTATAAGGGACGTCAGGCACAAGGTCTCGGTCGCTCTACTCTTTCGTACAAGGCCCCCTTCCAGCCCTATCTCAGCTACTATGGTCTGGTAGTAGCGGTCTTGGTCCTCATCTTTGGTGGATTCACAGCTTTCATGGGATCTTTCGATACCTCGTCGTTCATCACCACGTACTTCCCCATTCCCTTCTTCATCGTCCTGACCATCGGCTGGAAGTTCTGGCACAAGACTCGCATCGTCAGCACGTCGGAGATGGACTTCCAGACGGGCGTAGCGCCGCCCCTCACTGACGACGAGAAAGCCGAAACGTTCTTGCAGAAGTTGGTCCAGATGTAGATGTGGTGGCGTAGAGAACTTGTTCTGGCGCTCAAGCCAGTGATGACTGTTAGATTCCGAGTCTAGGCTGATTTGTTCCAATGACCTTAATGATGATATTCGCACCAGTTCAAGACAGTCCGGCGCTAGGCCATTCGGGACCATGTGCTCACTCGTTCGTAGCAGTGATGACTTGACAACTGCTGCTCCGGCTCCGACTCATTTGTAGAAGCCAGTGCACACCTACGGCTTCGACCTGGGCATGTGTTGCAGCAAGTAGTGCGGTGTGGAGAAGGCGGAGAGGGGCAGCGGGAACATCTCTGCAGAGGCTCCAGGCAGCTCGGCATAGAACTACAGACTTACGTCTGCGACCTTCGTCAGAGCGACTATACTAACGAGCGCGAAGCTGAACTCGTAGCATCTTGCACTTCGCGTTACCGTTGAGCATTTTGCAATGTACGCGATTTGCATCTCGAAGGCTTGGCCCAGGGGTTCGTTCTATTGCTGTCCGTATTCCGCGTGTGTGTTGGATCGCACGCACGCACAGAGCGGAGCGTGAATCGGACGTCAACACTTCCGCTGAGACCACCGGGCGGCCTTCTCAGCTTCCTCATTGTATGTCTACCTCATCCAACATAATCCTCTCTTCCTTCTCGCTTCGGATCGGAGCTGCCATATCACGCCCACAAACAGAATCTGCTGGCCTTGCCTCCATCATCTTCATCTTTGTTCCTTCGAGAGTGAGGTCGCTGCGCTGTCCATCGATCATTGCCAAGCACTGACGTGACAGGAGAGCCGAACTGTGCTAGCTGAACTCTGCTGCGAGTCATCTAGCCGCCATGAGCTATGGCATGTCATCTTCAGCATCTACCCTCGCTGCTGAGCCGAAGCGCAAGGGAACACTAGCGTGTGTCGTCCTCAAGGCGGTGAGTGTCCCCGATGATGGGAAGAGACTTTCTGAGCTTGTGCATTGACTCTGCTTGCTCTCCTCCTGCTCAGAAAAACCTGCCGAACAAGCGCTCCATTGGCAAGCAAGATCCATTTGCTGTTCTCTCTATCGGGGAAGAGAAGCAGAGGACAAAGCCGGACAAGCGGGGTGGGCAGCATCCCAATTGGGACGAGCAGCTCCACTTCGAGATCTACGATGATGCGGAAGATGTGATCACTGAAAGCGACTCAACAGGGGCCAAATCGGGAGCATCCTCCTCTTCATCGGTGGTCAAGAAACCAACCAAGAAAATGTTGAAGGTGGCTTGCTATGCAGACGATAGCAAAGAGCCGGATTTTATCGCGGAAGGGCTCGTGGATCTGACAGACGTACTCAAGACTGGCGAATTCGATGAATGGGTCACCATCAGACACAAGGATCGGTATTGTGGGGAAGTGTACCTAGAGCTGACCTTCTTCTCGGCAGCTCCACGGCCCAAGAAGACCAAGAAGCCAAGGCCAGTCATGGATTCAGCTGCGAGGGGTAGCGCGTATGGTGGCGCCGGTACCTTCACGGCAGATGTAGGTGACGAGTATGGGCCGCCTCGTCCGGACAACCAACCTCGTCCTTCCTACTCGGCAGTCCCTCCTTCTATGCGGCCGGGTGGACATCAATCAAGGCTGAGCGGTTCTTCCTCGATTGCCAGTGGCATGTACACACAGCCCTATGCGGACGAGGGAGCAAGTGGCATGCGGCCCAGCCAATCGTTCGCCGGCATGGCAGCGACCTATACGCCACCCTACGCGCCAGCTGCTGCTGTACAACAGCGCCCGATCAGCCCTCAACCGCCGCCTTTGCCTCCCCAAGTGTATCCCAGCCAGTCCGGCATGACATCGTCTGCAACAATGCCGGCAATGGACCCTCGCAGGAGGAACAGCAACTTTGCGCCAGATGCTAGCGGCTACCCTGCTTACACTGCTGCCCCACCGCAAGGCAGAGATCCTGGCCCTCCCTCATCCTACTCTCAACCGTACGGCAGTCACGCGCAGATTCCGAGCTCTTACTCTTCCGCAACCATACGACCGGGCTCTACTCAACCAATTGGTACCGACCCCCTAGACGATCTGATTCGTCCAATGAGCTCGATGAGCGTGGGCAGTGCAGCCACTTCTGGCAGACCATTGCCTCCTCCTACACCTACCGGGTCTTACCAGCAAGGAGACTACCGTTATTCTGCGCCCCCCACGCCTCAAGCACAACCCCAGTGGGAGCAGCAGCAGCAGCAGCAGCAGCATTATCAGCAGCGTCCTGCGAGTACGCGCACTCCTAGCTATCAGTACGTCGACCCTGCGCCGACCCCGCCCCCCCCATCACATTCGGCACCTCCGCATATGCCTTATTCGCAGAGCTCTCACCAGATTCAGTATGCTCAGCAGCCCCCTCCTCGAGAAGACCTCTACGATCAAACCGGTCGCCATCCGTCGTCACAGCAAGTACACCCTGCACAGACCTTCGTCCCAGCTACCTTGGCGCACAGTCTTAATCATCCGCAGACACCCTCCCAGGACCCTCGTTATCGTCCTTCATCGCCCGCTGTTCCGCCGCCTCGACCTGTCAGCTCAAGCTCATATCACGCTCTGCCTCCGGTTCCGAGCCAAGTGCCATCAGGCGGCTACAGAGTTACTTCGCCCCAGCCGCAAGCGTATCACTATGCTCCAGCTCCTCAGCCCTATCAGCAGCAGCAGCCGGCTCCTCCCCCTCAGCACTCGTACTATGAGCAGCACCAGCAAGGTCGGGCTTCATCCCCTGCGCCTCCATTGCAGTCTGCGCCGTACTATACCGCGCAACAGCCTGCGTATTCTGAAAGTGACCAGCACCAGCACCCTCAACATACCTACAGGCCCCAAGCACAGTACTCAAGGCCATCCTCACCTTCCAAGTCGTCCCGGCCGCTCCCACCGACTTCATCCGGAGTACCCCCGCCATCTCCTGGCTACCACCCATCGGCGCAGAGAGGGCCACATGACCCCTATCACCAGCAAGACGCTCCTCACCAGTCTCAAGGGCACCCACAACCACCGAGTGGACCACCAAACGGCCATGGCGGGTATGGACAGCCGGGTATTCCTACCTCGTCGAGCTACTACGCCAGCGTACCCCCTGCTCCAAGCGCCAGTGGAGGGCAGCCGGGCTACGGATCATACCAGCAGCATCAGCCTCCATCACAAGACTCTTCGCAGCCACAGTCACAAAGTTATCCATACGGTGCTCCTTCCCCTTACGAGCGGGCACCGAGTCCGGCAGGAGGAGCACCGCGACACCAAGTTCAGCAAGGTGGGCAATACTACGAGCAGAGGCCGGTCTCGCCCCAGCCTCAAAGGCCTCAACCGAGCGGAGGAAGCTACACTGCGCCTGCTGCGCCTCCATCTCAGCTGCTGCACAGCTACCCTTCGGGTCCTGTGCACCACCAGCAGTATAGCCAGCAACAGTCCCAGCAGGGGGCTTACTACCGGTAGGCAGAGGCAGGAAAGGTTGTGAGATGTCCTGTAATCTGAGATGTGGAGACGGGGCTGCTCAGTATGATGTCTGTTTGGTATCTCTTCCTAGCTGCCTCTGATCTTGATTGCGATGTTGTTAAAGTAAAGCGCTCGTCGTGTGATATGCCTTGCTTTCAATTCCTGGGTGGCTCGACCGCGGCCCCGCTCGGCCCGAGATTTTCGCCGAGAGGGGGGTTGCTCTGAGGCGTGGGAGCAATGCAGCGGAGCAATGCCCCTCACCTTCGCACCCCGTCACATCCCATCGTAGGACATCACCACGCTCGTTTCAGAGACCCGCTACTTTCTTGCTCCCCCTCTTCCTGGTCACCCTCGTCGCCCAGTATGGCTCCCTCGACCAACACCTTCAACCTGGCCACGGCTTCCGCCCAGCAGATCCTCTCCCTCGCCAATATCCGCGCCGTCCTACAGCGTCTAGAAGACACCATTGTCTTCCAGCTAATCGAGCGTGCTCAATTCGCCCAAAATGCACCCATGTACCAGCCTGGAGCCATCAAGGAGCTCGTTGAAGGCGAGGGATGGCAGGCTTCCTGGGTAGAGTGGTTCCTCAAAGAAGTGGAAAGCGCACATGCTCGTTGTAGGCGGTGGAGCGCCCCTGATGAATTCCCTTTTACGGACATGAGCCTACTCCCTAAGCCTGTGCTGCCGCCGGTCAAGTACCCCAACCTGCTGTATGATCATGGAATCAATGTCAATCGGAGGATATACGAGTACTACAGAGATCACATCGTACCTACCATTACCGCCAAGTTCAATGCGCAACCCACTACCAGCAGTAGCGGCACTTCCTCCTCCTCCTCTTCTTCGTCTCAAACGGCCACGGCAGACGATGGACAATACGGCTCTGCAGCCGTACGTGACGCCGAAGTCCTTTCAGCTCTGAGTCGTCGTATTCACTTCGGCATGTTCGTTTCCGAAAGCAAATTCCGCTCTGAGCCACAGGCCTTCCTAGAGCCTATCCGGCAGCGCGACTCCGAGGCTGTCCTTGCCCTCATCACTAAGCCTGCTGTAGAGGCGGCGTTGCTTGTGAGGTTGAGGGAGAAGGCTAGAGTGTATGGACAGGATTTGGATCAGGCTGTGGCACTTATGCAGCAGGGACATGGAAGGGAAGGGGAGGATAAGGATACACAGAGGAAGATTGAGGCAGACGAGGTAGTCAAGATTTACGAGACGTTTGTGATTCCGCTCACAAAGGTCGTAGAGGTCGACTACCTGCTCAAGCGGTGAGTATGAGAGAGAATCTTGTTGATGAAGTTTATGAGGGCGCTCGTACTGACTTTACCTCTTTCACACCCAGTCTGGAGCACCTCAGCCCTACGCAGCTAGAAGCCATCGAAGCCGGCAAAGGCTACATCGAAGAGTGATCGAGTCCCAGCAATCGTTGAATCAATACCCACAGCCCAGCTCCGTGCAGAAGCAAGACTCGCATAGATGAAAGCAACCCATCCAGCATCGTCTATTAGATTACCTTTTCGCCCATCCCCTATTTCTGTCTCCCACTGCTGCTGTAATGAAGCAAAAAAAAGGGGAAGTTCACTAGACATTCTAATGCCACTGTCATTGCCATAATGTCCGTCCACACATGAACAGTCACGCAGGTGTTTGTGAGAGATGAAGCGATATAATACCAGGCGTTTCTTCGACTCGCCATGAGGATAGTCCAAGGGTGGACAGGAAGAGGTAGCCACACACGGATACACACCATGCCTACCTCTCAGCATAGGTCGTCAAAATCCCTTCCTTATCCCTCTCCCAGAGGCCTAAAGGGTCACCTCTCCTCATCGAATGTAGGCGGCAGAGGGGACCAGCCTTCATCTTCTGCGTCCTCCTCCTCCCGCTCCCCATTCCTCCGCCGCCTCTCTCCGCCTTCTCCATCTTCCGCTCCCACCCGCTCTCGCCAGGCCTGGTCCAACCGTTCGGCAGGAATCGTCTGGGAAGACCCTCTCGGACCTAGATCTACGTAGGACTCGCTCCCCCGCTCGTGCCGTGGCCGCCGTCCCTGCTGCTGCTGCTGCTGCTGCTGATGCTGCTGGGTGCCAAGTGACAAGTATGAGGTGTCGCCCGAGATGTCTTGCTGTTCTGCTCGCGGTGTGGAGAGATCGTGCACAATGTCCCCCTGAGGGTAGGAGCGTCTTTCGAGGGGATGAGGACTTACTTCCTCCCACGAGGTGCCGAAGGTGGTGTCTGCAGCCGAGGATAGGGAGGGACGCACAGTCTCCGAAGCATTGCGCGAGCTTGTCGCTACTGTCCGTGGAGGGCAAGAGGAAGAAGAAGGCTGGTCGTATTCCTTTTGGATATCTTGCATCGATGGAGCAACTGTCGAAGGCGAGGATGGCCGCCGCGCAGATCCAGTCGCACTTGCACCATTGGCCTCACTCCCTACACCACTAGAGATCGAGAGGAAGTGCTCGCTTCCCGAGCGAGGCATCGACTGGACAATTGGGAGCTTGTGACCAGGGGAGATGGCAGTGGACGTAGAAGTTGCCGAAGGGAAGCGCAGATCGGACTGAAAGCGGGGCGTCTCGAGGTCTTGTTGACTGTCTGAGCGGAGCGAACTGTGTTCCGCAGATTGCGAAGCCTCCGTACTGCTATTGCCTGGGTGATCAGTCCGCTCCTGCTCTGACGAGGGGGCACGCATCGATGGGAAGATCTGTCGAAGACCATCCATGGCTAGAGAAGCCGGGCCAGCCAGTCGGCTACCGATTGCGCTCGACGAGACTTGAATGTCTGGCAGCCGTGCTGGACCTCTGCCAATGGGACGGGTCGCATCGGATTGGTACCCCTCATCGAGAGTCTCGGTGTCACAAGCCTCGCTGCTCTTTTCCCTGTCGTTACCCTTGTCTTCAGTCTTCTCGGAAGAGTAGAGCATCGAGCTTCCTGCGTCTCCATGAGGTTCATCATCATCATCTGCAGCAAACGAACTCTCGGAGAAGCTCTCAAGAGAAGGAGCTGCCTCACCTTCGGATCCGCCAAAGTCATCCTCATCGTCTCCCCTCATCCATCTCGGCAGCTCATTCTGAATGGCAAAGATAGCCTTGGGCAGCGCTCTCACGCGCGTGGTAAAGTCTACCAGTGAAGCTTCGTCTTTGACCAGGAATCCAAGTAGCATCGAGGGGTCCAGTGATCGCATTGGCATTCTCTTGGCGCGGTCGCAATGGAACGTTGCCAGCTCCAAGTCGGTATAGGCAGACGACCACCAATCGTCCTCGTCCTGAAAAGTATCTTGACCACGCTCCCCCCCTCGGGGCGTGAGATCGCGTGAGGACGCGACGCCGACGTTGGGAGGTGGATGACGGTACGGTACCGCCGGCCGCACAGTGTGGGGATCGAGATAGAAGAGAGAGTCTCCCTGCTGACCAACAAAGTAGTATGAAGAGCTTGGCCTTCCACCTGCGATACCAACACTCTGCGGGAAGGCAAAGATCGCCTTGATCGCCTCGTGATACATAGCATTGACTCCTTCGAGTCCGAGTCGGAGTCCGATAAGAATCAAGACAGGTCTTTGCCAGGACGAGGCACTTTGATCCGTCACCGTCATTGTCGAGAGCCGGCTCGTAGCCTTGGCCTCTGCTTTGACCTCGCTCAGGTAGACTACACCATCACTGGCTAAAGAGACGCCGAGGCCTGCTCGTGGATACTCATCGATCAACCTCTTGATAGCTCCAGCGGCTGTACTCGGGCCAAACCATTCCCCGACTTCTTTGCCCAGTCTCTTGCCTTCGCGCGCCATTCGGTGAATGCCAAAGGGACACGCACTACTTGGGTCGTCCATGAACCAACTCAGTATTTGGGCATACGTCGCACGAACCCTCTTCTGCTGCAGACTAGGATCGTCTTCGTACTCTTCAGCTTGACGAAAGTATGGCGAGGTTCGTCTCCACTGTCGCCCTAGATGTACTTCGATAAGGGCGTTGGCGAGGAGACTTTGTCCTGTTCGAAGCATACAGCCCCAGCCAGCATCTGTCGTAAGACCTGAGCGACCTGCAAGCCCAGCTGCTTGCACGGCTGCAGTGGCTCGTCCCCAGATCCCAGTGATACCCATCTTCTCGCTGAGGCTCATGGTGGTAGAGCTTGCATCAGGAGATGGACCTGGGGTGCTGGCTTGCGATGACGAGTAAGGAAGTAGCGAGCTGCCCAAGGCGTAATTGTTGACTAGACTCTCGCCTGTGGCGCCTACCTCGCCGAGCTTCTTGCCGAGCCAGCCACCTCTACTGTTGATACTGCCGGTAGAGACCTGGCTGTCCGAAAGGGTGGTTGTGTCAGCCGACGTCAGGGATGCTGCATGAGGCAATCGGTTGCCTCCCTGAGACTCCAAAGCTGCTGCTGCAGACATAGCAGCTGCGCTGGCAGCGGCTTCAGAAATGACTCCGTCGCGAGCAATAGGTGGGAACTGGCTGCGGTAGCTACACCAAATGCGTGAGCTAAAATCCAGCTGAAATTCAGCTTGCCAATTGCTGCGGTCAGATCCATTCGTTGAGCCGCCATCGTCCATCATAGACCCCGAACGCTGTCGCCGGATGCCTGAGTCATCAACTTTGAGAGAGGGTGAGACGTCGTCTTTGAACGCATGGCGCCTGCTACCGCTCGACGGGTCTACGGTCGTGCCCTCTGGACCGACATCATGGATGCTGTCCGGGCCTTGGTTCGTAGGTGCACCGCTGGGTCGTCTGAAGGTACTTTCAAGAACGTTCGGGCCATGTCGTACACCAAGCAGCCAGATGTCCTCTTGTTCAGGGCCAGCCAACAGGTCCAGGCCTGCTGTAGCGGCGACTGCGCCCGTTGCTGCCGCTGCTCGAGCTCGGGCCGACGAGGAAAAGTTCGCCAAAATCCCGGATGCCTTTGGCGCCGCTTTGGGGAGACTGGCGTGGTTGAGGGAAGGTATGCTAGTCTTACGACCCACCACTTTGCCTTTGCTGCCGCCATCACCACCTTCAATCCTCTGTTCCCCCAGTTGCGGAGATCCATCCCGTGAATCGACGTCTCCATTGAGCCTCTCATTCTTCCTGAGGCCTTTTGCCTGAACAGAATCGGTTCCTAGGACATTCATGAACCAGCCTGAGAGACGTGTGGGCAAACCCTGTTCGGTCTCATTGCTAAGCACTTCTCGGTTCTCCCTCTCCGAGTCGATCGACCCTTGTAGCGATGCTTCGAGCGTGCGAGGACTATTGAACCGCCTCATAGCGGCATCCGAAGGCACCGGCGAGTCTGTATTCTGGCCTTCTGGATACAAAGACGTCGACTCCCTCCTCGATTTGTTGGCCATCCAATTGGGTATGGCCTTGTCAAATGCATTGTTCACCCAACGCCCCTTCGCAGACAGCGAAGAGTCGCGGGTACTTGTACTGACCAGACTCTCCGTGGATGCGTTGACGCTGGTATGGTTTGGTGTACTTGCCGTTGCACCACTGCCCACATCCTCTTCCGGCAACAGAGTACGACTACGGATCTTCCTCAATAGCTTCGCTGCCTTCTTGGCACCAGGTGCCCTCTTCCCTTCGAAATTAGCCGAATCAACAGCAATGGAATTGCCGATAGCTCTGCTGCCTCCATTTGCGCCGGTGAAGGAACGACCTTCAATGAGAGACTCAGGCTCGCCCTCTTCGATCCTCTTCGGCAATGCATCGAGCGTGCTTGACCTCCTGGCAGTAGAGGAGACAGGGCGGGGAGACGATGACTGCCTGGTCGAATTCGCAAAAGGCGAGTGAGCGCTGCTCTCGAGGGGGCTGGAGCCTCTGCGGTGCATGGTTACCCCAAAGCGAGGCCAAGGGCCAGACATGGGCCGATGGGGTGAGCTATTGGAAGCTGCCACCTCAGACTTGGACGAAGATGAGCTAAGAGTGCGACTGAGGGCAAGAGGCCAGGCATCGTCCGGAGGTGGGGCCGTCGCCATTTCGTCTTTGAGACCTAAAGACCCTGATCTTTTTCTACCCAATGTCTTACTTGATGACCTCGAGAGCCAGGAATTGGGAGGTGGACGCGGAGGTCGTTGTGGCGTACGTTCGCTCTGCGGTGGGGTTGCTCCCTGGCTAGTGCGCCCTGCTGTAGCCATTGTCGCCGGTCGAGGCTGAGGAGCCCGCGAATGATCTCTTCTAGATAGACTGGCAGATCTTGAGTCAGTAGTCGATGGATAGGGTGATGCTTCATCTGCGTAGTGAGCATCCTGAGTGAGGACCTGTCCGGCCCGATCTAGAGTAGACGGGCCGGCTTGACTTGACCGCGAGTTGGTCCTGAAAATCATCTGCACGCTACTCCTCCGACGATGTTGAGCTGATGATTGAGGCCCAGTGGTATCGTGAAACTGGTCTGAACCCTGTATGCTGCTCCTCTTGCCCCTCTTGCCACTGCTGTCGCTCTGCTCTGGCACACAGGCTTCTGCCAGTCCATCTGCCATGGCTGAGCCCAACCCTAGGCAGTGGGATTGCAACAGGACTCAGGCTACTGTCAGTACTGACGTCAGCTTGAGGCGGACGCCTGCGCCCGGCGATATATGCTGAGTAGACGTCGTAGCGAGTATCAATTTAGCATGCAGCAGTGATGATAGGAGGCTACTACTGAGCTTCTCGTGTTGGGTCGAAAAGAGCCGCGAGTGATACTTGGAGGAAGCTGAGATCACCAACAGTGTAGAGAAGGGGGATCACCGTGCTGTCTGTGTACAAAGTAGTGGTGAGGAGGCGAGGATGGTAGCTGTCGAGGTGATGGTAGCGTCTAGACGGTGGCCTCCCTTGGCGCCTGTTGGTGATTCCGTGTGTGCGTCTCCACAATCTCGCCTGTGGAGTTGCAACTCCGCTCTGCCCCGCTGCACCAACGGGCGACGCCTCGTCTGCACTGCAACACCTTCTTGGATTGATATATCCACCTTTGACCTCTCGCACCCCCCACCTCCTACCGATACGGGCTACGTGAGCATGGCTGCTGCCAGCAGCAACGCCGAAGCAATGGCTAAGAGCAGCGCATTGGCCGCTCCGCCTGCCTTCTCCATATTCTTGTCCCCCCTGACCTTGAGGCTACGGGACATCTCCTCCTTCCAGCTGCCACGTCTCACCTCCTCTTCCTCTTCTAACAATGCTTCGTCGTCTTCCGCTATCTCGCTCTTCGACTCCTATGAGACTGAGCTCCTGGCTGCGCTCTCAGAATGCGCTACTCTCGTCGAGGAAGGACAATACCTCGTAGAGGACCTCTGTCAGGAGGTGGCCTTTGAGCAAGGAGGAAGAGAACAGGTCCAGATGATTCAGGGCGAATGGAGGAGAGTCAGGGAGCAATTCGATAAGTGAGTTGCCGACTTCCAGGAGACCAGTACTTGGTGAACTCACTCCAGTGTCCTTCCGAATTCAGCGCAACCGTCTCCTCAAGAGCTGCCTTGCTCCAAGGCCGTAAGACGCTGGCAGAGCGCAAGGAGAAGGGCCTGCTCATCAGTGGGAGAGGTCAGAATGGGCACGCGACGGGAGACACATCGCCAGTGAACTACGCGACTGCTGCTGCTGCTGCTGCCAGCAAGAGTAAACGCCAGAAATCTCAGTCAAACAAGAGAGGCGCCGCTGGGTAAGTCGCGTATGCACATCCTCGATTCCCAGAATGTGAGCTAATCGAACCGCCTCTTGCGACACTACCCTGCAGTGGCGACGAATCCCTCCTAGCCTCAGAAGACCTCACTTCGGCTCTCCGTCAGACGGTCGGTCTGCTGTCGGACTCCTTGACCCAGTCCGCCTTCTCCGCCGAGCTCCTCGAAGAGTCAACAAATTCCCTCTCCACCCTCTCCTTCGACTATGCAACCTTTTCCGACCTAGTCAAGAACTCCGGGGGAATTCTGAAGAGCATGGAGAGACAGGACAAGATCGACGCCCTCATGCTATTGGGCGCTTATCTCTTCTTTGCATTCTGCGTCGGCTATATTCTGAAGGTCAGGATATGGGACAGGGGCGTGAGCTTCTTTGCCTTTCTCTTCAGGCTGGTCGGCCTAGGTGGGCTGAGGGGAGGAGCCGATGTTAAGCAAAAGCTGCAACTGGCAAAGGAGGCGGCGAAGAGCGTAGCGGAGAAGTCGCCCACGGCGAGCAAAGCCGCTGCAGAGGTAGCGGCTGCTGTTTCAACCACTCTGGCCGGAGCAGTCACCACTGCTTTCAATGGAGCGCAAAAGGCAAATGAAGAGGCCGCAGCGGCGGCAGTAGCGGCCTCAACAGCAGCAGCAGTTCCTCAGAAGGAAAGAAGTTGGGAGAAGTCTGCTAGGCTGCCCAAAGAAGAGGCCATAGTGGATGGAGGAGCGGACGATATCCACATCAATATTGAGGATCGGCCGACGATTCTGGAAGAGGTGGAGGAGCTGGCCTCCCCTCCTAGCAACGAGGTCCAGGATCAGGACAAGGTGACCGACGTGGGCGGTGATGAGGAGGCGGAGGAGGAGCAGCAAAAAGACGAAAGGCAGGAGAACACTGAGCAGGATGAAGAGGCTGATGGGGAAAAGGTCTTCTATGAGGCGGAAGAGCCGCAGGAGCAGCTGCATGACGAGCTGTAACACATTGCAAGATTTTGTCAAACATGGATCCAATTACACAATGAAGCACCACGCACAAGTGGGGTTTTGGAGAAAGTTGGATCCCACAGCAACACTAACTCTCGCTAACGTCTACCACCTCTCACTGAGCCAGGTACTGCTTCCAGCACGTCTCCTCCACCACCTTTCTGGGCGCCTCCCTGCCCGTCCACTTGCTAAATTGATGACAACCTTGCTCCAGCAGAATCGTCAGACCAGGCACCGCGACCCACTTGCCCCTCTTCTCAGCCCCCGCAATACCGTCCTGACGCTCCTCTTCATGTCGCTCGTTCTCCAGTCGCACGAGCTCAAGGAGAGGAGTATGGTGGGGCTTGTAGCTCATGTCGACCACTACTCCGCCCTTGGCATTGGTCAGGATGGAGCGGGGGAGGATCACACCCGCTCCGCTAGAGGCGTCCAAGCTCGTTCCATCTGCGGGTACATTGGAGATGATGACCTGTGGTGGCCTGTCTCCGAAGGATGACTCGTCGAGGGTGTCCACCACCTCAACGGACCAGTCGGCAGGGAGCGTGCGCTGCAGCTTGAGGGCGTTTTCGCGCGTGCGATTGTACAGGTAGATCTTCGAGACGCCCACCTTGTGTGCTGCGTAGAGCGCAGCACGGGCGCTTCCTCCGGCTCCAATGACAAGGGCGGTGAACTGCTTTGTACCCCGCACGGTGAGAGGCAAAGACTTGACGCAAAGGGCGCGGATCGCAATCCAGTCCGTGTTGTCTCCAATGAGCTTTGTTGTCGCGCTACCAGCGGTCTTGATGGGAATGATCGTGTTCACGGCCCCAATTGCTCTGGCGTCCTCTGTCAGCTCGTCCAGCAAGGGGATAATATCGAGCTTGAGGGGAATCGTGACGCTCGCGCCTCCGAAGTTGTCGCTACGGATGTAGTCCTTGACAGCATCGTTGATGACGTCTGTTTCAACCCGCTCGTAATGATGAGGAAGACCTAGTTCTCCGAAAGCAGTGTTGTGGAGCAGCGGACTCAAGGAGTGAGCAACGGGCTTGCCGAACAGGGTGAATTTCTGTTTCGGTAGCAGGCCGAGAAGCGACCGAGCACGCTGCACTTCGGCAAATGACAATTGTCCCGGTGCACCAGGCGTTGGCATCGAAAGATGAGTGATGAGTGAGAGATTGGGATTGAGGATGCGAGACATCTGGCCTAGAGTGGAAGTGTTGATGGCGAGTAGCGGCTTTGAGATCGACTGAGCCACACGTCTCCGGAAGGCTTCCAGATCCAGGTTGTCTTGAGGTGAGACGGCCTTGCCCACGAGCTTGACAACATCGCCCACAGCTGCAGCCTGCTCGCACTTGTCCCATGTGGAAGGACTCGTCCACTTCATGTCGCCTGACCAGTCGTGCCAGCTGGCAAGGATCTTGGTGTGACCTTTTTGTGCCTTGACTGCCGCCAGCCGGGCTCGCGGCCAGCCAATCTCCAAGTCAATGTACTCGACACCCATTCGCAGAGCCATCTTGACGAGATCAAAGTACTCCTCTTCAGCATCGTCGGGGAACATGCCACCTTGAGAATGAGTCCGGACGGTGAACACAATAGGCAGACCGCTCCACTGACGAAGAGCGGTTAGCTGCAAAGCGACGAACTCTTTGGGAGGCACAGTCGGTGCGGTAGCAGCAGTGCCGGTCGGGCTCAGTAGATCCACTCGAAGCTCAAGCGCGTCAGCACCACTTGTGATCTCGTCCAGCAGTGGCAAAGCTGGGAGGATATCGGGGAAGGTCAGAGTGAGCAAATAGCTCGTGCGAGGGTTGCCTTTGTTGTCCAGCGCAGTCAAGTCAACTTGGTTCGTGTGCTGACCGGTGATGAAGCGGAAGACTCGTGCCATAGCGGCTTCTTGAGACCGTCCAGGCACGATAGAAGACGAGGCAGCTCTTGTGCTAGAGTTCGCGCCTTCGGCAAGGAGCGTACTGTCACTAAGATCAGCAATGGGTGCCGGATCAGCAGGACTGCGGAAGTTGACGATCTCCAAGCTCGAGCATTGGGTGAATCGCGGCCTCCTACGACTCCATACCGTCTCCAAGGGCTCACCCCAGGCGGGTCGACCTGATGTCGAGAGGAAAGCCTTGATCTCGTCCAGTGCCCTCACTGTGTGGACGACAGGCCCACGACTTCGTGCATAGGCAGTAAGAAGACTTCGGTTTCGTTCGTCTTCCACGACACCGCCTCCGAGGGAGATCACGTAGCCTGAGGAATGGTTGTCCATCAGATCGATGAGGATCTCGCTCTCTCGAAGTCTAAATTCGGGCCAGCCTTTCTCGGCTACGTAAGTGCCGAGATGGCCGAGGCGCTCTTCAAAGAGAACATCGGCGTCGATGAAACGTCTGCCCAAGGCAGTGGCAGCCATCCTTCCGAGGTATGACTTTCCTGATGCCCTCATGCCAATCAAGAACATTGTAGCCTCGGGATGGTACGCGCGAGGCGAAAGGCCGTCATCGAGCTTTGTGAGTTCGGCGGCTGATGCAGTACCTGCACTCTTGGCGAAGACGTTGCTCGGAATGAGATCCGAGTCGACGCCAGCGACTTTGACTCCGAGCTTGCTCTCGAGGTCGTCCCACCAGTTCGGCCAAGTCTTCTCGACACACCTCTTCTCCTCCAAGATGGTCTGCGAAGGAACCACCGTGGCGAGGACACTGAAAGCCATAGCGACTCGATGGTCGTCGTAACAGTGAACAGAAACAATGTCCTTGGTCATGGACGCCCTGTCCATACCGAAGACTTCCAGCCCGTCTTCATGCTCTACCGTCTTGACTCCGAACTTTGCCAATTGGTCCATCATCGCCTGGATGCGATTGCACTCTTTGACTCGCTGGTTGGCAATGCCTCGGATGCGTGTCGACTTGGCGCCACTGGTAGGATGGGGTGCCGCTACAGCCAGGAGCACGGCAGCAGTCAGGAAAGCGTCCGTCATCGGCTCCATGTCGACGTCGCCACTTTCGAAGTGATGCAGCTGGCCAGAGGCAGGTCCAGTGACATGCGTCTCGGTACGCGTCTGGGTGACATCACAGCCCATAGGTCTGAGAACGTCGGTCGCAAAGCGGGCATCACCCTGCAAAGAGGCGGATCCAATCTTTTCGACAACGACGCTGCGACCAGTGATGGCAGCGAAGGCTAGGGGGTACGTTGCAGAGCTAGCATCAGACTCGACATCGTATGCGCCTGGAGACGTGTACCCGCCGCGGGCGATCCGGTAGCTGTCTGTGAGTTTGCCTTGCTCGTCGGTCAGTCTCTCGACCTTGGCGCCGAAGTCCTTCATCATCGCAATCGTCATGTCGATGTAGGGCTGTGAAATGACCTTTCCACCGACCAGCTCGAGCAGGACATCAAATTCGCGTGCGAGCGGTGCAGCAAGCAGGATGGAAGAGACATACTGGCTCGAGATGGAGGCTGACAGCTCGATGCGTCCGCCTTTGAAGCCGGACTCGCCCGACACGGCAAGAGGTAGGAATCCATCATTCTCTGTGTGGTTGATTGCGACGCCATTTGACCGCAGGGCTGCCACCAAAGGGGCAATCGGCCTCTCCTTCATCCTGGCGTTGCCCGTGATGATAGTTGGTCGACCTTGGCCCTGAGCATCCCGGGCGAGGGCTACAACGCTGGCCATGAATCTCGCTGCAGTACCGGCATTCTGGAGGTAGATCTCCGTTCCATCTTCGGGAGTTTGCAATGAGCCACCATTGCCATGCACAACGACGACTTCACCTCCTTCCTCCCAGTCAAACTTGGCAGCTTGTAGCTGCGCCAGACCGGTCATCATCACGCCCGTGTCATCCGAGTGCAGCAAGTTGCGAAGCCTTGTGGTTCCTTTTGCCAGTGCCGCTAGCACGAGTGCACGGTTGGAGATAGACTTGCTACCTGGGGTCGAAAGCTTCGTCGGAGCAGAAGCTGCGCTCCCACTGCTTGCACTGGTGGGTGAGGCAAGAGGGCTCACTTTGACCTGGTGTGCAAGGACTCTCCGAATGATGTCGTCCTCGACGGAACTTGCCTTGTCTTCGTGGCACTGACCAATGTCACGAAGGAGAACAATCTTCTTCGTAGTACCAACATTCTTCTTATCCATCCTCATGACTTCGATTACGCTCTCAGTGGAGAGACCCCTTGCCCGATCCAGGCTGGTAACTCGCGGGTCATTGAGTGATACTGGCAAGTTGTATGCCTTGAGGACCTTTGCGAGCCGGCCCAAATTGACTTGGGCGAAGCCGGAAAGACGTCTAGACAGCTCAGCCTCAAGGATCATGCCAATGGAGACACATTCGCCGTGGAGCATGTCAGGAGTCAGAATAGCTTCGATGGCATGGCCGATGGAGTGGCCGAAGTTGACTAGGTTGCGTAGGCCAGTTTCTTTCTCATCGATGGTCACAATGTGCGCCTTGACTCCTACTGAGCCACGAATGACGTCTAGGAGTAGGCTTTGAGGGACAGATCGGTCTGAAGAATGTCTTCCCTGCGTAGCGGTGGCCTGAGCATCTTTGGACAGCACGGCTGCCCGAATCGCGTCAGACGACGACTCTAGCTTTGCGAAGTCTGCAGCATCCCAAATGGCAGCAGTCTTGACCACTTCTGCCATACCATTGCTGAACTCGCGCTCTGGCAGTGTCCTCAAGAGGCCCGCATCGATGAAGATGTATCTTGGCTGATGGAATGCTCCAATCAGATTCTTGCCGTGAGGCGTGTCCACGGCCGTCTTTCCCCCGACAGCGCTGTCCACCATTGCTAGAAGCGTGGTCGGCACCTGAACGTACTTGATACCCCTCATGAAAGTAGCAGCGACAAACCCACTCAGATCGCCAATGACACCCCCACCAAACGCGATGAGCACAGTGTCTCTCACACAGTGCTGAGACAACATCCAGTCCTCGATCTGCTCCTTGACCTGACGGCTCTTGGACGTCTCGCCGGGGGGAAGGGTGTAAGTGAGCAGCCTGGGAGGCGCAGGGAGACTCGATGTGACGGTCTTCCATTCTTGCCGGATCGTCTCGCCGTAGATGCCTTCGAGGTTGCTGTCGGTGATGAAGACGTAAGTCGAGGACTTGAGTTCGGTGATGATGGTATGGAAGACGTGAGGCAGAATGTGAAAGCCAAGGTGGATCTGTGAGTCAAGACATTGCAGTTTGTGAATCGTGAAGGCTTGGCCGGACGGGATTTGCGACTCGACCGGGGGCCTATGGTATGATGCCTCCTTCTGGCCCGCAATGGAGCCAGTGGCAGACGTCATGTTCAAGGGGGAGGGGATGGGTAAGGAGGAGGAAGCAAAGGTGTTGTGAGTAGCGGGGAAGAAGAAGCTGCGTGGGTGGAGTCAGGCCAATTTTCTTCCTGTGCGAGATGCGCATCTCTTTCCGCGTCCACCTCGAGGTTCCTTCCCCGCAATTCGGTACGATGACCTCGGCGTCCAATGGCAAGAAGAAGAGGTACACTGGCACAGGTACCTCTCACAAGCAGGGCGTCAATGGCGAAGAGGACTTTGGCAACCAGACTCTGCCTGTCGCTCAGCTGCCGGATGACTTCGACGGGGTACCGGCCGATGGGAGTGTCTACCTTGCCATGGTAAGGTGAGTGCAGCTTAGCGCGTTGCTTGGCGGATCTTTCACGAAGCCTTTTTGCTGACAATGCCCTTCGCATTTGCTTGCGTCCCCGCAGGCAAGAAGCAGTTCATTATCCTTCGATCTTTCTGGCAGCGTCTAATCCCTATGCGGTAGCGTCCACCTCCTACGTCAAGCCGGCAAGTAGAGCTGAAGAGCTCGGCATGCCTTCCCAGGAATGGCGCGACAAGTTCCTGGCTAGATTCGTAGCGATGAGGGAGGTGAGATTGTCCGGACGTAGTAACGACAGCTGTTCGTTGGCTGATAGATTCCCAGTTTCTTTCTCATCCCCCGCAGGCTCTCTCTCACACTTCCGCAAATCCACTCCCAACGCTCGACGTTGGCCGGCTGCCAAAGGCAAGGACAACAGAAGGCGCCAATAAAGCCTGGTATCGCTTCCTGTTCCGTGCTGAGCGACCAGCGTTCGAGGGCGAAGACCGAAATGGGGAGACAGAAGAAGCGCACGACCCTCAGTGGGAGGAAGAAGATGAAGATGGCCTCTACAACGATCCCGCCGAGGCTGCCAAGAGACGCTCAGTCCCATTGGAGCCGACGCCCATACTGCTCGCTCGCTTCACGATCAGTCAGATCTTGTCTGTCTTGACGGCAATCCCGTACTGGATCGCCCTCAGAGTCTCTTCCCAGCCCTCGGAAGATCTACCACCCTCTTCCTCGAGACCGGCGATCGACCCTCTAATCTCTAGATGGTGCTTCTCCCTCTTGGCCAAGCTCGACCGTCGTCTTACCTCTGACGAGATCTCAATCCTGCGCGTGCTAGCTCGAGCGTGCATTGCTGCCATCTCGCTGAGGAGAATAGAGCTCAAGGGGACAGAGCGACAAGGTACGGATCAACGGGCAGAGTCCGGAGCATGGATCGTAGTGGCCATCGTCACTGGTGTTTGGGGTCAGAGCGACCTCTGGATGGACGCAGAGGAGGACCTAGGCAGAGTCGCGGCCGATGAGAACGGCATGGTCAGCTGAGCTGGTCTGAAAATCATCTACATTGTACATTAGAACAAGCAATGCGTGCGTGGGCGCTCTTCAACATCTTTTACCGCTTCCCCTTCTTGCCGCCTTTCTTGCCTTTGCCACGGACTGGTCCGTCTGAATCCTCATCGTCATCTAATGGACCACCGGCAGCCCCTTTGGCGAGCGCGTGACCCTTCTCACGTACGTGCGTGAAGAGCTTGGACCTCGAGTCGAAGCCTTGTCCACAGACGTTGCAGCGCTGGGAAACGACAGAGAAAGAACAATGCATGTCAGCGTGCTCAAAAAACAGGAGAATTCAGCTTCTTACGCGTCACTCACCTCTGAGCCGCCGCCCTTCTTGTCTTTCTTTGCCCGTCGTGACTTTTTGCCGCCGTTCTGCCCCCCATCATCTGCTTCTCCCACATCGTCAGGCTTGCCCAGCTCTTTTGCCAATTCGGCGCCTCTACCGGATCCCCTCCTGGCCTCTTCTTGGAGCTTCCTCACCCTTGTCTCTAGCTCGAATAGATGGCTGTCGACGCTCTGCGGCGAGAGCTTCCTGGTGACGACTGCCAAGTTGAGGAGATACTCGTCATTCTTGCCTGAAGGTCCCTGGCAGGTGAAGATCCTTTCGGCCAACGCATCAATGGGCGACGGACCTATGAAGGCTTCATTGTCTGGCAGGCCTACATAGACCAAGCAGTCCTTGACAATGAGCTTTTCCATGTCCTGACTGTCGTCAGTGCCCTGCGTCTTCCCGTACACGTCAACCTTCTGAGGTGTATAACCATTCTTCTCTCTAAAGTCTAGATACTCTCTGACTTCCTTTGCGTGCGCAGGGTCTATAGTGTACGTCACTCCCCAGACGATGTCCCCTTCAGGCAGACTTTCGCCGTTGAGAGCGTGCCAGTCTTTGGCTGAGACCAGCGTGACCACTCGACCCGGCCTGGCTGGAGTTCCACGATGGTCTACTGAGTGCTGAGCGAAGCGACGCGTGAAGCCTTTGATATAGCCAGGCTGAGAGCCTATGACATGGGGCGGAGGCTTCCAGATGAGTGACCCAAAGCCAAAGACGTCGAAAGAGCCTTCTGGACGTTCTGACAGAGGTTGGTAGCTCGGCTCCCAATCCTCGGCTGAGAAAGGGGCCGCTGCTATTGGAGAGTCAGTGCCAGCAACAGCATTTCCATTGACAGGCCCATTGGCAGGAGTAGAGATGCCCGAAGGGCTTGCAGCAGACGATGCTCCTAGCTTCTCCCCTTCTCCGTCCTCGTCGTCGCTGATATTCTCGCTTGCCATAGACGCCTTCATGCGCTGTTTTGCCTTCTTCTTGGCCTTCTTGCTCTTACCTATAGGTGCAGAGATGCTGGTTCTTGACTGCGACTCAGCTTCCTCATTTGCTGTATCCCTCAACCCCATGGCTTTGACGTTCCCAGCCAGAGAGTCTGCGGCCACGCGATCTGTGGCTACCTCATCATCGTCTAGCCCCAGTTCCTTGCTTTCCTTCTTCATCTTCTTCTGTAGAGCTTTCACTGCTTTCTTGTGCTTGGTAGATTGCTCATGGTTCTCGAATGCTGCCACTGACCTGAATCGCTTGTCGCAGGCGAAGCATTCCAGATCGTTGAAATCTTCTTCGTCCCCAGACACCCCCTCTGCGTCTATTTGATCCTCGTCCTCTCCTTCATCTAGCTGGTCCTCGTCTTCGTCGTCGTCTTCCTCGGTCTCATCTCCAGAGTAGATGTCTTCGGTCTCTTGTGCGATCTGCCAGCTTTGAGGCTGGAATGCATCTGCCCTAGCTCTGCGCTCTCGCTCAATCTTTTCTACGTAGGCTTTCCTGTTCGCCTCCGCTTCAGGGCCCACCCTAGCTTTCTCTTGACTCTCCTGATGGGCCTTGTAGCGAGGGTCACGCTTCCGGACGAAGAGGGTGAGGGCTCGTATGGTGTCGTTATACTCCCTCTTGCCGGCGTCCCTTGCCCTTTTGTTCTCTTTCTCCATAAGCCTCTTTACCCTCCTGTCAGGCGCTTCGCTTAAACGGTACTGATCAAGCCAGCCCATAGACTTCCGAGTCTGGAAATTCATGAAGAACGTGTAGAAGTCCCGAACCGGGGTCTGATGTACGGTCTCTTCCTTCTTGTCGGCAACGAATGATGTATGAGAGTACCCGAAGGACGGGTAGGCGTCGCGAGGGAGAGACGAGGACTCCTCGTCGCCTGGGTAGGCAGCCGCTGCCCTGTCTTCCTCTGCCAGACGCTCGAACAACCTTCGATAAGTACCGAAGAAAGAGGAGTCGGCGTCGCTCAAGTCGCTCGCAAGGCTTGGGTCGAAGAACCTCATCAGATGCTTCGGCGTAAGGCCGGGACTCGAGCTACCGGCAGCCTTGGCGGGCTTGTTGCCTTCTTTAAAGCTCTCAAAAGCCTCTTCGTCGAGGTCTGCATTCTCAAATTCGCCGTTCAGAAAGCGTTGCCGATTGTTGTCGTACCAAGCTCGCTCTTGTTCATCAGACAGGACATCAAATGCTTCCTGAAGCTTGTGGAAGTGCTTCGTAGCTCTTTCCACATCGTCTGGATTCTTGTCTGGGTGATGCTTAAGAGCGAGCTTCCTGTAAGACCGCTTGATTTCGTCGGCTGTGGCTTCTGGCTCTATGGAGAGGAGCTCATAGTAGTCGGTGAAGTCCGGCTGAGTGCGATCGCCCTCTTCTCCGCCAGCACCTCCCCTTGCTCGAGCAGACTGAGCCGCTCCCATCGCGAGTATTCGACGAGCGGTTGTATGGCGAGGACCAAGGTGGAAGAGGGAAATCTTGGAAATTGGCTGCGAAAGCTTTCCGACGCGCCACTTCCGTCTTGAGACGCCGCGAGTGGAGAAGCACGGCGGGTGGCTGCAGCTCGACACCCTGCCCCATACTGATAACGGTGCTCCCGCAAGCTTGCCTCCCGCCACACTGACGACTGGCAGCCATGATCACTCTCAGGGCTGCCAGGCAGCTCAGTGCTACCCTGCCGCTGCGTAGGCCGCTCGCCCCCTCGCACTCTTTCTCGTCTTCCACTTTGAGGTCCAAGGATGACATTCCTGGCCTCTTCGCTACACTCCCACACGATAAATTTCCACCCAAAGAGCCTGCGATGCAAGTAGATCATCTGGTCATAGGAGCAGGTGTCGTCGGCTTGGCCATCGCTTCACACCTCTGCAAGCGCTACCCAGACAAATCGACATTTCTGGTCGAGCGCCACGTCCGTGCGGGCGAGGAGACGTCTTCACGTAATAGCGAAGTGATTCACGGCGGCCTCTACTATCCTGCAGAAAGTCTCAAGACAATGCTGTGTCTCAGAGGCAGAGAAATGATGTACAGAAGATGCGAGGAGTGGGGAGTGCCCTTCAAGCAGACAGGCAAGCTTGTAGTCGGGCCCAGGGAGTCGAAAGAGTACCTTGAGGGCATGCAGAAACACATCAGCACTCTTGGCCCACTGGCCCCGCCAGTGAGGCTACTTAGTGGCGCAGAGGCAAAAGAGCTGGAGCCGGATATATCGTCCGAGATCGGCTGGGCTCTCCTGTCCGAGAGGACGGGCATTGTCTCCAGCCACGAGTTGATGGACTCGCTCGAGCGGGAAATCCTGGACTCTGACAGCGCCGAACTTGTGTACGACACCGAGGTGGTGAGGATAGATCCTCACTTGCCAGATCGCAGTGGTACGGCTGCAAGCGGGAAGCGAGGCTCAGATGATAGCTCGGAGGGCTGGGTCGTGCAGACGAGTACTGGGGACCAGGCCGAGCCAGATGCTATTCTAGCCAGAGTAGTCATCAATTCGTCCGGCTTGAACGGGCAGCTTGCACTCAATGCCCTGCAGGGTGATAAGCGTTTCGCAGAAGGAACTGAACGCATGGGCATGTGGTACTCCAAGGGCAACTACACGTCGTACAAGGGTCCTGGGGTCAAGAATGTGAAGCGGCTAATTTACCCAGTGCCTTCTATGACTAAGGGAGCACACAGCCATGAGAGTCTAGGCAGTGAGTATGAGGCCACCAACTCGGTAAGGTATTGCGCCGAATCGCTTAGCCTCCCCGCCTTCTTTGCCTCCACTGTAGCTCACCTCACTCTAGATATGGAAGGCAATATCAAATTTGGACCGGACTCGGAGTGGCTCAAACCCCCTTCCTCGTCCTCAAGCGTTGACTTCTGGAGATCTGCTCTTGCTCCTAGCTCATCAGATGATCACCTGAAGCGCATGCACCAGAGCATCACCCAATTCCTACCCGACATATCTCTGGAAGGCTTGGCTCCCGACTATGCAGGTATCCGGCCTAAGCTGGTGCCCCCGGGCGCTAAGTTCATGGACTTTAATTTCCTCTGGCACTATTCGCGCGATCTGCAGCAACAGAAGCTGTGGGCTCACGCTGAGCTGCCCAAAGAGCTGAGGGGAGCTCAAGCCAGCAACGGCAGCGAGACCGTCAAGGGTGGAAAGGGCGGTAGCATGCTGACACTAGCCGGCATCGAATCGCCAGGCTTGACATCTTCTCTGGCAATTGGAGAGTTGGTAGGGGATATGATTGCGGAGAGGGTGTGGGGACATGGCGATGCAGCAAAGAGGCAGGCAGAAAAGGAGAAGGTGATACCCAAGGGAGCTCGCAACGAGGAGATCGGTGCGCCAGCGCTCGACGCCTGGGCATGATACTTGGTAGCCTCACAGTTCCTGTACATTCCCCATTGCTTATGAATATCTTTGACAATCCAGATAGAGTATCCCCAGGCGGAATTGATCTAATGTTGAGGCGGCGTCGACGGGAGTCCATGCAAGGTGCAGGATCGCATAGACACAAGTTGCCGTCGGCACTCGTTGCTGAGTCCGACTGACCCGCTCCACTCCGGCGTCCTTGTTCCGCAAGTCCGCCGCCTGCACACCCAGATTATCTCACCCATTTTGACCATTGTCCCTGTACCACATGTCCTCTTCACCCCTTGCTGCTCTCCCCTGTGCTAGTCGTCATGGCCGCTCTCATCATGTATTCCACACTCGCTCTCCAGCCGCACATAGCCGGCTGGCTGGAGAGGACCAAGGCTCGACGGGACTCTCGCGCTCGTGGAGACCCAGACCTCGCCACGCCTAGCGCTGCTAGTCGAATTGCAACCAGTCTGTCTTTTGGCAAGAGTCGCAAAGGCAAAGGAAAGCAGAGAGACACTTCTGCAGGTTCAGCTCCCGGAGACGAAGTTGCTCTCGATGCTGCTACCGTGTTACATACGCTGCTCCTGCTCTTGCTTGTCAAGAAGATCAAGACGGACATAAGGGGGGATGCCAATCCGAGCGAGGATCATGGGCGCGTCAGGTCGACTACTCCACCGTCTAGTAGTAAGCCTGCAGAAGAAAGCGACTACACTGCGGCTCCATCGGTACCGGCTCCTCCAGACGAGGATGTACCCCCTCAGTACTCGCTTGCCGATCCAGTGGATGCAGCTGCCGAAGCTAGCTCAGCAGTCGTCTCTGACCCGGACGTAGCTTGGCGTCTCTATCTAACAAAAGCTCTTTCCCGGCTCGAGCTCTTTTGTCTAGAGATTCTTCCTGTGGCTTCTCAGTTCGTACAAGGATCGAGGACAAGTGAAAGGAGTCACTGCATTGGCGACTCACAGAAGAAACTGCCCGATTCCGTGATCCCTCCTCTTGACGTTTGCATCGCTTGGGCAGCCCTGCTAGGGAACTCGATGGACATGTCTGTTCTCTCCATGACTGGCTCATTCGCTAGACTGAGAGATTGGCACCTTCCTCTCGCTGCCATTGCTGCTGTGCACGCTCGTTCGGACGGCGCTCAAGGGGCAGCGGAGAAGCTTCGCAGCCTGTGGACTCAGAGCACCTCAACACCCTTCCATCTTCAGAGTGGTGCGTCGTCTCAGGACAAAGGAAACGGCTGGATGGGCGAAAGTGACCTCTTGTCTGGAGGGCTGCGAGTCTGTTGCCCGGCCCCCACGTGTTCCTTCTCAGCCCGAGTCCCCTTTATTGGAGAGGCGGGCAGCGAAACTTCAAGGTCACGACGCGGTCTCGTAGACTCGAAGTGGCGACGCAAGTGCCAATCGTGTGGACAGACTGTCTCGCTTGATACGCTGGTGGGACGCAAGCTCATAGCCGATGTACAGAGGTGGTGCGATGCTTCCTCAAGCTCCTACGACGAGGTCGCCTTCGCAGGCCTGCTCTCTGTCAACGAAGGCCAAGCGGCGGAGGATGTGCATCGCCCACAAGTTCTTGCCAGTCAGATTCTCTCGCCTCTTTTCTCCCCTGCCCTCTCCCGCGAGAGAGTGAGGAGGAATGAAGCTCTTGAGGCCTCGGGCTCTCTGGGCAGCAATGGTCCTGCCTCTTCCAATTCACTCGGTGCAGCAATGCGTACCGCCGCTGTGAACACGATTGCTACTTCCCCTCAACCGCTAGGCGCCTCGCTCTCCTACTCCTATGCAAGCATCGAGACGTGGCTTCTGGAGAGTACACTATTGGTCAATCCACTCCCCGCTCTCGCCGGATCTGCAGCGGGGGAGGCTGCTCCAATGGACCAGTACAGCTCCACACCCGACCGCGTCGGTGGCGGCTTTTCGGCTTCTGGTGCCAATTTCAATATGGACAATCCATACGAAGAGGAAGGCGCAAAATTGGGCGTGGTGCAAATCAGGGAGAAGCGGGCGAGGCTGGTGAGATACGTGCATGCGCTTCTAGAGCCTTACAAGAGCCTCGCAGAAAACGGTATGCCTAGTGTCAGAAATACGGCAGAGGCAGATGAAGGGGCAGAGGAGTGGACGGACGTAGTGCCCAGGCTGGACAGGCAGGTCACTTCATTGGCTCGTCTGGGTTCAGAGGTGGAAAAGTGGCGAGAGCAGGTGACAGTCGAGGAAGGTCAAGTATCGGGCTCCGAAAGCGCGGTGAATCAAGGAGCGGCTGGAAAGGGACTATCCATTGGAGACGGCAATAGAAAGAGCAACCACAAGGAGAGCCGGACTGCAGAGGAGCACTCCACCCCTGCACTTTCTGGCGATCCGAAGCCACCAAGTATCTCGACGCTGATCCTGACCTCGTACCTCACGGCGCTCTCGGAGCTCAAGTCGGATGGGTCCGACTGGTCCAGCCAAGACGCAGAGGACGTCTTGAATGGCGCAGGCACGCCCATTGAGGTGCGCGTGGGGAGGCTGGCGCACGAGCTCAGCAGGACGAGGTGCACCAGAGCGACGAGGACAGTGTGATTGAAGAAATGATGCGGAGGCGCTCGACTGATCCGCGGCAAGCCCTGCTTGGCAGGTTAGATGAAATCTCTGCTTGTAGAGACCTTGTTATTGCGCAGTGCATTTGTATTTGAACTTGCTTCTCGCAGATGAATTTGATTGCTCGCTGCGCCAGCCTTGCGAGCTACCTTGTGCTTATGTTTTGCAAAGTCGGCCAGCCATCTTGGATCTGGCCGGGGTATATAGCGTCTAGTTCGTTGTTCATCGTGAAGACCCTCTCATTTTCACTCTCTCTTCAGACTTGAGCGGTTGCAGGTTGTGCTGGTGCCGTAGCTTCTGTCTGCTCATCCATCGTAACATTTTCTCCCTTATCCCCTTGTTGTTGCAGCTGCAGCTGTGCCTGCTTCATCTGTTCCCTCTGTCTTGCCCTCTCTCCCCTATCCACTCCCACACCAGCTCCCCTATCCGCCTCTTCCTGGGTATAAGGCAGCTCTTCTCTAACCTTTTTCGCCTTCCTCTTATGCAATTTACTCTTCCAATGAACCTCCCTATCCTCTGCACGAGGAAAATGTCGATCGCATTCGATACAGTAGTAGACTCCCAATCCAGGCTTGTCTACATCTAGCTCAGTGGGATTCTCCAGCTCGGAACGCTTGGAAGCGTCGTGTAGGTTGGCGTGCACTTGGTCGAAGTCGAGGTTGCGAGCTCGAGTGCGGGCGGCGCGGGAGACGTCGCGGCGGGCGTGGTGAGTGCGCTTGTGCCTGATACGACCCATGGTGTTGAGGGAGAAGAGAGTATGGAGGTGGGAGGGATGACAAAGGCAACTAGCTGGACGTCCAAAGCTAAATTCGACAGCCTAGTGATAGTGGTAGGTGTAGTCAAGGCGTTGAGGAGACTAGGTAGGCTACTGCTTGACTCTAGTTAGGAAGTTCCTGGCTCGAAATTTCCTTGCCGACGGACTGAGGGGCCCAATTTATTCACGCTCCGTTCCGTCTGCATTCTTGCGTCCGTCCGTCCGCCCGCCTTTCCGCTTCGCTCCGCCCACGCCAGGCCATGCAAGACGTCTAGTGAGGCACGGCGGTTCTGTTTGATTCTGGGAAGATGCGGTATTGAGATGACAGTGTAGCCGCTGGAGTGACGACATGGAGCTCTGGAGAGGTGCTCAGACATCCCTCGAGATAAGCCCTTGAGTATCATGGTCCCGCTCCTGGTCCAGCTCTCATTCCCCCGAGCTTCCCGCTGCAGCGCCACCCCGCCCTCTCTCTCTCTCTCTCTCTCGCACGGTGCAATGCCTCGCTCGCGCATGGCATCTGGCACGCGAGCGAGCAAAGGCCAGAGTGGCTCCTCTCCTCTGGCGGCAGGCAGACAGGCAGACGTCAAGCCAGAGCCGCCCTTGGCCCCACCCCCACCCACCCACCACGGCCATATCCTACCACTCCCCCATCTCACTTCCCTCGTCCTCACTCCCTTGCTAGGTAGATTCAGAGGAATCCCTCGTCTTTTGACTCGTCTGCGTACACGCAACCAGTCACGCGCATACAGCCTCTACCTTGATCAGCTGCATCACCCGCTCTACTTTCCCCCCCGCCTTAGCTCAGACCCTTGCTCCTCCACCCCCCAAGTACCGGTACATCACCTCTTGCACTCTCCCTACATTCCCCGCTCCCTTCTCTCTTCTCCCTTCCATCTGTCCCACCCATCTCCCATTCAAAATGGCCTCTTCCTCGTCTTCGGGGATGACGGGCTCCTCGGCTGCTAACCCACCTTCGCATAAGCCAAAGAGGAAGATCGCTGTGCTTGGCAGTAGGTCCGTAGGTGAGTAGCAGAGACATGGGGCATGCTAGCCGAGTCAAGCAGGGACAGATTTGGGAAATTGGTCGGGAGACGGATTTGGGCAGGCAGTGAATCCTTACAAGGCAGCGAGGTAGATCGACTGCCATTCTGACACTCTCACCTCGTACTCCACCCTACGTCCACGACCACGCCCATCTCAGGTAAATCCTCTCTCACGGTCCGGTACATCGAAGATGCCTTTGTCGACTCGTACTACCCCACTATTGAAAACGTCTTCAACAAGACGATTCGGTACAAGAACAAGGAGTACGATTGTGACATCATCGATACTGCTGGTCAAGACGAGTACTCTATCCTCAATTCCCGCCATGCAATTGGAATTCACGGGTACGTCCTAGTGTACTCCATTGCCCTCAGGAGTTCCTTTGAGATGGTACAGACCGTCTATGATAAGATTCTCAACTATACGGGTACAGAGACGGTACCATGCGTGGTGGTAGGACAGAAGAGTGATCTGCATGTACAGAGGCAAGTTTCGGAAGAAGAAGGAAAGGCACTAGCGGATTCACTAAAGGCGGCTTGGGTAGAGACGTCGGCGAGACATAATGCCAATGTGGCAAAGGTATTTGAGCTTATGCTCTCACAGACTGAAAAGGGAACTACAGAGGGAGGACCAGAACCACAGCCCAGCAAGTGCATCGTCATGTAGAGAGTGGGAGGACCAAGGAAGGGAAGCATACACAGGGCTTGATGAGATTGGAGAGGGCACATATGGGCTTGGCTTGGCGCAAGGGCGACGAGGGAAGATCCCTTTCACTTCTTGTACCTACTCTACCACCAATACTGCAGCGAGGAACGTCTCAACTCAGAGGCACTCGACCGTTTTTGCAAAGACTTAATATCCATTCCCCAATCGCACTTTACCCCAAAAGCCGGGTTGCAAGCCTGAGCTTTGGCGAGCTCATGCTGCCACGCCAGCCTTGTGAACAAGATCTCGGTAGCGGCCAGCACGATCGGGATCCACGTCCACAAGACGAGTCAGGAGCTGCGCCACATCCTTGTTGAGCTGCGCTACCCGCTCCATCGCCCTCTTCCCCCCTGCAGTACCCTCTGTACTAGAGAGATGCTCTGCGCTCTCCGACCCTCCTTTTCCCTCGCCATCAGTCAGGGATAGTGCCTCGGCAAGACTGGCCTTGTAGCGCGCCAGCGCCTCGAGGCAGTAGCGGCTATCGGGCTCCACCTCGAGTAGCTCCTCGATGCTGTCGATTTCGCGCTGCAAAAGGGTCACCCTCTGTATGCTATCCGGCCGACTGGGTAGAGTTGCAGTGCCGGTAGAGACGTCGAGATCGACGAGCCAGGCATGGTACAGCCAGACGGACTGGTCGTCTGGATCCGTGTACAGCGCTTGCCTCACCAGCTCCAGCTCCTCTTCCCGCCGCTTCTCGCCGGCACATTCCTCGCTGTGCGATGAAGCCCAGACGTGGGGCAGGAGCTTGGATCGCCAGTGCCAGGCGGAGAAATTGGAGAAGTTCGATTCGATTTTGCGTAGGGTGAAGGCTAGCTCGGACGTTGCTAGAGATAGGTGGTGCTTGCGTATGGAGGCTGGAAGGGAAGGGTGGGAGAGGGAAGCTGGGAAGGCTGGAATGGGAGTGCTGGACGTGGAAGTGGGAGGGATGGAGCAGAGGGCCATTTGGGAGATGAGGTAGCGACGGTAGTCCCATCCATGGACTGTGGCGGTGTGACAAGCACCATGTCAGCGACTGCCAAGTTTGAGCCTGGTTCGCTCAGTGACTGACTCACAATTTCTCGGATCAAGCTCCAGCATCTTGTCCACCAATCTCATCTCCCTCTTCCACTTGCCCTCTGCCAACTTAATCTTCACCTCCTCAGCCAGCTCTTCTGCTGCAGCACCCTGTAAAGCTACATCATCTGGCATCTGGATCAAGCACCACTTTCTGTGGTTCCAAATCCAATACACCTTGGGATGAGCCCGCAGCGCGTGTGTCGTGAGCTCGAGATCTTCCTCTAGGAGGCGCATCTTGATCTGCAGCTGGTGAGACGCTGACGGCGTGGGGGACGACGAGGAAGAAGGGCCTGCGGTGGATGCTCCCTCTGACGCTGAAGGCTCCGGTTGCGGGACCCTTGCAGCAGTGAAGAAGTCTGGCTTTGGATCTGTCTTCGCTGAGGGAGGAGGGGTGGTGGTGAAGAGGTGAGACAACACTCGCCTACGGTAATTCCAGGCTGTGTACAGCTCTGGGTTGAGAGCAAGGAGCGCAGTCGTAGCATTGAGAGCCGCTTCGTCTAACTGATCAGCGTCTCGCTATTGTGAGGACAGGCGTGAGTCAGCAGACGCTCTACATCGCAGTGCGGCGTGGACGTCCCACCCTACTCACGACTGTGAAGAATGCGCCCTCTACCTTGAGGTAACCCCGCAGCTTTGCCGCCTCCTTCTCCTTTCGAGCCGCTCTTGCCGAGGCTGTAGGAGCGGCAGTGCGCTTGATCCCGTGCATGTTGTCTGACCGTAGCGTTCAGCAATGCTCAGTACGAAGAGTCGGTGTTGATGGCTGGGATGTGAAGTGCGAATGTAGAATCCTCTCGTCTACGAAAAAGGCCGAGAGTCGACTGCCGCTCGCACGCGCCTCCACTCATGCGGGCCTCGTCTGCACTCAGCCCCGCCTTGGCTCAGCACAGAAGATCCAATGCAATCACCTCACCACCGCAACCATCATCCCTCCCTCTTGGCCATACTCAGTCTTTCTCTGCCTTCCACTCTCATCACCATGTCAGATCCCACTGCATCCTCCTCTTCATCAATCTCAACAGCGGCAGATGCGCCTCCCGCAGCCCTCCAAGCACCCACGGACCGCTCCTCCCGTCCGCAAGTCATCGGCGACGCTCAAGCTGGTCCCTCTGCCCCATTCCCCATCTACCTCTCTGGAGTGGTGCAGCGCGGCTTTGGTCGAGGTGGCAAAGAGTTGGGATGTCCAACTGCGAACTTACCTTCCCGGTTGCTCAAGAAGGATGGGCCGACTAGGGGAATTGGGGATGGGGATGGGGATGGAACAGGGGGAGAAGGCAGTTCCGATCTAGGCAAAGCTCCCACGGGCGTCTACTTTGGCTGGGCTCGGCTGATAAGTGCTCGTGAAGGTGGAAGAGGCGAGGAGTACGAGGATCAGGAACAAAAGGAAAAGAAGGTGGAGCGAGATGCTCAGCAGGAAGAGGGCGCAAAGGAAGAGACTTCCCTTGGTTCGGGTGCAGATCTACAAGAGGAAGAGTGCGTGCCACTACCGATGGTGATGAGTCTGGGGTGGAATCCATTCTATGCAAATAAGACCAAGACGGCAGTGAGTATCCTCGCGCAATGTACATGATCATGCTCAGAAAGCTGACTAGTGGCTGCTCCCGCCGCAGGAAGTACATATCATGCACCCCTTCTCGACCGACTTCTACGGCCTGCAGATCCGTGTAATCGTCCTGGGGTACATCAGGCCAGAGTACAACTACACTTCCCTTGGTGAGTCCATGCCTCATACCTCCCCTCATACGCCTTGAAGAATGGCAGGAATGCTGACAAGTTTTCCCTTCATTGCATCTCCCCGACAGACGCTCTAAAGGACGACATCGAGATGGACAAGCGCGTCGCCCTCAACTCGGTCCTCCCTGCCGATCAACGACCCGCATGGGCAAAATTCAAGGAAGACCCCTTCTTCTTCTCCGAGGTGCAGCCGGCATCCAAGCTCGGACGAAGTGGGACGGCAGGAGCAGCAGGAGCAGCCGGAGCAGCTGTGAAAGGAGGAGCGGCACTGTAGCGTTACATGGGAAAGCAGATTCTGTAATGTCTTCTATAGATTTGATTCCCCTCTCGCTGGGAGCCAGCATGATATCCATTTCGTGAAGCGCGACCCCCAACCCTGCTCAGCTAGACTCCACCACCACTCCTGCAGCAACCGTCTCTCCCTGAAGTCTGAGCAACACCCTCGCCAAGTCCTTGCGATTTACCTCTACCGGCACACCAGGACTCTGCACAGAGATCCTCACCAGGGCCGTAGCCCCTTTACCCAGAACCCTCGGTTTCCTCTTCTTCTTGCCTGCAGAGCCAGCAGCAGCTGTAGAGCCTGAAGCTCCCGTGGCGGTGCTGGAGGGCTTCTCAATCGTTGAGACTAGATCGACGATTGTGCAGGGCAGATCGAGGGAGTGGTGGTGTAGGGAGAGGACCGAGCCTGCTAGGATGGGGTAGGTGGGGTCGAAGACGAGGAGTTGCACGAGCAGGTTCGTCGAGAGGGCGATCGGCTGTGAAGGCGGGCAGAGGACCGATCCGACGCTATAGAGAATATAGGGGAGAACTGATGTGTCAGTATACATCTCGTGACTTGCCTTCTCTCCCTTGGCGTATCACTCACGCAAGGTGAATCTCGTCGATTCCAGAAAGGTAAGCTGTCACGCTGGCCCCTGCGACCGCCCATGGCACGCTCTCGCTATCCTGCTCCAGGGCTAGTCAGGGATGGGGTCTCAAAGTTGTCAGCATGGAGTGGGAAGCTGCCTAGAACTCATTGATGAACTCACCTCTGACTGTAGCCACTTCATCACCTGGAACCACTCTCAGGCGATCACCAGTCGCGATCAAGCCAGACACCACTCGACCAGCTGCAGCGATACCTGAAGCAATGGCCGTCTGTCCTCTGAACACGTTCGTGAGCGGCATCCGCAACGGTGCATCTACATCACGCGCCGGCGGCTCCAGAGTATCCAGGACGTCCAGGACAGTGGGAATCTTTTTGCCATCAGTCCAGTCGGCGAAGTGACAATCTTCCGACTGAGCAGAGACGTTGAGCCCAGCATGAGCAGCACAAGGAACAAACTGTATCCGTTTCAGATCGAATCCTGCGGTCTCGAAGAAGGGCTTGAGCTCGTCGACGATTTGGTAGTAGCGCTGAGGGCTGAAGTCGAACTATATATCAGAAGAGCCGAGGGACATGAGGAGTGGGCGCCGTCAACAAGGTGAGTGCGACTAGAGCGAAACTCAATCTACGGATTACTCACGGCATCCATTTTGTTGATCACAACGACGACGTCGCGGACACCCAATGCCCTGAGTAAAAGCACGTGCTCACGTGTCTGCCCTCGAGGGCCGAAACCAGCTTCAAAAGCGCCGTCCTTGGCGTCAATCACAAGGATAGCCACGTCAGCTTGAGCAGCGCCTGAGATCATCGAAGGTACAAAGTCTCGGTGTCCAGGAGCGTCCAGGACCGTATATGCCCGGTGAGTAGTGTTGAAGTGGGCGTGGGCGGTCGACATCGTGATACCTCTGTAGAAGCCAAGAAGAGCCGCGATTCATGTCAGCACCAACAGCATTGCATCGGCTCCAGGCGCGGGGTGCTGCTTACCTTTCTCTCTCTTCCTCACTGGCATCCAAGGCCCAAGCATAAGCAAAGCTCCCCTTACCCAGCCTAGCGCTCGCTCTCGCATTTGTGTTGTGCTCCCTGTCACTCAGCATGCCCGTGTCATGCAAGATTCTACCCATCAGGGTCGACTTGCCTGCGTCAACGTGTCCAACAACAACGACGCTAATGTCCTTCTTGCCATCTTGAGTTGCATTTCTCTGCTTCCACTCCTCGAGAATTTTCTCGTGACTAGCGGGCTTGGCAGGCGCAGAAAGAGACCCCACACTGGAAGCCATGGGATCGTCCCCGTCCGTGCTGAGACGGCTCTCTACATCTGCTGCTAAGCTAGCCACCGATGAGTCGAGCGACCGCGATGGCGTGACAGGCTTCGAAGAGGGTGTAGATGAGGTCACGATGCCAGCGGTGGCCTTCTTCAGGGCAGAGGGACCAGCAGAGGATTTGGACGACTTGGAGGGAGTATTGGACATGGAGGGAGCTTTGAGTTGATGTTGTGGGGTTGATGTGCCTGACTTTTTTGCTGCTGTCGCTAAATACGTAGAGAGTGGCATGAGGCAATGTCAGAGGCAGTCCCAGAATTGGAGACAGGTATGACGATTCGTCTCAAAATCCGCAGTCCTGAGTGTTGAAATCAAGCACCCAGCTTGGTCCCCTGCCGCGCTTTCACCACCTTGTCATCAGGGCTCGGCTCGACGAAAGCAGCCTTCGACACCTCGTCTCCTGCTACCAGGCTGAGGAAGGTGGAAGGATCTGGCTGTGGCAGGTCAGTCGACTGAGCTAGAAGCTCGCCAACCTCTGACCTCCGAGGGTGTGCAGACGGCGTCGACATTCTTGTCGGAAAGAGTGAGAGCTCTGCCAGACCCCCCGGCAACAGCCGTGAGGGAGTACTGTCGGCCTCTAACGATACAACAGTGTTGTGCGATCCGTCAATGTCCATCCCCTCGCCGCCTTGCATCCCGGACTCCGCAGTACGCTTCTGCGCCTCTTTTCTCTCCCGCTCTTGTTTGGCAGCCAAGGCTTTCTGCTGTAGCTTCGACAGAGGCTTGCCGCTGGCATCGGTCGGTGGCCCAGATGCAGGCAATGCTGGCGATGCAGTCTGAGACACAGGTGTCGCTTGCTTTGGCTGCCCACTTTGAGCCAGCGCTTGCAGCTTGCTTGGTCGGCCAGCGTCAGCAGACTGCATCGCAGCAGCTGAGCCGCCCGCAGCCACCACTCCCGCCTGGGTCGCTGCAATTCCGGCTCCTGTTTCGGGAGACCGCTTGCTCGGACTCAATGTGGCCGCAGGCTGTGATGCAGCAGCAGCAGCCGCCTTTCGCTTCTGCGCCAACAGAGCTAGCTTGCTCATCCCTGCCGTGTTCTCTGCCACCTCTTTGTGAATCTGCTGATTGGCAGGCGACCGAGTACCAACGTCTCCTGCTCGAGGGCCGAAGGATCGCCCATCATCTGTCCCTGGGAGACCTCCGGGCGCGAGCGAAGCCAGATTCCGCTTTGCCATGCCGGCTCTGCCTCCCCCTCTGCCCTTTCCACCACGAGAGTTGAGACCGGCAATCCCCCCTCGGCTGCACGTTCCCGGGCCAGAAGGCGAGCCAAGTGACATCTGCGAGACGCCTTCTTCCATGCTCTCGTCTTCGTCTGGGGGCAATCCTGATCAAGTGACAGAGGCAGAGATGACTTGTGTCAGTCTCGGCTTGTCGACTTGTAGGACCTCCTGCCGCACAATTGAGATGCTTCAAGAGCTCCAAAATGCCAATTTAGGCACAATTTGCCGCTGCACAACTTCAGTCTAAGGAGCTCACCCCGGCTGTGACGCAGACATTGTCCGGACAGTGTGGGCAGCAGGTAACAGAAGTGAAGCCCAGCGGAAGCAGCTGACTCACCTTGCTTTTTCTTATTCCTCTTCTCGATCTCCTTCATGAGCTCGTTCAGCACCGCTTCCGAATCAAAATAGGCATCCCACAGGGCGTCCTTGATCTCCCTCTCCCCAAATGGATTATTCTGGCTCTCTGGAGGTCCCAGCACATCGAGAATGGAGGCATACGAAGAGTCGAGGGAAGCTCGATCCTTGGGTTCGATCGACTCTGTAGAGGGTGGATGGGGCAATGCGAGGGGTATGGTGGGTGAGCTACGAAAGATCAGACGGGAGGCAGGTGGAGGTAGGAAGGAGAGTGCTCACCATAAGGGTCATCGTCGTAGTCATAGTCTGCGTCTGCTAGCTCTTCGTCCAGATCGAGATTGCGTACAGCACGATGCCGTGACATGATTGGAGAATGTACAAGTGATGTCTATGAGATTGTATGGACAGGAAGGATGAAAGGAAGACCCCCTTTTGGGCTGACGAATCTGAGCACAGAGATGCAATGACGGAAGCAGGCGTCGGCGGGAATCTTTTCTGACGGCCGCCGTCGAGCGAAGGCTGCTGCCCATCATTCTCATCGCAGGTTCATCGTCAAGACCGACAGACGACTTGGTAGAATGAATGGCAGGCATAAGCAGAAGATATAGCGCTGTCTCTCTTCTACTGCCGCAGAAGCACTACGCTTTGCAGCAGGCGATACCATGCCTGCCAGCCTCCTGGAGCACTCTCCGCTCTGCTCCCCCTCCTCGTCCTCACGTCGGATATTTCTCCACTACAAGGAGCCAGGAGAAGCGCCGCACCCGCCGCGATGAGGCGGACAAGCGCCCTTCACTCTCCTACTGGGTCAACTCTCGCCTTGTCGTGTACGAGGAAGAGATCCTGGCCAACCCCTTTTACCGCATGCTGGCCTCGCCGTTGAGGAGATGTGTCATTACGAAGCAGGTCATGCCAAAGGACCTGCTCATCTCTCTCAAGCCCGTCTTCTTACCTCCTGACCCTTTAGAGGATGAAGAGGGGGGGAATACGCCAGTCGGCAAGGCAAAAGCATTGGAAGAGGCATTCGTACCGGATAACATCCTTCACCCGTACTTTGTGCCCAGCAAACCTGGTCCCAGCGCCTACTTTTGCGCTACAAAGTCCTTTCTGAGGGATCTGATCAACAATTCACAGGCTAGTGAGTGCAACGAGAAAGCAAATATCTACATAGCTTCAGCCCACTGATGACTTTCACTCTTGTTCATGACCCTCTCGAGCAGGACGATCATCGAGTGCTGCTCCATCTTCCGAATCTTCCCGAGCCAGCAAGGGCAAAGGTCAAAACCACCTGCGTCTCGTCTCTCCTACTGCCTACCTTCCCGACCGCATTGAAGCCATGATCACCCATCAGCTGCAGACGCGTGTATTGCAGGAGGTGGAGCTCCTCTTGACAAGGAGGGGAGAGGATAATGAGGCGAGGAGAGTGCTCCTGATCCAATCGAGGGGGAAACCACCGACTTCGATTCTTGACTTCTCCCCCTCCACCTTATCTTCGAGTCTTGCACCCGAGGGGAGGGGTGCAGAGGTAGCTCTCCCATTGCACTATCGTGTGCATGCAATCTTCACGCCTCAGCAGGCCGTCACACTCAAAGAGGAGCTGGGCTTATTCCTCGATATAGAGGTCGGTGAGAAGGTGGGGTTGCCCCAGACGGCTGTGCTGGGGCCCTTGGCCGTGGCGCTTTGGCGGCTGCGGAATTGGGTGGTAGGTGATGGGAGAGGTATTGATGATGAGGATGATGAGTAGACTGAGGGTGGGAAGTAAGGTAGTCACTTTTATCGAAGCGTCGAAGGAAAGTTAGATGCAGGGCCATTGTACATGTCCTCCCCATCACTCCAGATACCCAAATGCAAGCACAATGTCTTTTTACAACGTCACATCACTGAGAGTTCCGGACGAAATATATTTGCTTTCGACAGAAAGAACTCTCAAGGGTGACTCTCGGCACTTCTCTGCCCTCTTCACATCCTTTGCCTTTGCTCCCTTTCCTACCAATCAGTCCTCCAGCCAGCGGTACTCGAAGCGGAAGTCCGACTTCTTCCTCTGTGCCCAGGACCCTTCCCAGTCAAAGTACACTATTGAGGGGTAAAGAAGCAGAGAATGTCAGTATTCGATAACTTGCCGATCTCTATTCCTCTCTCGTTAGACAGCCTACTACTCACCATACACGCCTTGCTCATAGTCATCCGTGATGGACTGTGGCTCGCTATGTCTCCTAAACCAAGTCAAGAACTGCTTGTGAAACCTCCAGCTCTGCTTCTTCAACTCTCGTGCAGCCAGGAACTGATGATATGTCCCTTGCTGGTAGTAGAAGATGTAGAAGAGAGTGTCTTCGTCAAGCTTCGAGTACATCGATGGGTTGTCGAAGATGGGTGCTGGCGCCTGAGGGTAGTAGCCCGGAGTCGCAAAGGGGTTCTTGGGAATATAGTACTTGGGCTTCTCCGAGTCCAGAGGCTCTGGCACATTCATGAAGGACGCCTCCAGAGACTTGTGCAGCGTCGGCATATTCTCATCCCGATGCAGCGACTTCATCTTGGCACTCTCGAAGCTGGTCACCAAGTCTGCTAGACTCGAGGGCAGACGAGCCTCCGAAGGCTTCTGGGCAGAAGCGGCGCCTCCCGAGGGTTGCACAGCTGCTGCTGCCCCGGATGTTCCCGCGAGCGAAGCAGCTGCGAAGGGGGCCTGTGGCGCAGCGGTCTGTGTGGCTGGACTGGCCAATTGACCGAACTGTTGAGCAGACGAGGAAGACCCATCTGCACGCGAGCCAGGAGCTCCAGCATTCTCGGGTACTGGGCTCTCTTGGGCAGTGCTCTGTCCCCTCAGACTCGAATGCGTCAGACTGGGGCTCGGCTTCGAGCTACCATTGACGTTCGGACTCTGCGTTCTCATCAGACCAGGCGGTGCAGATGGCCCCGACGAGGAGATGGCATCTTCTCCTGACATACTCGTCACTTGGCTAGGAGCATGACTGGGTGCCGGAGACGCTGTCGCTGCTGGATCCGATGGTGCTGTGGGCGCTGAAGAAGCAGGTGACGGAGACACAGCCACTTCTGAGGGTGCTGTTGCTGCTGCCGTTGACGGTGGCGCTGCTGCTGGTGTTGCTGACGATGGAGCTGCCGGGCTGATTGCAGGCGCAGCTGGCGGAGCTGCCGAGCTTGACCCAACAGCTGCAGCGGCGGCGGCAGCGTATCGTATCGGCGGTAGTGTTGCAGCTGCCGGTGCTGTTGGCTTTGTCGGTGAAGTCGTGTGAGTTGGCGAAGAGGATGGTTGTTTTGCAGCAGCGAAATTTGCCGGTGGCACAGCTTTCGGGTCGGATGGGCCCGCAGATCCACTTGCTCCACCTCTTGCAGCGTCAGAAGCTTTGCGAGTGGCAACAGATGGGATCGCCTTCTTCTCATCTTTCTTGCCCGCGTCAAGATCGCTCTCGCGACGTTTCGGTGTCTCCTTGACAGGCGTCTTGGCCGGCGCGGCAGAGACTGAAGATTCTGTGGATGAAGGAGGAAGCAGGACCAGTCAGCATCACGTTCTCCTGTGTCGTCAGGCACGATAAGCGCAGCGTCTCACCGTCTGCAGCTGACGCCTCATCATCATCGTCTTGAGTCTCATCGTCGCCCTTGAGACCAAATGCTTCCTCTTGCTCGTCCAGATCGAAGTCATCGTAGATACCCTCGTCTTCCTCGAACTCGTCTTCTGCATTCGAATCGACAAAGTAGGTGATGTCGTCCTTGATCTCCCCCACGCGATCAGGCTCCAGGGTGCCGTTCTCGAGCATCCGATGCAGGATCTCTAGACGGCCCACATGCCATGATCTCCTCTCATTCAGCTGCTCCAGCCCAGCAGTCTTCTCGGCTGAGGCTCCAGCTCCCTTCTTCTTCTTGCCCGTACCGGCTTGCACTTGCTCGATTTCAGCTTCACTGGCTTCGATCTGCCGGCCAAGCTCATCCACTTGTGACGAGATCCAGGCAGCCATTTCCACCTTTGCCTTCTCTGCCGGATCCAGCCTTGCGGCTGCTATCAGACCCTCTTTCGAGAAAGCTTTGGTCTTCATCTCCTTTTCTGTAGCCTTGAAGCGCTCCATTTGCTGTCAGAGTGATAGGGCAGAGCAAGAATGAGTTCAGGAAGCTCTCAGCCACCATCGCATATGAGGCCGGCTGCTCACCGTTTCTATTGCTTTCCTCCCATCATTCAACGCCTTCTTGTCTTTGATCTCATTGGCCTGTTGCCACGTCTTGATCTGGTCTCTCAGCCTCTGCAGCTTCTTGATCTGCGTCTTGAGATCCGCCTCCATCTTCTCCTTTTGTGTCTGATTCGTCGAGTTCTGCATCTTCTCGTACAGCTGCTCGAATTGCTCCACTCCCTCCGCTACCTTCTTCAACGTCCGATCGATCTCGGCTGATAGGATGAGCAGACACAATAAGGGATTAGCATGTCAGTAGCTGCATGGGTAGCTATATGTATGCCACTCCACCACCTAAAGGAGCAACACCAGCCAATGGCTTCCACCTCGCAGGCCAAATTCCAGTCTGCGCCCTGGCCTGCGACCTCAGAGCTGGCGCCTCTATCCATGCATTCTCTCTGGAGGGCAACGACTTACTTTGTAGCTTCCGCGCGGCCATGATGACGACTTTGGCGTGGTGGTAGTGGTGATGGTGATGCGCGAGTACGTCGTTGTAGCTTTAAGTCTCGTCTCCTCCCCCGGCTCGCGGTTGTATGAGCGTTGTCTGGTAGTCTGAGAACCAGTCTCGCTCCGATAGAGGTCCGCAAGAGAATACGGGCTCAAGTACGAGGCAGTGATGTGAGGATGCGCACGCAGCGGCAAGTCGATGGATGAGTAGAGGGGGTTTAGTAGGCTGGTCAAGGCGAGGCGAGGCGGCGAGGTGGGTACGGAAGTGTGGCCTGGAGGCGGGTGGCTCGGCCACGCGGGTTGCGCGGTGCAGCCACACACTTGGCCGAGGGAATCCCAATCTCACAAAAGTCATCAGAGGTCCACTTTACCAATTCCTCCTCCTCCTTCTTCTTCTCGTCATCAGTCGTCCGCGTCCTCTTCCTTTTAGAATCACCATGGCAAGCCGTGTACAATCTGTCAGCGGCTTAATGAGGCAGCTCAGCCTGAGCGCCAGCGGCTCATCATCAGCAGCTTCCTCTTCACGCACGGCATTCACAGGCGCTCGCCGGTGTCTCACGACTTCGGCTCCTCGCAGACAAGATGGAGACCAAGCAGACGTGGCCCCTTCTGCGCCAGCCTACCCCTTCTCATCCCAGGTTCGCGCCTTCCCCTCGGTGCCAGCTGCAGGTTCAGAGGGGCATGCACCCCTACAAAAGGTCAACAACTTGAAGAGGGGCGTCCTACCCTATGTCCACCACCAGCTACGCTCCCACCTAGACCCTGCCGCCCGCCTCACATCCCTCTTCACAAGAGGTTCAAAGCAGCAGATCCCCATCGGATCGGTCTTGATGGTTGAGACGTGGACCAACTCCTCAAAGTACTCCACTACGACATTTTCCGGTGTTCTGCTGGGCGTGCGCAGAAGAGGTACCAGCACCAGCTTTGTAGTGAGGAATCTGGTACTGAAGCTGGGAGTGGAGATGAGATTCAACCTTTACTCGCCGCTGTTGAAGGATGTAAGGGTCATCTCGAGGGCAGAGGTGGGCAAGAACAACAAGACGGGTGGATTGAGAAGAGTCAGGAGGGCAAAGCTCTACTGTGAGTATGGGCGTGCGGTACGGGTCAAGATGGAGCAGCAAGCTGACAAATATTTGCCGCGTCTGGACTTTGTTTTCGATAGACCTCCGCTCAAGGAACAGTCAGGTGGCTGGTGTCAGCAGGATGATCAAGTCAAGGAAGAAGCAGGACGATTTGGTCGCACAGAAGGAGGCAGCGGCATTGGCCAGAGGCAAGTCGGGCAAGCAACTGGTGCCTTAGAACACAGTCTCGCAATGCATCACTTTGGCGCTCTTGGCACAATCAGGCACACACTAGCGGGAATTTTGAGCAAGTTTGCATTTGCATTTGGTGTGCAGGATAGTCTCCGTGCGGAATGCTACACGAAGAGAGTGCTCTAGGCGCCCAGAGCGAGGAGCACGGCCTTCTCGACGTCGTCGGTGGTAGCCTTGCCGCCAAGGTCAGGGGTGAGGACGTTGCCCTCCCTGAGCACGTGGTCCACGGCCCTGTAGATCTTCAGAGCAGGCTCAGTGTAGCCCATGTACTCAAGCATCAGAGCGCCGGACCGGATGGAGGCGATGGGGTTAGCGATTCCCTGCCCGGCAATGTTCGGTGCAGAGCCGTGAACAGGCTGAGGGGTGGGAGGAGAATGGCGAGAAGCGGCAAGGGGTCAGAATGAGATCACGAAGACGTCGATTGGGGCTCTGGCCGCTTACTCACCTCTCCCATGATGAAGGAGTCACCAGCATTGACACTTGAGACGAGACCGAGGGATCCCACAAGGGCAGCAGCGGCGTCACTGAGAATGTCACCGTAGAGATTGGGTGCGACGACTACGTCGAACACTTCCGGCTCACGGAACAGCCTGTAAACCATGGAGTCGACGATTTGCTCGTCCATCTCCACCTCGTGGTATCGGCCTGCTCCACCCTTGGAGATTGAGTCGTTCTCCTTGACCGCACGGACCGATTCTCGGAAGAGTCCATCGGTCGTCGAGAGGACATTGGCCTGATGAGAAACAAGAGGGACAGTGAATGAGAAGCTGCAGATTGGATTGCCTCTGTGCCCTCGTACTCACCTTGTGGCAGACGGTCACCTTTGCCTGACCGACAGCAGCAGCGGTGCCAAGACGACTTCGCATCTCCTGTCGGGCAAGGGCAACGTCGAAGGCCTTCTTGCCGATCCTGGTAGAAGCTCGCTCGGATATTTGCCTGATGGCCTTGGCGACTTTGCCATTGGGAGTGTCCTCGATTGTCTCCGACTTGATGTACTGTAGAGGGGAGGCGCAGCAAAGCGAGGTAAGGTCTATGTCCAGCTCCTTCTTTCGCTGGGACAGATCTTCCAATGACTCACGAGACATTCGGTGTTCTCCCTGACAATGACAGTGTCGACCCACTTGTCCTCATCCCTGGTTCCCCTCACTCCCACCACTGGCCTGATGTTAGCGTAGAGGTCTAGGTTCTTCCTCAGCTGGACGATCGGGCTGGAGTATCCCTCCACCTTGTGCGAAGGGCTAGAGACACTTCCGAACATGGCACCATCGCACTCTTCCTTGAGACACCTGATGGTCTCCTCGGGCAGAGCGACTCCAGTCTTGGTGAAGAGCTCGAAACCGGCGGGGAGAGGGATGAATTCAAACTTGGGCGCGCCTGGGGTCAATGAGAGGACTCGCTGGGCTACCGGCAGGACTTCCCGACCGATTCCGTCGGCGGGCATCATGCCGATCTTGAGTGCCTTTGAGGCATTGGCGAGGATCTTGGCTGCTGTGGCGGTCATCTTTGCGGGCTAGATGCTGGTATTGAGGGAGGGAGGTGAGCAAGAAGGAGAGCACGGATACCGCATCTTGAACATGGCCGCCTTCGCCGTGAGTGGACCTTCCGCCCTTGGCGAAGATCGCGCGAAGGCCGAGGGAGGCACGCCAGGGTCGTCTCCCTTTCCGTTGCTGCAGCCGAGCCATGGTCCATTCAAAGCTTCCACTACACCCACATATTCCCGTGAGTAGACCTTCAAGACGACCTTTGAGCTTCTTTAAGCTTTTCTGAACCTCTCATCCCGCTGACTACCTCAGTAGTCATGCCCAGCATCATCGAGATCACGGCCAATGACAGGCTCGGTCGCAAAGGTGAGTGCAGTGAGGCGCAGCAGCGACGTGGGCCACAAGGTCTGCTCAGTGGCCACATAGAAGCCCCTTTGCTGACCCAAGATTTGCTTGCCAACGCTGACAGTGCGGGTCAAGTGCAGTCCGGATGACACAGTAGGTGACCTCAAGAAGCTCATCGCCGCCCAGACAGGTACAACACCGGAGAAGGTGAGTGGAGGATAGGACCATGATGCAATGAGAAAGGGGCTATGTGAGCTGACATGCGGCTTGACCTTTTGCCTGCGTACAACAGATCCAACTGAAGAAATGGTACACAGTCTTCAAGGACCACATCACACTAGCTGATTGTGAGTTCCTCTTGCATCCGTCGCCCGCATGAGACAGGGAGCACCTGACTGACCAACGACTTGTTCCGCGTACCTTTCCCTTGATTCGCTCGACATAGACGAGATCAACGACGTGAGTACCTCGAGCCGACAGAGCGTCCTTCTGGAGACTCTTACTGACCGCTTCCTCCACTTTCTTTCTCCCTCGATCTGACAGGGTACCAATTTGGAGATGTATTAACAAGCTTTACCATTCAATGTCGATATCTTTCTACAAAGCATCTCATGTCGACTTTGCCAGTCTGGCCTTCAAAGCCTCTAGCCAGACGTCCCTGAGGACGATGAAGCCCTCCTCCCTGGTGACAGGTCGATATGTGTCGTTGATCTCGTAAGAGTCTGGGGCAATTGTGCAGTCTGTGAAGGAGACTGAGGCGATGATTGCATCTGGAGTTGGAACTGCAGTAGAGGAGGGAGAAGCGCGAGAGGTCAGGGGTGGAAGGGACAGAGGTCTAAAGCGTTGCTCCCACTTACTTCGGCCAGGCATGAGCAGCTGACGCTCGTCTGTTTGGAAAGTATTCGGAACGAAGTCAGCACTGCAACCTGGAATGATGCGCCCAAAGTCCAGCTCATCAATCCTCCTGGACCTCCGCAGCCCCGTGCGGACCAACCTCTCTACCAATCCATGTACTCACCAGCCAAATGCGCCCACCCAGCATCCCTCAGATCAGCCTCTTGAATGAGATTCTCATCCTTCTGCCCTCTCACCACGTCCTCCTTGAGCGTCTCGTGCAGCAAACTCCAAAAGACCTTATTCACCACCAGCTCATCTGGATTCTCCCTTGCAAAGGTTATCGGGTCCGTCGAAGCAGAAGGTAGAGTGATGTGTCCCAGTACAGAGAGATGGGTCTCGGATGGCGGGGAGGAAGGAAGGAGGGAAATGGCGTATTCTGTGCTGGAAAAGGGGTGGAAGTAGAGACCTTTTGGATGCGATGGGTCGCGGATCGCTTTGCCAGAGGAAGAGTATGTCCTGACAAAAGCGCTCCGGGGCTTGGTCGAAGCTGAGAGGAGCTTCGAAGGAGCTGCAGATCGACCTACCAATCTGGTCGAAGGAGGAGCTGGTGGAAGACGCAAGGTGTGGACAAAGCGTGAGCCGCTGCGAGATGCAGCGGCTGGCAAGCTCGATGGGACCTGGCGCAAGAGGCTGGCAGAGGTTTGGGACTTGAGAGGGCTCATGCTGAAAAAGCTCTGTCCTCGGTTGCAAGATGAGTAGGAATGGCTTGTAAGGTCGAGAAGATGTTCTCGTAGCGACGGAAATGCGATGCGAGGACTTTCCTGGGTGGAGGCCCTCGGCGTCCTTGGTCATCGTCTCCTTTCCGCATTTCCGAAGCTTCTCCAACCGCCCCTGAACCTATACCCTTCCTTTGCGACAAGCTTGGCGCTGGTTTCTTAGTGACACTGGGATGGAGACGAGATGCTCATGGGCACGAACGACACTCAGAGCGGCCGCGCCATCGGGTTCGGGCATCGCAGCTCGCTCGGCCACTGTGCGATTGGCTACCACAGCAGCCGGACCCAGTAGACCGCCTCCCCCAGGCTCCTCTGCCTCTACCGCTCCAAATCGGTCTCAATCTTCGCCCTTAGACCCATCAAGCTCTTCTCCTTCAGGATCTGGCTCCCCACCGCCGCCTAGAGATGAGGTTCGGACCTTTATGCAACGGGTCCTTCCATGGATACCAGTAGCGATTCCAATAGCTGCAGTCCTCTACTCCACGACATACTCGATAGGGACGGTCAACGGCGGTAGCATGGTCCCCACTCTCAACCCCGAGTTCTCGAGTCTGGGTATCAGTGCTACAAGGGATTGGGTGATATTGAATCGCTTGAAAGCAATGTATAACTCTTGGCAGGTGGGAGAGGTGGTAGTCATGGTGTGAGTTTGGCCCTGGCCGGTCTAAAGGCAGTAGTCCCGAGCGTCAGCTTCGTCCCTTACCTTTTCGCCCATTTCGTCTCTATCCACAGCTCACCGATCGATCCCAATACGCACTCTGTCAAGCGGATCCTGGCCATGCCGGGAGATATAGTGCGCTACCCCTACAAGCGTCGCATTGAGACGTCTCCCGGTCAATACCGGCAAGTGAATGGGCACAGGCGCATCAAGATTCCACCAGGCCACTGCTGGGTCGAGGGTGACTCGTCCATCTATTCCAACGCCAATGCACCAGTTGATGAGACTAAAGCTCCAGGCTCAGCAAAGGCGAGCTCTCGCAGGAGGAAGGAGGCAGCGCACCTCGACCTCTCGAGGGACTCGCGACACTTTGGCCCTATCCCCCTTGCCCTCCTCACAGCCAAGGTCTCCCTCATCTTCTACCCTTTCAATCGCTTCGGCACCATTCCCGACCGGCCCGGACAAGGCCCGACGAACCTGAGCACAACATCAGCAGCTTCCCCGGCCGAAGAGCGCAAGGCCAAACCTCAAACGGGCTGGTGGCCCTTTACTGGCGGCGGCGGAAGTGCTAGTGGGAGTGGTGCTAGCGCTGGTGGTGCAGAGGAGGAAGATTGGTGGAAGCGGGCAGAAGAAGATTCCCGTCTTACGCCTTATGCAGATGAGGAGAGTCAGGTGGGGAGTATAGAGGCTGGAAAACAGAGGGTGAGATTCATGGATAGTGGAGCTGCTGCTCCGAGCTCACATCCTCTGGACGGCTCGCACGATCTGGACCGGAGTGATGAAGCGCAGACGGTGCCGATGCCGAAGCCGGTCAGCTGGACTCTCTTCTCGCGAAGAGCCCGCAGCGATCAAGATCTACCCTCCAGTGTGGGGAGTTACTCGAAAGACATCCCTCCCGCCCTCCTCCGACCTGCACATCGACACCTCCACCAGCGTCCTCCTCCTCCTTCTCCCTCATCACTCGAAGAAGACGATGCACTCTTCACCGAGAAGAAGCCAAAGCGACGCCCTCTCTACAAGCAACGGCATGCCTCGGAGCTTAGTGTGGAGGAAGTGGAGCAGAGGAGACGCAGGCTGAACGCGATGAGCAGGGGAGGAAAGCTGGGAGATGCGCAGCTAGAGGAAGAAGAGGAGCAGGCGCTCGATTAGTACAGGGGAGGGAGGTTAGAGAGATACCTTGTCGAAGCTCACAGAGACTTTCGGGCGGTTGTCAATGCACTGTAGAGGTACTGCAGCACCGTATGAGTAGTCAAGAAAGCACGATGTTGGTGATAGGCATTGAGAGTTCGGGAATTCTGTTGAGGTGCTATGACAAAGAGGACTACTTCTCCGTGGCATTGAGAGCTCGGCGCCCGTGCGATGGCCATAGAGGGAGCCCAGCTCGCTTACTCCGGGCCCGTCTTACCAGTCTGCAAAGTAGGGTGTGGAGCGGGCTCCGTCAGTCTCACTTCCTCCAAAGAACTCAAAAAAACAAGCCTCTCGCCCATCTGGCCTACTCACCTGTTCATTGTCATCATCGATGACCCTTCCACACCCACAAAGCCACTCGGTCCACCAGGTCTGTCTCCCTCTCCCCTCTCGAATGATACGCCGATCCTCTTCGGCCAGCTCTTCTTCTCTCCTGGTCCTACCTCCCCTCTCGAGACGAGCTGCATAATCGGCTGGGGAAGTCATCGAGTACGGTCGTGAGAGGGAGCGACTGACGTCGTAGTCCCCATAGTCGTCATGTCGACTGTCTCGACGTTGACCGATCGTGGAGAGATCGTCTGTTGAATCTAATCCAATCTCGCGGAATTTGGAAGAGGTGGAGAAACGCTTAGACCTTGCCTCTTCTTCCTCTTCGGTGTTGCGAGTTGCATCTGCATCGCCATTGGGCCGGGGGCGGGCAGTCAGATTTGAAGTGGCTGTCCGAACCGTCTCAGAGGTATGTCGCCTCTCAGACGGAGGCTTGTCTGTAGAGTAGGGATCTTCGTCTTCGTCACCTTCAGGTATAACACCGTTCACCTGTCGCAATGCGATACCATTCTCCTTCGCAGCCGCGATACCAGCAGCAGTCGCAGCGGCCACTTCTCCCCTTGTCATAAAGGGATTGTTGGCATCGGTAGCATTTGTTTCTCCAGAGGCCACTATGATCTTAGGGGTCTGAGGAGCAGGTCTACGAAGACTGGCTGCTCGTCCTGGGGTGACAATAGGTCTGGATGCTGATGGCTTCATGCCGACTGAGCTTCTCTTTGTCCTCTCGGGAGAACGAGAATGGTCTGGTGAAAGAGACTGAGGACTGTGGGCACCTCGGCGGTCGTAGGCTTCATTGGCAGCTAATCGTTGTGCGCCAGCCGAAGGAGGTCGCCATGGGTCGCTCTCATCCACTGCTCTTTCCTTCCCTTTGCGCCTCGCAGAAGACGAAGCATCTGAGTTGTAGCCGGAGTGAGAGTCGCCTTCACGCTCGTCTTCTGTCACGTTGCGGAGAGAGGAGACGATTTCAATGCCTCGGCCTGATTCACCCTTGCCAGAGTCGCCGCTGCCTCTCTGGTCGCCTGATCTAGCTTCTGAGTAGTCGCTACCTGCACTACTCGACACGCTGTGTGAGTAGCTTCCTCTGCGCAGCAGATGGCTGTTCACGGCATTGGTACCGCTGCCAGGCGTGGCTCGGTCGGAAGGCTTCTGGGTGATGGTATTCTTGCGCCCGAAGGTGAGGCGTCGGCCCAAGAGACTAGCGCCTCCGGAGGAGCTGCTGCCTGAGGCCAACTCTGCGCTGGAGGGGCCGAGGATCCGAGAGCCGCGAGCTGCCTTGCGTCTTTGCCGCTCGGCTGCAGCCCACCGCTCGAGATTCTGTGTCAAGGAGAGAGTCAGTGTAGAGGAACATTGTCAGTCAGAGGCTGAGGCTGCCGCGAGGACCATGGGGATCGCTTGCAGTAGCGCTTCCATGATGTTGTCACACACTCACCGATTGAATTTGCCTTGCCTCCCTCTGCTCATCTGTGTCCATATCCTCTTCCATCGCAGCACCAAGGCTTCTGGTGAACCCATTCGCTGGACCTGCAGATGTGACCGAGCCTGCCTCACTGCCTTCGCCGTCTATGTGGCTTCTTCTGATGATTGGCGCTTGATCGTCATCTTCGATAGGCGAGTGGAGATCTCTCCCTGCTCGAGAGATCCATCCCCCACCTCCTCTTCCGCCACTCCCTCTACTTTCTGTGCTGAGCTCGCCGTCCTCTATCTTACCCTCCGGCGGTCCAACTGTCGAAGAAGAGGATGTGATGGAGGTCTCTGAGAAGTCAGACAGGTCTCTTTCGAGTGACCGACGTGCTTGTGATGTTGAAGGAGAGAGTGGAGAAGAAGTGAAGTGTTTCTGACCTGCTGCTTTTGCTGCAGAAGAAGACGATGAGGGGGACGCTTGAGAAAGAGGATCGTTGTAGGACGGTCTGGCAGCCGCTGAGGAGATGCTGGGAGCCATCATGGGGATGCGAGGGTCCCCCGATGGCTATCGCGATCTTCGCCGATGACCTGTGGGTGCACCCTCCCGCGATGCGATGAACTTCCTAGCCGTCCAGGGTCCTAGAACGCGCCGGCAGAAGATTCCGATGCTGTGAAGATGAATACTGGCCTGAAGGGATGCCAACTAAATCTCAATAGGTATGCACTGGTGAAGATCCTCTGCGAGATCCTGGTCGATGCGCAGTAGACTTGATGAGATGCCGAAAGGGGATGCGGACGCGGACGCGGGCCCGGGCGTGAGCTCTGGTCAGAGGAGAGGGAGGAAGAGACTTGTGGAGTGATGCGATGATGCGGAAGAAGAGGAAGGGAGGAGAGGGTAGGAAGATGCTGGTGTGATAGAGTCTTGCTCTGGTGAAGGTCCGAGTCAGGACACGAGGAGAGGCTACCAGAGTCGAAGGTGGGAGTGTGCAGAGGGAAAGTGTTGTACAGGTCAGGGCGGATGACAGGAGCAGCAGACGAAGGCAGCAGAGGGTGGAGAGGCGGCAGGGCCTTGCCGAGTCTGTCTGTCTGCGAAGGAGCGGCAGCTGGACGCCAGGCCGACAGGCGACGCCACGCCACGCACACCGCACAGCCAAGCAAGTCATCAGCTCACCTCGCTTGCGACTCCATCTCGTCACCAATCATCATCGGGGGATGAGCCGTCGCGTCGGATACAGAATACACAATTCACATTACAGATGCAGCCAGTGGGAACAATACGCTCACAGCGCTCCATGCAAATAAAGTAAAAAGTCTATGCGTCAAAGTGATCCACAAAGTGCTGTACCACCATCTTGCCACGACGATGCATCTCCATCGAAGGCGTACGGCAGATGATGATAGCATGGCTGTTCATCACCTGGTCGAAGTAAGCCAGGTGCTTTCTCAAGCCAGGGATGGCATTCAGGTTGGCTTGCATGTCTCGCTGACGCCCACCGACGGGGGTCATGCGCGAATCTAGGTATTCTCTAGTCGCAGGTGTGACTTCGATTTCCAGGTACGGGAAAGTGATGCGACTCTTCAGTGACTTGGCGTCTAGCTTGCTCTGCTTCGTATTTCCATTTGCACCCGTCGCAGGCTCTTCTGATTCGACGTTCTCTTCGGCTACTGCCTGTATTGTCTCTCGCAGCACGCTGGAGATCCTATCCCGCTCATGCTCCTCACCGTACTTGACGTCCGGATCCTCCTCTAGCAAGCCCTTTCCTTTGATCCATTCCTCTTGCTGAAGAGCAACCCGCTTGTTGCTCGCCCTGGTGGCCGTTGCTAGCCTCGTGATGATAAGGAGGACGAGAATGGGAAGAACAATCGGGAACAGAGCTACGCCTATGTAGTTCAACGGGAATCGCCACGGGATCCTCTTCGGATTGAGGAACCAGGGCCAAGACCGAGGCACAACGGCTTGCAAAATCCTCTGTCCCAAAGGCTTCTTCGGCGGCGGGCCATATGGGACCTTGACGGAAGTCAAGAGCGCAGGATAGTCCGGATGCCGCTCCACTTCAATGCCCGAGCCGGCTACGTCTAGCTCTCGTCCCTCTGGCCAGCCTGCCCAGGGATCGAGTGACATACACCCTCCAGTCCGGAAAGGGACTGTGATGTCAGAGATTGCATTGGCATAGAAATCAACATGATGGAAGGCACAGAGCGCCTTGTAGAAGGTTGAGTCGGGAGAAGACATCGCTTGCAATAGCGGCACACTCTGCGGTGACGCGAAGTGATCAAGATGCCATCCTTTGTCGCGAACGTGCTGTAGCGCAGCGAAGAAGGCGGAGAGCGTGTGAGCTTGTACATGCAACCCATTTCCAATCCTCGTTCTGACTTACAAGCTGAGCCCCTGTCCTTCCCAAGAGCCTTCCTCCGATGTAGAAGGCCACTTTGGGGAACCACCCTCTTGTCCTGATCATCCCAACGTGAGGGGTGGCAAAGGTGGTGAAATGCACCGGCTCGACGTCGCGAAAGTAGCCTTGAGAGTAGAGGAGGCCAGCCGTATACCTCGCAAAGAGCCCTCCGAGCGAGTAGCCCATAATGGACAGCTTTGTCACTTTGCGCTTCTGGTCGCTTAGGCGCTGCGTCTCGCGTTGAATCTCCTGCACAATCCTCTCTGCACACCAGTCAATGCCATCGTATGTCCGCACCCAAGCATTGGAGGCTGTATTCAGAATAACAACTTTAGCTTTGCCTGATTCGCCTGTGACGGTATCGCCGCTGACGTCCGTCACAGCGTCTGCTGAGCTCATGCTATCTCTCGCCTTCTTGGTCTTACCGCCCTCCTTTGGTGCCTTGCCGGTCTTCACATCAGTCTCGTCTGCGCTGCGAGGAGATACCTCGGCATCCCACTTCTTGACGAGGGACTTGATGATGTAGGACAAATGTGACGGATCACCCCACAGGCCATGGCAGCAGACTACCAGGTGGACAGGGGAGACGTCCACGGCGGTAGTGGAGGAGGAAGAGGCTACTGCTGAGCGACCATTGGCCGCGGTGGACATGGATGCTTATTGCAAGGGAGAGTCCAAGACGCAGCTGCCCCGAGGACGAAAATTCAGAACAGGACAGCGAGCCAAGGGTATATACGTGGCGGGAAGGTTCAGATTGAAGAAGCTTCGCTTCCTTGCGGAAGTGGTGTTGCTTACCCTACGCCAGATGAACGTGGATGGGCTCGATCGGACTTAGGACGCTCATAGCCGAGCTGCACGTCCGCTCGCACACGTCGGCTCAAGCGCTCAGCCTCGCCCCAGACTCCACTTCTTCTGAGTCGAGCGGTACTGAACAGAGGAGAATGGATAACGATGTTGATATGAGCTAGGAACTCATGAAAGAGGGGAAAATTATGGGCATCGTCGCCCCTAAGGGTGCTGGCATGGCCCCTTGAAGGATGATGCCAGCCTTGAATCTGTCCCGCCGTGCCTCTGTCTGAGCCCAACGTCTGTCACGGCGGCCGATGACGGCCCGCTGCTCCCGGCATTAGTGAGGTGGCCCGCTTGGCGAGCTGTAGCTGAAGCACAAGAACCAAATCCAGACCCTTGACCTGTCCCTACTCTCCTTCCCTTCTTCACCATCTCCTCTTCACTTTCTCAGCACCTCCTCCTCCTCCCCGAGCCCCTTCACCTCCTCAAGACCCTTCAAGCCACCACTTAACTCTCCCTTCACTCAAGCACTCTTTGACAGAGTCACTCACTCTAATTCCTTCTCGAACGTCAGCTCTCGTCCGCACAGTGCTCAGCGGCCCACCTTCTTTCCATCGCCACGATGCAACTGTACTCAACTCCCTTTGCCCTCCTCTCCCTGGCCTTTGTACTCCTCCTCGGCATTCCCAAGCCCACTTACGCTTCTTCCAGCAAGTATATGGCTCGTAGCCATCCTCGACACCACGTTGCCAACCGTATGGTCAAGCTCGCCCTGCGCACCGACACCAGCGCCAACGAGGAATTCGCACGCAAGACTCTCAGTGGCTTGGGAGAGATCCACCGTGGACGTGCAACTTGGTTCGAGCCTGGTGAGTGACTGACACAGACAAGACAAAGGCTTGCGCGAGCCTCGATGCCGACCTTTTCTTACTTTCTACCCCTCCTCCGACAATCCTCTGCCTGTTCAGATGTCAACTACTGTGGTGGCACACATTCGACTTCTTCCGACATGATCGTCGCTGCTTCTGCCAAGCTCTTCCAAAAGTGGGGAGGCGGCACCAAGTCTAAACTCTGCGGGCAGAGCATCGTTCTCACCGCCAGAGGCAAGGCCGTCAACGCTACCATCCAAGACGAGTGCCCAGAGTGTGCAGAAGGATCCATCGACATGTCGTGAGTGCCCCGAGACGTAGGTAGACCAGCTCCTGGCCGCTGACAGCCCCATTGCTTTATTCCTTGTCGTCTGACAGCCCAGCCGTCTTCAAGCAACTAGCAGGCCTCGGTGTAGGTGTCCTGGGAGACCTCCAATGGGCTTTTGCAAAGCCCCAGTCTGACGATTCGGACGAGGAGTAGATGTTCGCTTTCCCACACTCTCGACCTTCCTAGTGTACCCCCGTTGTTATTACTCTGTCTCGCATTCTCTTCGTCCTTAGCTTTTGTCACCTTCATCCAATGTAAATGAGCGCTGGTCGCTCCAGAGACTCCCTCGACGTGCGCTTTTGGCTGGACTCGTATCCCTTCCAAGCTTGAAAGCCAAAGCTTGCCTCGCCCTCGACCTCGCTTCACCTCCCCCCGCCTGCGTTTGACAATCTCCGACGTGGCCCGGCGGTGCAGCTTGGCTCTGACGCGGAAAGTGAGGTGAGAGCGGCGGGTGGCCTCTGGCTATCTGCTCCAGGCAGGGCTTGGCGTGGATGACGCGAGATCGCAGGCGCCTCTGGCCCTCACTTCCTCTGCCTATGCCTCCGCCTCCGCTTTGAGCTCATCCACCCGCACCGCCGGTGATAGCTTTCATTCCCTTTTTCTCCTTCATCTAATTCCCAGTTACGTATCATCTTCACGTACAGACTACCAACACACCCTCACGACAATTGTAGACTCGCCGCGAGAGCGATCCAACAAGCAACCCAGTCCTCGATTCTTGCACTGCTCCACATCTCATTACATCCACTCGCTCAGCCTAGCTGTATCGCCACCTGCATCAGCCTTCCCCAATTCACTCCACTTCGCATATCACGATGCCCTCGCTGCCACAGACCTTGGGAAAGAGGCAATATGGTTACGGAGGATACTATGGAGACGGTAATGGGCTCGGATACGGATCTCGGGTTGGAATTGTGAGTTGTCGGAATTCGGGAGCTAGTCAGGCGACCAGCCACACGCATGTTCCACTGGAGCAATCTAGCAGGCGCTAATCACCTGCTTTCATCTTCTCACTTCGGCTCACCTCTTCATCCTGCAGGGAATTGCAATTGCCGTCTTTGTCGTTGCTGTGTGCCTCATTCTAGCCACCATTGCAAGGAAACGACGTGCTCGCCATGCAGCCGCCCTCGAGACCAATGGTAACGCAGCCTATGTCCCGCACAATGGTTACTCGAGCGGGTATGCTGGACAAAACTATCAACAGCAACAGCAGGGTGGATATGGAGGGTATCAGAGTGGTTACCCGGAGCCACAGTCGCAGAATGGAGCGTATGGATACCCACCGCCTCAAGGTCCTCCTCCGACGAATTCTTACCAGCAGGAAATGGTCGATGGAAACGTGTATGCACCCCCGCCTACCGCACCGCCCCCTGCCTACAACACGGCTGGCAAGAACAACGTGTAACGCAGCTGCGATGTGGGAGGACCGTAAAGGTAGCATACACCTCAAATGTAGCTACTGACGCTATGCATCATCTACTGTCGTCGTACCCGTGCCTTTTCGGCCCTCCACTCCGCATCCTCTTGAAGTATTCGCCTCTGTTACTGCCGCGCCCAGACACTAGTGCACTTTCCGCCCGCCCGCCCCTCTCCTGGAACGCATGATTGCAGCCTTCACCTCTCACTCTAGTGTATGCTCTCAATTCCTACCTTATCCACTTGCCTTGCACTGTTGTCATTGTACACTCTTCCTCTCCGCCTGTCTTCTTGTTCTATGTAAATGATTGGACTTTTTCCAAATTGATCAGGAGCCCGCCGTTCTGTGATCGACTCTTGCGAGCGAGCCTTCCACCACGCAAGCAATCGACCTGCTCCACCTTCGCATCCGACCACGGAACATGCCGGATGCTGTGCATCACATGTCTTTGATGATATGTCTTGTATTCTCTTTGGCTGGCCAGATACCTTGCCCTTTTCTTTCCCTTTCAAAACAATAACCATGCCCTTGAGTTGACCTTTCTGTATCCTCCTTTGCTACCTATCAACGACCACCAGCCCTGTGGCCTCCAGAAGAGACGGTGTTGACTCCCTGCTTTGAATCGTTGGTCGTCGAGTACCCTTCCTTGTTTGCTGTGAGGGGCAAGGGGGTCAGGAGGAAAATCGGACGATCAGTAAGACTCCGGGAGGACCTGAGCTGGAAATACATTCGAAACACTCACTGGCATGCTGCAGCTCTCCCTTCTCGAGGATGGCCACCACCACATCGACGTCCTTGTGTGTACCAAAGTGGTTCTCCAGCCTGAGGGGCAAAATGGAACTTTGTTAGAAGGGCTGCTCACATCGCCTCGCACTAGATTCCACTTGCAAACTCACTGCTGCTTGGAAGCCTGGCCCAGCAGTCCCTGAGTACCCTGGTCGCTGTGGAAGACCTGGAAAGAGTCGACGATGTCGGTCAAGGGGATGGTCTTGTCACCATCCTTCCACTTCTTGTACACGACCGAGTCCTCGACGATGACCTGGAAGGTGTCGGGAGAGTGGACGTCGGGCTTGTAGATGACTTTGTTGAATGACTAGCATGCGGAATGGTGAGAAGCGGGAAGCAAAGAAGAGTGAAGGAGGAGTGTCGCGTGATCAGTACCATGCGCTGTGAGGTGTGACGATGCCCATGGTGGTATTGGCATGATGGCTGTGCCTTTACATTGTGGCCACATTGCTCACCTTTGGCATATTGGGCGAAGTTGTGTAGTAGTTGTGTGGTATGGGAGAGAAGGGAAGAGCGAGCGAGCAACCAAGTAGAGGGGCTGAAGCCTGTCCAGTCATGCAATGCCTCTTTGCTTGATCTCTCACCTTCGAGTGGAGCTTCCACTGACGCCATGCGAGGTGACAGCAGCGCTCGAGCCCTCTTCAATCCCACATCGGAACGGAGGCACCGGAAGCGCCGCTGGCTGGCCTTTAGCTACCCTGGTAGAGCAAAGGAGGGTGAAGCTTGAATAGACGGAGAAGCTGTGAGAGAATTTGACACTGCCTGATGACCAAGATTCGTCTCTCCTTCCTTGGGACAATCGCTGTGACAGTATTGGCATTGCCGGTGTTGCCATCGTGTCGGTCGTCGTGTCGCTGCTGTGCGATGCGCGTGGCCGGCCGAGCGCTCAATTCTTCCCGAGCGGCCAATGGTACACTCACCTCCTCTCCTATCCTCATCACCTGAATCATCCCCACTTTTCCCTCCACGACATGATGCTGGCGAGCAGAGAAAGGCAACGGTCGCTGCTACCTGCACTGGCGGCGGCCATCTTCGCCCTGTCCTCGCTCTTCGTCGGTGCTGCGTCTGCCTCCCCCTCTCCCTCCGACTTCACAGTTCACTCCATCTCGGTCAACCACGAGTTGGGCGGAGCTCACCATAAGCTATCGCAGCTACACCTCGTCCAGCAGCCAGACGACCCTGCTCAAGGGAAGAAATACTACATTGGTCTGTCCGCGGCCGAAGCTTCGTCTCTGTCGCAGAATGAGGTCAATCTCAAATTTGGACCAGGAGTAGAGCCATTCCAGCGAGCAACGACTAGTCTGCGAGCAGAGGGTTCCGTCGCTAGCTCGGCAGGTTCGGCAGATCTGACTCACTTGTACTCGATCGACTTGCCCGAGAACTTCTTGGAGAAAAGCCCAGAGGGAATCGCCACTCCCAACATCACCATTTCGATAGACTTCCTCTTCCACCGCCTCGCTTCCCCTCTGCCCAAGTTGATCGGACAAACTGATAGCGCGTCGCTGCTGTGGGAAGGAGACAGCGTCCCAAGGACTCCTTATGGGGCCAACAAAGTCAGGGTCAAGGCTCGGTGAGTTGGAGCTGCTGTAGAACAACAGGCCAGGAGCTGTGAGCTTACCTGCTTGCATTCTCCCTTCTCTTTCATCCCCTGCAGAACTCCTACGAGCCAGATCCACTCATACAATCTCGCGCCATCCTTCCCTGATGACGCTGAGCTGATGACAAAGTCAGGCGCTACGATCACTGTTGGTCCTCAGGTGAATGTTCAGTCGATCCTTACATCTCCGGATATCCAGCAGCTGCGCGTCCACTACGGATACGAGAGTCCAATCGTGTCAATTGTGGATCTGCAGCGACACGTTGAGGTCTCACACTGGGGCGACAACCTTGCCTTCCAGGACCGCGTCTGGATCCGGAACGATGGACCGGGCCTCAAGGGTCACTTCTCCAGGGTAGAGCACCAACTGGGAGCTTTCCTCAAGCGACCCTCGAAGAACCTCCTCACAGACTTTTCCATCATCCTCCCTTCGGGTGCCAAAGATGCCTACTTCATCGACCAAATCGGCAATGTCTCCACCTCGGCATTCAGAGGAACCCCTCCGAATGCAGCACACATCACCAAGCCAGCGTATCAGCTGCCAGCAGACCAGGCCTCGTACCTTCACCTCCAGCCGAGATACCCCCTCATGGGAGGTTGGAACTACACCTATGAAGTCGGCTTCAACCTTCCCCTCTCCAAGGGCGGCTGGCTCCGATCCCTCAAGAAGGGCAATCAGTACACCGTCGCGGTCCCCTTCTACTCTGCCGTGAGGGACATGCCCGCCAGCAAGGTCAAGACTCGAATCGTCCTCCCCGAGGGAGCCACGCCCATTTCGGTGCACGTGCCCTTCGAAGCCGATTCGGTAGAGAACGAAGTCTACACTACCTACCTCGACACGATTGGTAGGCCTGCAGTGGTGATTGAAAAAAGTAGGGCAGGAGAAGCAGAGGCTGCCAACGTCTATGTGCAGTACGAGATGGCTGCAGGGGCTGATTTGCTCAAGCCATTTGTTGTCACCAATGTCGCGCTACTGCTCTTCATTGGGGCTGTGGCTATGAGGAAGCTGCAAGCTAGAGGTTAGAGAAGATGTGGAAGAGAGAGAGAGTGGGAGGCGGAGTGCAGACAGCGGGAGACGAGGTTGGAGGAGCTCTCAGGCTCTGCCCGTGCCGAGGATTGAAAATGTCTATAAGCTTTGCCAGAGTAGCCAATTAATACAGTATCGACGATGTCCTCTTTGTGGCGTCAGAGCTGTGTAAGCTCCAGCTCTCTCACGGTGAAGTGCTGATGGGTTTGTTGACAATCCATGCTTCTACCATCTACGATAGACCATATCCTCCTCCTCTGGCCTCCAGATCATCTTCCTTTTTTCTTTAACCCCCTTCGCTCAAGCGCTACTTGCCTCGAGGGCAGCATTGGGCACCAGACCCAGCTCCCTGAGCGACTGGGCCTTCTCGGCATCGGTAAAGAACTTGCGTGGGAACGTTTGAGAGAACTGTGCATGTCGACAGGCAGATACATTGAGGATTGAGAGGCGTCAGAGCTTGTTTGACCTGGAGACGGTTGGACCCCTCTGTACCACTCACCTTCAAAGGCCCGCTCGCCTTGCCGTCCTTCCGCACCATGTCCTCCACCTGCGCAAGTGTAGTCTCTGCCGGCAATGTCCCCATCCACTGCCCACCTGGGGCTCGAATCCTTAGCCGGCTCTCATTGGACGTGGAAGCGGCAGGCTTGGGTAGGGTAGCAGCCTGCGTGGGCGCGGCAGGGGTGGCTTCCTGGGTACGCCCTTCCCGTAGCGCCTTATCGCGGGCAGCCTTGTCTGCTCGCTCTCGCTTGTCTGCCTCGATCTGAGCTTTGACCCGTGCTTTTGCTTCGAGCTGTGACGAGATGAGCAGGGAGAAGATCGGTGAGCCGCAGCTTGTGAGTTATGCTTTCCTCGCGTCACTTACCTCGGCCTTCTTCTCGGCAGCCTTGCGTTGTTGGTCTTTGATGGCCTCCTTCTTCTTCATCTCCTCGACCGCAAGCGTCTGGTCTTGTCCCGCCTTCCTACGAATCTGCAAGACAGTGGAGAGCAGGATGGACGTCAGACTAGAAGGTCGAATACCAAGCGATCAAAGGGGCCCCAGTTGCATTTTCTCACCTTCTCGTTAGCCCTCGCCTCTTCGGCATCGATCTTAGACTGCGCCGCCCTCTTCTCTGCTAGCTTTGCTCGCACTGCATGAGGAGATTTATGATGGTCAGCTGTACTCAAAGAAGCCGTCGAGTACTTTGCACGTCCTCTTACTTACTCTGGGCGAGCCTCTCCTTCTTCTCCTCCTCTGTCAGAGGCTTGATCTGGCGTTCATGTATCAGGGTCAGAATCGGCGAGTCAGCAGAAGATCGCCGTGTTGAAAGCTCCATACAATTCCTCACCTCTTCTGTGCTCTCTTCGAAGTTGGTGTGGCCGCTCTTCTCGGCGTGGAAAGAGGCAAAGTCTGCATTCCTCAGCACTTTGCCACAGTCAGTGCATTTGATCGACTGTGAGGGGAGCAGTGGTGGTAGCATGCCGAATACGAATCAGCTGCTGAGCTGGTCGACACCATCTGTTGATGTAGTAGTCGTTGCATGCCTACCCACCTTGGCTTCTCCTCCTGCCGTTGCGGAATCGACTGCTCCCTGGCCCTTGTTCTTGAGCATGTCCATCAACGCTGCCTTTTCCTCATCGTCGTAATCAGCTTCACCTGAGCCGCTGGAGCTTGCTCCTACGCCTGCAGGCTGGCTCTTGTAGTCTGGTATGGGCTTGTCTTGGTTGGCTTCCAGATGATCGAGAGCTGACTGTAGCCCAGAATTGCCAGTGGAATGGAGAGCCCACTCGACTCGTTCCGGCTCGAAGCCCATTGCGAGGACTGGAACATTGATCCGGCGTCAGCACCACATTCGTCCTTCGCTCTTGTTTGTGGATATATGCGACTTGCTTCACTCACGATTGTCTTTGTCGGACATGCTGGGCCAAGTATGTGTACAGATGTGCTGTATAGGACGACGGGAACGCACAGAGCCAGGTGCACGTACTTACGTCCCCCTTCCTTGAATGCAGGAGCGGAAGTGGAGTGAGTCCAACTCGCCTCCAGTCGCGCCGCCTGCCAATCAGAGTCAAGGAGGAAGCAGCGGTGCTTCCGTCGTCAGTCGTCCATCTTGCCATCCGACCTACTCATCCATCCGCTCATACCCAACACTCGCCCTCGTCCTCATCTTCACCCGCACCTTCGTTCCAGCGGACCGCCAAGTGCTCGTCTCTTCTCAGCACAGCTGCTGGTCTCGATGTTCTGCTATCTGCTCAGAGCTTGATTGTGAAGCGATTAGCAGCAGACACCGCTCAGTCACCATTTGCTCAAGAATCAATCACTGCGCCTTCAGTATCGGATCCTTCGCATGCCTGGGATGCCCCTTCAGCCTACACCAAAGGTCGAGGTGCAAGGCGACAGCGATGACGAGCTGAGTGAAGGAGACTTTGACTATGATTCGTCTGATCTCTCTTCGGGAGAGATGGAGTACGCCGAATCCGGACAAGCCAAGAAGAAGACAGGAGTCTACAAATCTGCAATGGTCTTGGCCACGCCTCGCATTGTCATGAGTCCCGTCTCTCAGCTCTACGAGGACATCGAGGCCGGAGATATCGACTTGGAACCAGACTACCAGCGTGATGTAGTATGGGCAAAGACAAAGCAGAGCGCCATCATCGAATCACTCCTGCGGCACTACTACATTCCCCCCGTCCTCTTCTCGGCCTGCAAGGCTGGCACTGGTGGTCAGAAGTACACGTGTATTGACGGTAAGCAGCGCTTATCGTCAATTCGCAATTTCATGAACAATGAGATTCCCGTCAAGGATGCTTCAGGAAAGAACTTCTACTTCCAGGCAAAGCGTGGGAATGCAGGCCTCCCACCAGAGGTAGCAAAGCGCTTCAAAAGGGAGAGCATTCCGACAGTCATCTACGAAAATCTCAAGGACGAACAGGAAAGAGAAATGTTTCAGAGGGTGCAGATGGGCATGGTACTCTCACCTGCTGAGAAGGTCTACGCCCGCAAAGGTCCCTGGAATGATTTCGTGAAAGAGATGGCACACAAGTACATGGATCACAATCGCCCAGGAGAGAATCTCTGTCATGTGACGGAAACCAAAAGGGCAAGGGAATGGATGGGTCTAGCCCAGGTGAGTGTCATGTGTGATGATGGCATGCAAGGAGCAACGCAAAGAGAACAAGCATCATGTAACGATGGCGCAGTGGGCGCCTGTATCACTTCGAGTGAAGCAAACGCTGACAGAGTACACAATCCCTCCAACAGATCACTTTAATGATATTGCACAGCGGAGATCCAGACATTCCCTGGTCCGCTGCCCGGGTTGGTTCCTTTCTCGAGAAGCACCCAGAGGGCCCCACCAACCAGCTCAAGAAGGAAGCAGAGGAAGCCATCGATCGCTTCGTGACCCTCGCTAATGATGAGCGTTGGAATGGGCCCCTCCTGCCAAGAGAGGGCCGAGGGGCCAGGCTACTCTCTCCTGCTGAGTTCGCGCATGTTGGATTCTTGGTATGGCGATACCCACATGCGAGTTACTACGACCTAGCAAGATGGGTGCAAATTCTTCGGACGGAGGTTCACGAGAACTTCTACCAACACGTCCACTTCGACAAGAAAGTGACAAAGTGGCTCAGAGACAGGATCGACTCTTTCACGGAGGAGGGCGCTGTACCACGAGGCGGTACGACTGGGGGTCGTAAGCGAAAAGTCATTGCACATGACGCGAATGAAATGCAGCCTCGCACACGCCCCCGCCCCTCGAGGGAGGAGCGCGATGCTATGCGCTCTGCTAGTGAGCGCAATGGTGACGCGGGTAGCGGAGGAGGAGCAGCCGGCAATCGAGATGGATCTCGTCAGCAACCGAGCACCAGTGATGCGACCTCTACCGCAAACAATTCGCATGCCCAAGCTTCCACCAGCAGGCAGGGTGGTGTCGCAAGTGCGACCAACGGCCACGCTGCGCAGACGATGCAACAGAGCAATGGCGCACCACAATCTTTCTACAGCGAACAGCGGGCCCAGGCATCCCCCCGTGACCAAGCGGCATCGCCCCTCTTCTTCGATGCGGAGTCACCCAATGTCTCCTTCGCGCCAACGGAAAGTCTCTTCCCGCACGCTCGAAGACTGCCGCCACGCAATCCGTTCCTGTGAGAAGCAGTCGCCAGAGACGCACGCGTAACAACGCAGTGGTACCAGCTGGGATGGCTGGGGGAGGCGAACAATAATCTACAGAAGCGGCAGGGGTAGATGCCTCGGGCGATGCGGAAAGAGGCGGAAGGTAGGAGCAGAGCAGTACGTATACAAATTGATTCCCATTCTCTAGCGTCATGAGTTGTCTTCGTCGTAATCAATACCATGTACAGTACGCAGGTCTTTCTGACTTGCGATTTCGAGTGGACGCCTCCGAGGGTCTTCGAGGCGCGCGCGGACGCCAGCCACCTGCTTCGAGTCACACAAATCTCTGAGTCACTCGCTGTGACAAGGGACATCTCGGCCTCCAGCACCCTACCGTACTGTCTCTCTCGCTCTCTCTCCTTCTCTCTACGTCCTGAAGTATGTCTGTGAAGATCATAGAACTCGATGCCCAGGCCGTGGGCCAGAATGTCAAGGCGCTGTCAGAAGTGCTCATCGAGAATGTCCATGACGGCGCAGCGCTAAGCTACATGGCACCACTTGCCCAGGAAGTAGCTGATCGCTTCTGGCTGGACGATGTCATTCCTGAAGTCACGAAGCGTCGGCGACTTTTCTTCGCCGCTGAGTACGAAGGGAAGTTGGTAGGGACCGTCCAGCTGATCATCGCTCTGACACCAAACCAGCCGCACCGCTGCGAGCTGGCCAAGCTGATGGTCCACCCTAGAGCACGGCGCTTGGGTATTGGAAGAGCCCTTGTCGGGCAAGCAATACAACGAGCACAGGAGCTGGGCAAGATGCTACTCACGCTAGACACCAACACAGGCGATGCTGGACAAGCTCTCTACGCTTCTCTTGGCTTCAAGGAGGCTGGTGTGATTCCGGACTATGCGTGGGATCCAGATGGACGAGCACGTCACTCGACGACGTACATGTACAAATACCTCTAGACTTAGTGTGAACACTCGTTGGCTCGTCACCTGACTACAGTCTGAAGATGGCATGCAACGATCGGGCTTCCCCATGTGCGTTCCGGCTAATCTCCATCCTCTACGCGTGCTGACGTGCTGACGTGCCTCGCGGCGGCTGGGGTCATGTGGCCCTCCAGGGTCTTTCTGACTCAGCAGACGCGAGCGATCGGCTCTCTTTCCGTTGAGCAGAATGGTTCAGCCACCCTGATAGACTCTCATATACTTTAACCTGAGACCCTTGATCTTCCTCGTAATGATCATCTCACTCCATCGTTCCTGACACATCTCCTACATTCTCTTCCCTTCTCGTAAGCTTGTGCATTCTGCAGAGCAATTTGGCCTCCCACTGTCCGACGAATTGCGCCCACATCTCAGACGCCCCTCGGTGAGCTGTGAGGAACAAGAGGTCCGCTCTCCCTCATACGCCGCGCTGTGGCGATGGAAGGCGACTCCTCTCGCGATCCTCTCGAGATCATCGAGGATCCTTCTGAGTTCATCCGACTCCGTACCGAGAGTCAAGCTCAACGGAATCGTCAGGTCTTCTCAGACGATGTGTCTGTCAGCAATAGTCCACATCGCAATGGAGCGAGCCGAGCAGGAAGCTCTACATCTACGCCTATAGAGCTCCCCGAGTCACCAGAAGCTTCGCGGCCACACGATCTTCCCTCACTAAATCCCGCGCAAATCTCGTCTGCACCTCGGAGAGTGATACCATCTGGCTTCAATGCCGGCGAAAGCTCCGTCAGGCGCAGCGTGCCTCGTCCAGGCTCATCTGCGTTTCCTGGAGGCTCTTCGGGTGCGTCATCTGCCTCCTCCACTTCGAGTGCGAACAGGGTCTGGAATCCGCCGCCGCGACCATGGGAGAAAGAGATGAGGCAAAGAGCTGTAGAGACGATTGATACGCTGCGGAATGGGTCATACGGGGGCGGTGATCAGGAGGCTGTCCCCATGGTCGGAGGCAGCGGTGCTCGCGTTCCTAATCGCTTTCTCAATGCAAAGGGCGAATTTGTCAAGGGAGAGCAGTCGAGTGGAGGCAGTGGCGGGAGAGACCGTCCAAACTCAATCGACCTCACACTCGACGACTCTCGCAGCGACGAGGACGACGAGCCTGAGGTGACAGCTGTGCGCAAAAGCGACATCGAGTCCGATGAGATAAAGAACAATGGCCCGGTGTGTCTGGGAAGCATTTCGGCGATCGTGCTCTGCATGATGGGAATGCCTGAACCGATCAAGACGAGGGGCCCCGCTGCTACACATCCATCCTTAGACAAGGATCCGGCATGGGCCAAAGACAATTGGCCGGGCGCTAGTCGTTGGCCTCTTCAGCCCGGGTATCGGCCAGTGTCGATCAGGATGCGATATCCTCGCAAGCCAAATCACCAGGCTGCTCGAACTACCGGCAATTGGTCTCATGGTGGGCAAGCACCTCAACATCATCAGGGAAAACCGGAGCTCGAGGCTTCCGCCATCCTATCTCCGATGGCTAACATAGAGCGACAGCGAAAAGCAGGATACCCAGAGGATCGGATCTCTCGTACACCTCACATTCTAGAACCTTTCGGCAACATGGGGGACCGGTACACTGCAGTCTTGCAGCCACTTCTGGAGGCTAGACAGATCAATTGCGAGGCACGGTGCAGGATGGTGTCTGCGGAGAAGACGGCGAACTTCTTGTTTCCTATTGACTTGCTTATCTTCACTGTCCGCCCCCTGGCAAAATACGTCGCGGAAAGATTGTCCATGGCCGGCATCTATCTCGAGGTCCCCCCACCAGAACAATTCAGCCCTACTGATTACGAAGGCGAGCCGCCCTTGCTAAACCTTCATGCGAATTCAGCGGTCCGAGACAATAATCTCGGTCGGCATCGCTATGGCCCTTCGATGATTCTAGGAGGGGCAGGAGGTGGCGGTGGAAGCGGCTATGGGACCGTCCAGACTCGCGAGATGACAGACGAGGAGCGCAAGAAGCAATTAGAGTCTGTCTACGACACGCTAGTGTCTGGCGAAGATCTGGAGATGGCAGAGACTAGTGAGCTAGTTTCGTCCGAGCTGTTCCCACACCAGAGACAGGCTGTGACTTTTCTGCTAGAGAGGGAGAGAGGGAGGTCGTTCGAAGAGCCAGATCTGCCCAAGGATGGGAACGTATCGCTGTGGCAGCCGATCAAGTCGCGTGTCGACGGGACCATTCGCCTTTACAGGAACATTGTCACGCAGCATGAGCAGCCGGAGGAGCCCAAGATTTGCAGGGGAGCGATCTTGGCAGATGACATGGGGCTCGGCAAGACAATCACAGTGATTGCAACCTTGGCGTCGACGCTAAAGGAGGCTAAAGATTTCGAGAGGTCATTCCGGGGGCCGAGCAGAGGTATCAAAGAGTTGCTCAACAGCAATGGTAAAAGGGCAGCCCAAAACAATGCGGAGGATGGCGATGATACTCTTGCTGACATAGCCAGTCAACTACAAGGCGGTGGAGCTGCCAAGAAGGGAAAAGCACCAGCCGAGAAGAAGAAAAAAATCGGCAAGCAGGAAGCCCAGCGCAATGAACTAGAAAAGGCACAGATCGAGAATATCGACATCAGGAGTCGAGCTACTCTCATTGTCTGTCCGCTGTCGATCGTATCAAATTGGGAGGAACAGATCAAGGAGCACTGGAAGGCTTCATCGCGGCCGAAGGTGTACATCTACCACGGGAGTTCGCGATCGACTTCCCCTGCAGAGATTGCCGATCATGACATCGTCATGACCACGTACGCAACTCTTGCATCCGAGTTCGCCAACCAGCGCATCTGGACCACAGGCGACGCTGCTTCCGAGGATGAAGGATCTGCCACAGAAGACGACGATAGCGACTTCGCCATGCTAGACGAAAACGGTAGAGCTCTGCCTAGCAATGGCAAGCAGAAGAAGGCAGAAGACACCAAGGGTGGCCGCAAGAAGAGGAAGAGACCCAGGGGCAAAGAGGCCATCAACCCCCTTCAGCGCATCGAGTGGTTCCGCATCGTTCTTGACGAAGCTCACACGATCAAAGAAGCCCGCACGATGCAATGTCGGGCTGTCTGCAATCTATCAGCTCAGCGCCGTCTCTCGTTGACGGGGACGCCAGTACAAAATCGTCTTGATGACCTATACTCGCAGATCAAATTCATTCGACTGGAGCCATTCTCTGATCGCAAGGTCTGGGACCAACATTGTGGGCAACGTCAAAAGAAGTCGAGTCTGGTCCAACGAAGCAATGCCAGCCAGAAAAATGAGCCTCTCGAGCAAGTCGCCCTGGTCAAAGTGCAGACTATCATGAAGTTTTTGACTCTCAGGCGTACCAAAGACTCCAAGAAGGCGAATGGCGAGCCGATTCTCCAGCTTCCACCCAAGAACACGCGTCTGGCAGAGATCTTCTTTGATGAGAGAGAACAGACGAAGTACAAGGATCTACATGCCCGCTACAAGGAAGACTTCGAAGAGATGCAGGCAGCTGGGTCTGTTGGCACCAACTACGCCACCATCCTGCAAGAGATCTCCAACCTCCGCATGTGCTGCGATCATCCTGGCCTTGTGGACAGCAGCAAGGACCTGAAGCGATTAAGAGAGGGTGACGAAGATTTGAGCTCGGCCATTAAACGGGACGGCATCACTCGTGAGAGAGCAGCGAAGCTCTTCGACATCTTCAGCGAATCGTCAGCAGCCGAATGCGGTGTTTGCCGCTGCGACCTTTCTCGCTTCAGCGAAGATGCTGCCGGAGGCGCCACTGCCTTAGAGGAGGGAGGTGACGACAGGATCAAGCCAGTCATGACGAAGTGTTGTCACCTCTTTTGCTCCTCATGCTTTCTCAAAAAGGCCGGACCTCGATGGAAGAATCTCAAGAAGCTCAAAGCCGAGGAGCTCATGAATTGCCCATCTTGCGGTGTCTCGCTGAGTATCCTCATGGATGCTATCCTGCTCGAAGGCGGCGACGTGACCTCGACCGTCAACAGCCCAAGAGACGCTTTCAATTGGTCGGACGACGAAGACAATGGCCCTGGCAACAAGAAGCTTAGCTCCCGACATCGCGATGGATTTGGAGCAGATCGCAACATCGACCTCGACGATCGTACAGAATTGAGTTCAAAGATTCGCTTTCTCCTCGGAGACCTCATTCCCTTTTCAGCTTGCAATCCCGCTTCAATGCTCTATGATCCCTCTGCACAGCAGCTGCTTCATTGTGTCCCTACAAAGGAGCAGCTGGCTTCTGGCGAAGCTCGCGAGTCGGTGTGCCTAGCAACCGATCAAATCGATCCCACCGTGTACGAGCCAGTCAAGTCGATTGTCTTCTCCCAGTGGACTACGATGCTCGACCGTATTGGCAAAGCTCTGCACCGGGCCGGTATCAGCTATGTCCGTCTAGATGGCACGATGCGAAGACAAGAGCGAGCAGTGGCCCTAGAAGACTTCAAGAGCAAGAAGAACGTCGAGGTCTTCCTCATCAGTCTGCGAGCAGGAGGCTTCGGTCTCAATTTGGTGTCGGCTTGTAGAGCCTACATTGTAGAACCTGCCTGGAATCCTGCGCTGGAGTCGCAAGCTTCTGACCGCATTGTGCGATTAGGTCAGACGAAGCCTACGATCATCACCAAGCTCATCATGAAGCAGAGTATCGAGGAGAGGATGCTCGAGCTGCAGAAGATGAAGCAGGACCTTGCCAACAAGGTCAGTGAGAAGAGGGGCAAGGTGGACGATAAAGGCGATAAGCACGGGGACATTAGAGTCCTGCTTGGTGATGGCAGCGCGAAGGCGTAGGCATAAACATGGTCAAGGTGCGGCGACCGCAGCGAACCGACATGCACGATAGAAGCCGACATCTAGGGGTGTGATGTCGAGCAACGATAAACTTCATACACCTCGTCATTTCCACATATGTACTTTTTTTCTCGCCACGCCTCACACATCTGTTTTAACATCAGCTTTGTACCATTCATGCTTTCTCCTTCTGTCAACTCGATCGAGTCATCCAATCCTGATCAGATTCGGGCGATGCATATGTTACAGCTGCCCGCAGCGACAGTCAGGCGGCTTTGCCATACGAGGCGAGCTGCCAAAGTGTACCACACAACACCTCGCCGTCAGTCCGGACTGCTGTCGTACATTGCGAGCCATGCGCTTGCCGCTGGTGACTCGACTCACCTCTACCAGATTGCGGTCCGGGTCTCTCACATATACACTCCTCATCTTACCCCTTGCTCCCTCTCTATCCACGGGCCCCAGCTCAATGGCAATGCCCTCACTCTCCAGCTGCTCACACACCTCTTCGATGGGCATCTCAACGACAAAACACAGGTCCTGCGATCCCGGCGTGGGCTTGTCAGCATGTGGATCAAACTCTTTGCCAACCTGGTGAAGATTGATCTTCTGAGTGCCAGGCCCAAAAGTCAGGGCCTGTCGTCGCTGCGAAGGATGGTCCCCGAAGGTCTGCAGAGACATGCCCAGCCGCTGGTAGAAGGCGGCTGTACGATCTAGATCGCTACATGTGATGACGAGATGATCTAGACTGGTCACTGAGATTGGCATGGTCAACGTGATGTGAGGCAAGAGGATGGAACATTGGCCTACTGCTGCTCCCAGGCGTGGAGCTTTCCACCACTGAAGTGATAGTCAGCTAATGAGCAGTGCGGGGAAGCGTGCGAGGATGCCGTGGCGCTGCCCGGCCGAGGGGGGGGGGCAGGCATTACGTAAGCAAAGAGGTACGCCGCGCACGTGATCTGCGCTCCGAACTGCAGCGGCTCAGCGGCCTGAAATCCCAGAGGCGCATTCCACTTGAGCCACGGGCGTTTCGCACCTTCTCACTCCAAGTCAGACTTCCACACATCTCGTCCCTCACACATCACATTCACAATGGCATCTCAAGACCTCGCTTCCACCTACGCCGCTCTCATCCTCGCCGATGAGCAGCAGGAGATCTCCGTGAGTATGCGGAGGACAACGGCTGCGGGTTGTTGGTTGGATGGGAGGGACTTGGGGCGCAGCAAGGATGGAAGCAAAGGGAGGAGGGCAGGGCAAAGTACGGCGATGGGACCCTTGGGACAGAGGCAGAGAAGAACTTTCACACACTACAGAAACAAGGAAGATGGAAGACAAGCAGCGGGCAAGGAGCAGGGACGAGCATCGAGTCAAGAGTCGAGGTCTTGGGATGAGGCAGGGATTGATGCTCGAAGCTGGGGTGCGAATGGAATTGCGATGAAGAGTCGTCTCCCGGGTTGCCAACCTTTGTCATGGACAGTTCTGGGAGGCCTTTTCATAAGCGAAACTCTGGACAACCGCTGATACGAACCAAACCCCTCGTTTCCAAAACAGGCTGACAAGATCGTCTCGCTGACGACCGCTGCCGGCTGCCCCGTCGAGCCCATCTGGGCCACCCTCCTGGCCAAGGCCCTCGAGGGCAAGGACGTCAAGGAGCTCCTGAGCAACGTTGGCTCCGGTGCCGGTGGATCTGCCGCCGTTGCCCCCACCGCTGCTGCTGGAGGTGCCGCCGCTGGTGGTGCCGCTGAGGAGAAGAAGGAGGAGAAGAAGGAGGAGGAGAAGGAGGAGTCTGACGACGGTGAGTACGAAGCAGAACACGGTAGTGCGATTGTTGGTGGACGGGGTCGCTTATCACCGTACATGTTGCATCACTTTGCTCCCTACAGACATGGGTTTCGGTCTCTTCGACTAAGCGGATCGACGATTGGGAGCAGATCATGGCGCGGGCGATTACCGTCTGTCTCTCTGCTCTTCTCCCGTCATCTCATCCGTTCTCGTTGCATCTGGCTCTAGCTCTTCATCATCACCACCTTCAACATCAGCTTTCCTTCCCGCTTGTAAGATTACTACACGCCTCTTCACCATCCTGACGGTGATGCTCTGCTGATCGTCGGCGTCTTTGTACAAAGGCTCGACTCGCAAATGAGATCACATTCAAAAAGCAGAAACGAGAGACTGTATTTGTGTGAATAGATGGCTGGCACGGATTAGAGGAGAGAGAAGCGAGGCGATTATGGAGAGATAGGCAACGAGGGGGAAGAGTGCAAATCGCAGTATGAGAGAGACAGTCTGTCTGCCTTTGCCTTCTGGCCCCTTTGCCATCACCAGCGTCTCAATCCCTTTACCTTTTCCTACATTCACTCCCACTCGATTGTCCTTCCCTCCAAAGCGCTCTGCCGTGCCAAGTTGAGGAACTTGATGCACTGTGCCGCCTCCTGGGGCTTGACCACCAGCACCTGGTCAATGGCCCTATACGCCGCCTCTACAGACCCACTTCCATTCCTCGCACTCTCCCCCGCCTTGATTGCCTGTGCCACATTCTTGTAGTAGTCTACGTACAATCCCGGCAATGTCGGCACATCATTCACTGCCAGCTTGGGCTGGACAGGCGCGGCACCTGGTGCACCAGAACCGGAGTTGACTGCTTCGCTGCCGGCGTCGAGGGAAGTGGTGAGCCTTCCGAGCTTGATCGCCGGCGGTTCGTGCTCCTCGTAAACTCCAAATGCCTGACCTTGCTTAGCTGGTGTCCAGCCCTTCTTGAGTTGATTCTCTTGCGGGTCTGTCCCACGCTTCTCGTAGCTGCCTCGGTTGCCCTCGATACGGAAGCGAGGCTGCTCAGCATCAATGTGGGTGGAGAGGACAGTTGCTCCGAGCACAGCTCGAAGGCCGGAAAGACGAGATCCGGCGCCTGGCTCGTCGGGTGGTAGAGGCCGAGTGGGAGGGTACTGGGCAATGATCAGGAAGTCGTCGTCTACGTTTGCTGAGAGCTGGCCACGCTGATTGGTCACAAAGGCAGTGATCGTCTTGGGCGGTCCAAAGAGGGATATCACTGTTGGCGGGCATCGGGCAGTATGGCTCAATCAGCTGCTCACTCTTTGCGTGTCGTTGCTGTGCGAATAGCACTCACGCTGATCGGCTAGATGGCTGCCCAAGTCCAGCAGGAGTCCACCTCCTTCATCAAACCCACTCTCCTCTCTCCAACCACCTTTGCTCCAAGGTCTGAATCGGTCAAACCTACTCTCATAGTAGACCGGTGTACCCAAGGCGCTAGGCTGTTCCGGGTTGGCAACAGGCGGAGCGAGCAAGCTCTTGACAGTGAGGAAATCGCAGTCCCATCTCCTGTTGTTGAAGGAAGCGCACACCAGACCTAGAGAGGCAGAGAGGCTCACCAGCTCTTCAGCTTCAGACACACGCCAAGTGATGGGCTTCTCGACGATGACGTGGTACCCTGCCTGCAGGGCTGCCTTGGCAAAGGGAAAGTGCGTGGCATTGGACGTGGTGATCACCACCAGTCCCGGCTTGGGCAGGGCAGTCGGGCCAGAAATGACTTCTTCAAAGGAGGAGGCAATGGCCACATCTGGATGCGTACTACTTGCGGGCGGGCCTGATTTGGAGCCAGGGCGCTGCTGAATGGAATGAAGCTTGAAGTGATCTGGGAGGGAGAGGATGAAAGGAAGGTGGAAGGTTCGGGCGCTGGAGCCGAAGCCTACGACCTACAAGATTGGAGCAAAAGGTCCAGATCGACCTTGTCAGATGATGCTTGAGACGAGTGTATGTGTCTCTCAGTGTCTCACCGAAACAGGGATGGGCTGATGAGAAGCCGACATGTTGGTTGTAGATAGGAAGCTGTGAGAGGTGGGGGAGGAGGAAGAAGTGACGTGGGGCACGGCCCGTACTTCCGCAAAGGCGCAAGCGTACGCCGGCGAAGCAGTGGAGGTCAATGTCGCGGCGAACAAGGCACATCGTCCCCAGCCGTAGCGACAGACACAATGAACAAGCTGGACTACCAGCCAATATCACGATGAGAGAACAAGAAGCTCCTGACAGACCAAGCGACGCATCGATTTATGACCATTTCCATGCGGTCATCCAGCAGAGTCTTGACATGAATCTGAGCTCTTCGTGCTTCGCCTGCCTCCACCACCGACACCCATTCACCTTTTGCACTTTCCTTTTGGGCTCTCAAGCAGTCCTGAGGATGATGTGTGTTCCGCTATCTGTCTGAACAACGCTGCTCATGCCGCCGACGGGCAAGGCGTAGGTAGCCTCCTCGAAGGGCTTTTGCATCTGTCCACGACCAAAGAAGCCCAGGTCACCACCTTGTCTTGCCGAAGAGCAGTCCCTGTAAGCAGCAGGCACAATTGCATACGGAAAAGGTCATTAGCTGCTGCCACAAGGGTCAGGAGCCACACACATGGCCGGAATCACTCACGAATGGACGGAAGCGAGCTCAGCGAACTTCTGCGGGGAGGGCTTGTCGCCCAGAGTCTCGATGTGCTCGCGGATGATCTGCTCCGCCTCTTGAGGGCTTCGAGTGATGTTGGACTGTGGATCCATCGCGACGAAGATTATTTCAGCAACGCACCAGCAGGGCATTTCCACCTTCCAGTGAGCCCACTCACCTCCTTCCAGCTAGATGGCCTCCTACTGTTCGCATGCTTGACGAGCAGGTGACTAGCACGGACTTGTCCACTAGGGGCAGCCGGTGCCGCCTGCTGACCCCCAGTACTACCAGCTCGTTGAAGGTTCTCTGCTGCGCCAGGGAGTTTGACGATGTCGTCGGCAGAGAGACCCTGAGGCTCCTGCCAGGTGGACTCCTTTGTGCTGCTGTTGTAAAAGTAGGGGAGCTGGCGACTGTTGCTGAAGCGCACCTCCCATCCGGACGCAGAGGATGACATGTTATTGGTGGCGTTGGTGGTCAGTGCTGGGAGAGGGACTCAAGTGGGGACCAGTGGCTACTGTAGCGTACTGGTGCTGTGAGTCGCTGGGTGCAATGGTACGGCGGTGGTGATGCTTCTCCACGAGGCCTCGTCCCCTTTCCGCTCGGCACGGCGACCTGCGCTGCTCCACGCGCGCCTCTGAGTCGAGGTGTTGGTTGGATTCTACTCGTCAAAGTAACACCACCAAGCGCTCACACTCAATCATCACCTGATCCTCGACTACAATCTCACCTCGTCTTCTTCAGCATATACGCATGGCTAGCCGTATATAGAGCTCTAGTCCTAGACGTTTCGCGCTTGCATCTTCTCGGACCCTGAATTATAGGGCATCGCTTACGTCCAAAACATGGCTCGCCCGGCCACCGCGAGGTCCGGAAGCTCGAACCGCAAGCACGCCGCCAATACCTACGAGTCCGTTCTAGAAGGCTACGAAAATGTCGAAATCATCGGCAAAGGTTCTTTCGGACAGATTCGAAAGGTTGTTCGCAAGTCAGATGGCAAGGTATTTGCGAGGAAAGAATTAAGCTATGATCGCATGTCGCCGAGAGATCGGGCGCAGATTGTGGCAGAGGTCAATATTCTCAGGAAGCTGACGCACAAGAACATTGTGCAGTATGAGGAGAGGTTCGCCGACACAGAGTCGAAGTGAGTGATTGTGCTGTGTGAGAGCTGTATAGAAGAGAGCTGACCACTCACGGTCGCAATTGCCATTGTGCAGCACCTTGTACATCGTCATGGAGTTCTGTCAAGGGGGAGACCTCGGCGAGGTCATCAAGCAATGTCGGAGAAAAAAGTGAGTATGAAGAAGTCTGCTTTTTGCTGAAAATTATCTGTGATGCTCATCGAGAGTGGCCATCTACGTTCTTACCTCCTCCAGTCAGCTGCTGCCGGAAGATACAGTGTGGGGTTACTTTGCTCAGCTGGTACAAGCCCTCGATGCTTGTCACAATCGTCGGACAGAGGAGTCAGCAGCTGGAGATCCACCAAAGACTCTCCTACATCGAGACATCAAGCCTGAAAACGTCTTTCTTGATCACGAGAATAACATCAAGCTTGGCGACTTTGGTCTGAGCAAGGAGCTCCAAGGAGCAGTGTCCTTTGCCAACACCTACGTTGGCACGCCATACTACATGAGTCCTGAGCTGACAACAGGAGCTGCCTACGATGTTAAAAGCGACATCTGGGCACTGGCGTGCGTCATCTTCGAGCTGTGCGCCTTGGCTCCCCCCTTCGATGCCCATTCTCAGGCTGAGCTGACCTTAAAGATCAAGTCGGGACAAGTACCCAGACTACCTCGGGCATATTCACAGGAGCTCAATCACGTTGTTCGAACAATGCTAGATCTACAGCCGCGCAGACGACCAACGACCAAGCAGCTTCTAGAAGTCCCACAGATCAGAGTCACCGCTCAAGCGTTGGAGCTCACTACTTTGGCGAGACAGCTAAAGGAGAGGGAAGCAGCTCTTCTCGCGAGAGAAGAGGCATTCGAGGAGAAGGCAGCAGGGGCCAATCGACTTCATGCGCACCAAGACTTCTCCAACGAAGAGTACGAGGCAGAGCTGGAGAGGCGAAAGGGCGAGCTGGAGGCAGAAGAGACGCGCCTCGTATGGAAAGAGAAGGAGCTGGAGGACAAGCACGAGCGGCTAGAGAACGAGCTGCGTCTGCGAGAGCATCAGATGCAGAGCGAGTTTGAAGCAACGGTGCAGAGAGAGGTTGAGAGGAGGGTGAAGGTAGAGCTCACGGCAAGGCATACCCAGATTGCCTCAAGCTCAGCAATTGCCGGATCGAGCACAAACAGCGCGAGGAGAAAGAAGAGCCTCATCAACCTAAGCTCTGCAGCAAAAGCTAGTGAAGCAAGAGGAGACTCTGCAGGCATCGACGAATGGGGAGCTTTGCCCAAAGCTGCCAGTGACAGAGTTGTCGCAGAAAGCTCTCGTCGACAGAGCAACGACTCGCCGACAGGTGACTCTCCCACAAAACCCACCTTAAATCGCGCACCGAGATCAGAGCCCCTCTCGAGGAAGTCACTCTACGCCTCACCTACGCAAGACCGCCGACCGCCTCACCCACCAGTCTCGGCTCGCAAGTCCATGTCTTCCCTGCGAACAGGGCGGGTAGGCCAGCTGCTCGAGAGGGAGCGGTACAATCCAGCAGCGGACAAGTCAGATACCACGATGAAGGATGTTACGGTCGACGAGAAGGAGAATGACTCGATTTACGGTTGTGTACCTGGAAGCCCTGCACTGTCGCTATTGAAGCAGCAGAGGGCTCGAAGGATCACGCTGGACCTGCAGCGACGCAGCGAGGACAATGCCGAGCAGGACAACGGGGTCGTTCAGCAGCAGGAGCAGGATGTGAGGCCGCCCAGCGGGGCTTCAGGAGACGTCGCGTCCACAGAGCAGATACTGCAAGATCTAGTCGGCGTTGGGCTCTCGGCCAACAAGCATGACTCGGCTTCCTCTCTCTTGACACATCCTCACAGTCGTCCCTCTTCGGCTGCAGGCGAGCAGCAAGGAAGTCCATCCGAGGGGGCAGCCGCAGCAGTTGAAACGGTGCCAATCTACGACATCTCCAACGATCCAGATCTACCCTCACCCTTCTTGCGCAAACCCACTTCAAAGGCGGCTACAAGTCTCGTCGGCAAGCTGGCAAGCGCAAAAGCCAAGGGGAGCGCCGCTGGGCCTACGTCCCTGGTGCAGCGAGCAGCTGCTTTGCGTGCCGCTCAGAACACGGCCTCTGCAGGCAAGGCGGCCGTGGGCGATGTAGCGGGCGCGCCTACGTTGGCTAAGCTAAGAGCAGGCAGCGACCGACCGCGGGCTAGTGTAGCAGGCTCATCTGCCACAACTTCGACTTTGCTCCCACCAGCAGAAGAAAAGTCCGCTCGAGCCTCTCCTACAACCACCGCCTCTTCATCGTCGTCCTCTTCTTCCACTTCCGCTTCCACCACATTGTCCACTCGCAAAGCCACCGGCAGCGAGAGTTCCACCTACTCGCCTACGACGAGCGCCAGTGCGAGCGCGGGCAGGGAACGCCCGCGCTCCCGTCCATCGGCCCTCTCCTCGATCCCTTCTCTCGGCAGTGGATCGGGACAGGGGCCAAGAAGGAGCTTCTACGGCGCTGCTGCCGGTGCGGGTACAGTGTCGGCTGGTGCGTCTGCGCCTGCGCTCCCTCTCACTTCTGGGTCAGCTCGAGATTGAGGAGAATGGAAACAGAATGGTCCCCGTGATCTGTACCCTGGCACGCCCCCTTCCCGCCTGCTTCGCCCCCCGTCCTCTTTCCCCCCTATGCTCACTCAGAGTCGAACCTGTTGCGCCTACCCTCATGCCCTTATACCCTTTTGCTCTTTTGCAATTCGCATACTATCCCTCGTCACTTTTTTGTGCTGCGTCTTGGCATTCGTTCCGTTCCTTGCCTGTCTGCTTCCCTCACAACTTCGACTGAGACTCAACGACTTGCGAGAAGGAAAGTGTCGCAGAGATCTGGTTGATTGCAGCTAGTATACAGATGGTAGGTACGAAGACTAAAATACAGAACGCTACAATAGAGCCGTCCGCGACCATGGTGTTCGCCTTGCCCTCGGCTCGACTCGGCTCGCTGGCTCATCGCCCAAGGAAGCGCTCTAGGGCCGACTTGTTCTTCCCCTTTGGCCCACCACTATTACCATCCTTCTTGTCTCCCGCCGCCTTGCCCTTCGAGGTATTGGAATGTTGCTGACGCGCAGGTTTGCTTGCGCTCGCGCTGGTATCGGAATTGGTCTTGCTCTTGCTTTTGCTCTTATTGTTGCTGTGATTGCTGCTGCTCGCAGAGTCGAGGTCTGTGGTTGTGGTAGCGCCCTGCAGACAGGCGTCGATGTGCTGTTCAAAAAGATGTTCGGCAGCCAAGAGTGAGTAGGGGGGTCAGTGAGAAGATCTGTGCCCTACCTGGTTCCTCTCTAGCCACCTCAAGCCTACATACCTTGTTTAGCTGGGCATTCCTCCCCGCCAAGGTAGACCCAAAGCGCACTTCTACAGGTTGCGAACAGATCGGGCAGACAAGAGGCTCAGTCGCGCCTGTACTGCTGCTCCCGCTCCCATTGATTGCAGTATTGCTTTCGCCCACTCCTCCCGCTTCCCCTTCTCCGGGAGCAGGACTAGCCGAACCGCCAGCAGGCGACCGTCTCTTGACGAACCACGACGCTCTCGGTGGCTCTCGTGCCTTCTTGTCCGCTGCTGCCGCCGCCGCCGCCGTCTCCTCGTGGGTGCGCATGGCTTCGCGAATCTCTCCGTCGTCCCCTTTCAGTCGCGCCTTGTGGGCTGGCCGGACTACTTCGGCGCTGGAGCGGTGGAGAGCATTGGCGAATGTTGCGGCGGAGCGTTCAGCAGGTGGGGGGAGCTCCCACTCTTGCTCGTCAACCGAAGGACGGGCTGACCCTTGCTCGTCGTCATTGCGATCATCGTCAAGGCGGGACTGCTCCATGTCCTCTAGCGAAGCGGCAATGGCCAGGCGAATCTGTCGGCTCTCCTCGTCCTCGGCATCACCTTCAAGGTCCATGTCTGCTTCGGCGCCAGACATGCCATCTCTGGCAGTCACAGAGTCAGGATGGCCAGCATCTCTCCTGATCCGCCTCTTCTTCGGCGAAACAGGGCCAGAACCCTCTCCGCTTGCTCCCTTGTCGAAGAAGCGCTTTAGAGGTCCTCCATCGGCCGGCTTCCGTACGTCCATGAGCGTTCCGACTCGTGCTCCAATCAAGCGTAGAGAGAGTCCTGGTTGTACCTTGAGCTCGTATTCGAGGAGACTACGCACCACTCGATAGATGTCGTCTGCCGTAGAGACGTACTTGGTTTGTGTCTGATCGCGAGTGAAACGCTGGAAGTTGTCATACTTGCAAATGAGCGTCACTTTGCGGCCTACGAAGTCCAGGCGTTTCAGATCGTCCTCGACCGTCTCGGCTGATTCGCGAAGGAGCTCAAAGAGCTTCTCCGGGTCGCTTGTGGGCTGGAAGGTATGCTCGCGGCCGACGGACTTGCGCTCTTCTCGCTTGCCAGGCTCGACGACGGATGAGGCGATGCCAAGGTAGTAGCGTAGCAGCCACTGCAGGTGCTCATCTCCCAACACGAGAGCAATCTTCACTCGCAACCTCCAGACGTCGCCGCATGTCTCGACGCCCAAAGACTGCAGCATCCTCTCTGTGACTCGACCAATTCCAGGCACCTTTCTAACGGGCAGCTGATCCATGAACTCGATGCTAGCCTCTCTGGTGAAGTCAAGAATGTACTGTCCGTCGGGCTTGTTCTTGTCCGAGCCGATCTTGGCAAGCATCTTGTTTGGAGCCACGCCAACAGAGACTGTGAGACCAGTCTCGTCTCTGACTTCCTGACGTAGCTGCGCTACAGCGTCACTGACGTCCATCTTGTTGAGACGGCAAAATGCGGTAACGTCGAGGTAAGCCTCGTCCAGCGAGGCCTGAGCGAGGTTCTCGTCGAAGCGGTGTAAGATGTCCATGATTTGCCTTGAAGCAGCGACATAGCTCTGCATGTCATTGGGGACTGTAATGAGATGCGGACAGAGCTTCATGGCTATGTAGGATGCCATGCCCGACCTGACCCCGAATCTCCTGGCCTCGTAGCTGGCTGTAACGAGGACGCCTTTCCCGACCCCAAAGGCTTTGCCCTTGAGCGAAGGGTCTCTCTTGAGCTCTACAGCCGCATAGAACATGTCGCAGTCAACGTGTACGATGTACTGGCTCAGAACGCGCTGCGTCTCTACCCTATTCCTCATAGCTTCTGCCTTTTTCTCAATCGAAGTCCACTCTGGACTTCCTTCTGGCACCGCCTGTAACCTCTCATGCATCTTCTCCAGCATGGCCTCAACCTTTTTTGTGATTCTCTCGTCACTCTTCCTCTCGTTCTCAAAATACTTGCTGCCCTTGGACGCCTCGTAGATGATGCGATTGATCTCGTCCTGATCCTTTGTCAGTCCCGCCTTGGCCGCCGAGGGCCCGCCCATGCGCTTCAGGAGAGACTCGTTGGCCTTTACATTGGTCGCATCTACGTATCTGCTCTGCTTCTTCTGCGGAGAGACTGAAGATGAGTGACCTCGACCAGTATTCGCAGGAGGGACTGGAGCGAGGCGGGAAGATGACGATGAAGAGGCAGCGGCAGCAGCAGCTGGACCCTCGGCGGCGGTGGGGTCTGTGGTCTGGTCGAGATGCTCCAGGTCTCGATCTCGTACAAAGGCCGCCATGATGGCTCCTCGGCAGACCTGCTGCTCCGTATATAGGCTGCTTGCGAGCGAAGGGGGTGAAGATTGTAGCGATGGAGAGAAGGTGTACGACGAAGGTCAGCAGCGGCGACTTTGACCATGAGGTGCAGCCATGCTCCTCTTTCCGCCTCGCTCCACCTTCTGGCGCAGAAGCGAGGCGACACTGAGCAGCGTCGTCCAGACGAGTAAGACTACCACGACTTGCTCCTTCTTCTTCTTCTTCTTCTTCTTGTCCACAGCCGTGTATCCTTCCTGACGATAGCAGTGTCCATTGGTCCCACCATGTCATCCTCAGCTGCATCTTTTGCGCCATACCAGCCTCCGCCAGACGAGCACCCCGGCCGCACCAAAGTCAATCTATCCGCACCTCCCCCCATCTCGCAAGCTCCTGCCCGGAATTCCAGTGATCAGCAGGGCGAATACTACCAAGATGACGACGATGATCCCCGCTATGCTACAGAGTCCTACCAGTCCGGGACGGCTTCCTACTCTCAACATCACCAGCAGCACCAGCAGCAATATCACCACCAGCAGAGGTATCAGGATGACCCTTCGTACTCGGCAGGGGCCACTGCCGCTTCACCCTTTCAACCCGCTTATGAGCAACAACAGCGCTATCGAGGTGGACAAGGAGGGGTACAGCCAGATCATGCCAGCTGGGCAACCTCTCAGGGCGTCAGCATCTCGACCTTGTGCTTTGCTGCCTGGGCACTGCCTCCGTTCAGTAGCGTCGCTGTACTGATCATGGAGACGACAAATGTGAGTGGCCAGGACAGAGGGCAGGGTCGGCAAGGGAAGTAGGGAAGAGGAGCTGCGTGAGCTACTTGACGCTAATGCGAGGTCTATATTGGGAAATGGATGGCAGGAGGCATTCATTGTGGGCATTGATCGTCTTGACATCCTCCCAACCCGCTCACACTTTCCCGCTCTGCTTGCTACCCTTCCTTTACTTGGCAGGACCTCGCCCGCTTCCACGCCTATCAGTCAGGCTTGTGCGGTGTGATAGCCATCATCTCCCTCTATATTCTCCGGCATTGGTTTGGCTGGTACACTCTGAGCATCATCTGTGGAATGGGAGCACTGGGAGCTTCATGGGTGGCTGGGTACGTTCTTCGTGGCGAATCCAATGGCGACCGCTCGAGAGGGGAGAAGCTCACACGCATTGTCTCATCTTCTGAACCCACGTACTGCAGATCAAATGCTCACAGGGCGGCCCCGACGCTGGAGAAGACGCCATACCTACCCCGTCTAGGCCCGTGAGTAGCTCTCCCCTCTTTCCACTCAGCTTCCACGTACACTGACTCAAACCTTCCTTTCAACCTCTGTCTGTCAGCCTTGCGGAAGAATGGGTCGGAGCAGAGTAACGCAGCGTCGCCCTCCTTCAGTCCGTCTGTTCCTCTATATTAATGTAGATACCGCTACCAGTAATGTCTGCTTCTTGCTATCTCGACCCTCCACGTCTTCCTTGATGCAGACAATTTCTGCCTTCGATGATTGTGTAGTGGTGATGACGCTTGCTGAGCTTGTCTGATGGTGTTACATGAGAGCTGCCGAGTTCCGTCCTCTTCTGCCAGCCTGCGGTGTGTAGAAGGGACCGTCTGCGATGCTCTCTCCTCCTACGCCCTCTTTCTTGCCCTTTTACTTTGCCTGCTGCTGAGCCATCTGTCAGGCGAAGCAGAGAAGAGTATGGACAGTCAGCGGACCAGCTCACTCACCCATCTAAGGACATCTGCCTCTCCAACTTCTCCCGTTGATCTCGTCCTCCACCACCTCGCCCCCTGCGACTCACCATCTTTGCATTCTCCTCCTGAAACCTTGCTCCCACCCTCTCGCTGTGCTTTAGAAATTTCATCGTGCATTTGTCCACACACTCTTCTTCCCTCGTAGTCAGGGCACGCGAGGTAAAGTCATCGACGCAAGAGCCAAAGCAGCGCTCTACTAGGCCAGAATAGAGCTTTGTGAAATCGCGCATCTGTTTGCGGGCGACAATTTGCTCCATGGCGGAGGCTTCGGCAGGGGAAAGTTGTGAGACTAGAACCGGGAAGGGGAAGGAAAGTGGGTCAGCTATGGGCAGAGGGGAATACAGACAGAGTACCGGTGGAGGAGATGACATGTAGCACAGGCATACTCACAGTCCATGATGTGCTATTGAGTGAGTGAGTGTCGAGTGTGCTGTGGGAATCGTAGGATCGGTAGGAGGTGAAAGTGATGGGACAGGCGCACATTCCGGCCCCGAGCAGCGGCGCGCAGGGGCCTCACATTGCACGGGGAGCTGCCAATGTATCTCCACTTCTTCTCTTTCTGGGTCTCACATCAAAAGTTGCACGTTGTCCAAGACTGTCGTCTCATGAGCCACTCACGGACTACTAACCTAATTTGTTTTCATCCACTGTGCTGTACGCCATGTCTGATGGAGGCCCTTACAGTCGCGCTTACAGACTCGAAGGCAATCCCACTCGTAGCATCACCGGCAGTCTAGACTCCTCACCGTCGAGCCAGAATGAGCAAGCTTACCGCAACATCAGCCTGCGCTCCGTCCGAATCTTCATCAACGAGCTCCAACCAGAGCATTGGCCGCTTGACATAAGAACCTTCGTGGAACAGTTGCTTGCGGTCGAGGATGTGGTCGAGGATACAGACACAGTCAGCGCGGTGCCATTGGTCTTGCCTGACAACTTACGAAACACCTGCGCCGCTCTTTCCCGTCAGGCAAGCAGATGTCAGGCTGGCCCCAAGCCTGGCTGGATGCGTCTAGCCAGGGAGATGCTCGGATTCCACGACCATCCGTATATTTCCGTGTACGAGAACGAAACAATCGACGTCCAGGCAGACCTCACCAGCGAAAACAGCGAGCCTCTCTCCACACCCACACCTGACCTCATTTTCGGTCTTGCTGTGTTCGACAGTCAAGGTTCCCAAAGCCCAGCTCCTATTCTGTCCACCAAATTACTGGCAAGACTGGGTCCTCTATGTGGTGTCCAGTCTTTCCCTAGACAAGATGTAAGGGATATTGCCTTCCCCTGTGTGATTTTTGAGGCGGAATCGGACAGCGGTACTCTTCTGGCGGCGGAGAATCGGGCAGCACATGCCGCTGCTAATGCTCTCATCATGCTGAAGAATCTCACGGCCGTTGCACAAGCACCTCATCGTCTGCCGATGGTCGTTATTTGCTCACAGGGCTCAATTTACGAGGTGTTGGTCTCATTCGAATTGCAGGCGGACGAGATTCCCCCTACAACGGACCCCTCCGTAGGTTGGGGTCGACATCGTCGTCCGAAATCCGGGATACAATTGGTTGAGATCTGGACGGGAAACGTACGTCGTGCCGAGGTGATGCTTGAATTCCAGAAGATCTGGTACAGAGTGATGCGATGGGTCTTGAACACTTGGAGACCCACCATCATTCGTATGCTAGACGACATCAAGGCCACGATGCCAGAGGAAGAGCAAGACGAGGAGATGTGAGATGCTCAGGCGCCAGAAGAGAATCTATTCAAAAAGAAGTCTGTAGAGTTCCTATCCATGTCAACATCAAGACGAGGAGATGTGAGGTCCCATGGCTCGGAGAGAATGTGTCCAAGCAGAAGTTTGTAGATATCTCATTCATGTCAATGTCCAGAGCATCCCAATCGTTTACCCATCTCGATGATCTCACCCCCGTCCCTCAAGAGTGTGTGTTACTCAAGATTGTCCATTGCCATGTTGCTGTCCGGGTGCAGATGCGATACGATGCGTTGTGTGGCTCTCTCTCACTCAGGCTCCTTCTCCTTCCCCTGCGTCCCCTCACCGACTGACCGCATTACCATTGCACGCTGCTCTTGTCAATTTGTTCCTTCATTTGACACACACATTCACACACTCGACTGCCACATACATACAAGGCTACACCATTGCCATTGCCTTGCCCCTCACCCGCGCCAGAGGTGTTGGGTGGAGCAGTGGGCCGCCTGTGCCATTTGACTTTTCCGTGCGCCTGTCCGCGAGGAGGAAGATTTTGGCCGTGGAGGGAGAGCCGAGGGAATTCTTCCACTTCCTACCTGCTCACCTTACATACTGACCTCTACTTCGGTACCCTAACCACTCTTCAAGTCTAGGATCAGCATCACCACCTCTACTACTACCTATCCAGCAGCTTCCATACCATGGCTGTCCGTTGTCAGTTCGAAAACTCATCAGAGATTGGCGTATTCGCGTGAGTGGAGAAGATGCAATTCACCCTCCTCGCCGTCCCGACTTCGTAGCTTCTGACAGTTTCCTATTCCAACCTCGTCTCCCTATGGCCTCACCCTCCCAGCAAGCTCACAAATGCCTACTGTCTGGTAGCCATCCACGGCTCTGCCAACTTCCTGTCCGTCTTCGAGTCGGAGCTAGGCGACCTCATCCCGATTGTATCCACGTCCATTGCCGGTACCCGTCTCGTTGGAAGATTGACGGTAGGAAACAAGAATGGACTGCTAGTGCCGTCGGGGACTACAGATCAGGAGCTTCAACATCTGAGGAATTCTCTGCCAGACAGTGTCAAGATTCAGAGGGTTGAGGAGAGGTTGAGCGCATTGGGGAATGTCATCGCTTGCAATGGTGAGTTGGGCGGCTCGAAGAGCTCGAACTGAGATCTCGAGGGACGACTGACTCACAGCTACTCCACGTTTGCCGCAACTAGATTACGTCGCAATCGTCCACCCAGACCTTGACAGAGAGACAGAAGAGATCATCGCCGACGTCCTGCAAGTGGAAGTGTTCCGCCAAACAGTAGGCAACAATGTCCTCGTGGGCTCCTACTCTGCCATTTCAAACGTCGGCGCACTCGTGCACTCCTCCACGCCTCTGACAGCACAAGATGAGCTCTCCTCGCTTCTACAAGTGCCACTTGTGGCGGGATCCATCAACCGTGGTTCGGATCTCATCGGGGCGGGACTGTTGGTGAATGACTTTGCGGCCTTTGTGGGACTGGAGACGACTGCTACGGAGATTTCCGTCGTGGAGGCTACCTTTGGGTTGAACAAGGGTGGAGAGGGCAATGTGGGAGAGTTGAGGAGCGCAGTCGTAGACTCTTTCGCTTGAGTGTGACTTCTCACTCGTTGCGTTCTTTGCTTGTTGGAGATGTGGACTTCATACCTCGCCGCGCCTTTCAGTGGGATCGAGCGTCTCTGATCGCATTCAGTACTTGTTTAGACGAGCGTCGGCTCTATGTCCGATCCTACACGCTGTAATCTACTATCAAAAGCATTTAATGTGTGAGCAGCCCACCGGCCAAAGAGCTTACATGATACAGCAACGAGATCCATCGCTCTTGGTACACGCATCTCACACGCTCCACAGTTGCCAGCATTGTCACACTCTGAAGCACCTCTACCCGTCCGACCTACGCCCCCGCCCCCCTCTCATTACAGCTTGGAGCGTTCCGGCGGTGCCGACGAAGAGGATCGCTTGATGATCGTCTTGACTGCCTCGGAGGCGGCCGGGAACTTTGTGGCATACATCTTGGCCTCTGCAGATGAGGCCTGTCGACCGATGACGGGTTGGCAAGGAAAGCCAAGTGAGGTCAGCTCTCGCCGCTGTGAACCGCTGTTGCCGCTTTTGTGGATCTCTCCCTCCTGGCCTTCTGATTACTCACCTGCTTCTGAGCCACCCTAGCAGCAATTCCCTGACTGATGACTGCATTTCTAAACCAAGCCCATGCCTCGCATGTGACCCAACCAGGGATGGGGTACTCCCTGCCCACCTCTTTACAGTACGTCTTCATCAGCTCTTCCTTCCCCGGCAATGGGCTCACATCGTCGGAGAGACCTCCAATGAGCATGTACATTTCGCCTCGCTCCATGGAACGTTTCCGCTCCTCTGGATCGTTGATTGCCGAAGGGTTTGGACAGTCTAGGGAGAAGGGCTGAAGGAGGTTCGCGAGATCCGACAGCGGGTGGCCCAAGGTGGAGAGCTCCCAGTCCAATACTCCTACGATACGCGGCTCAGTAGGGTGGTATATGAGATTATCGATCTTGTAGTCGCCATGGCAGATTGTGTTCTCGTCCTTGGGCAAATTCTGCGAGAACCAACCCACGAGGTCTTTAAATCCTGGAATCTCTCCTACTTCCTCACCGCTGTCCTTGTCTTTGGTCTTGCCTTGAATGTTGGAGATCGTGGAGAGCGCTTTGAGTTGACGCGGGTAAAAGTCGGAGGGCTTGCCGTACCCTTCGAGACCAATGGTATTGGGACTGATGCGGTGCATTGCTGCGAGTACTCGCAAGGCGGACATCCATCTGATAGGCATTCAGGGACAGTGGGACGGGTGAGCAGATTCTCCTTGGGCGCACTCATGAGCCACGGCAACACTAACAGCTTTCTCCTCTCTTCCTTGGGTATATCCAGCATCCTCACATCCGCAAAGATTCTCCCCTCGACGAACTCCATGATGTAGAAATTGGTTCCAACGACGGCCTTGTCCTCGCACAGGCAGAAGACCTTGGGCACGGGCACTGCATCGGGGTGCAGATTCCTATCTCCTCCATACTTGCTCACGTCCAACGACTCGTTGTGCTTGTTGAGACAGGCAAGGATGCGGTACTCTCGCTCAACGGCGTGGGCGGTAGGCGAGAGGAGGTCTCCCGGAGGCTTCTTGCGCAGCACGTACCGGGCGGACTTGGTATCTGTGAGGATGTAGGTTGGATTTGACTGGCCAAAGGAGAATTGCTTGACCTGTACAGGCGCAGAGATGGCTGGAACGTTGGCTGTGTGGACCAGAAAGGATGGACGGACGGGGAGGTCAGTCGGCGTTGCACTCCACTCGGTCCTACTGACCTGCTTTCACCCACTCACCTTTGATGTAGGCATTCAGGGCGTCCAGGTCCACCGTCTGGCGCATCTCCCCGAACTCCTGCCCAATCTTCTTCTGTGGCTTCTTGTCTTCGCCCATGTCAGCGGATGGTGAAGGGATGAAGGAAGGAGGAAGAAGGACGGCAGGGCAGTCGGCTAAGTGTGGGCAAGGTCAGAATGCGGGGTAACAGGCAGGGCACGCATGATTGCCGGATCCTCGGCCTGTGTGGTCCCGATGTGCCGGGCGACCTTCCGCTCCGATCTTCGCGCGGGCAAAGACACACACACGCACGCACACGCGAGGTTCCGCTCCGACGCTGGGGTTGAGTGCCATCAGTCAAGGCTCGAGCCAAGGCAGATAGAGCGGTGTGCACCTTCTTCTCGTCCAACCAACACTCGACGTCGCACATTGTACCAGTAGACGACGATGACGAATCTCACACTCTATTCGCTCACCGCACTCCTTATCCTCGACTCTTCGGGGAGCCGCATTCTAGCCAAATACTACTCCCCTCCTGCAGCAGTCGCGGCAGCAGCAGCTGCTGCTGCTGCCAGTTCTGCCGGAAGCACAGCAACTACCACACCACACCAACCACCCAATACACCGCCTCAGCTGACCCAAGCCAGTCCGTTCCCAACACTTAAGGAGCAGAGGGCCTTTGAGAAGTCTGTGCTGGAAAAAGTAGCCAAGAAGGGCTCGGCCGCGGCTGCTGCTGCTGCGACTGGCAATGCTGCTACCGAAATCCAACTGCTGGACTCGCATCTGCTTCTGTCCAAGTCCAGCTTGGATGTACACTTGGTCGTGGTAGCACCTGCAGAGGAGAATGAATTGATGGTATCGCATGCGCTCTCCAATCTGTGGGAGGCGCTGAGCATGCTGCTTGCTGGACAAGGAGTCGAGAAGAGGACTTTGTTGGAGAATCTGGACCTGGTGACATTGGCAGTAGACGAGGCGGTAGACGACGGGTGAGTACATGTGAATGAGAGCAGAAGCTCTAGCTCTAGGACAGTCCTGACACCCCGCCATCACCAATACTTTCGAACAGAATCATCCTAGAGACAGATCCAGCAACGATTGCCTCTCGGGTCAGCAGGCCAAGACCAGATGCAACGGAGATTCAGATCAATGAGCAAAGTGAGTCTACACGCATGAGGGCAAAATACCCGCAAAGAACGCCAACTGATAAATTTTCATTTACGTCTGCCGCCATTAGCCATCATGTCTGCCTACTCAACATTGAAGGAGAGGTTAGTACGCCTGTCAGGGGTAGGTGTAAGGAAGAGCGACCACATACTGACCCAGTGCCCTCACCCTCACCCTCGCCCTCCGCCTCCACGCCTTTCATAGAGTGGCAGCCAGGATTCTGCAAGGTTGATTGCCAATTCAATACCCTCTGTCTTGTCACGCAATGCATCACACTTGTTCCAGCTTGCCTGAATGTCAGAGGTCTTGGAAGCGTGACCATTACAAACGAACGTCTAGAGCGCATAAGTGACAGGACGGAACAGAGTAGCCTAAAAGGATTGAGGTTGCCAAATATGAGGAAGGCCCCACTCTCACGTCGCTCAGAAGGGCCTGGCTCGCGAGTCGCCCCTTCCACGTCGAGCTGGACCAGTACCAGAGTCGCCTCCGCCTCGACCTCCACCACCACCTCCGCCCCTCCCTCCCCTTCCACCTCGTCCACCGCCGCCGCCGCCACCGCCTCGGCCGCCTCCGCCTCCTCCTCCACCACCACCACCACCACTGCTGCCAAGCTCCCTGACGATGTTGAGCCCAGGGGTACCCTTCAGTCCCATCTTACCGACAGTCTTGGCCAGCAGAGGCGGGATGGTTCCTCCCTGCTCGTCCTGGTACTCAAGCGCCTCCTTGGCGTATCGGTTCATCACTGCGACCATCTTGTCCTTTCCTCCGAACTTGATGGTACTGCTATTGTAGTAACCCAGAGCGGCCTGGTAGGCCTGAGCTTTACTCTCTGCGCTCACGTTCCTGGCCATGACGCCCGAAACGAGGGAGCGGGCCTGCGGCAGACCTGCGTTGATAGACTCGGCCGACTCGAGGGGCTTGAGAGGTAGGGCCTTGATGCCTGGAAGACCGAGGAAGCTCGACTCCCAGTCGGCCAAGAGCAGAAGACCCCGACCAGCAGCACCGGCACGTGCAGTTCGGCCCAGTCTGTGGATGTACTGGTCCGAGCTGCTGGGAAGACCAGTCTGCACTACGAGGGTAACGTTGGGGAAGTCAACACCTCGGGCAGCTACATCGCTGGAGAACAGGACTCCCTCTGAGCAGGCGCGGAATTCGTCGCTGGCCTTTGTACGCTGCGACTGGCTCTTCCTGCTGTGGATCTCCCACACACGTCCAATATCTGCGCCCTTGATGGCTGTGAAGACCTCGGCGGCAAGACCAGTGCTCCTGGCAGTGGGGAAGAAGACAATGATTTTTGCTGCACCGGGATTACGCTTGCGTTCAGCCAAGATGTGCAAGAGTGTCAGAGGGAGAAGATCTTGCATCGGTGCGAGCTGGTAGTCCTGAGGTACGTGACGATGTGTGTTCTGCTCGGCCTCTGGGATTGTGTTGACGAAAGCGTGGTCGGGGAGCACATCGGCGACTTGTACCACCGACTCGGGATATGTGGCGGAAAAGAGGAGCATCTGACGAGGCTTCTGTCTCCTGTCTGGGAGATATGTCTTGATCTTTTCGATCTCGCGACGGAAGCCCATGTCGAGCATACGATCCGCCTCGTCAAGAACGAGGATCTCCAGTCCAGCAAACTTGGGAGCCAGGTTGGAGTTCTCGAGATGGTCCTGCAGTCGTCCGGGAGTGGCAATGAGAATATCGCATCGATCGGTCTTGAGTCGACGCTGCTCGCTGCTCATGTTTGTTCCTCCCACGACGTGCTGGACGCCGATGAAAGCCGACAGGCCTTGAAGCAGGATGTTGGCTTCTGCTTCAATCTGCAGTGCTAGCTCGCGGGTAGGGGAGAGGACCAGGACAGAGACGTTGCCCTTTTGCGGAGGCCGTGGCAAGCTCAGCAAGCGCTGTATAGCAGGCAAGAGGAAGGCGACGGTCTTTCCGGTACCAGTCTTGGCCTGTGCCAAGACGTCTTTACCGGCTAGAGCGTGGGATAGGGTGGCAGCCTGTGAAGCGTATCAAGATGTGCGAGGCAGCGATGAGCAAAGGATCGAGTGTGTATCGAAAGTAGTCATCGAGCTCTAGTACTCACCTGCACAGTGGTCATGTTAGAGAATTTGACATTCTTCAGTACCCTGTCGTCCACCGTGCCCTTGAGTGAATCGAAGGTGACATCGCTCAAGTGCGACGCCTTGCCATTGGTAGTTGGCGTCGCAGCGCCGCTGGGCAACGGCGTGTCGTCCCATCCATTCATCTCGACGTCACCACCTGTGGCAGCGACTGGCTGCTGCTGCTGGGCTTGAGCCTGATTGTGCTGAATGCGATGAGGGTTCAAAGCACCTCCTCCGCGTCCTCCTCTGCCACCTCCTCTTCCGCGTCCTCTACCTCTGAATGCGCCCCGAGGAGGGCCTCGTGCATCTGACATTGTGGTATACGAGTGGTGTGGGTGTAACGAGCGTGAGAGTACAAAGGGTGAGACTGGGTATCCTGGTGCGAGTGCGAGCGTGGTGAATCTTCTATACAGGGACATCCAATGGTAGATGGGGAAGCGTGGTGATCGAGCCAGGAAGAAGTTGCACAAGCCAAAATTTTGGACGTGTGGGACTGTGTGTGGAGGCGGAGCTGGAAACCACTCGCACCCAGGGCATTTCCGGTTGGCTCGGCTGCGCTGCGAAGGCAGAGGGAAGATCCGCCGAAAGCATTCACACCAACACCACACGCCCTGAGACGATACCCTGCGACCACCGCTGAAGCGACGTACTCATCAGTCAGGATGACTGCTGAAGCTGGCCCATCCTCTCTCCCAGCGAATCCGCCTCGGCCGATCGTACCCAGTGTTCTACGGCAGCACTTTGCCGCCTACCAACGATCTCCATGTGCACCCACGCCCACGCCCACGCCAGCGGCCCGGTCCTCCTTTGTAGCTCCTTCCATCTTTGAAGGATGGCTTGGTGGGTCCTCGACTGGCGCGAGCTCAGCAGAGGCAGAATCAAAAGCACAGCAGCAGAGGACCGTCGTGGGAGCAGGGTCTGTACCCAGTGACAGTGTCTGGCAGGACCATCCTGAGACGCAGGAGGAGGCAAGACATCGTGAGAGGTGCGAAAAGTGGGCAGATCAATTGTTCAAGACAAGTGAGTGGGGGTATGTAGAAGGAGGAGGACGCTCAGAGTGCGACCTGAAGGGCCAAGCTGAGAAATTGTGGATTAGAAGCTCTTGACCAGCATTGACTGACCCCTGGACCTCTCTTACTCCCCCTGCCCCCCTCTGCCTCTTCGCAGGTCCAATGATCCGCTTCATGACCCGTCACCTCATCCTCGTCTCATGCGATCCACTAGCGCCCCTCACCTCCAAGAACGACCTACCTCGGCTGACCATTGCCTCCTGCCCACCCACAATGGCCGGCGGCTTCTCCCCTTCCGCACCTGGCGCCCCTCTAAGTGATTCGGGGATCATGCTCTGTGCGAATCGGATGATGAGCAAGGACCATTTAGAGGATACACTGGCTCATGAAATGGTCCATTGGTGGGATCATTGCAGATTCAAGGTGGACTGGAGCGATTTGAGACAGCATGCTTGTTCCGAGGTGAGAGAAGCAGGAGGGTAGCGAGGAGCGGGGAGAGAACGATGCTGCGAAGCCCATCGGTCGTCCCTGCTCACCTCAAGTCTGACCACTGACACTCCTTCCCCACCTCTTCGCCACCGCAGATCCGCGCAAGTTCCCTCTCTGGCGACTGCAACTTTTCCCGTGAGCGGGGTCGACGCAATTGGGGTCTGACCAAGCAGCACCAGGCCTGTACTCGCCGAAGGGCAGTGTTGTCGGTAATGGCAAACGAAAAGTGCACGGGAGGAAAGGAACAGGCGGAGAGGGTGGTGGATGAAGTGTGGAATAGCTGTTTTAGCGATACGAGGCCTTTTGATGAGGTGAGTGGGAGGAGTGGGGGTGGGGGTGGGTGGGGACAGGAGCGGGGTAGCCCAATGGGAGGACAGATGAGCTGACAGAACCTCTTGCTGCCCGTACCTCTTCACAGATCTATTGAAGCGGGGTGGACAGCCTTCGGTTGCTGAGTCTTTACCCTAGTAGATGAGAGAAATGTATTTGTACAAACGAGAAAGAGATTAGACCAGTGACGAACATGACAAGGAAGGCAGGGCGGCATGCAGGCAAGCGAGCGAGCAGGCAGATCGCATGATGGGGCGCACACCTCTGCTCAGCCAAAGAACTTGGAGTAGAGGATCAGCAGGATCAGGAGCACCAAGATGGCGATGATGCCGATCATGGTCAGCTTCTGCTGCTTGGCTCTGTGGGTGGCGGGGAGGTATCAAGAGGGACAGCAAGGGGTATCGTGGGAAGAGCAAGAGGAAGAAGCGCGGGGGATCATTTGAGCCAGCCGAACCAGGATTCGTTTCCGTTGGTCAAAAGCGAATGAGAGAGGAGAGAGTGAGGGACAGTGGGGGAGAAGCATGGATGAGAAGGATTGCAGATCTTTCCGCCGCCGGTCTCTCCTCTCGCGAGCTCACCTTCGGATCATGGTAGACAGTGTCTTGGACGAGCGGTCGATGCTGTTGTCTGCGTTCCGAAGCTGGCAGAGGGAAGCAGGTTGGGTAGGTGTTGTCAGTTGCATAGCTCTCACCACCTGAGTCGCTCGGCTGCCTTGCCCCCAGCTCCATCTGGGCCCCTCGCCGCCATCCCTCAGCTACACTCCTCGCCCGCCCATACTCACTGTATCTCTGGAATGCTCAATCTGCTCCCTCTGGCCCCTGAGATCTCTCAATATATCCGCTCCCAGATCCTCCGTCTCCAATGCAATTCGATTCGACTCTTCCAATCTCCTCTGTCCATCTTCTAGGGTAGAGGTGCCTTGCAGAAGCCTCTGACGCTGGGCCTGAGAGGAGTTGTTGGCTTCTAGATCGGCTGCTGAAGAGTCTACAAAGGGGTTCGATGGGTCGTAGCCAGACGACTTGGCCATTTGGGAATTCTGTGTGGAGATGACGGAGTTGTGGCAGGTGGATGAGTATCGTTCGAGGCAGCGCAACCCCTCTCCTGCACGTAGCTCAGTAATATCGCTCCCCCCACCCTCACTCACGAGTTGCTTCGAGACCTTGTCAAGCTCGCTCCTAAATCCACGCATCTGAACCGAATATTTGCTCTTGACACTCTGCGGGAACCCCTGCACCTCTACATCCATTTGCGCCAGCACCTCTTCGGCCTCTTCGAGTTCCATTTCACATCGCCTCAACGTCGACTTGCGCGCCTCGCCGCTCTGCGAAGGCAGCGTCTTGTTGAGGTGGGTGGAGATGGAGGAGAGGAGTTGGGAAAAGTCCGTCGAGTAGGAGTCGAAGAGGTCAGCCATGGTGGGCAATGAGCGAGGGGGGGAGGAGGTGAGTCGAGGCTGATGGACTGGGTATGGTGTGGGGGAACAAGCAAAGTGCGTGAGATATGCAGGTGGTGCTGCTGTGGAGCGGGAAAGGGGCGACCGGAACGGAGAGACCAGACGCGCACGCTAAGGCTCGCTGCCCTTCCGCCTGCTCACTCACACCAGTGGGTGAGGCTTCGGTGGCCGCGAGGTCTGATCAAAGGGGGAACACGAGAATTCAGGTGGTCACACCGAGCAAGGTTTTGTGGATCTGCCTGCCTTCGGAATAACACATGTGTGCTTCCCCAGCTCAGACTTGGTGGCGGTGGATGTGAGGCCGGACCGGAATTTGACGCACAATCACATGTCCGGCTAAAGATGGCCAACCAACACTTTGGTGAACGATCGTGGGAAAGAACAAGGGAACTGTCGAAGATGAGCGTCTGTGTCATTCTATGTGACTTGGTGTCAGTTCCCTCCTACCGCCGGTCGGACGTAGTCTGGACCCTAGTGGACCGACCACATGACCACCCTTTTCCATTGCATTCCAGACGCCTGCACACGACGTCACATCGACGTCACGTAGAATTAGTCTGACCTGGCGAAGCTCATGGATGGGTATGCACACTGGATGTAATTCAAGGTCGTCGATCCCCCGGCTTGCTGCAAGAAGGGGGAGGCTGCCGTCGGGAATGCAACAACGAGGGGGTGCGGGCGGGCGGGCGGGCGGTGAGCGGGGGGAAGCCGGCACAGGTACAGGCACAGGCACCGGCACCGGCACCGGCTCATGTACATTTATCCCCTTTTGTCACCGGTTGGCCGTTGGACATTGTGGGAATCTGGGCCATCCAGCCGAGGCCGAGGAAGCTCTGATTGGCAGGGTGGGCGGGGGCAAGCGGGCGTACGCAAAGCGCATGCTACTTGTGATCATCACATCCGGGCATGCATCATAGCAGCCAAGCAGCCAAGGCGCGGACACGTCAGGGCCTCGGCCCGTACTGTGAATGTACCTACAGAAGCTTCCCGATGCTGTGCGGCTAGGGGACGAGTGACGAGGGTGGTGCCTTCCGCGGGGGCTGGGGGAAGCTGAGGGGTCGGGGGCCAATGCAGGTAGCGCTGTGTGTCGCAGCTGTGTGTCGCAGCTACCCGCACACGCTCGCAAACTCCACATATCGCAAGCCTCGTGTTGATGTACCTTGCGGGTGCGATGACGTCGGACTTGGTCCGTTCATCTGCGTGGCGCGCCTCTGCCGCCAGTAGCCCAGAGGACCCTGCGGAACCCCGCATTTAGGACCTGCCCCCCCGTGGATTCAACAGTGACGTGGCAACCACCACACCTCGTCATTGTGAAGATGCTGAGCACTAGAGCGGTGTCCACGCCGCGAGTGTTGGGATTGATGGCAGGGCAGTGGCAGTGTTGGACTAGCGCCAGCCAGCGAGCGTAAAGACTAGGGAGGTGGAGCCGCACGGGGTAGGCCCACGAGGAGTAGGTATATAAGACTGCCCATTCGGCGCTTTCAACAGCTCCTGTTCTTTCCCACCAACAACTACTTTCCACATTTCCACCAACACACCAACACCCAACACCCAACAACTACTTTCAAAATGCAGACGTGAGTACAGCAACGCCTTCCGCATTTGCAGGCCCGTGCGCCACACGCAGCATCCGACACTCACACCTATGCGCACCCACTCCCACCTCTCAGCGTCAAGGACACCGTCAACTCCGTCACTGAGTCCGTTCAGCAGGCCACCTCTGGTGCCTCCAAGGAGGCCAACAAGAACGTCGCCAAGGACTCCGACGCTTCGCTCTCCACCCGAGCCACCGCTGCCGTGAGTGACTCCCGCAACACCATTCCGCCACGCGTACCCGTACTGACTCCGTAGTCTCTTACACCTTATTCTCTACCATTTCCGGCCTTTCTTTCTGCTCCCACCGCTGCTCCAACATCTCCACTACACATCCACAATCTTCTCTCATCTCCAACTGCCTCAATAACCTCGCATTTGGCGTAAAAAGAAAGACGCTGTGGGAGACAAGGCCGATGAGAGCAAGCACGATGCGAAATCGGAAGCATACTCACAGAAGGCCCAGTCGTAGGAGGTTCCCAGGACCTTCCCGGACGTTTTGGCCTTGAACCGAGGCGATTTTATGCAGAAATGAAAGAGTTTTATTAGTAGTCACTTTGCCTCGTCGTGACCGTATCGACCCTACCGCCTCCCGCGGGTGTGAGTTTTTTTCGCACTCCGCTCCCCGCCGTCTGCCTTCCGCCATCCGCCTCTCCACTTCTCACCCGCCAGTCTGGTTACACACGTTCGCCGTTGACGAGGTTATTCGTGTTCTCACTTACGACGATTGCTGCCGCTGCTTATGGGAGGGTAAACATGCTACACTCCCTGCAGACAGCGTGTCTGATAATCCTCTCACGCCTGGACTAGAAATCTCCCTGCTCACATCTCAATCTGTCGTCTTCCGCAACGTACAATCCGCCACCTTCGACTCCATCAGGTCTGATCAGCTGCACGACGAGGGGATACTTTGCGTATCGCGTCGAAAGCTGCGAACGCAAGGCTGACTCCAGTGCTGTGACACGCATCACATCACAGACTTCATTACTTAGCCCAAGATACACTGAGTCCATTAGAATTATTGCTCTGCTGAGGCAGCCCCACGCTATCCTCATTCTTCCATTGGAGCGACATCGGTCAACACCATCTCTTCCTTTCTCTTCCCTCCTACGCCTCCTCTCAGCGGACGCGTGGAAGGCTGGCACACAGTTGGCAAAGTGCCTGACAGGCTCCCTCGCGGTAGATCATGCCTTACGCCGGATCAGACAGGAGAAGAGTAGCAGCAGGAAGACAGGAGGTTCCTTTAGGTATTGCGAATCAGCGTGCCTAGCACCGTCGGCGGAATCGATGTGCGAAGAGGCAGCGAACATGCGGTAGATCAGTCGACGAGCTGTTCTGATGGACCTAGCAGTGCGGCACCGTCTGAATCAGGCGAAGACGTGCGAGGCGCTACGACCCGACGTTAGATGCAGTTACAGCTTGCAGAATGAGATTATTGAAACAGCATCGCGAACTGGGGCAGCTGCGGGAGACAAAGGCTGCATCATCCTCGTACGAAGATGATCACCGTTTTAGCTTGCCCCCTGCCTTTGGTCACACTTTGCTTCACGACTATGGAAGAGAAGTTTAGGGTCTCGTTACGCAAAGGAGAGAAGATGGTGAAGAGGATTACAGTGCCGTGGAGGAAGATACGGCCTCAGACGGAAGACAGGCGGCTGAAATGTGTCAATGTGATGATTGCATTCTAAGACAAGGTCATTGAAGTCACTAGTAAAGACAATGTTCCTGAAGTCACTAAGTAGTAAAGTCAACGTATTACATTCACTATCCATCGTACATGGTCTCTGGCGTGTGCACGCTTGACTTTCATTGCGCCGTCGCGAGGCCGCAAGTCACTAATGGTGATAGGTCTCGAATTGCAGCGTGTAAGGAGGTGGGGACGTTTGCAGCAGAATAGCTACAAGGAGCTATGTGATGCGGTGCCGGTCTGAAGAGCTGTAGCGAGGTAGTGCATGATAGCCTTGCAGAGGGTCGTCGTTCGCAGCCGTGTGGCAGAGACTTGCAGCGAGGCAGCAGCAGAAGAATAGTTGCCGTTGCTGCTGTGCGCCAGGTATCCGCTGGTTGGTGGTAGACTCGGACGATGAGATGCAGTCGCAGCTGCGATGCCTAGTCTTGGCGCGATGGGCGACTGGTCCTTTCGATACAGACTTGAGGTGATCATGGGCAGGAAGAGAACCCTGGGACGAGGAGAAGAGACCGAAGATCGAGATGTCGCTGTGGGAGAGGGAGGTCGCTTCTACTCTTGGAGCTCATGCGACCGTACACCGTCCTCCCAGGGTACTCCTCTGCTGTCCTCTGTCTTCTTCCGCCTCTCAATCAAGATCTTCCAGAGCTTATCTCTCTGGGCAACCCTGGTCTCTGCAACCACCCAACCGTCGCTCCCGTCATGGCTGAGCGCAACAGTCAGGTCTTCTTTCTGGCGCACGCCACTACAACGGATATGGAAGTGTACGTCCGTGGTACCATATCTAGCGACTGGCCAATCGCCGTTCAACACCGCCCTCATGGTCTCGGCGCTGAAGGTAAAAGTCGCATAGTGCGGCCTCATCGTCAAGACCGCATTGCCAGTGCCGGGATCGCTGGCCCTCTGAACCTTCATACGGAAAGGTCGGAACTGCACTGGAACACCAGCATGGGGATTGGCAGGGAGGGCGACGTTCGACGGCTGAGCTCGCCGATAAGCTTGCTCTATCTCTTTGAAGACATCGATGAAGATGTCCGTCGGAATGTGGGTCGGCACTGTCTTTGCAAACACCTTGAGCGGCATCGCAGTCCATTCATCAGCGAAGGGCAGGAGCTGGATCTTGTACGTCGAAGGCCCCTCGCGGAACCTCGAGCGCGCGAAGGAGAATTCTTTACTGTGTGAGAAGCGACATCGGATGGGAGTTGTCCAATCTGGTCCGACGACTACCGAGGCGAGCAAATTGTACCGAATCTCATCCCTCGACTCTTGGTCGTATCTCGTGACCAAGTGCTCGATGTGAGGTCCCAGGCGGAGCGTGAGACCCGTCGGATACAAGATCCCTCCACCATCCCACACCTCCTTCGCGAGATCCGAGAGCCCATCGTAGGCTATCTCTTCCCTCGCCTTACTCATCTGCGTCTTTTGCAGAGCAGCTTGCTATTCTCTCCATGTACGGGCGTCTTCCGGCAGAAGAGCCACGAGGCGTTCTGCGAAGCGACGAGGAAAGGTCTTTTGATCTCGCCTGAATGGCTGGTAGACTACCCACTTGCTGTCGTCGACCTTGAATTGGAGCGACAGTCCGGTGAAGAGAGGATACTCTTCCTCTTTGGCAGCCGGTATGGTGTCGAGCTTGGGGTCTCTCTCGCCGTCAAGCAGCCGGATGGTGCAGCTGCTTCCATTCTAGAGCTAGCAGTGGATGAGACGCTATGCGCCTTCATTGTGTATTGACTCAGCCCTTCGAAGACGTGGCGAGTGGCAAAGACGGTACAGTAAAGAACTGCGATGGAGCGAGCCAGTTGAGCGTGAGCGACGCCGTGATACTCTTCGGTCGCGAGCCTTAGATTTGACGGAACGATTTCAGAGCCTTGAGTGGCGCCGACCAGCAGTTTCGTCTTCCAACAACTTAAACGGCCACTTGGTGCCTCTGTCGAGCAGTGATTCTCCGATGATCTTGTCCAGAGGAGATTGAAAGAGCCAAGCGTCGCTATCCTCTTTGCACGAATTCGCCGATATGCTTCCTCACCTCCCTCTGCAACAAGCGGATCTGCACCATGATCCGGTTGTACGCCTCGTGGTTGCCCTCCGTCCTCTCCTGGGCGGCCAGGATCACTAGCGGTACCAGGCAGGCTCTAAAGCGTCGCCATCGGCTGTCCTGGATACCGAGGCCGTCCCAAGATCCATCCTCTTTCGACACCACCCCTGGCCTATCTAGGCAGTGGGTGTCTGGTAGTGAGAGGAAGCCTGAGTGAGTGACGTCGTCGCATAGACATGCATGCAGAGCTCTTCGACTCACTGTTTCCCCCCTTCACTGTCTCTCCCACGTTAGGCAGTCCGAATCTCCTCCTCCCCGCCAGCCATTCCTCCTTGTACTGGAATGTCCCCAGCACGAGGCACCAGAGACACTCGGCCAAAGCTCTAGCCTCTGGGTGGTCATCGGCGAAGTCTGCGACAGGGAAATGGTACACCGTATCGGCCTTCTTGAGGGGGTGGTATTTTAGGCGCTTTTCTTGAAGGGCAGGGACAACTTGGTCTTCAGAGATCTTCATATGCTGAATAGTTCGACCGACGGTGTCGCCCGACTTGCCAATCTAGAGACTAGTTACTCGATTTTCCGTGCAACCGACGATCAGATACACAGACGGCAGGGCTTTGGGCAGGTCCGCGTTGTCAGTGACCAGGCCACTAGCCAGTTTCTGGACTTGTGTGGCCAGACAGTGCCCATCGTCGGCCGAGCGAGACCAGTATTCTTGTGGAGCAAGTCTGCTGGGCTCCACCGCAAGATCTGGAAGAAGAGCCATGCCAGTGCTTGTCAGACTGACTTTCACTCTGGCAGACAGGGCATCCACGTCCAGAGTCCCCTCTTGCATCCAGCGTGTTGGCTGGATGTCGGAGACCTCCGCCTCTCCTGTGACAGGGGGAGTCAGATGTCCAGTGTCAGTGCCGTACTGGATGTGCGTGAGTGTGCTACAGGAGTGTCGTACTCACCATGAGTACTTGTGAACTTGTAGCTCTCGCCGTCGTGGTCGTCATGCGAAGGATGTCTTGTTGTGGCTGATTCCGTCAGTGAGCTGTCGAGTGGCGAGTGCGAGGAGTTTGTCGAGAGTGGGTCAAGATGGAGAGTGAGAGAAGTGTGCGTCGTTGAGGTGGAATATTCGACGTTTGGATGAGGTCTTTGGGTGTTCTCCCCTTACTCACCAGTCTATCGGTTGAGCTGCAGCTCGTGAGCTCAAGCTGTCGAGTAGCTTGACTTTTGGGTAGTCATCAGAGTCCCTCTTGAATGCTGGATGGTAGCGAGTGAGTGCCGAAGCAGTGTCGAGGGTGTGTATAGGGGTGGGTAGAGGTGTAGCGTAGAATATCGTGATGGTGTGTAGCGTAGAGGAGTAGAGTAGTAGTGGTAGTGATACTGTAGTTGAGAGGAGTAGAAAGGGGTGAAGGGGATGCGAGAAGAGGAGCTGCGTTGGGGGAAGGGAGGGAGAATGTGAAGGGGCGAGGGACAGGCATCTCCCCCTCATTGCTCACTTCACTCTCGATCCCTCGCCGTTTGCTGCCACTACTCACTTTGCATCACACGGTCCTGCGGTTCACCTTTGCTGTGACATCCTTGCAGCACCTCGTGATCCACCTCGGGGACAAAGTGCTTCGCCCCTGCTGAGGCCAGTCTTGTTGCTCCGAGTCCACCCGACCTCTGCTGAGCCCTCTTGCGTGCTTTTGCTACCACTCTATTCCCTTCGGTACAGTCGTGCCGAGGCCTCCCCTCACGCAGCGTGGTCAACGTCCGGAATATTCCCTCCGGTCATGACTCAGCAGCGTGAGTCATCATCGGGAGGACAATACCTTTGCATCCTCATGACCGCGAGGTGATCTCATCACATTGTCCTCTGTCTCTGTGAGCCGTGAGTACGCACGCCGAAATCTCCGGCTGTAGTAACGGTTGCGTCGGAGCACGCTCTCTGCCTCTTGTGACTCGAGGACATTCCGAGAATGGCCGATGGATTGCTGTTGTGCCGGTAGTGCATGGGAAGCAAATCCCGAGTGCACTGTGCGACGGACTCAGTAGAATGTGGTAAGGTCCTGGCTGCGTGAGCATGCATCTCTGGCAAGACGACTCTGCCCCGCGGCTGCAAGCCGCCTCCCACTCTCACTGCATCAGTCTCAGCGAGTCTGTACGACTCAGCCCTCGGTACGCCTCGTCACTCTGGTCACTGTAGATCTCATCGCACCTCTCCTACTTCGAACTTCACTTCCAGATGGACAAGCCAAAGTGGACATAGCCATCAAAGAAGGATCCTGTCGACGCTTTCTCCACTACACCACCTCTGCTGGCAGGAACTCTCCGTCCAATAAGCCGAACGGCTGGAGTTCATCGATCCAGTAGCGACCCAAGAGAGCGAAGAGCAAGCAATGCGACATCAGCCAGCTTCCACCATCGACCTTGTACCCCCAACCTCGTCACCAGGACCAAATCCCTGGCCAAGCAGAGACCTCGCTCTCGCTGGCTGGAAGAGGAGTAATACCGTGTCTATAAGGGCTGAAGCAATCCGAGTCAATATCGATCTGGTCATCCTCTCGCTTCGATTTCAGTCACTCCTATCAAAGGCCTCTCTGCTTCATACCATTCCACTTCGCCTTCCATTCATGCAAGGTGCACGGAGTCCTACATCTGGCCTCGGTGGACAAGTATCGATACGGTCAAGTCGAGATCCTTGTCCTTACCGCAACACTCGGAGCGCCAGTCTGTCACATTACAGCAGAGCCAGATCAGATCGAAGAGAGGCACCAAGGACTCGGAAACCGATGTAGTCGTCAAGATCTTCGACAAGCTGCAGAAGGCTCTTGAGTCAGCGCCCGCTGCGAATGCTCCTGCTGCTGACACGGCTCGACTTGAAGGGGTACCCCTCACTTCTTCCGGCCGTATCGGACTCTCGCGAGGGCAGAGCGAATCTGGTGATCAACCTGAAGCCAAAGGGTAGACTCTGGCCGATGGGTACCAATCCCTTCGCAAAGTAAGGTCGAAGAGAGGAACTAAGGAGTCGGAGACCGACGCTGTCGTCGAGATTTTCCACGAACTCCAGAAGGCCCTCAAGGCGGTGCCCGCTGCGGATGCTGCTGCCGATCTAGGAAGGCAGGAGGAGATTCCTCACTTCTTCCGGCCATTCCAACAAAAGATGCGAATGAGCACCGGAGAAGGTCGCGCAAGTGTCATCGTCAGTCTGCAGCCCAAAGGCAGCATCAGCCTGGCGTTTGCAGCAGACAAGATGAGGGAGGTTTGGGGTGGGGAGTGGCCGGTAGCCTACCTCGCATACGCGCAGGGCCACCTCCACATCCGAGGAACAGGGGTGAGGAGGGTGGACGACTTGGAGATCGCTCTAAGTCGCGATGGGGAGCAGTGGGTGGTAGCGTCGCCGGAGGCGCACCAGAAGCAGGCCTTGTGGGAAGGTCTCCTTCTGAGGCGCAGGAAAGACGAGGGAAAGTCCGGTCGCCCTTGGGCAGATGAAATCTGGTCATATGAGCTCGAGGAGTAGGCCGAAGCCTTCACGCCTGGACTTCCGCATCGACCTGTTGCTTCTCTTGCACTCCGCCATCTGAGCAAATGAAAGTACGGTTCATCCCATTTTGTTCCATTCTAGTCCGCTCGTGTCTGCCTGCGTCTACAGATGAGGTCGCCCCTCTAGCTACCCTTGGCACTACCACCACCGCCACCACCACCACCACCGGCGCTTCTCCCACTCTTCTCCTTCCCCTCGCTCTTCTTCTCCCCTTCAATCGACTTCCTCGCCGTCTCCTGATCTCTCTTCTCTTTGGACCTCCTCTTTGCCTGATCCTCCATTCCAGAGGCCTTTTGCGTGGCGGCGTGCCATCCTTTGCCAGTGACGAGGGCAGAGGAGAAGACGAGGATCTTGGATGTGCCGGCGCGGATGTTGGAGATGGTCTCGAGGAAGGCTAGGCCGCGGTAGAACCACTGAGAGCGAGGTGGGAGGGGGAAAAAAGAAAAACCACCGTTCAGCTATGCGATTCGCACGCAAGTATGCCTGCCATTCCTGCCTGCTGTTCACGCTCAGACTCACGAGGTAATTGGTCCAGCAGTGCAGCCACTCTCTCACCACACCAAAGCTCCACCCAGACGCCCTACGCTTCTCCCTCAACTTTGCACGATCGTCGTCCCAGACGGCCAGCGCACAGTACCTCGCAGCGATGATGAATGGCCTGGTAGGGCCGTGGGTGGTGTGCAAGCTGGCATCCAGGGACCGCGTAAGGTCATTTAGCTTCAGCACCATGAGCATGCGACGGGGGACTCTCCTGAGCAAGTCTAGAATACTGAGGAAGAGGCCCTCCCTCTCCATGACCGTCTTTCGGATATGCTCCTGCTCCTCTTCCGACATTTCGGATCCAGTCTGCATGTCCAGCATCGACGAAGGTCGCTTTTTGCCCTTGACCCCGTGCGGATTCTTGGGGTCCGAACCTTCCAAACCTGACCTCCCAGTGATGGCCGACTCGAGGATGGGGTACAGGTCATCACCAATGTCAGCAATCCTCTTTGCGAGTCGTTTCCGGTCGGCTTGTACGGCGGGGGTAGAGCGACTGAGGAGGCTGAGCCAGAAGCGAGCATAGTCGGTGCGGAGGTCCTTCTCTATGTCAAAGTACAGACCGTGATCGAGGAGCACCACCTCGAAGTTGTGCGGAGAGCGACTTTGCTTGGGCTTGCTTCGGATGAGGACATTGCCTCCGTGAGGGTCTGCATGGAAGAAGCCATGGATGTAGAGCTGCGAATGGCGGAACAGAAAGAGGCGTGGTCTCACGTGAGCATCGCCACGCTCACCACACTCAAGGACAGTCCGCTTCGGCTCGCTGCGACTCACCATTTGCGCAAATACCCTACTCAGCTCCTGTGAGACGAGGTTGCGATCGATGTTGTGGTCCGCCAGGTACTGCAAGTCGTCTGGCCGTCTACCGTCAATGTACTCCATTGCCATTGCCCTCTTGTACACCCAAGGTACCTTCGGAATATACACCGTCGTCTTCTTGTACCTGTCAAAGTCCTGAGCGGCTCGCCGTGAGTTCTGAGCCTCGTGTCTGAAGTCCATCTCCAGTGGCATGTTCTGGTTCATCTCTTCTGCCAGCCAGGTGAATTCAAACTGCGGGAAAACCCTCTTGACCCACTTCACCAGGTAGTTGACGGTCCTCATGTCCACCTCGCTGAAGCGCTCTACGTCGGGATGCATGAGCTTGATGGCGAGCCACTGGCCCGTCTTGCGATCTCGCGCCTTGTGCACCTGAGCCAGAGAGGCGACGCCGAGGGGCTTCTCGTCAATCTCCGAAAACGACTCTGCAAAAGAAGAGCCAGTCTCTTGGCGGAACATGGCTTCAAGCTCGTGCAAAGGCGTGGCGTGGTTCTGATCCTGTAGCGGCTTCAGGGTATTTGTCCACTCCGTGGGCAGCAGAATGATAGACGAGACGTGCTGCCCAAGCTTAATGTACAGCCCACCGTTTGTCTGCAGAGCCTTCAGCACTCGATTGGCGCTTCGAAGATGGCACTTGCGAAGCTCCTCGTTGCTCTCGGCAGCCGAATCGTACTTGGCATTCAAAGTCTTGCGGTAGTCCCACACGCATAGGCCGACCGCCTTGGCAATGACAGTGGACCGCTTGACGGCCAGTACGGTAAAGCTGCCCGCGTTGTTGAGATTCTCTTGAGCCTTTTGTACCTTTGCCTCCATCTCGTCCTTGGACATGCTGAGGCCTTTGAGCTCGAGATCACTCTGCAGCTTGGCCTCGTCCGCATGGAGCTTCGGCAGGGCATAGTACAGACCCAGACCCAGTACAATGGCAACGGCAGCACTGATCCCACCTATCCTCGAGTACTTTTGAAATCTCTCGTGAGCTTTTTGGGTCTCGATGGGGTTGGATATTGCTGGTTGATCGAATGTGACGGGTTCCGGAGCCTTTAGAGGGGGCGGATACTTCTTGGAGAAGGGACGATTGTCGATCGGCCTGCTCCTCTTGGTCGGGTGTGACTTCTCTTCTTGGCAGACAAGAGGGGTTGTGGAGAAGCTGCGAAGAGGACGCAGGCGACTGGTAGACGCAGGGCATCCCGAGGGGGACCGTTTCGCTGCTGGACGATGTAGCTGACGCAACTCGATCCGAGCGGTGCCGTTACTACTGCCGGCCCCGCTGGTCGCCCAACTTGGCGAAGACAGCAGAGCCTGCCGCCATTGCTGTGACTGCCGTAGCATGGAATTCTGAGTACGCCTAGCGTCACAGCCGGGTCCGGGGCAAAAATCGATACGCTACGCTTGGTGAGGAAGAAGTGGAAGAAGTGCTTTCAGGTGCTCCTGGCCGTTCCGTGTGTCTGTATGCGAGCTTTGACAAGCGGAGGTTCCTGCTGCCGTTCCGTGCGAGTCTCCCTCGCCTCTCTCCGTTCCGACTGTCGCACGGAGCCACGGGAGGCCCCTGCGAGTCCTTGTGTGTGTGTGCCTGGGCGTGGGCGCGCCGACGTCATCCGATTGCTGTTGGGCGTGCGTGGAGGTCAATGGAAGGAGCCAGGCAGAAGGCAGTGCGGACCCTGGCCGCCTCGAGGGAGAACATCGTGTGGCTGCGCTGGCCAAGGTAGATAAAGAGGCAAGCAAGAGAATCTTCTACGCACCTACTAAGCCATCACCATCACCATCACTCAGCAACCCCAGTCCTCCCATTCACAACTTTACACACAATGGTCTACCAAATCGATCTCTCTGGCGGAACAGTCGTCGTCACCGGTGGTAACCGTGGTATCGGTGAGTAGGACCAACCCTCATACCTGTGGCGGATTGCTATGGAACCTTCTCGACTGACACCGTTGACCTTGTCTCACCCCCTGTCACTTTCCCCACCCAGGTCTCGCCATCTCCGAGGCCGTTGCCAGCGCTGGTGCCAACGTAGCCATCCTCTTCCACTCGCACCCCAAGGCTCACGAGGCCGCCGAGGGCGTTGCCAAGAAGCACGGTGTCAAGGTCAAGGCCTACCAGTGTGATGTCAGCGACGCCAAGAAGGTCAAGGACACCATCGAGCACATCGAGAAGGACCTCGGCACCCCCATCACTGGTCTCGCCGCCAACGCCGGTGTTTCCGTTGTGAAGCCCGCTACTGAGCTCACCCCCGAGGACTTCCACAAGGTCTTTGACGCCAATGTTCTGGGAGCCTTCAACTCATGCCAGGCCGTCGCACAGTACTGGATCCAGAGGAAGTCCAAGGGAAGCATCGTCATCACCTCGTCCATGAGCTCTTCGCTCTACAACCAAAAGGGACTCAACGAGCCCCTCACACAGATCTTCTACAATGCCTCCAAGGGAGCCGTTTCCAACATGGTCAAGGGTCTCGCTGCCGAGTGGGCACCCCACAGCATCCGTGTCAATGCTCTGGAGCCAGGATTCTGCAACACTGAGCAGACCAGCGGTATGGACCCCAAGATCCGCGAGTGGCAGGCATCTTCGGTACCCATGGGCCGATTCTCTGAGCCTCACGAGCAGGGTGAGCCCGCCGTGCTGCTCCTCTCGGACAAGTCTAGCTACATGACCGGTACCATCCTCCGACCCGACGGTGGATTCTCCGTCTACTAAGCGGATGGCAGGAAACGATAGGGAAGCGATGGGGACGTTGTGAGATGTACTTGTGTATCACAGAGAAAAGAAAATGGCAAAATTTGCAGACGTAAGCAATGAGAGACTGGCTCGGCCTTCATAGCCACCCTTGCAGCATTGTGTCTACCATCCGTGGATCCCATCGTGAGCATGCAGCATTGTCCTTCCGCTTCACACTGACATGAGCTCTTGCTCCTTCAGTCTCTACCGTTCGCGCCAACCTGAGCCTCCCACAACTCGTCTTCCGCAAAGAGGAGCAGGCGGTACTGTTGGTCTGGTCCGTTCTGTGTATGACCTGGCTGCTTCACTACCTCCCCAGCCCAACAAAAGTTCGCCACGCCCTTGCCCTTGCCCGTGGGAAGGACAATCTTGCCGATGAGGGGGGAGAGCTTGCTGTCTGCGGGGCACCACGGGTCGTAGATGTGGACCCCGTCTCCACTGCCTACCCATCTGTCGCAGAAATTTGATACAAGGGAACGAGTGTTAATGGCCCAGCTGAATCACTACCTCGCAGAAGCTAATCCGATGTGCTACTAGTACTCACAGGTTGCCCTTTTCATCCGGATGCACTCCATCTGGCGGACCACATGCCGAATGCGCTAGCAGTCTCCGCTCCTCGATGGCGATCCCCGGAAAAGGGTCCCGCTCAGGGTCTGCCGCCGGCTCGACTCTGTAGGTGTAGATGCACGCGGGGCGGGCCGGTTCGAAGCTGAAGGTCCCCAAAGGCGCGTCTGGAATAGAGTTGTAGGCGCCCGTGTCGGTTGTGCAGAGCAATCCTGAGCCTGACTTGGGCAAGGTGGGTGAGGGAATGAAGGTGACTCCATTGGCTGGAAGATGGTGACGAGGAGGTGTGTGAGTGTCAGCGAGCTCAATCAGGTCGAACCCTCCTTCTACACAGCAATCACTCACGCTTGTCGTATCTACCATCAATCAGCCTCACCTCACCAGTGGGAGGATACCAAGCGTACAGGACTTTCGGCGCGTACTCATCATCTTCTTCGGTCGGTCTTGACCTCTTGAAGTTCTGGCCGATACCATAGTCTGGGTCTGTAAAGAAGACAACGCCACTCTGCTCGTGCACAACGACATCGTTCAAGCTCGAGAAGCGCTTGCCTTCGTACTTGTCGAGGAGTGTCGAGGTAGAGGCGCTTGAGAGGTCGTGTCGAGAGTGAGGGGTGAAGGCGACCAGGGCAGAGTGCACGTCTTCACAGCTATGTACACTGTCGACAGGAGCGTAACGTCCTTGCTCGCACCACAGCACCGCCTCTTGGCCATCGAGCGTCCACTTGGTAGCTCCATTTGGCATCGCAAGGCCTGCGGGAAGCTCCTCACAGATATCGACGAGATCCTCAAGCCTATCGAATGCCGGCACGTTGCTCCTCGTCATGTCGCTGGTGATCTTTCTCAGATCAATGCGGACGATGGCGGCAGTCTGGTGGTGTGATGCTGTGCAGTCCTCATTCGCTTTCACAAGCATGCGATTGCTGGACAACCATACGGATTCCGAGTTGGGGTGGTAGATGCCTGCTTCGTGGAAGATTGGTCGGCCGTGAGAGTCGCGCAGTAGCAGCCGAAGTCTGGGGTCAGAGCCTGTATTCAGGACAGAAAGCTGTGTGGATCAGCTCTGACCTCTACGCCGTGGCTCGAGTTCGGGCTGTGAGACTCACCTAGCAGCTCTCTGAAGTCTGGTCGGCAGCTGACGAAGTCAGGAGCTCCAATGGTAGAAGTGTCACCGCCCGAGTCGACCGCCTTGCAGCTCTCTCCTCCTCCCATGGCAAGGCTATGCTTGAATACCATATGCGAGCCCTTCATTGGCATCTTGATTTCGGTGCTTGTCAAGAGCAGTTCGCTTTCGGTTTCGCTTTGCTCCCTCGTTGCGGACCGCCGGAGCTATACTACCGCGATACGGTCGTAAGTCCGGCCACCACGCGGGGTCTATAGTGCCTCTGCGGCGCAAATGGGTCTGGTACGGTCAGGTCCCAGGCACACAGATACCGGCGGCTTGACTCGGCGTGAGAGCGCGGGACGGGACGGCCCGGATGAGCCCCTGTTTCGAAAGTCGTTCTTGCTTCCGGGGGCAGCGCAGGATTTCTAGGGCATGGTCTGCTGACATCAAGAATGGGAACGGAAATCTCGGGCCTCAAGAGCAACCCCTCGGCGTCGGTCGGATGCCGGGCCGCTCCGCACAGGTACCGGGAAAGGTACTGTACCCCGCAAATCGATCTACGCCCGCTGCATGGTGTCAGCGTCGTACCCCAGACTCGATTCAAATACCTACCCCTATCCTCTCAGGTTCGCTCGCGCTGCCATGTCCTTTCTCCTTTCCTACACAACTGTTCTCAGCCATTGTAAGCAGATCTCACGCCTCCTCTTCGTCGTCTGCCATGACTCGCCCAAGCAAAGTCTCCAGTGGCTTCATCGGGTATGATGTGGGGCTGTCGGGTACTCCACTATTGAGCGTTGTGACCTCCTGCTGCGCTCTCGGCTTTCTCCTGGTAGGGTGAGACAGAAGAGATGAGGGGAAGTTCAGAGGCGAGCATGTATACTCAACTACCCTTTGTGGGTTTCTCTCCGTTTTGAATCTCCTTGTGCAGCTACGACAATGGTGTCTTTGGGTGAGTCAATTGTGTTGGGTGCTGGAGGGCCAGCTCGGATTAGGACAGAACTTGAATTGCTCTACTGATCAACACCTCCTCCCTGTAGTGGCATCATTGACACCCCCGGCTTCAAGCGCACCTTTGACAACCCTTCGCCAGGTACCCTCGGAAACATCGTATCCTTGTACGAGATCGGCTGCTTCATCGGAGCAATGTCGACCTTTTTCATCGGTGGCATCCTTGGGCGACGCCTGACCATCATCGTCGGTTCCATTTGGATGCTCATCGGTGCCATCATACAGACGTTCAGCAGTAGCGTTGGCGTAGTCATCTTCGGCAGGATAGTCTCGGGCATCGGTATGGGCCTGATCAATGCCTCGGTACCCGTATACCAGGCGGAGATGAGCCCTGCACTCAGCAGAGGACAGCTAGTCGCCATCGACCTCGTCGTGCTAAACTGCGGTATCGCCCTCAGCTACTGGTGCTGCTACGGGTTCAACTTCAGCGGACTTCAAGGCAATGTCACTTGGAGGGTGCCGATTGCACTGCAGTGCGTCTTCATCGTCGGCATCTTCCTCATTGCGCTCATCCTCCCCGATACGCCTCGCTGGTATGCCACGCGAAACCGCAATGCAGAGGCACTCACGGTCTTGGCTCGCCTGAGAGGCAAGCCTGAGGACAGTTGCGAGATCCTCGAGGAGTTCAATGACATCCAGGCCACGATTCTGCACGAAGCAATGAGCAAGAAGTCTGGTTGGCTCAGCCTAGTCAAGCCGTCCGATGGCTGGAAGGACGACGTACTGAGGTCGAGACGCCGTTTGTTCTTGGCTTGCTTCATCCAGGCTGCCCAACAACTGGGAGGCATCAATGCTCTCATCTACTACTCATCGACGCTGTTTTCCCAATCGCTCAAGTTTGGCAGTCGCGATTCGGCAAAGCTAGCCGGAGGTCTCAATATGGTCCTGATCCTTGGCTCCCTCATGTCCATCTTCCTGGTAGACAGGGTGGGTCGCCGTAAGCTGCTTCTCCCTTGCATCGCGGCGATGTCTTTCGTCTTTGTGTTGCAGACCATCTTTGTCAAGAATATCCAGGCGGAAACGGCTACGACGGGTGTCAAGAATGCCGCCGTTGCCATGCTGTTCTTCTTTGAGCTGTTCTTCTCTATTGGGTTCCAGGCGACCGTCTGGATGATCCCTTCGGAGATCCTGCCGCTGAATATCAGGACCCAGGGATCAGCACTGTCGACGGGCAGCAACTGGGTGAGCAGAACAGAAGAACTGCGGGCCCAGCTCTTGTGCAACCAGCAACTGATATCACCCCTCCTCTCCCCTTGCGCCCTTTTCAGATCTGCAACTTCATCGTAGTCAAATTCACCCCTTCGGCCCTGGCGAATATAGGCTACCGCACCTACATCATCTTTGCCGTCTTCAACTTCTGCTGGCTTCCCATCATCTACTTCTTCCTGCCCGAGACCAAAGGTCTTGTGCTCGAGGAGATCGATGCCCTCTTTGCCAAGGACGGCTGGCATCTAGAGCACAAGCTCGTCGCTGGTGGTCTCGTCGAGAGTGGCGACGGTGGCAGTGGCAAGACTAGTCCTGCTGAGGTACCCATTGTCGTCGGCGAGGGCAAGAAGAGCTCTGACGCAGATGTAGAGGCGAGTAAAGCGGGGGTGAAGGTCTGAGCCACCAGGTCAACTTCGGCGATGCGGGGAAGCAGGCGGGGTAGCACGACATACGGCCAGATGCGGGTAGCGCAATTTGGAGGCACAAGGATGTTTCCATTCGCAGCATTGCTATCCCCGAAAGAGCCCCGTAGGAAGAGTGTCAATCGCCGCGACTTGCGCAATGGAAGTAACATCTCTCCTCGCCGTCTCCCCGCCGTCTCCCCGCCGTCTCGTGACGCTGCAGCCGAACCTTCTCCGGGGTTGCCGGGGGAAGTGCAGACGCCGACGGTTCTTCTCCACAGTGCGGAGCTTCAGTCACGGCCCTAAGGCGCGGCGTTGCCCTGTACTGGCCAGTGCGGCGTGGGTGTGCAGTGTGCGTAGGCGGGGAAGCCAGATGCCGGGGGCCAGATGACAAGGACGGCCTTGCTTCTGCCCTCTTTCCCCCCCTTTCAGCCTCGACATATATAAGACACCAAGCGCCTCGCCCCTTTGCCTGTGTCCAAGATGATTGCCCCACTCCTCGCTCGCAACTGTCTGCGTCCAGCCACTGCCACTGCCGCTTCTGCTGTCTTCCCCGCAGCCTCGACTCTCCCAATCGTAGCACATCGCTCCCTCTCCTCCACATCTACCGCCATGTCCTCTTCTTCAGGCACCTTTACTGCTTCCCAGCACAAGCCTCCCATCTTGGCTGAGCTAAAGAGCCCCATCTTTGCCACTCTGCACGAGGCAAAGGGTAAGAAGGGACTCACTTTTGAACAAGTCGCAAAGGGCATTGGAAGGAATGAACTCTACACTGCTGCCATGTGAGTCGGTCAAGCTGGAGATGTTGACAGTAGGATACATTCGACTGACCCAAAAGCACCCGTCATGTGTGGCGAATACCCCCTTCGCAGCTTCTACGGCCAGGCCAAGCCAGACAAGGCCGATGTCGAGGCGCTATCGAAGCTGCTTGACATCAGGCACGAGTACCTCATCGAGGCTCTTGGACCCGACTACTTCCCGTACAGGGGACTTGGAGAGTGGCCCCCGAAGGGTGAGTATCGGTTCCTAGCCAGCTGGCCGACGGGCTGACCGTCGCTGTTGAGCCCCTTGTCCCGCGATCCGTACACTTCGCTCACCTCCACTCCTCTGCTCCTCGCCGCCCCCTCCCCTACGCTCAGACCCGGTGCTCTACCGTCTTCACGAGGCCGTTATGGTCTACGGCTACCCCATCAAGCACATTGTCCACGAAAAGATGCAAAAGGACGGAATCATCTCTGCCATTGACTTTACTGGTGATGTGGAGCGCATCAGCGATCCAAAGGGAGACCGGATCAGGATGACCCTTGAGGGAAAGTTCCTGGAGTACAAGAGGTGGTGAGAGGGGGAGGTAGACTGAAACGAAGTGGCGTGAGGGGTTTGCATTGCTCGTTAGTGGCAGCCAGGGAGGGATGCGTGGGCTGCGAGGCTCCTCGGAACACTCTTCTTCTCTGGCCGATGGGCACTAGAGCCGCTTTTACATGCAATTCTCGTTCTGATTGACCTTCGGACCATCAGCGCAGAAATGACATGTAATTGCAGAGTAGCTACGAGTCCTTTGCTTTGACATGAAGCGTGCGTCTTTCATTCATTTCCCCCCATTCTACGCCTGAGACACACCCTTCCTCTGCTACTCCAACGGCACTCCGACTTGTCCTTCACAATGTCCCTCTCACTGCTTCCTATTATGTCGCCTCTGCTTCCCCACACCTCACGCTTTTCCCACAACCACCTACTTGGCGCCCTTACCTCCACCAATGGCTGCACTCTTGACTCCCTTCTTCTCCTTCTTCTGCTCAATCTCCACCCTCTGCCCGACGCTCTTGGGGGCCAGAGTAGACCAATGAGTCAAGAGAGCCCGGTAGGCAAAGCAGGCGGCAATGACGAGGGTCGTGGCCGCCTTGCCCTCTGCGTCCGACCAGTGGAAGATCTTCCTGGTGTACTTGGACGGGTCTACCAGGCCTGCCCGGGCAAGCAGGGGGGTCCAAGCAGGGTGAGAGCCGGTGAAAATGGAGAAGGTAAGAGATCCCAGGACGGCAGCAATGACGTCGATGGCCTCCAGGAGGTTACGCGACTTGAGGATAGGAGGAGTCGAGAAGGACCAGCCCACCAGGTCTGGGTTGAAGACGTTGAGCGTACCGGCCAGCTGACCACCACCACAGGCTCCGATGGTGCCGAGGATGATCTGGAAGAGGAGACTCTGGGCTGCCAGGGGGTTCATGTTCGTACGGGCCAAAGTCACACCTCCTACCACGGCCATGGTACGCGTCGCGCCGTCGATGAGGGGCATAAGGGTGTCGAGCCAGACGGCAGAGACGGGAATGTAGGAGAGGAGGATGGTCAGGTAGAAGTGAACGCCGACGTAGGTGAGCAGAGGGGCGACGGAAAGGAGTTGCAGGGGGATGTTGCCGGAAAGGTAAGAAGTGAGGAAGGAACCACCCCAGGACTGGAGGAAGGCAAGGGAGGTGTATATAGACACAACCGTCAGTCTCTGCCTTCGCGTCCTACCGCCCTGAACATGGTACCGCACTCACCATCACCAGGAAGCCGGCAATATCGAGGATCCAGCCATCTTTAGCTTCGTTGCCTTCGACCCTAGCGCCATAGGTGGCCCTGACACGAGCTCGGATGGCTCGGTAAGCCAGGGAGACTCGCGCTGCATGCAGCACGGCAGTCAGAGGGAGCGGCAGAGTTGGAATGAACGTCGAGCTCAGGTAGCTGTTCAGCGCAATGGTCGGTGCGAGGATAGCGGACGTCATATTGAGAGATTCCGCGGGTGTGTTCTTGGAGGTGCAATGGTAGCGATGGGTGGAGAAGAAGCGAAGCCGAGAAGGAATGGAGCCGAGGCGTCCCTCTACGTGGAGAAGACGAGGCTTGAGTGGGGGGCCGAGCGCGGATAATGCGGATTGGTCACCAAAGGGCCCGCACGCCTCCACGCGCCCCACCCACATGCCCGCACGCCACGAGGTCATCCTCTTCCGTTCCGTGGAGCCCCTTATGAGTAGGGCCTCGAAGACGTACGGCACGATAAAGCGCCTCAAACGAGACAATCTTTTGCGAACACAGCTCACTCTCTGACCACTGTAGGCGTCATCGCACATAGTGTATACAGTCTAAAGGCACTATTCTATTCAACTTTCAACGGCAACCGCCCTTGGTTGCCGCTCGCTAGCAGACCGCTTTTGCCCAGATCGATGCCGGACGTCCCTTGCAACTCCCAAGGCGCCTTGGGCCGAGCGTGGCGGCTGTTCTCCACGCGTCTTGAGCGATGGAGACGTGGAGAGCTTCAGCGATGGATCTGGTTCATCGCTCACATCGGTGTCGACCGCGCCTGGTCCCCATTCCCGCTCCAGAGCAGTCCTGACTGCTTCTTCTACATCTTGCACGATCATCGTAGCAGGGTACTTGGGCTGCCCTTGCGAGGATTTATACACTCCTGTCTGCACGAGGCACGTCTCCCATCCAAAGTCGTTGCCTCCGCGGATGTCGCTCTCGGGATTGTCGCCCACCATGTACACTTTGAGCTTATCGGGAGTCGTCGGGGAAATGGCAGGAGCATTGGGAGCCTCTGCTTCCGTCAGGGTGTTGCTTCCGCTCGGCACAGCGTTGAGCTGCTGAGCTATTTGGTCCTTGAGAAGTTTATCTGCGTACTCGTATGTTAGTTTCGAAGGTTTACCAAAGGTCGTGTACTGGAGGTCTAGACCTGTGACGGCCTTGTAGACGGCCTTGAATGCATCTGCGAAGGCGCCTTGGCCCAGACGGGGAACGGGGAACTCATTGCCCCACACTGCGAGACGAAGAGAGCAAGGCAGCCTTGAGATCAGTCGGCCTCATAAACGATGACACACACTGACATATCTACTCACCCAGATCGCCATGGGAAAAGTAGACGGGAATTTGCGGCTTTGTGCCCAAGACCTGCTGATCCTCCAGGGTACCCCAGACGTTGTCCTTTCCCCTCAATACATCGAGCATGATCTGTATATCTCTGCCCCAGTCGCGCGAATCGTGGAAGACGATGACGGCCTTGAATTTCTGGCTGAAAGTTCTGTTGTATTTCCGGATCGATCTGAGTTGGTCCTGATCCAGAGGACTATACGGCCATGAGGTCGGATCGGCCGCTTGTAAATCGTGCACCAAGAAGAAGTCCTCGAATCCATACCGACGCATACACTTCCTGACAGCCGTGATGGCATGATTAGGACCACCCACGACTAGCACACGCTCCTTGCCTAGCTTCTCCGACAGGCTTGTCAGCACAGTATGCGCTTGTATGAATTGGTGGGGCGCAATCTTTGTACCAAGTTCGACGGAAAGATTCTTTGTGCGGATCTCCTCTGAAAGCCCACCGCTGTTGGTGAGGAGGATATATGGTACCTTGACCTTGTATTTGTTGTGTCCATCGAGATAGCGCAGAGCCCTGATGGCGCCTGGCACTATCGTCTTGCCTTGCTTGAGCACACCATCGATGTCAAAGGAGAATGCTACAGGGTGGGGCGGGGCCGAGGAAGCCTGGCGAGCAGAGGTTGCAAATGTGCGGGGGATGGACCGAGCGATGCAGCTGAGCGTCTGCTGCGATCCCCACCTAGCTGCCGGGGTGAGAGTGATCATCATCGTTCTCCTCTTCGCAGAAGTCAGACAGATTCGAGGATGGGGTGTCTATCTTCCTCTCCATCCTCACTGTAGCCGAGCTTCGTCTTCTGCCGTGGCTGCAGGCTGCATCTCCGCGCGCGCACGCCCCCACACGCGTCAGGCCAGTCAGTCATTCTGAGGGAGAAGAGCAGCATCACACCATCACCAAAGAAACACCAACACCACCACCGAGACCAACACGTCCAATCGCCCGGCTCAGTCGCTCAACGAGTCCTTCTTGGAGCTTCGTCCTATACCTCACAGTCTTCCCAGTATATCATGGCAGGAGAGTCAAGGTCCGAGCTCTTGGCGTGGCTCAATGAGCTACTCAACCTCAACTACACAAAGGTCGAGCAGTGTGGCTCGGGATTTGCCTATGCCCAGATTATCGACTCCATCTATGGTGAGTAGCCAAGGACGAACCTGAATGTAGGCGTTGGCAGTGAGCACCGCCGCATGTTACATAAGAGGCCAAAGCCATTTCCCCCCCTCGCCTGATATTCTTTTACTGACTGTACCCTTCCGAATCCCTTCGCCCTTCCCTCGCCAGGCAACGTCCCCATGTCGCGGCTACACGCCAATGCCAAGCAAGAGTATGAATTCATCAACAACTTCAAAGTCCTGCAAGCCGTATTCAAGAAGAATAGAATCAGCAAGCCCATCCCAGTGGACATGCTCATCAAGTGTCGAATGCTGTGGGTACAGTCGAAGGAGATCAGCACTGCAGCTAGGGATGCGATTGGAAATGAGATTTGCAGTTGGCTCAATCTTGCCCCTACCTCTTTTGCCTCCGTCTCACGAACAGAGACAATCTCGAATTTCTCCAATGGATCAAGGGCTTCTGGGATACAAATTACCCTGGCACGCCTTACGATCCAGATGCGCGCCGGGCAGGTGTGGTAGCTGCACCACCACCCCTCATCGGAGCAGCATCGGTAGGATCAGCTCGGCCTCTCCCTGGAAGGGGTAACGCAGTGGCTCCCGCAGCTCCTCGAGCCAAGCCTTCGGTGGGCGCTCGAGCTGCAAGCGGCTCCAGTGCTGCTGCAGCAAGGCGACCTGGTGGAGGAAGCGGAGCAAAGGTGTCTTCGGGAGGGGTGAATGACCAGGCTTATCAGGCTCTTCTGGCCGAGAGGGACGACCTGCATGCCCAAGCCGAGATCATCACCAGTGAGAGGGAGTTCTACTGGCACAAGGTGAGTACGATGATTTGTTGAGATCGATGCAATCCTCTGGGCTCGCTGACCCCCTGCTTTCCTCGCCGCACCGCCCTTCTCTAGTTGACACAAATTGAAGGTCTGGTCAATGACCGTCTTGCACAATTGGAGCCAGAAGAAGGTGAGACGCCGACATCCGAGGGCAACATTCTGAGAGATGTGAAAGGCATTCTCTACGCTACCGACGACGGAGGAGACGCACTGGCGCAGGACGTTGAAGGCCTCGATTTGGTCGATGGCGAGGAGGAGGAGGTGTTTTAGAGGGGACGTGGAAAGTAATTAGAGCTCAAAAGGTCCTGCATGGATCGATGTGGGTGGAAACGGAACGGTCGCATCACCCTGGGTGTGGATCCTCCGGCCTACTCCCAACCATATCGATTGCGCCTTTCATTGGTTCAGTGGCTCTTTGAGTGAGCGCAAGAGTGTTCGTGAAGACCATGTATGTCACGTCATAGGGTGAGGTTGTGTTCGCCAAGCGGCCTACAGAGAGAACGATCTAGACTGTACGAGAGGAAGTTGACAATGAGAGAGCGTTGGAGCTTCATCGATGTGGACATGAGGAGTGATGCAGAACAAGGGCAATGCTAAGTCCGATGGCTGCTGTGCGTGTATGTCTGGCCTACTACGAGGTAGCGGATGTGGTATTTGTGCTCTCCATGACGGAGCCCCTAGGCTGTTGCTTTTCAAGCAGCTTTCTGTCGTGTAAGAAGAAGGGATGGAGGATGAGAATCCAGAGTGATCAGTGACTGCTGCCATTGTCTCTCATCGGATAAGGTGCGGACCCCACTCACCTCCTTGCTTCAAGGATCATCTCCTCCTTTCTCCTCTTTAGCTCCTGCCGTCTTCCCTCTGCCCCATTCTTCCAATCCAAATCATTCTGCATCCTACCCTTTCCTTTGTTGCTGCTGCTGCTGCTACTGCTAGGCGGCAAAGGAGCCTGCTGCGATTTTTCGACGCTCGAATCAGGTCCAGTCCCGGGGCTGGGTCCCAAACGTCCCTCTAGACCATACCGCGAGATGAGCGTTTCCTTTTTCCCACTACCACCCCCTCCCATCCAGCTGCTAGAGGTGGCAGAAGAAGCAGCTCCACCTCCCACTGCCCTCTGTCGAGCAGCAGCTGCGTTGCCCTGTTCGTGCGCTGGAATTGGCTCGCGATTGTTTGCTGCAGAGGAGGAAGCGGCTGGACCTCCAAAGGCGAATTTGACAACGAGGTAGAGAAGGCCGAGGGCGAGGAGAGTGGCTAGGACGTCGTTCATGATCTGTAGGTACGACTGTCGAGGATCAGGTGATGCTTATGGTAGGTGGTGATGGCAGCCCGCAGAGCTGAAGAGGGATTGATGATGAGGGAGGGAGGGTAATCTCCTCTCGCAGCTTCCAAGGCGGACGGAGGCTTCCTCGCTTCGACTCTCGTGGAGGCCGGCGGCGGAGTCACCTCGGCCCCAAGCCAAGCCAGGCGCCATTCCGGCGTGGCGCACCGGCCAGGAACAAGCGGGGGATGAGCGAGGGCCAAAGGTGCGATACGCCTTTCTCTTGCTTCTCCTCGTCTTGTCACTGTCGATACTCCTAGTTGATCCTTCTGCCACCCTCGACTCCACCAGTCGAGTTCTGCATACAGACCCAGAAATGGCATCCATGTCGTCGGTACCGCCGCGGCAGTCATCCTTGGGACTTGGGCGGCCCTCCAGTACCGGCTCCGGCTCCGGTTCATCGCCCTCGTCTTCCGCAACCCTCACCCCTTCGAGCTCATTATCCCTTTCCCTCTCGCGCTCCTCATCATCCACACTCTCCTCCCCACTCTCCCTGGCAAAGTCTCACTATACAGCTTCTGCCCACCACTTCATCCATCGGCAGCCCCTCGAGGCCCTTCATGAGCTCGAAGAAGCATGGAGATTGCTCTTCATCGTCATTGCGCCCGATCAGAAGGAGATCAGGGGTAGCGGCACTTGGCAGGGCGTGAGGGACAAGACAGTCATCCTCTGGCTTACGCTCTTGGTGTCTCTTTGGAAGACTGGAGGGTCCGTCGCGACGCAGCAGAGGGGCAAGGAACTCACATCGCATACTACTGCACTGCTCAAGCAGAGGGATCCGGAGGATTTTCTCAAGGGTCTCACAGGCTCCGTCTTGCAGGCCTATTCTGCTATGGCAGGCGATGTACAAGGGGCCAATGGCGACTCAAGAGCTGCAGCAGCTCGACACGAGGAGAGAAAGGTGGCTCTTTCTCTCCTGCCAGCCAGTGTTGCGGCTAGTGTCATCATGGCATCGCTCGGTGTAGAGGAGTTCCCCTCTTCTGGCTCTTCCACTTCTCCTCAGTCCTCCGTCTCTGCCAAATCTATGCCCCTGTCTCGACACCTCGCAGAGGATATACTACAGGCGCAGTCTGCTCCGCTGGCCTCCCCGGCTCCTGCCTCCGCCGCTACCTCGGAGGCTCGCGCCCGGCTGGTCTCCTCCTACTCTCGAGTCTTGGAGCTCTACGCCATCCACATCCTCGGTGTGCGCTGTGCCCAATGGGAGGAGGCCGACCAGGTGGTCCGCTTGAGCCTTCTGGAAGACGAGGAGAGAGCGAAGCTCCTCGTTGCGCTCGACCGGGCGAGGGAGCATGTGGTCACACGACCGGAGCGACGCGCTAGTGCGAAGCTGGCGGGGGAACAGGCCTATGAGCTGGAGAAGCAGAGGAGAAAAGCAGTGGAGAAGGGGCTGCAGCAACAGGGTCAACAGAAGCAGACGGAGAGCAATGGCGCCTTTATGCGGTCTGACACGACGAAGACTACATCGACTGTGGAAAAGGAACAGCCAAGGCGATCACGCCCTCCAGTCGGGAAACATCGATACTCATCCTCCTCCGCCTCATCCTCGTCCTCTTCTGTTCAACCATCTTCAGAGACAGAGTCAGACTCGACCATCACTGTCAACAAGCCGGCCAAACATCGGTCTTCGCATTCCCACTCCGAGGGAAGCACATCTTCCCAGCGAGGGGACAATGAGAGTACTTCCAGCACGACGGCAGCAGCACAGGCATTCGCCTCGACACGATCGGCTCTCAGTACCCGTATCGCCAAGGATGCACACCGTGACAGCGCCTCTTCAAATGAGCGAGGCTCCGTTGCGCCCCGAAAGAGTACAGGTACAAGTGCAGATGCAAGGGCAGCTTCAGCGAGCAGTCTAATCCAGACGCTCCGCTCCTTCCTAGCGCTAGATCGACTGCCCCTCTCCGGCTCGGTACTCCTCTCAGTGCTGGGCCCGTTGCTGGTCCTTCTATTCAGTCTGAAGAGACTGAGCGCGAGCAGGGGCAGGAGTCGGCCGGCTATTGCTGTTACAGCAGGTGGTGGAGGTGGTGGTGCGGGAGGGAGGGGGTCGCAAGTTGCGGCTAGAAAGGCAGGAGGTAGCAATGAAGCTGGTCTGCTATCAGAGCTGATACAGCGCTTGTGGAATACTGTACGCATGGGCACTAAGGTCACGCATCTTTGAACCCTGCCGAGGCAGGATGGAAGCGGGAGCAGGACCCTCGATGTGAGATGCTTCGCATCAACGGTACATGGGAAATATTGTATTTTGCTATAGTACATATGATTACAAAGAAAAGACTGCTACACCGCACCCATGCAGTCTGCTCCCTTCATCCTTTCAACCTCTCTGTCTTCCTCCGGCGCTTCCTCAGCTGTTCCCACTGGGAGCAGTCAAGTCCTGTTCGAATCTCTTGAGCGTGTTTTTGGGGAAGTCAGAATTGCAAATGAAGCATTTTGAGGGTGGTCGGCAGAAGACTGGAGGATTAGGAATGGAGGAGAGCAGGGGATTTGGGAATCAGTGGGAAGCTCTCAGCACTTCCTTTGTTTCCCAGGAATCTCGGTTCGGCTGCTACTCACTAGAGAGACAGACTCCACAGACGTATCCTACGTCTACAATTTCTCCGTGGCAGAAGCAGCTCGCTCTAAAGTCGACCTCGTCGAGTGTGGGTAGATGGAGCAGTCTCCTTAGATTCGGAGGTGGGAGAAACGTCGACAGAAGCAACTGGAGGAGCTGCTGTGGATGAGGACCTTCCTCGTTGGAAGCTGCAGCGTCACCCTCTCTGATAGGGCTGGCTAGCCTGAAATAGATTCCTCCGGTGAGATTAGCTGCTTGCTGCAGAAAGACTGTATCGTCCCTAGCAATCTTCAGCACATCGATCGGGATCTCGCGTCGTTGTGCTGCAAAGATGCAGTTCATCAAGCCGATGTACGCGTTGGAGGCTGAGGGTGTAAGGGAGAGGATTAGGATGCGCGAGTTCATGCTGGACGTCGTCAAAGAAGAGCCAACGGCGTTGGAGGATGAGGAGAGCTCGGTAGAGCGCGAGGGCGGCAAAGGATTGGAGCTGGAGTTGGAAGAGGCTGATGCTGGCTGCGAAGGTGCTAGACGGTTCATATCTGAAGGAAGATGCCTTGGTTAAGGTCAGTCCTGCACAAGCCTAGCCTAACTTCGTCTCTCTCTTACTCACGACTGAGAGCCATCCCCAGCACTTTCACCAGCGCCGTCTCCTCCTCTTCCTCCTCCTCATCGTCGAGATCCAAGCTAGTCTTCGCCTTGATCTCCTCAATCGTCGCCGTCACACCAGCAATGACGGCTTTGCTCACGTTGCCAAAGTGCTGATAGGTGCTAGCCTCATCGGCTCCCCTGCTCCTCCTGGCCCCGCGCTGTGCCACGAGTGTCGAGGTGTGCGAGTGCGAAGAAGTGGAGTAGAGTAGTCTGGCTACGCCATGAGTGGACGCGGCGTAAACTGCGAGTCCGTTGGTATGCGATAGAGCCAAGTGGGAGTTGAGAAATACGAGGAGCACAGGGAGAAGCGAGGAGATGGGCGAGAATGAGGATGAGGACGAGGGCGCTGAGGCAGTCGCAGACGAGGTAGATGCGAATCCCCACGAAGCAGGGTTGAGGTCCAATATGAGTGTAAGAAAGGAGGAGCTGTTGCCGCTGGAGGAAGTCGATTTGAGGGCAGAGGAGGACGAGGTCATGGTGACTGACAGCTTCCGCAGCGTTGACAATACCAAAGGCGAGAAGGTCCTTGGCGAAAGGAGAGGATGGTCAGCTCTTTGCGCCGCACGTCCGTCGGCATCACGCTCTTTCCGTGCGTGGAGGCCGAGGCGGGGCGACATTTTTGACAATCTTCCGAATACTCACAGTCCATTCCAACACCCATCACCTCAAGCACCGTAGCTCAGCTCAGCCCAGCTGATGATCAGAAGGAGCTTCGCCGACGTCGGCAGGGCAGCAAGGAGAGTTGCTCAACGGAAAGCAGGGCTGCCCACGCCGCAGCGATGCTCGTCGCAAGCCAAGACGCTGCTGCCAGGACGGGCGAGTCTGCCGGGGACGCCTCGCTGCTTCACCACGGGCCTTGCCTCGTCCGCAATGCCGACTGCTCACGGTAACACCACCTCCTCTGTCGATGGTCAAGGCTCTGTCTACACGAATGCTACATTGCAAATGCTATCGGGGCGCGACCTCATTGCCTCTGTCTCTTCATCACACATCTCGGCCCACCTCTCTTCGCAGCCCCGGACAATCTACCTCGGTGTGGATCCCACTGCTCCCTCGCTCCATCTCGGCAATCTCGTTCCCATCATTGCGCTGATTTGGCTAGTCAAAGCAGGACATAGGGGTATTCTGCTCATCGGAGGAGCGACGGGGAGTATTGGAGACCCTTCTGGAAAGAGCACAGAGAGGCCAGATATGGATCGAGGAGAACTCCACAAGAATGTACAAGCTTTGAAGTCACAGCTAGATTCTTTGATCCGGAATCTCAATGCTCACTTTGGCGGAGCAGCGTCAGCCAGTAGTGACAATGGAGGTGTGCAGAGGACACCCCTCGAGGAAGCAGCCGCCGCTGGGACTGGAGCAGCTGCCGAGCGGGCTGCAGACGAAGTCATTGGCGGCCCTTCAGCTCAGGGGAACTCTACAGCGCCTGTTGCCGGCAGTCAAGCTCTTGAGGAAGGCGCAGAGCGTTCAGCCACTGGCGCCCTTGATATACAGATCCTGAACAACCAAGACTTCTACGAGGGCATTGGCATCCTAGACTTTCTCCGCGATATAGGACGCTACGTACGGATAGGGGAGGTGTTGGCAAGAGACAGGTGAGCTGATCGCATAGAGACCAGGAACCAGAATTGCCTACTGAAATGCTTTTCGCTTCCTCCTCTACGATGTATGACAGCGTCAAGACCCGCTTGCCACCCCCTCACGGCACATCGACGTCACCCCATGCGGGGCTCTCCTACACCGAATTCTCGTACCAGCTCCTACAGGCATACGACTTTTACCTCCTGAACGCCAGGCCCGACATCGGCTGCTCCATGCAGATTGGTGGCAGTGACCAAATGGGAAACATCAGTGCGGGCGTTGAGCTCATACGTCGGAAGAGATTCGGCAGCGCAAGTAATGCTCTTCAAGAAGCAGATCTAGACGACACTCAAGCAGAGTCTCCCGCCGCTGCAGCTTCATCTTCTTCAAGTCGTCGGCTGCCACCAGCATACGGAATGACCCTCCCGCTTCTCACCACTTCCTCGGGTGCCAAGTTGGGCAAGTCGGCAGGCAATGCCATCTTCCTTTCGCGTGACCTCTGCTCCGACTATGACTTTTACCAATACCTTTTACGGACCACGGATGAAGACGTCACAAAGCTGCTCCACTGTCTGACTTTCCTGTCTAGCGAGGAAATTGCTGCAGCCGAAGGAGCCAGAGGTGCCAGGCAGGTTCTGTTGGCAGACGAGGTCACGAGGCTCTTCCGTGGGCCGGAGGCTCTGGCGAGTGCAAAGAGGATGACCAATCTGCTGCATGTGGCCTTTGCTGCTTGCGAGGGACGAGGAGGGCTTCAGGAGACGCTCGACTCACATGACGGGATGCGCAATGAGCTGCACCTGATGGCGAGGGCGAGCGAGAGTATGACCAAGGCAGACGCCAAAGTGCTTAGGCTCTCTAAGGGTAATGTGCTCGGTCAAAGCCTCGTGGATGTCCTCGTGCTCACCGGGCTAGCAGACAGCAAAGGTGCGTCTTATTCGGGTCGTGTCGGCTCATGGCGAAACCTTCCCGACCTGACTGACTTTCTCCCTTTCCCACTCGCCTCGTGTCTACAATTATAGTTCAAGCACGGAGACTACTGCAAGGCGGGGCCTACCTGAACAATGTCCCGCTGACAAGCGACTCTGCCGCTGCTGGCGTCTTTACAGAGAAAGACGTGGCGACGTTTCGAGATCGACCAGAGGAAGGCATCGTCCTTCTGCGCAAAGGCAAGAGGACGGCAAAAGTCCTCTTGCTGGTATGATTCGAGTGGAGCACCACATTCAGTCACGCAGAACATTAGCAATCCTGTCACATTAGCAATCCATTGTGAGAAGCGGGCGGAGGAGCAAAAGCAGAGGCGAGATTGGCAAACCCGATTCATTTTGAGTCATTGCTATTTGCTAATCGACTGTTCCGCGAATCCCTTACTGGTGATGATGATGTAGTAGAGCGCATGGGATCACCAAGTGTCGAGCCGACTCTGAAAGGACATTGCCAAGCTATGGCGATGGTGTTCGGCATACCAAGACCATCCCTAGCTTGACCACTGCTCTTGCTGAATCCGCGATCCTGCCTCCCGAGACTCCTTCGTGCCCTCTTCTCTCACGCCCTGCCCATCTAGTCGATCCTGATCCGCTTGTACATCCTTTGTACAGCAGCATACGACGCCAGGTAGCCAATGGTGCCAAACAGGGCATAGCACATGACGCAGAGTATGCTCAAGTAGCTCAGGTACAGCACCTTATTCGCCAGTCCTGGCAGACTAAGTCTGCTAGCCCAATAGAATAAGCCATAGATGAAGAGCCACACTGCGGACCCTCCCCCGATGTTGAAGGACTTCCACTGCCAGCGCCACTCTTCTGCGCACAGGTGAAAGTAGACGAAGAGGACAGAGACGGTGGCAGTGGTGGTAGCAGTGACGACGAATGTGGCAAAGAGGAAGCCAAAGGCGTAGTAGATTCTTGTACCGAAGAGGGAATTGAGGATGAAGTGCAGCTCCAGGAAGGCGGCTCCGAAGGGGAGAATACCGCCCATGAGCATCGAGGGCCAGGGCTTGAGGTACCATGGGCCGGGAGGAATTTGTCGGGGAATGGAAGCTGTCCGCACTGGCTTGTTCCATGGACCCGCCCTGATGCCGAAGAAGGCTCCGAGGCAGACCAGAGGCACATCAATGGCAAACCAGAGGACGACGAGGGCTAGGAAGGTGCCAAAGGGGACTGCAGCAGAAGAATGAGTGGCAATGAGGAACAGGTTCAACAGCGATAGCAGGCCGTAGATGGTCGTTGGGAAGAGGGTGGCAGTACCGAATACTTGGCGTTGCCAGTGTTCACCGTCGTAGGTCGCATAGGCTCTTGAAGAGACATAGCCAGCCACGGAGCCGAAGAGACACCATCCGACCAGCATCACCGTTGCTAGCGATCCTCGATTCGAGGGAGACAAGAATCCTAGCAGAGCAAAGGTAAGTGTCACAACGGCCATAGCTGTAAGCTGTGCGCCGGTGCCGATCAGAATGGAAAGCAGCAGAGGACGAGGAGGCGACCGGAAGACTTCGGCGTGAACAAGCTTCCATCCAAAGTCTTCTTGCAGGCCCTCGTCTAGATCGAGGGCATTGTAGCGGCTCACGTCCTTCGAGACGCTGCGAAGCAGGATCATGGCAACCTGTGAGAAGGCGGAGGGCAAAATAGGTACGTCAGTGCCGAGTTGCCAACTTCTTCTGCCACATCACCCGCCTCGCTCTCACCATCAGACACAAGAACGCAACCACAACAATGGAGTTGAAGAGCGCAAACATGTGCACCTTGGCGTCAAAGACTCTCAGATACGCATCCCACCTCGTGGCCCAGGGCGTGCTGCTCTCCTTCCAATAGATGTCCATTGTGTAGGCGATCTCCTTGACCGAGGAGGCCGGCGCCTCTCCGAATTGAGACAGTCTCAGGGGATCTGTCGCTTCGCAATTCAGCGCCTCGCCGTTGTGACCAAGGGAATTCCGTGACTCTGGGTGGATATAAGCGCCGACGATTCTGTATTCGCCGGGACTCCTCTGATGATACTCGATGTAGAGATTCAGGTGATTGTTGAGAGCCGGAGGATCGTAGGGAGCTCCGTGATCGTCGAACAGTCTTCCCAGAGGGAAGCCGATGGAGTAGAAGATCTCATTTGTGCGATCAGCAATCTTCTTTGTCGCAACTGGAAGGCCGTCCACCATCCAATTGACAGCATACTGGTCCTTGATGCGGTCATTGATCCAAGTGGCGTCCGATCCGGGAATCATGCTCTTACAAATGACCTTGCACTTCTCTTCCTTCAACAGATTCGCCGTCACTGGACTCGAATAGATACGATCTCCGAACAAAGCGCTACCCAATCCCTCTACCTGGGCCTCTGGTCCTCCCTGTGGCTGGCAGAAGTGGAGCCGCTCATCATAGTAGTCTAGCGAGATGAGCGTATTGAGAGTGTTCGTGGCGGTCCCTGATCCAGGACCATTGGAGGGGCCCGTTGAAGCTCCCGTCATCGGCTGCAGGGTATTGACGCTGAAGGGCACAGCATCGCCGGGAGCGTAAGAGCGCGGACTCGAGCCAGGAATCATCCATGCATGCGAAAGAGACGAGAACGCAAGCAGGGTGAGCAGGCAGCCGACTGCGGTGGCTCTTGGTGTTCTCTTCATCCTCGGCGACGACCGCATCTTGGAGAGGACGATTCAGGCGAGGAGGAGGCGATTTGCGGGAGGTGGTGAGTGGTACGACGCGGCTGGGAAGGAAGCAACAAGAGACCAACAGCAACAGCAAGCGGAGCTGAAATTATCTTCCGTCCCGACCGTGGTGACGCCTCCGCTCGAGGCCCACACTCACTTCTTCCTTGCATTGATATCCACCGTAGGCTCGCACCTCGGCGCTACCAGGAACACAATGACCACCTCGGGGACCTCTTCCAGCTCGCAGGTTCAGCCACTAGCGATCAGACGCAGCAATCACCTGATCACCATCTCTCACCCCCACCATCCGTACTACCTGGTCTGCATACTGCACTTCCGCGACTCCCTCTTCGTATGGCTTGGCGAGGCTCCCATGGGTGCAGTAGGGGAGGCGCAGCGCTCGAACTCTGAGCGACTACCTGATGGTGAAGTATCGAAAGAGGAGGAAGAGCTATTGGCACGGGCAAAGGCGAGCTTAAGCGAAGAAGATCAGAGGCAGCTAGAGGTAGACCGGCAGATGGAAGAGGAGCTCTCGAAGGCGCTGGCTGCAGCAGGCAGAGATGGTGGTGGAGGGGCCCGTGGGGCACTGGAAGAAGACGAGATCGCAAGGCAGTCGAAAGGGTTCCTAGCCAAAGAGTGGGCCGTGGCGATGTACAAGGAAGGACTAGTGAGTAATTACAAGGCAAATCAGACGGGACAGCATGCTTTGCTGTCTTCCCGGCTGCAGCTAGCTCATCTGACCGTCCCACCTCTCCCGACGCCTTGTCACTAGCCTCCCATCTCGACGTCCTTGTATCGTACTCCGTCCGATCTAGCCCTACCCATCTCAAGAAGACTTTCGAAACGTCTGGGCATCCCTCAGCTTCACCTCACCTTGTCTCTACCTGGAGACTTGCTGCCAGAGGGCAATATGCCTGCACCCCCTGGAGCCAATCAGGCCATCATGGCTATTGAGAAGGGTTTAGAGGAAGCAATCAGAGAGGCTTTGGCCGACCCCAGGCCAGCTTCGGTATAGCCAGTCCTCGCAGCACGCCTTACGTGGTGACAGCAAGATGCGATGCCAGGGTACTTTCTAATGTAATTCTAAATTCGAACTTGGGTCACAGCGTCTAATGTCCACTCCTAATGATACCAATGTCACCGCTTACACCTTCATTGAACTGACTCTCAGCCCACCCACTGCCTTGCGCTCTCGAACATTCTCAACCAGGGTCCCCTGCCCCTCCACCCTTCACTGCTCCCAGGTGGCTTCCAGCTCATGGCCTCTGCAGTGATACCCCTCTCGGGGTGGGGCATCATCGCCAAGCATCTTCCATTGGGAGTGAGGACGGCGGTGATTCCATCCAGCGATCCGTTGGGATTGGCGGGGTAGGTCGTAGTACCCACGTAGCCCTTGGAGCCAGACTCAACGTACTTGACTGCTGCAAGTCCTCCGTCCTGAATGCGCTTCATGCTCTCCTCGGAGGCAAATAGAGCTCGTCCCTCACCGTGGGCAACGATGGCTGGTAGTCTGCTTCCAGCCATGTCTCGCAGGAAGACGCTCTTTTTCACAGCTGCAGACTCGCCAATCTGAACAGTGCAGGCTCGACCTTCGAACCTGGTGCTAGCGTTGCGCTCGAACGTGGGCCAATCTTCTGCACCTGGCACCAGACCAGCCTTGGCCAGGTGAGAGAGGAATTGACAACCGTTGCAGATACCCAGCACAAAGGTGTCTTGCCTCTTGACCATGAAGCCTTCGAACTCGCTCCGTGCGCGCATGTTCAGCAGAGCCGACTTGGCCCAACCAGCTCCAGCACCCAGAACATCACCAAACGAGAAGCCTCCACAAGCTACCAGACCCTTCAGCTCAGGGTCAGAGGCAAGCGAGACTCGGCCGGAGATGATGTCGCTCATGTGCACATCTACGCTGGTGAAGCCGGCGGCGTGGAACGCGTAAGCCATTTCCAAGTGTCCATTCACTCCTTGCTCTCTCAGGATCGCCACCTTGGGTCGACTGACAGAGAGGGACTTGGAAGGAGAGGGTGTAGAGACGACGACATTGTCTCCTGGGTTGTATTTTAGGTCGAACTCCAATCTTCCCTCGCCTTGCGTGCCTGCTGGCACGTCGATGCGAGAGTACTCTTCCTTGGCGGACACGGGGTCGTCCCTCTCTCTTTGAAGACGATAGCTGGTCTCGGCCCAGATACTTTGCAGCGAGGCTCGAGTCGAAGAGTAGAGGACAGAGCCCTTTGACAGTAGTCTAATGTCTTCGCCGTCTTCTCGCGGCAAGACTCTTCCAATGGTCTTGATGGCGGAGGTGGGGACTCCAGATGAAGTAAGGATTGAAGAGACGGCCTTGATATCGCCTTTACGCACTTGCATCACCGCACCCAGCTCTTCATTGAAGAGTGCTGCCATCTTCTGCTCGTCACTGGAGCTTGAAGCCTCGCTCAAGGTGTCCAGGTCCACCTCGACACCACATCGTCCAGCAAAAGCCATTTCTACGATCGTAGTGATGAGACCGCCGTCGGATCGATCGTGATAAGCTAGAACAAGACTGTCATCGCCGGCAGGTCGATTGTGGACAGTCAACTCCTTCAGCGTATAGGCAGCCTCGAAGAAGGCTTTGAGTGTCTTCTCATTGCCTGCATCTACGTCCGGACAGTCGTCACCAAGCTGACCAAACACTTGAGCCAAGACAGAGCCTCCCAGACGAGTCTTGCCAGCGGCTAGGTCGACAAAGAGCAGGCAAAGATCTTCTCCCTCCTTTAGGGTCGGTACCTCCTCGTGAGGACGCAGCTGAGGCGTCCAAGTGTGATGGATCGCGTCGACAGGAGCGAAAGCAGTAATGATGACACTCATGGGTGCCGTCACCTTCTTCTCGCCCTCGGCAGTCCAGGCCATTTGCATACTCATCGAGTCCTTACCGACAGGGATAGCGAGGCCAAGCTTTGGGCAGAGATCCAGACCAATGGCCTGCACAGCCTCGTAGAGACGAGCGCCTTCGTCACTGTAGCTGGCCGCGCACATCCAATTGGCACTGAGCTTGACCCTGGTCAAGTCACCAACACTTGCAGCAGCCAAGTTGGTCAGTGACTCTCCCACAGCCATCCTAGCAGATGCAGCTGGCGAAAGCAGGGCCAATGGGGTCCGCTCACCAGAGCACATAGCTTCACCGGTAAGGACGTCATCAAACCCGTAGCCTGTTCGTGTCACCGCAACATCTGCCACGGGCACTTGCCAGGGGCCGACCATCTGGTCTCGTGCCACCAAGCCGGTAATGGAGCGATCGCCAATAGTGATGAGGAAAGACTTCGATGCGACGGTAGGCAGACGCAAGACTCGGTCGAGAGCGGTCTGTACTGTTGCAGCAAAGTCTTGCGGTGCAGCCGGCAGATAGGAACGTAAAGAAGCGTCGAACGTCTGGCGGTTGGGCTGAGCACGCTGGCTCTGGCGAGCGATCTTGGGAGGCTTGCCGAAAAGAGTGCTCATTGGCAAGTCGAGCGGCTTGTTGCCGGCAAGTCGGTCCGTCACCACCAAGCGCTGCTCCTTGGTCGCTTCGCCCACCACAGAGAAGGGACATCGCTCTCTGTGAGCGATTGCTGTGAAACGTTGGACATCCTCAGGAAGCACTGCCAGGACGTAGCGCTCCTGGGATTCGTTGCACCAGATCTCCAAGGGGCTCATACTCTCATCGTCTACGAGAATGTCTCTGAGCTCGAAGATACCGCCCAAGTCGGAATCATGCACGAGTTCGGGAAGAGCGTTGGAGAGACCACCTGCTCCCACGTCGTGGATGCTCTGGATCGGGTTTCCTCCTACGCTACTCGAGGAAGAGACGCAAGCATCTATCACCATTTGACATCTGCGTTGCATCTCGGGATTCTCTCGCTGCACAGAGGCAAAGTCGAGATCGGCTCGGTCAGAAGCTCCCGACGCCATACTAGAAGCCGCGCCTCCTCCGAGACCAATCAGCATTCCAGGTCCGCCGAGGACAATGATCTTGGACCCGACCGGAATAGGCGATTTGAGAGCAAAGTCGGGGCGTACGGTACCCAGCCCACCTGCAAGCATGATGGGCTTGTGGTAGCCTCGAATCTCGCGCTTCCCACTCTCGGCACCGTCTACTTCGAGACACCATGTCCTCCAGAAGCCTGTCAAGCCTGGCCTTCCAAACTCGTTGTTGAAATTGGCACTACCAAGGGGTCCCTCCAAGATTATGTCCTTTGCCGAAGCAATGTGGGATGGCTTGCCAGGATTGAAGTGGGCTGGAAGTGACGCGTCTAGTGCTTCACCCTCTTCGGCGAGGGGCGTCACATTCGATGTCATGAAGCCCACCAGGCCAGCTTTGGGTCTGCTTCCTCGACCGACGGCGCCTTCGTCACGGATCTCGCCTCCTGCGCCGGTAGCAGCGCCAGGGTAGGGAGAGACGGCGGTGGGATGATTGTGTGTCTCTACCTTTACCAAGAGCGGATGAGCTTCTTTCGTCGAAGAGGTGGAATAAAGGACAGAGTCGGCCTCGCCTTCGGTGATGGCGGCAAATCTGTAGGCATCACTTCCTTGCATAACGGCAGCATTGTCAGAATAAGCGCTGATGGTACCCTGGGGAGTGATCTTGTGCGTGTTGCGGATCATGCCAAACAGGGTGTTGTCCATCTTCTGCCCATCGATCGTCCAATCGGCATTGAAGATCTTATGCCTGCAATGTTCTGAGTTTACCTGTGCAAAGGAGAAGAGTTCTGGCGTCGTCGGGTTTCTCTTGAGCTCGTCAGATGTGAAGGCTTGTGCAAGGTAGCGGACCTCGTCCGGAGCAAGTGCTAGACCTCGAGCTTTGTTGGCCGCTTCCAATTGGGCGATGGCGCTATCGAGCGAATCGCCTGCTGTAAGGACATCTACCCACTCCAGTGGTTTGCGATGAGCCATGTCCTCGGCGAAGAGGTCAGAAAATACGGGCGCAGTGGTGCGGATCACAGTGGTCATCCGGTCATGCAGGAGATCGAGAGCGGCTGGCGTGAAGTCATTCACGGAGAGGGCAGAGCCTGTCGAGGATCGCAGCACGTACAGCACTCCCCTTTCGACCCTGGTCACGTAATCCTTGAGGGTACACAGGTGAAGAATGTTGGTAGCTTTGGACGACCATGGCGATATGGAGGCAGGGCGAGGAATGACAAAGAGGTACAGAGCGTCCTTGGACGGGCTCTGTATGGCTTCCTGCAGGATGGGGTGCAACGGAGCTGGGCCATAGCTCAGGAGGTGGTCGAGTACAGCTCGGTGTTGCCCGTCTGACTGCGTGAGCTCAGAGAGTGCCTTTGGGGAAGTTGGTTTGACGAAGTGGGTAAAGATGGCTTCGACAGAAGTGACCTTCTGTAGCTCGGGTGCGAGCGACTGCAGGCGTGTCAAGAGCCGTGTCCGCTGGGCATCGGTAAAGGCGAGGGAGCCTGGCAACAGCAGCAGCTGCTGCTGCACAGCTGAAGAGGAAGCAGACATGACTCTACCTCGGCACAGCTTGGATAGGCTGACTCTCAGGAGTCTAGTGTGGGAGGCGGTAGTATGAGTGGCTGTCGTCTGAAGCCACGATGCGGCGCGTACTGACTCGACCTCTCCTTCGTTCCTTCGTCCCGACGTGCGCTTGGGAGAAGCACTTGAATTTTTGGCGGCAGCGTCAGTCCAGGGGCGCTTCCGTTCCGGCGTCTTTTCCCCTGCGCGAGTCATTGTCGTCTGCCGGCACGCTTGCCTCGCCCGCTTTCCGTCTCCCCGCCCTGATTCGAGTAAATCTCTCACGCACCTCGCTTCGTCCGTTGCCGTCTTGCCCGCCAGCATCTGTCCCACGGCCTAGAACAACCCTTCCGATTCACTGACATCACCAGCAGTACGGCTGACCGACTCGGGACGACACCCAGGAATCTGCAAGATAGTCAATCTACACCGCCAATCAGAAGTGTGACCAAGTGGTGAATACTTCGGCATCGCACCTTTTGTCCCATTTGCACATTCCGGATCAACCTCTTGGCCTCATCTCATCTCGCAACGATGCCATCGAGCGCTCAGAATGGAAGGGTCAGTGACCCTCCCATGCCACCGACAACTGCACTTCCCACATCCGCCTATCTAGCTGCGCCCTTCGTGTCCTCGAAGGCTCTGGGCGAGAGCACGAGCACCGTGCAAGCAGATCCTGATCGCTCCGGCAGGGGGGCTAGCAGCCAGGCTTCGTCTTCCTCTTCGTCCTCTTCACCGCCATCTGCCTCTTCTCCAATGGAGAGAGAGTCTAGCATCCCTTCCTACCTCTACTCTTCGCTACCATCCTATCTGCTCCTCCCATCCGGCACTCCAGATTATCTGCGGATGTGTCTATCGGCGGATATCTATAGTCTGGTCAAGACGACACCGCTGCAGCGTGCCAATAAGCTTTCCACCAAGCTGGGATGTGAGATCTTCCTGAAGAGAGAGGACCTGCAACCCGTGTTCAGCTTCAAGCTGCGGGGCGCATATAACCTGATGAGGACACTCGAGGGAGAGCAGAAGTGGAAAGGTGTCATTGCCTGTAGTGCTGGCAACCATGCTCAGGGCGTCTCCCTCTCAGGACTGTCGCTCTCCATCCCTTGCACAATTGTCATGCCTCTCGGAACGCCTGCCATCAAGGTCGACTCAGTCAGAGCTCTGGGTGCCAAGGTTGTGCTGCATGGCCAAGACTTCGACGAAGCCAAGGCAGAGTGTTCGCGACTGGCAGAGACCTACGGACTCAAGGTCATTCCGCCTTTCGACGACCCTCATGTCATTGCAGGACAAGGTACAGTAGGAGTCGAGATTCTACGCCAGACCAGCATGGACGATCTGGACGGCGTCTTCTGCTGCGTAGGCGGAGGTGGTCTTCTGGCGGGGGTGTCCTCCTACGTGAAGAGGATCGCTCCGCCGTCTTGCAAAGTCTTCGGAGTGGAGACCTTCGATGGGGACGCTCTGACGCAAAGCTTGCAGGCTGGCAGGAGGATCACATTGAGAGAGGTTGGCCTCTTTGCTGACGGCACAGCGGTCAAGGTCGTGGGTGAGGAATGTTTTAGGATCCTCAGAGAGAAGGGAGCCGTGGATGGAATGGTGAGAGTGGACACTGATGAGATCTGTGCGGCCATCAGGGATACCTTTGAAGGTGAGAGATACACTTTAGTAATTAGTGCAGTGCCCACCTCGCTCACCTTCCCCTTTGCCTGTCATTCAACAGACACACGCACGGTGCCCGAGCCTTCTGGTGCCCTCTCGTTAGCAGGACTGAAGCGCTACATCATCAGCCACAATTTGCAAAACTCGGGCAAGAAGTTCGCCTGTATCATTTCGGGTGCCAACATGAACTTCTCCAGGCTACGCTTCGTTGCCGAACGAGCTGAAGTCGGAGACGGCAAGGAAGTACTGATGATGGTGGAGATTCCGGAGGTGCCAGGAGCCTTCATGAAGCTGCACAGCCATATCCACCCTCGCAGCGTGACAGAATTCTCGTATAGATACAACGTAACGGAAGAGAGTGGTTCCCAGCCACCCACCGCCCACATCTTCCTCTCTTTCCTTCTTGGAGGCGGAGCACCACCGCCTGGAGCAGTAGGAATCCCGCCTGTACCGCCGGCAAACGTTGGCCAAGGAGCTCAAGGCAACGAGCACCATACCGATCACGAGGTCAGGAACGATGTACGTGCTACACTTGCTGCTCACTTCGGTCGAGGTGCCACTCTCTCGGCGACCGAGTCGCCGCTGACCAATGGCAGCAGCAACGTCAATGGCAATGGTGATGGCAATGGCAATGGCGAAAGCGCTTCTGCCGATGGAAACACTGCCGGTGCGGCTCCCGGGACCTCGATCTCTACCCAAGCGCCTAGTGCCAGGGACGCTGAACTTCGTTCCATCATGGATGCTTTATCGAACGATGGCATGCGAGCCATTGACATCAGCGGCAATGAGATGGCCAAATCGCACGCTAGGTATCTAGTGGGCGGCAAGCAGAATGTGCCTCACGAGAGGATCTTCCGCTTCGAATTCCCCGAGCGGCCGGGAGCTCTGAGGAAGTTCCTGGCTGGCCTCAATGCTGGGTGGAACATCTCATTGTTTCACTACCGGAACCACGGCAGTGACATTGCCAGAATCTTGGCAGGAATTCAGGTCACACCTGGCAGCGAAGAAGCCTTTGACAAGTTTCTGGAGGAGCTGGGGTACGTGTACAAGGAGGAGACGGGCAATGAGGTGGTAAAGAAGTTCCTTTGAACGGATTGAGGGGTTCCCGTGATGATAAAGATAGACCAGGTCATTCGAAGTGTCTAGGATCACTAGTGTGTTCTGGTACGCCACTTGTGAGGTAGAGATTTCTTCATCGTGAGGTGTCACTCGCAATCTCTGTCAGCGTCACAGAATCTCTTGGGATATCGCAATACAGCAATTTTCATCACTCATGGCGACGTCTGCATCCCGTTGCCTGACTTCTGCTATTTACCCATGCGAGCAAGGCTTGCCTCTCACTTGTCTTCCTCCTGCTCCCCAGCGGCCGCCCCCCCTGTACCTCCACCGTTCGCCCTTTGCTCTTTGTTTCCGTTTTTAGAATCAGGTACCAGAAAATTTTGCTGCTTAAAGTGTCTCTGACCTTGCACAACGAAGCCCGGGATCTTTCGGAGCGATGCAGGGAGATTTTCCCGCTTTGAGCCCGCGCCAGCGCCAGCAAGTCAGGTTAGCGACGGCGAGGGCGTCCATCCTCTGCCCTCCTCGTCAACTTTGTATCGTTGGCCCGTTGACTTTTGGCGGGTGAGCTGACGAGATCGGACATCTACTCCGAAGATGGAAGCGAAGGCGTCGGTGCTCCTCTTCCCCCCTCTCTCTCTCTTCTCTCAATCAGGCGGGCGGGAGCGCAGGGCAGATGGCAGGTCACGATCCGACCAAGGCCAAGCATCGCCAGGGGAAGACGGCAATCTGTTTGTGCCTAGCCCCGAGGTAGGCGGCACGGGAGCAGTGTCATTGCCGTCGTCAGCTTAGTGGTGTGTGTATGTTGCATTGCGTTTGTTAACCCCGGGGCAGAGGTAGAGCCCCGCCCCGCGACGGCAGGGAGTGCCTGGCTGCACGCAAGGCACAGGGGCGGCGGCGGGGGCAGCGCACGCAGCGCACGGCAGCAACGCTCCCCCTCGGCCGCCGCTCCACGCTTTGTCCCCCCCGCCCCCAAGCTGGGCGTAGGCTGGACTGACAGGCACACACGGACGCACACAGAACAGTCGAGCCAAGTCAGATCCAGACGTCAGCCCCCGTGCGTGCGCCTCTTCCCCGCCGCATCATCCTCATCCTCGTCGTCGTCGATCGTGTCATTGCCAGACTCATCAAAGGCTTCCATCTCACCCTCGCACTCATACTCTCACACACACACACCTCGCACTCCATCGCAGACTCCTTCTCCATCACATCATTCAGGTACAGCGAGAGCCTTGACCAGACGTCTTGCACATTCGAGCGCGCCTCTTCGCTCTACCTACCCATCTGGGCAACCACACATTGATTGATCGTCTCGTCTATCCCAAGGTCTCGTGGCCAAATTCGGTCATTGCATTGCGTCCTCGATTCCCTCACGGCATTCACGCCCAACTCTCAACGGAGGTCTAGCATCGACGACCTTTGGCACCGAGCTTGCTCTTCCTCGATCAGCCCCCACGCCGGCTCTCCCCCCTGTCGAGAATACTCTACCGACAGTTGCCTAACCCGGGACTGCCCTCTGCATTACGCAACTCGCACATCGGCTCACACCCCTCTACGACGATTGTCCTGACTCCTTCACGTCCTCGTCACGACCCGTTCTGAACCTTGAAGCGGCCTTTGCCAGCCCGAACTTCACCTGTTGTAGCTCAACAGCATCATCTGGGAGTTCCATTTGCCTGCAGCACCGCCATCGCGTCTTCGGCTCTCGAGCTCGTTGGTTGCTGTTAGCATTGCTGCCACGACAAGACAAAATCCTTGCTTTGAAGGCGAGCACACTTGACATACGAACATGAACGGACACCTGCCAGCCGACGCAATCGGTGGGGCACCGGCCCACGCCAGCTCCGCTGACAACTCGCCCCCTTCTTCAGCATCACCCTCGCTCAACTTTGAGACTCCAGGCGGGTCAGCGCCATCCTCATCGGTCGGAGCTTCTCCTCTCCCGTCTCTCGCCACCACCTCGCAGAGAGCTCCTTCTGTCACCACCGTCACCACCACCTCGATCAGCAATGGCCTCAGCGCCGCTCCGCCCATCCCTGCAAAGGATGCACGCATCGTCAGTCAGCCCGTATCGCCAGCGGCCGACCACTCTGGACATGGCGCATCCAAGGATAAGAAGTGGAAGTCGTTGTTGAAGTTCGGCACCCTTGGCAAGAAGGCAGGCAACTCGGAAGAACCAACGAAGCAAGGACTGGGTCCACGCGGTGAAGCTGGTTTCCACCCGATGTCTGGAAGCTCAGTGGTAGCAGACCCGAACTCATTCTCAAATGACAGCTACTCTTCTGGATCGCAGGAGGGCGAGGACGGCAATGGGAGTGTTCGCCGAGTGGCATCTGTGCCTGACACAAAGAGGGCTTATGCCGCCAATGGGTCACATCTCACTGGCGGTGCTACAAATGGCGACAAGCATGCCAATGGTGGTACGACTTCGATGACTTCTTCCCTGATCCGAGAAGATGGCTTCTTTCCTGGATCCCCGGTGCGGATGGACAGCACAGCTACCTCGTTCAGCAGCAAAGACTTTGAAAAGACAGGCAAGGGCGCTAAAGGCAGCAAGGCCAAAGGAGGACTTTCTTTCCCGGGGAGCAGGAGGGGTAGCGCGAGCAAAAATGGCAAGGCACCATCGTCGGCCGACTTCAGGGCTGGCAACCAGCTTGCTCCACCTTCGAGCAGTGGCCTCCTGAGCCCAGGCTCGGGTGGACCTTCAACGCCCAACGGTAGCAATCCTACCCTGCACCACATGGACAGTAAAGGTAGCTTCAGGAGGACATACAGTAGCAACTCGATCAAAGTCAAAGACGTCGAAGTCGGCCCAAGCAGCTTCAGCAAAGTGAAGATGCTGGGCAAGGGAGATGTCGGAAAGGTGTACCTGGTCAGGGAAAAGAAGACGGAGAAGCTCTATGCGATGAAAGTCCTTTCGAAGAAGGAGATGATCAAGCGGAACAAGATCAAGCGAGTCATGGCTGAGCAAGAGATTCTCTCCACTTCGAACCATCCTTTCATCGTCACACTCTACCATTCCTTCCAGTCAGAGGACTACTTGTACCTCTGCATGGAATACTGCATGGGAGGTGAATTCTTCAGGGCTCTTCAGACTCGGCCCGGCAAGTGTCTACCAGAAGAAGACGCTCGCTTCTACGCAGCCGAGGTCATCGCTGCATTGGAGTATCTGCATCTGATGGGCTTCATCTATCGAGATCTCAAGCCGGAGAACATTCTCCTCCATCAGTCTGGGCACGTGATGCTGAGCGATTTCGATCTATCCGCTCGAGCCACCCGGAGAGGTGGCGCTCCAGCCATGATCCGACAGGCCACGCCTCACTCGGCACCTCTGGTCGATACTCGCTCCTGCATTGCGGATCTGAGGACCAACTCCTTTGTTGGTACGGAAGAGTACATTGCTCCAGAGGTGATCAAGGGTTGTGGTCACACATCGGCCGTCGATTGGTGGACATTGGGTATCCTCATCTATGAGATGATATTTGCGACCACGCCCTTCAAGGGTAATTCCCGCAACGCGACCTTCTCCAATGTGTTGCGCAACGACGTGACTTTCCCCGATACTGTTCCTATTTCCTCCATGGGCAAATCTCTGATCCGAAAGCTCCTGATCAAGGACGAGCTCAAGAGGATGGGCAGTCAATCCGGCGCTAGCGAAGTCAAGCAGCACAAGTGGTTTGCCACCCTCTCCTGGGGACTGCTACGGAATCTCACACCGCCCATTGTGCCTGCCTACAGCAACGGTCTGGATGCCATCAACTTTCGCAACGTCCGGGAGAGCAGGAGCTTGAATCTCGATAGGCAGCAAGGATCGACTGTGAAGGCACCAGCTGTGGCGGCTACCGCTGGTGCGCTTCCGACGTCGGCCAAGACGGTCATGACTGCTGTGGCCGGCAAGAAGGGCCAGGTGGAAGAGGCGGGAGATGCAGTCGAGGCGAACCCCTTCAGTGGATTCAACTCGATCACTCTGCAGCATGGAGAAGAATAGATTGGCGGACTATTCGGAGCAGAGCTCCGAAGGAGGAGGACAAGGGTGCAGTGCAGACTGCACATCTTCATGTCGCCAGACTTTCGCGGACTTGCAGTTTCTGATGGGTGCATCAGACAACGAGCCCCGGGATAAGTTCCCACCACGATCTGCACCTCTTCGATGCGACTGGACGATAAATGGGCTAGCCTCTCAAGACCGGCCCATATCCCTTTTGGTCCCCTTTAGCGATTGTCATAAGCGCATGCATGGACCTTACGAATCTGTTGCACTGCGTGCACGGACTCTATCTCTACCTCTTCCTCTATCCCTTATTTCTCATTCCAGAGCAGAGCGATACGATGGAAGATGTCTTCTTTCGATGCCCAATCATCTCTCCTCGCTCATCTCTCGTCTCTCCCCTCTTTCAGTCCAGCATTCTGCTGACGTCCCCGCCCCCTCCCATTTCATCTGTCTTGAACTCACTCGACGTCCTTCCCCCTCACTTTTCTCCCTCGGTCCATATCACTCTTGTCTCTTTCTTCTCCCCCTTCTTTGTCCTCTTCTCCCTCCCCCCCCCCCTCTCATCTCATATCTATCTGTCCCCTCGGTCATTTCCATGTCATGTCATGTCGTGTCGTGTCGTCGATGAAGATCAGCCTGTCCGTAACGAGCTCATCACCGTCCCTTGTTTGAGGCCCTTTCTTGCTACCTTTGACTGGACTGATATCAGTGGTGGTGTGATCTGAGGTTTGATTGGGATTGGAAGGGAAAGGATCGTGGGCATGGGCATGGGCGTGATGATGGTGATGCTTTGTGAGGAGGGGAGAGGGCAGGTGAGGGCTGGTTGTACTGTAGCTGGCATGGATCAAGGGAGCCTCTCTCTTCTGCCCTAACGGTGATCCTTCTGCATCTTGGCTTCCGTCGATGAGACAGGAGAGTGGGGGGCGATAGGCTCAAGCTCTCGGACAGCGACGCCAAGCGTGCATCCATCCAGCTCAATCGCAATCGCGGCAAGGATCCTGGTGGGCGGAAATGACGAAAGAAGCTTCTTTGTTGAACAGGGTGAATGAGCAGAGCGGCATTTGCTTTCTTCGGCAAAAAGTCAGAACCCTGACGATCTTCTTGGCTCTTTGCCAAGTCAATTCCCGCCTTGTCCCTCCCTAGGTGATCAATAGTTGCGACTTTCCCCTTGCCGCTTCTTGCTGTATCGTCCAAGCTCCGCAATCCCTCGTCTTGCTCCACGCCACTTGCCCTTGCCGATCTTGTACACAAAGCCGGCCCGATATCGATCCACCTACCCAGCCAGACCTAGCCTAGAATCAGCCAAAAGAGCTTTCCGGTTCATTTGTCAAATTAAGGACGCACGGCCTTTTGATACAGGAATAAGGTCTACGATCATGCAAGCATGATCTTCTTTGCTTCTTACGAGAGCAAGAGCTTTGACATGATTGACTTTATCTGTGAGCTTGATTCAGCAAGGCAGAGTATGCGCAGTGTAGTGAGAATGCAGGTCCCAGCGGTGAGGATCGGGCGGAGTAAGTACCGGGCACTTTATTCGATATGCTCCGGCGCGACGGCGATTGAAGCTTTGTCAGACAGAGCAAGAAGTGGCATGCAGAAGCGAGGTGGGAGTTAGAGCTCCCTCACCCCAAAGCCCGTTGGCGGTGCTGACAGCCTGGCGTACCCGAGTCCCCGAGCCGCAATCAGCGTTGGTGATAGGAGGGGCCGCAGGATTGAGCGGTCCTGCCGTCCGGCTGAAGCGTCGCAAGGCGCGCGCAACCTGGTCGCACCGACGGTGACGATTTCAGCTGCGCCAGCGGCCTCAAACCTATCCTGGCGCCATGCACGTAGTCAAATGCAGAAGAGAAGGTGAGCAGCAGCTTCAACCTTGATTACAGACGCATCAAGTCCGAGCGGAGCGCCATGCGCGTGGGAGTTGGATCAGGGCCTGCAGCTGAGCTCTGTTTCTGACCCAGAGCGGGACACGGAGATACTCGGCTCTAGCGGCACACAGGGAGCATGAGGTCCTTCGCCCCTCTACCGAACAACAACAACAAATTGGTCCTTAGGGTGAGCGGACGTGTGTGTGCGTGAGCGCTGACGATGCACCTTCACTTCTGGGAGTGAAGACGTTGCGTCTAAATTGGTGGTCGTGCCATTGGTGACGCTATGCTGGCGCCACGTCCAGGCTCTCTTCGGCAGGCGAGCATCGGCTCATTCATCGTCGGAGCCCGACCGATCACTATGGGAGGTACAGCTCTGGTGAGCAGAGTTGAGACACCCTAGACAGGCTAGTCACAAGGGACTGAGATGAGCGGCGTTTGGGATGCTTTGAGGTCTGCCAAGCGCAATTTTGAGTACCGATCGACAGAGAGCAAAGTCATACCACACTTCACGTCATTCAGCCTGCTGGTGCATACCTCTGCAAAACGTGGAGGTGGAGATTAGAGACGGGACAGGCACATCCAGCGGGTCTCATGTCCTTGCGTGTGCCGATTCCTTTGTGTGCTGAGGTGTCGGAGGGTGTAGGGTGTGAGATGAGCTCAATTTCATTCGCACGCTGAAGACTTCTGGACCCTCTAGTCTTCTGAGCTCTCAATGTCTAGAGCTCTCTTCTCTGACAACTATCTCCGTTAGCGAGGGCGGGGCTGGCAGAGGCGAGCTTCCGCACGGAGACTCGAGGAGGGATCTTTAGCCCGACGCCGGCACGGGCAGATGGTGCAAGCTGACGTGGTGTAGGCGGGGAAGAAGAGTGGCGCCAGAGCAGAGGCGAGTGGAATTTGCTGACACTGGCCTGCAGGGCTTACTTTGAAAACGCAAGACCCACGTTGAGACGGAGCTAAGCAGACGCGCTCAATTTGAATTGCATCCATGCAGCAAAGGGGCCATCGGGCGCATCGCCAGAGGCATCCCAGTGGCAAAGGCCGTACAGCGCTTTCAGATCCCGACAGGCATGCGACCACGCACAACCTTGGGCGCGGTGGGCACATGGGTAGGCGAAACCTCGTCCCCTCACCTCTACCCCTCCTCTCCACCATCCCATCCTGACCACGATAATCTCATCTTCCCAGCGTCCGATATTCGCTACGCTGCCAACGACTCATAGACGCACAGCCATTGCTTCTCCTCTTTCACCAACTCTCCTCATCCCCTTGACCTCTTTACCTGTCCCTCGACTCCAGTCAAAGGTTCATCTTCTCACGACCCTTGTCTCCCCGTCGAGGATAGTTCTCCTCTGTCACAAGACGTTGGGGGTCTCTGCTGCCCCTACACATCACTTCATCATTCTGCTTTAAGCTGAAAGCCGAGGTTCTGTCGGCCCATACGGTTCCGACGTAAATTCAATAGATTCTTCGACGCTTTGGTCTATCAAACTCGATCAGTCTCTTCCCTCCTCTTCGCTCGGAATTTCATCTTACAAACAGAGACTGCTCGAAACATCCCAAGCAAATTTCACTATTCTCAAATGTTGCCGTATCAGCATACAGTCGGCCAACAGCCAGCACACGTCGGAGGAAGGACGATTGATGGGCCCCACCTCTCCGCTGGACATATGATCAGCTACCCTTCACATGTTCAAAGCCAGTACCAGCCTCATGCGCACCGAGGATTGAGTGTCTACGGTGTTCATCCTTCGCCGATCCATCAAATCGACGACAAGACCCGACGCACCGTTGCATATCCTTACCTTCCTGAGGCCAAACACTCTGCCTCTAGTCCTCTGCGAAGCCCCACTTCGCGCACTCACCCACACAGTCTTTCCCAAGTCGGTCACCTCCATCAACGCTCTACTTCCGACGCTGCCTTTTCTGGTGCATCTCCTGCATCGCTTTCACGACGGGATTGGAATGCGTCTCATCCTGCCTCTGCAAAGCAGCTCTCTTCTCCTACTGCTACGAGTCTCTCATCGCCTTCCCTTACATACACTGGCCATATCAAGACGTCTGCAGACGCCATCCTGCTACTCGCGGCTTGCGACTTGCCTCCCAACGCCTCAGTCTCTGGAGCGTCAGGTCCTTCTCCTACCGGGTTCGCCTCGACGTCGGCTTCTCCCCCGCCTCGCCGAATTCAACGACGTCTTTTAGAAGCGGAGCGCGTCGACCTGGTCAAGTCTGGCAGCGTCTTTGCCTGGGACGAGGACGAAGCTGGCATGCGTCGATGGACAGATGGTCGATGCTGGAGTGCTAGTCGTGTCAGTGGCTGCTTCCTCACCTACCGCGAGCTTGAGGCCCGCAAGAGGTCGCCGAACGATCCCACTGGTCCACGCACCAATCAATACAAGGTCGATGGGTTGATTAAGCAGTCCTTCAGTATGATCACCACTTCCGGACGCAAGGTACACATTGTATCGTACTACACCAAGAAGGATCTTCGTGAGGGCCGTCTCGGCAGGGTCAGCGAAGACCCACGCTTCGTCGGCGAAGCTGGAGGCGAGTGGGGTCTGCACATCGACGAGGAGGAATACCCTGATCCCGTCGCTGCTCTTGACACTCCCTCAGGCGGCCATGATGGTCAGTCGGTCGGCAATGAAGAAGACAGCCCTGACAGCCCCGCGACGGCCAACGAAAGCGCCCATCCTTCATCGACACCTGCCGCGAGCCGATCAACACAGGCAACTGGGACATCTGTAGGCCAATATCAGATTTCGTCTGTATTTGCGTCTACCTCCCCTTCGCTCGCCGTCGCACAGTCGGCTTCGCTGAAGCGACCCATGGAAGGTGCAGACGGGCTCAACCAGTCCTCCATGAGTGCGAATCGTCCACCACTCAAGCGACTCAGGTCGTCTTCGACCGGCGAGCTGAAGCGACTCCGTCTAGGTGGAGGCGCTAGTGGGTCTGGCACTCTCCTGACCGAGTCAAATATGCGCGATGCTGGTTTCGAGACTGCACACGACCAACAGCAACGGCAACATGAGCAGCAGCACTACGTCCGTCGAACACAACTTGGCGGCGATTCCACTCCTCAACAGATCCCTTCTGCGATGCAAGCGGAACGTGACGGCAGTGCAGCTGCTGGTGCTCTTCTCAGTCTGCGCCTCAATGGTCCGTCAACGGTCGCTCGCGATTCTGCCTTGCCTCGGCCTAGCTTTCTTGACACTCTGATGGGTGGCCAACTCAGCACGAGCTCACTAAGTGCATCGACTCCGATGTCTACCGGCACTCATCCCCGGCTTTCCTCCACCCGTAGCTACGTGGACTCTGGCAATGAAAGTGGCAGTGGAGGAACACCCCTGACCACGCCGGAAGAGAGATCGCCGACTAGCAAGGGCCCCGTCAAGGAGACGGCGTCTTCATCAGATGTGCGACGCCGATCCGACGGCGCTATGCCCATCGGTATCAGGAGCGACTCAGATAAAGACGCACTGTCTAGATTTGGCGTAAGACTATGACATCACGCCTCAATGGTCGCCGTCAGCTCTCATGGGTAGCTTGCCAATGTCCTGCATCACAAGTCGGCCCCTCGGCTTTGCACGGTTCCCACCATTCTCTCGTCAGTGTCGACTCAGACATCACACTCGTTAGTACAATGACATGCGAAGCGTCACACAGGGCTCAGCTCGATGGAGCACATAAGCAGATAAACCATCTCAGAGTCCACATCATCCTCGTCACATCATCGCTTTTCCCCCTCTCGTATCTCCATTCAGTATTCTCGCACCGCGATGCTTGGCTCTGATTCTCTCTGGCCAACTCCTTTGCCACACGCTACCATCATACTTCCACATCTTTTGTGGCATAGGTGCCGGGATATATATTCGACGATCACAGTCGCAAGTCACCTGAAAATTCTCCTCGTCGTCAAGACACGACCTGTATACACACCTTCTCATCGCTTACTACTCTCACTGATACGCTCGCCTTGCTTACCCTGTCCTCGGTGGTCTTCCTCCCTGTATCTTTTTTGACTCGTCTTCTCGTCATGGCTACAGCAAGCAGCTGACGATACACCTGCAAGTCAGACTTCTAATCTTCTCGCTTGTCGATCGATAATACACGTCACTTTTGCAAATTTTCCTTTTCCCACATCTCTCTCTCTTGCTCTGAAGTTTGCGTGCGTGCAGATGCAATTGGCGAACGGTCCAATGCAATGCGTCCAATGTGTCCCGCTCTTTGCTTCTTCGTCCACTCGAGCTGTTCTGCAATTCACACGCGCTGCTACCCGCCTTGAGTGCTTGTGCTTGAGCGTGCGCTTGTGCTTGCGCTCAGGCTCAGGCTATGCTCATGCTCAGGCTCAGGCTCAGGCTCAGGCTCAGAAGAAGAAACATTCCGCATAGCGAGTGAGTGGCAACGACGACGGTGGGATCTCGGCTACGGGTTTGATTTAGCTCTAGACTCCGTCGGTTAGGCTAGTCGGACCAGTTCCGGCACGGCACTCAGGACTCCACCGCCTATTGCCCCCTCGTCCCGTGTGGGAGAGGCAGTCGCCAGTCGCCACCCTTTTCTCCCGTCTGATCATGCCGCCTGTGTGAAAGTCGTGGCCTCGCTTGGCAGATGTGCTACTGCCAATCGCCACGCGTTGCATTTGAGAAGTCGGTCGAAGGGAGGAAATTTCATCGTGACTAATGAGCAAAGAGAAGAGAAGCTCAGGCAGAGAGGAGAGGTGCGACAAAATACGAGACGCGGAGGTCCGATCGGAAATTGTTAGGAAGCGGAAAACGATGACAAAATGGGTACGAAGGACCGAAGCGATCTTGTCTGAAACAGACGAGTGATGTGCACATGGGCCTCATTTACTGAGCCATGTAGCCTCCACCTGCCTTCTGCTTCTTGGACAGGGTAGGGATGACCAGGCAGATGAGTGCAATGGCCATACTGCCTACACCGATGATCCAAGTGCCCGTTGCATACCCGCCTGCGAATCGGTAGCCGATGGACCAGCCGACACCCCCCAGGTTGCCTGACCCACCGACTAGACCACTCATAATACCATTGATCTCAGGATTGACGTGCGGCACGAGGGAGTAGGCAGCTCCGTTGGCCGCGTCCATGAAGACGGCCATTGCGCAGATCCCACCCACGAGTCCAACGGGATTGAGTCTGGGTCCAGTGAGTCCGATCCACAGGAGGAAGACGCCCTGCATGAAGACGAGGAACATGTACCAGAACTTTTTGAAGTGAACTCCTTTACCCTGCGGAGCCTTGGCGTAGATGTAGTCGGCTAGAAAGCCTCCCGCGGGACGGGTGACGACGTTGAGCAGGCCAAAGATGGCGGCGACTTGGCCGGAGTGAGTCTGTGTCCAGCCCAGGTGGGCAAAGTGCTGTAGGTACCAGCTGGAGAGGATAGAGTTGACCGCAAGCTCACCACCAAAGGAGCACGTGTAGGGAAGAGCCAGCATGAAGGTCTGCCAGGTAAAGATGAGGGGGACAGCGGTACGTAGCGAAGGCTTCTGCACCACCTCCATCCGTGGAGCACCAGCGATCCCCCTGTTCGCCTCGTAGTCGGTGTCCTCGATGATGTGGTTGTTGCCACCGGCTACCTTTTCGCCAGAAGGCTTGCCAACGGAGTCGCTGGAAGAGGTAGCGGAGATCTTGGTGTCGCCGACAGTCTCAGCTACAGCCTGAGCTGTAGCATTGTGGCGATCCTTCCAGGCTCCGAGCGGAATGTCATCGCAGAGAAAGTAAGCACCAGCAGCCGCGCAGAGGAGCAAGATGGTGGGGACGATGAATGCAATCCTCCAGGCGACGTGGGGAGTGTGGCCCCTGTCCCTGACCAGACTGTCGAAAACAGCGGGCATGACAAAGTAGGTGACACCAGCTCCGGCGTTACCCCAGCCAGCAGCAAAACCGTTTGCAGTACCGACAACTTCTCGATCATACCTGTGATGCAAGCGTAGGAGAGTCTACGATGTGATTCCTGGCGGTCTTTCCGAAGGGGGCGATGGGTATGCACAGTGATCAATTCTACTCACCAGCTGGAGCACCAAGCCATGGCGGGAACAAAGGTAGCACCGGCAAGTCCAACAAAGAATCGAATAGCGTAGAGTCCGTTGACGTTCGTAACGGCTCCAGACAGACCACAGGGGATAGCAGCACCGATGAGAATACCGACCATGACCCTACGGGGACCAAAAGCATCACAGAGGGGACCGACGCAAACACGCATCATGAATCCGGCGATGAGGGCAATGATGTTGGAGTTCAGGACTTGCACGGGGGTCATCTTGAGGTCGACTCGGATGGTACGTGCGAGAAGCGGTGGGAAGGCGTACCATGCTGCGAAGGACAGCATGAAGGAAAGCCTGGGGGAGGAAGAGTAGGGAGGCATGCAACGAGTATGAGCAAATAGGCCGCATGAGACCTCCATTCTTCGGGGTGCCCATCACTCACCAGCTGAAGAAGAATACACGACCGTGGCGGTCAATAGGGTTGACAATGGGGAGCTGCTTGGCCTTGCCATTGAGCGGATTCACCTCAGGGTGACCGAGACAGAAGCGAGTCATGGTGAGGCTTGGGGAGGGGAGCTTGAAAGGATCGGTACCGAGACAAGAAGAGGGAGCGACGAAGGATCTGTAGGGTGCGGTGTCGGTGAGGCACTCACGTCCGACAATCTGCCTCGTGTTGATATATATGCTTTTGGCAACCCCCCAACTGTATCTAGCACTGTACAATCATGCTCTGGAGCTTCCGTACCTCTTCTTCGATTCGAGTGTGAAGATCCTTGACTTGGCGAGATAACGGACACAGCACGCTGTGACTTACAGATCGAGGCAGGTCGAATGGCATTGTTCATACCGGCATTTGATTGCTCCGAAGATGACACCCCGCCACCATCTTCATGCCCGATCAGAGGCAACGCAAGGGTTTCTTCCTTCCCCTCTTTATCTCCACCGATCCATGAAGTTCACGAAGACGGGACAGCTGCGATCACTGCTCGTGAGTTTGGCAGCGTGCCCCCTCGGCCTGGCTGTGGATGGTGGTGAGAGGCGTAGGGCCTACAGGAAGGTCGTGAAGCTCGAACAAGGGCCTCGAGGTGGCTGCTTATCTTTAGCCCAGCTGGACATGAATTGGGCCATTGCTCAAGAGTACGAGGGCACAGCAAGAATTCTCTGCTGTGGGGGACAAGCGCCCTTCCAAAGTTGGCTTGGCGAGGCAATTGCGCTCACCGCTGTGACAGGGAAGTCTTGGTTCCGATCACCCGCATTTCGAGGGCGCCAAGCCACGCAAGCCAGGCGCGGTGTGGGGCGAGGTCTTGGCAGCTGGCAGTCAGCACCAGCGCTGGGCTGGGGCTTGCGTGAAGGTCTCGAGGTGAGGAATATTAGCAGCCACAGAGGACATTCGCAAGGGTCATCAAGCCCGGAAGCATCTTCTTATCTCTCTGAAGCAATTGCCGGCCGACAGGCACACCAGGATCTTCCTGACCAGACCCAAGAGGAACTAGCAGCCTCAAGGTTGCTAGCACTTCTTCCCCTCGCCACTCTTATCGGACAAAGTGGTTCACCGTTCAGAGTGCGACGAGACCTTGGTGTGCTCGGGCAAAACCAACTTCAACGGCATCTGCCGACAGTGCGAGGCTTTCGATGCTAAGGTCCATCGCGTCCGACTTCATTGCTTACTTCTCCTGCCAAATTGACTCTGTCTCTTCACTTTCCCAGAATCAAATGACTTTACCACCATTGAAAGGTGTGCTAGGAGGATGACCAGGCGAGATCCAAGGCGCGGCTACCCACCGGAGGCGTACGAACTGCGTGTAGCAAGGGCTGCGATCATAAGCATTCACTACAGTAATGTTGACGCCGATCATCGACTACAACCTCTGCACAACCTGATCTGCTTCATCTCGCTACCATCTTTCAAAACGAGAAGTTCAAGCATTGCACACCGATGAGAAGCTTACTCTCCTCTGCACAACGGTGACAAGCTTACTCTCCTATCGGGGGAGCGCGGAGGTCCACCACCGGAGTCATGGGCGGGGAGCACCCCACCACCGGCGGACTTGCAGAGCCGCGTTGGAAAGGGGTCGAGCTGCTAACACGTGTTCTCCAAATATAGCAGCGTCTGGCCGAGGCGCGAAGCGCATCTCACCAAGGCGGCACTGGAGATCCGCGCCGAGATGCCAAAGTCCGCGATAGTGCGGCACGAGCCTTACGACCGTGCTCAGCAAGTAAGCAGGGACTCAGCGAGTAAGCCGTTAAGCGACCCGATCTCAACAACTCCTCATCGATTGTGTACCTAAAGCGAGTCACTTCGGGTCTCGAAGAACGTACATTAAGGTGACACAGGGGTATCCGTTTCCTCGCATCGCTCTCCTCAAATCCTGAAGAGCAACTCCTCTGCCCACCTCATCGGCTTCCTCTTCATCTGTTGTCGATCTCCATCGGCTTTGCAACCATGTCGTCTTCCACACATCCTTCGGAGACCATTCTGTCTCCCGAAGAGAAGCATGTTGACGCAACGTCGTCACCAGATCCCACTGCACCAATCTCGCCGGCCGAGGAAAAGCTCACACCGGCAAAGGTAGCTGCACCTCCAACTCCCACTGTCCTCACCGCTCCAGCCTGGCTCTCCGTGGCAGGAGCCTCGGCCTGTCTCTTCTCGACTTTCGGATTCTCAAACGCCTTTGGCGTATTTCAAGACTACTATGAAACGACTTTACTGCCAGACTCTTCGCCCAATGCCATTGCGTGGGTGGGAAGCGTATCCTTTGGACTCATCTTCTTAGGCGGAATGGTAGGTGGCCTCTTGATGGACCGCTTTGGCCCGCGTCCTCTGTTCATCTATCAAGCCATCGTGTACCCGCTGTCGGCCATGCTCACGAGCTTGTGCACAGAGTACTATCAGATTCTGCTAGCTCAAGGTATCCTGCAGGGTCTGTCGCTGGCGTGCTCCTTCTCAGTACCAATCGCCTGCTGTATGATCTGGTTCAAGGAGAAAAAGGGAATTGCAATGTGAGTCTGGCGAGGCGAGTGAGGTGGACCATAATCAGCTCGTGCTCGTGGGACTGACGCGTTGAGCGGCATCTCTTACCCTCCCCTTTCCGCCTCAGTGGCATCGTTGTATCATTTTCGTCCTTGGGAGGCGTCGTGTGGCCAATCATCGTCAAGGCTCTTCTGGACAATGTCGGCTTTGGCTGGACCTGGCGCGCCATTGGCTTCATCGTCTTTGGTCTGCTATGCTTCACCGCCGCAACGGTCACTTCACCTCTTCCGCAACACCAGACTAATCTGAGACTCTTCAAAGGTAAAAGCACTAGCCCTGAGAAGGAGAGTGCGCCAGGACCTGCACCACCTCGCCAACCTTTCTTCTACGCAGAAGCCTTCCGACACTTGCCATACGACTTGTTCGCTCTAGCCTACTTCTTCGTCTTCCTTGGCCTCACTTATACATTGTTCTTCCTGCCTACATGGGGAGGTACAAAAGGCCTCAGCAGCAGCTTGCAAGTGTACTCACTGTCGATACTCAATGCTGCGAGCATCTTTGGACGATTGTTGGTGCCAATTGCAGCGGACAAGCTGGGCGCCTTCAACTTGATCATCTTCTGCGCTGGAGCATGTATGATCATCGTCTTTGCCTCGATGGGCGTGACAGGTCCAGCGGGCGTTCTCGTGGTAGGAGGCTTTTACGGTTTCACATCGGGAGGCGTCATCTCTCTCCTGGCCAGCTGCACCGCCTCTGTCACCCCAGACCTCCGACGTATCTCCTCGGCCCTGGGACAACTCTCTGCCTGCGCAGCCGTTGCTGCACTCTTGGGCTCGCCCATTTGCGGATGGATCATTGCATCCCCCGCTGGATTTACGGGAGCACAGGGATTCTCTGGTGGAAGTCTAGGATTGGGCGCTCTGCTAATGGTGAGTTGCGGAAAGGGACAACTCAGCGAGCAGGGTCTCATTAGTACGAGAAGTAGAAATGTTAGAATGGCTGACTGACGTGTGTCCCACCCCCTCGTCCGGCTGACCATTCTTTCCCCTGCAGGTGGTGACACGCCTGAGATTGTCCCGATCACTTGTAAAGGCAGTCTGAACCACAATGTACTCTACTGTATAGCCGCACCCGCGTAAGATATGATTTTGTGGACAATATGATGTCGGGAAATCGTACAGTGCTTTTTCGTTGATAAAGGGTGAGATGAGATGTGCCAGTGACGATTTCCCACTATGCCCTCCAAATCTTGACTTGTCGGTCCCGCCCGCCACTGGCAACCTTGTTGCCGACAAAGTCCACACAGTACACCTCGTCGTCGTGCCCTGGCAAGTCGACTTTGATCTTGTACGTCTTGAGATCCCACACTTTCATCGTTGAGTCTTTGCTGGCGCTGACGAGGAGACGCGAGTCACATGACCAGGACAGACGATACACTGATGAGACGTGACCACGCAGAGTTGCGATGAACTTGCCGTCTCGACCGTTCCACAGCCTCACACTCGAGTCGAAGCTGGCGCTGGCGATGAACCTCCCGTCGGGAGAGAAGGCAACGTGGTTCACGCTCTTCTGATGGCCGGTCATCCTCGTTAGGGGCTTCTTGGGTGTGATGCCTCCCGCCTCGCCAGCAGTCCTGTCTCCCCCCACCTGCGGAGGCCAGAAGAACAGAGTGTGGTCCTCGGAACCCGAGACGACAGTCTCCGGCTGCTGAGCTGTGAACTTTTTGAAGCGCTTGAGAGCTGCCTGCTGGATCTCTCCGGCCGAAGAGCTAGCCAGGCTCAGTCCTTCGATCAGTCCGCCCTTCCGCTCGTCAAACGCGCCAGCTTTGAGTAGAAAGTCGGTAGAGAGGGCAAGCGTGTTGACCCAATGAGCGTGCGAGTCGAGAGAACGCAACAACTTTCCGTCTGCGCTGTCCCACACCTTCACTGTCCTGTCGTTGGCTGCAGTGTACAGCACTCCGGCGCCGCTGGAAGTCGTCTCCCCGCCCCACCGCACAATATTGACAGAAGAAGAGTGGGCGCCAAGGGTGAAGGCGCAGGTCCGTGTGGAGGTGTTCCAGACTTTCACTGTGCCGTCCTTGGACGAGGAAGCTAACCGAGGGGAGGAGGCGTTCAAGTGAGCCGGTTCAAAAGCTAGCGAGGTGATCCACTTTGTGTGGCCCTTCAAGACCTTTCCGGGAGGAGACGCATGGCGCAAGGCCCTCTTCTCCGCCACCTTCATCTTTGGCTTTTCGGTCGGCATGACGCCCCCTGCTTCTTGAGCAAGGGCAGCCATCCGCTCCTCTTCCACCTGCTTTCCGCTCTTACTGCCCCACCCCTTGACACCATACGACTTTGAGTCGATGCTGTCCCACAAGTAGATGACACCGCTCATATCTCCTGTAGCGCATCTCCGCTCCAGTGGGTCCCAAGCGGCGGTAAGGACCCAGTCATTGTGGCCCTTGAGGGTATGAAGAGGCAACTCGGCATCCACGTCCCATAACCGTGCAGTCTTGTCGCCGGCAGTGGTGAGGAACAGTGAAGAGGAGGGAGAGGAAATGGAATAGAGGATCGGAGAAGCGTGGCCTGAATGGGTACGGAGTGGCGCAGAGAAGCGTGAGTACGTGATGTGCGACTGGGAAGCGGTATTGTGCTGACTCACCGCTCAAGGTATTGCTACACCGCCTCACTGGCCTGACTTTGAAGACTGCCTGTGGCTCAAATACGATTCGCAGCGTGTCTTCGGCGCTGAGGTCGAGCTTGCGAGCAAAGGCAGCCTGCAATACGTCTTGCGAGATGGAGGTGGTGATGTCCAGACGTGTGGGCTGTGTTGAGGTGCCTTCACTTGTAGAGACGTCCAGATGGAAGGCAAAAGGCAGGTCCTCGTCGTCATCATCATCGTAGTCCTCCTCCTGCGACTCGCTGCCATCATCCACTCTCCTCTTCTTGCCTGCTCTGCTCTGCCTCCGCAGTTGGTTAACGATCATCTGCAACTCTCTCTGCCCCGTATTGCCAGCTGGCAAGCTGATGGAAGGCCCCAGTGTCTCACCATCGACGGAAGACTGGAGCTGGATGATGACATTGTCCGTTGTGGGGTTGAGCTTTCCCTCATCAACGAGTGCTGCAACTCTCTTTGACTCGGCGGCAGCGTTGAGCCTTTGCCTCTTGGCCGTGGGAATCGGAGCGAGAGTGGCCATGGTCCTGACCAGATTCCTCTATGTACAGATGAAGATGAAGGTATGGATCTGGGAATGAGCAGTGGTAGCCGCTGGCCCTTTGCGGCGGGTGTTGCTTCGCCCTGTACCGCCTGGCCGCCCGCTTATTTCCAAAAATCCTGCTTCCGTTGCGCGAAGGAATGGGAGCGGAGTTGGAAATGGCTGCAGCTCGTCTCTGCCTCGAAGGGAAATTTTGAAGCGGAAGCGCCTCGCAGCCAAAGAGCGACACACAGACGCTACCACCCAGAGTGGACCTCACCATCACCCAGCCTCTACTTGCCAATTCCCACCAGCTGCCCAGCATGGCTCCCGATGGCGGTCATCATCACCGATCGACGCTGAAGCAGAAGAACAAGACGTTCAAGGCGCGTCATTCGACAAAGTCCTCCATCAAGAAGCTCGCAAAGGGAAGACCAGCCTCAGTAGCCTCCACCACGTCCACCTCGACCACTGCAAAGTCCGGGCATGGCAATGGCGTCACTCGCAAGAACCATGCAAAGCAGATGCAGCTTGCAAAGAGGGAGGCACTGAAGAAGGTTGAGGACATGTTCGTCAAGAAGGGCGTCCCAAAGGTGGTCAGCGTACTAGAGCTCACCCCCGATGGAGACGCCTGGGAGGTGTGCAGGACACTCGAGGCTCACAAGGGCGTAGAGCCGATAGACGGTCATGATGTCGCTACAGTACTCAAAGAAGGCAGGGAGTCATGCAGGATACGGTGAGTCATCGCAGCATGGTAGGCAAATGCGTTTGCTCCTTGCGCTGACCATGTGCCTCCGCACCTATTGCTCCATCTGCCCAGAATCCCTCGCCCTTCCACCACCTTGCAGTTCCTGCCTCTGCCGTACGGCTCCCTCTATCCCTCACTCTCCGCCGTAGCATCTTCAGACTTCGTCATTCTCCTCCTCTCGCCCTCACAATCCATCGAAGAAGGGTCCTGGGGCGAGCTTGCCCTTCGCATCCTCCACGCTCAGGGCATGCCAGAGGTCCTGGCCGTAGTGCCCACCCTCTCCGAGGGAAGCAATGCAGAGAAGACGAGCATCCGGAAATCGCTCGCATCTTTCATCAGATACTTCTCTCCTACGACGGACAAAGTCCATGCTATCGACGCAGAGGCCGAGAGGGATGGACTTCTGCGTACCCTTGCTACCACGGTCCCTCGCTTTCCCAGCTGGAGGGAAGCTAGACCCTACCTCATCTCGGAGGGAGCCAAGTGGGTGGAAGGCGAGGTAGCTGGCAAGGGTACACTTGTCGTCAAGGGCTGGACGAGGGGCAATGCTCAGTTCAGCGCTCAGCGCCTAGTTCACGTTCGGGACTTTGGGGACTTCAGACTCAAGAGGGTGCTGGACCTTGGCGAAGAAGGCAAGCCGAAGCGGAGGAATGGAGCTGCAGCGATGGACGTAGACATGGCTGCCACTACCGCCGATGGCCACGCGATCCTCGAAGAGCGCGATGAAGAGGAAGCCGATGACCTGCAGAGCGAGAATGAGGTCAGCGAAGGCGACTTTGGGGCTAATGAGCAGACTTGGCCAACAGAAGAGGAAGTGGCAGAGGGAGAACAGAGGCAGGTGGCAATCGAGAGGAAAGAAGCTCCGGAAGACAAGTACAAGACCAGATGGCTCATCGACGAGGAGCTTGACGATGAAGAGGAGGAAAGCGAACCCGAAGCTCTAGGCGAAGAAGGGCTGCCTGATATGGATGATGACTTCCCCGTAGCTGGACCTTCACGAGGCGCCCTCAATGGACTGAGCGCACCTTCGGAGGCGGGCTTGGACGACGAGGACTTCGGCTATGACGATGACGGCGCTTCAGATGATGACGCCGCCATGTTCGAAGAGTCTCAGCAACGTCAGGAGCGTAGCAAGCGGGCGGCAGAAGACCTGCAGTTCCCCGATGAGGTCGATACGCCCCTATACACTCCCGCAAGACAGCGCTTTGCTCGCTACCGTGGCTTGGCCTCGCTGAGGTCGTCCACGTGGGACGCTTACGAGGAGCTACCGCCCGAGTACTCTCGAATCTTCCAATTTGAAGACTGGGACCGTGTCAAGAGAGCTGTCGAGGGAAGAGCGCGCATTGAAGGTGTCCCCAGTGGTCATCTCGTAGGCCTAGAGCTGGAAGACGTACCTATTGAAATGGCGAGGAAATTCGGAGCACTGGAGCGTAGCACTCGCTTGCTGCCCATGACGGTGTGGGGTCTGCTGCGCCATGAGCACAAGAAGACGGTGATGAACTTGAGTATCATCAGGAATACCGAGTACACAGAGACTGTGAAGAGCAAGGTGAGTGATGCTGCTGGCAGGGTAGTTGGACCGAATTCGTTGCTGACCCACAAGACTTCTCTTTGCAGGACCCCGTCCTCCTCTTGATGGGCCCACGCTTGCTCCGCGTCAATCCGATCTACTCGGAACACTCTCTTGCCTCGTCCTCCTCGCTGCGCCCGAGTGGAGAAGACGGCTCAGTCAACGTTCACCCACACAAGTTCTTCCGCTTCCTCCCTCCTCCGACTCCCGCTCCGAGCGTAGCGACCATCTATGCCCCGATTACCTTTGGCTCCCCCTCTGCTACATTCTTACAACCTCGTAGCTGGGGTGGGGACGACCCAAACGGCGAGCGCGGCTATGACGAGCGTGGAGTCGGAGCTACACAGTACCCCTCACTGATTGGGTCTGGATCTCTCCTGAGAAAGAACGGTGGTGGACCCTTGCGAGTCAATGTGAAGCGCGTCGTCCTCACCGGTGAGCCTTTCAAGATCCACCGTCGCACAGCTACCATCCGCTGGATGTTCTTCCAGCCAGAGGATGTGCGCTACTTCAAGCCGATCCCGCTGCGAACAAAGTATGGCCGAACGGGACACATCTCGGAGCCATTGGGCACGCACGGCAGGTACAAGGCGCACTTTGATGGGCAGATTGGACAGATGGATACGATTATGATGGGACTCTACAAGCGCGTCTACCCAAGGTATACCACTGAGCAATACACTGCCGGCGGAGAGGAGCTGCCAGTCAAGTTCGTGGAAGGTACAGAGGGAAAGAGCGTAGAGAGTGGTATCGGAGGAGACCGAGAGGTTGAGATGGAAGTCTGAAAAGTGCGGAAATCCAATGTGGCCTTCGTTTTTGGTCTATGTATGTGGTTACAATCTATATTCATCAGAATCACCTGTCGGCTCATGAGCGCCCGTACCGTCTGACGCTCTTCGGAAATCTCGCCAATAGCCTTTCACTCCCTTCTTCAGGCCTTTTGAACCTCCTCGATGGTCCTGATAAAGGCTGCAGGGTCGTGAGCAAAGCGACCAAGGAATAGTCCATCGACTCCGTCCTTGATCTTCTCGTAGGTGCCAGGTCCAGCGCTTCCTCCATACAAGATCGTGAGATCGTCTCCTGTCCAACCCACCTCCTTTGCGCACTTTTGCCTCAGTAGTTGAGTCACAGCAACCACGTGCGAAGGTGTGGCGGGTTGACTTGCTCCAATAGCCCAGACGGGTTCGTATGCGAGAATGACCGGCGAGCCCTTGGGAATGCTGGCAAAGACGGCGTGCACCTGCTCCCAGCACTCTTCCACCGCCTTTTCCTCTCCGCCCTCCTTAGACACTTCTCCTACACAGATGAGGGGCGTGAGCTTGTTACGCGCCGCTGCAACGCATTTGGCCACCACGCCGTCGTTGGTCTCGGCAAAGAGCCTCCTGCGCTCTGCATGTCCGATTTCGAGGAACTTTGCGCCCGCTTGGGCAAGGACGAGCGGTGAGACCTCTCCTGTAAAGGCGCCTTTGTCTTCATGGTGCGTATGCTGTGCTCCGATGATGAGAGGACTACCAGCAGCAGTATCAACGCAGTACTGGAGAGTGACAAAGTCTGGAAGGAGAAAGACTCGAGCGGAGAGGCTAGAGGGGAGAGAGGAGAGGACCTTGGAGAGGTAGGACTTGGTAGTGGGGATGTCGAAGTACATCTTGGTGGAGACGCCTACCAGGCGGGAGGAAGGGCGTTGGACCGATGTCATGGTGGGCTTGTGTAAGAGCAAAAGGCGCTGGACAAAGTAAAGAAAGGTTGAGTGAGAAGGATGGTAGGAATCAAAGGGGACGGGGAAGGGACGAACGACTTCTGATTGCGCTTTCCGTACGCACCTCCACCTCGGCGACTTGAACTGACGCAGTTCCGCCTTGCGTGTGAGTGCGATACCGAGGTGCACTTCCTTGCCATCAGTTGTGAGGTTGCCAGACACTAGGCACAATGCTGCCGCCACATGGGTCGCAATCAGCTTCTCAGTCGCAATCACAGTCCACGCAGACGACTCATACATTCGTATTGCAGGCATACACGCAGGGCAGAGCAGCCTCACCAGACGGCGAGCTCAAATTCCAGACCTTCACTGAGCCCACCCTTTTGTGCCATGTGACCGAGCACACCACGACGGCCAGTCAAGGCCTCTCTGGGCTCAGATTAGCTGTGGAATGGGCGCTATCATCGTCTTCACAGAAAGGTAGCACCGGAAATAGTCAGCTGATCGGACAGGCAGAAGAGGGCAAGATGACTTTAGTAGGTCACAGCCATATGTGCATATATGCAGCCGAACAAGGTGGATCTGACTTGCTCAACTCGCTGATGTTGACACCTTGCAGGAGTCACTCAATCTGTGCGCCTTTGCCGACATAGACAGCTCACAGTCCAGCGGCTCGAGTGCCAAGCGCAGAGAAGCTCCTCTCAAGGGCGCTCACAAGGGAGAGGTCGTCGCCATCCGTTACAGATGGCCTTTGAAAGCGGAAGGGGTAGGTTGGACTTGCATAGCAGCATGAGTATATGACGCCGACTGACAAGCAGAAATCACCTTATGACTTCTAGAGCTCTCGCAGACTGCAGCGTGCGGGACATTGCTTAGCAGTGCTATCACGATGCGAAGCATGCTGACATTGTAGCCTCCTTCCCCACAGTCAAGTTTGCTACGGTAGAAGACGCAACGACTTTTGTAAGCTTGATTCAAGTGAGTCTGTAAGGGAAGTGAGCACCTCTCAAGGAGCTTCGTTCTAACTCTCGCCAATCCTGATGTGGCGCAAGAATGTCTGCCCAATTTCAACGAAGCAGGAGAAGGCCTCTACTTCAAATCAGGCCGTGTCACTCCCGGACTCTCAAGATTGTCGTCAAGACGTCGAGGGCTCCGCCAAGGCTTGTAGCTCCGAGAGCACAGGCGCAATGCATGCTCCGCTCAATGTACTAGCCATGAGTCCTTTGCCGAGGATGTCCTCGACATTGCACGACTCTCCCTCTCGACAGGAAGCACCAGCCGAAAGTGCTGCGTCTCCTGAAGCCCCAGCTCCGCCGAAGCCAGTGACGGACGAGGCAGCCTCATCTGTACCATCGCAAGTGCCGTCAAAGAAGCCAGTCAAGAAGCGCGCAGCTCCCCGAGCAGGTGTTGTCAAGGGTCAGCTCAAAGCAGCGCCCAAGAAGAGAGTCAAGCCGAATGCGCCCAAAGAGGCCTTGACTCAGGACGTCTCGGCCCCACCGATCAGACCAGAGATTTTCCCGGCAGCCGTTTCCACATGTCTCCACACGCCATCACCATGCCTGAACGTCAAACCTGTTGCTCAGACGCAAATTGCAGGTTCGCAGCAGCTGAAGTACTCGCTTCATTCCGAACCTCGGCTGCCTACCCCACCTCTCAAGCGCAACATACTCTTGGCATCGGGCGGCCTCCACGGGCAAGAGATTGTTCATTATCCTCGAAGGGCTGAGAAGAAGCAGATACCTCAAGGGCCGCTTGAGCAGCCTTTGCGAAAACCTGCAACAACAGACGCGCAGGATCTCGATGTGGTCCTAGCAGGGCTGTGCGCGAAGGATCGGGGAGAGCTACTTGAACAGACCGTAGCCATCTTGAAGTCTCCCTTCTTCTCTGTTCTGGTGGAGATCATGGAGCGCGCTGGATGAAAGAGTGCAGTGAAGGCAACGAGAAGTATAGCAGTAGGTATACATTAGGCTTTGTGGCATGCAAGGTATCGAGGCTAAACGTCGTGTACTCTACCCTCATCCTCCCTGTTTCCGCCCCCCCCCCCCGCCTCGACTGGCGCGGCGAGACGGCCCCAGCTGATCGGAGCCAGAAGCGGCGTGGCTGTCTTTGGATCTCGCAGCAGCACGGCAATTGACACTTGGCTCAATCCAGCGTCCATTGCCATTCCACCTTTGATCCGCCCCGCCCTGCCAACGTCGTTCCTCCCCTGCTTTCGTACCTCCCCGCCTGGTGTGCGTGTCGCTTGCCGCTGCTGCTGCTTCCTGCCGCTCTCCCTGATCGTTGGCGGTCTCCCCCTCGTTCACCGCCCGCCTTGTGCAGTCTCTTACTGTGATCGGCCCAGACCCGCGTACAGCGGCCGATACGCTACCCAGGTCGGGCACCACCTTTACCCTACCATCAACCCCCTTTGACCTCACGACGCTGACCAAGGCAGCACGATGACAACGGCTGCTTCTCGGAACAGCTCGGATATGGCCACGGAAGTCGGTGTCAGAAGGAAGAGCGCATCCAGTGGCAGTGGCAGAGGCAAGATGAAGTGAGTTGCTCGCTACCAGACGGCGCGAACACGCGAAGGAGGGTTGTCCCCTGATCGCATCTTTCGCCACTCCCTCTCTCCAGTGCTCTCAACCCTAGCTTCGGCATGACCAGCAATGCGGAGGCTGGCTCTTCCCGCTCTCCTCCGCTTGTATCGCACGATCGCAGACCCTCACGCGATAGTCTCAAACCCTCGGCCAAGAGCCACAAGTCGTCCGACAGGCTGCACCGGCTTGGCGCAGCCAGCGGCAGTACCTCTCATCTTGCATCGAAGCGGTCCAAGTCACAGACACACTTAGCAACTCAGACGCCTGCTCCCGCCAAGAGCAAGAAGGAGACCACGAGCGGCAAGAATCGTCGGCAAAAGGATGGAGAAGAGGGTGAGGACGACGATGAAGAAGGATGGACGAGCGCTAGTGCTGCTGGTACACCGGATCAGAGCCTGCAAGCGTCACCGAAGGAATCTGATGAAGAGGATGAGGATGGAGGAGTCGTACTCAAGATGGGTGGCAAGAAGAAGCCTGGTCTTTCCGTTCAGACCAAAGCATCGACGGTGGAATTTCCCTCGCAGAAAGGCTCCGACGGAGGTCAATCATTGGAGTCTACCAGTCGGCAACAGGCTCAGGAAGAACCGAAGACACCCACGGCTGTCTCGCAGACTCATCCACCTCATCTTACAACGGCATCGCGGACCGACTCGGAGGCCACACTCGGCAAGAACAGCCAGCACGAAGACGACGAGGCTGCAGGACAATCGGGCGAAGGCGCAGCCGGGAGAGACGAGTACCTCGCTCCTCTTGGAGGAGACAAGCCTCGCCCTCACTCACTAGCCACGAATCAGCGAATGCCTACCAGCTCGTCTAGCAAGACATTGACCGAAGGTGGTCCAGGGAGTTTCTATGCAAGTGGTGGTCGTGGTGTCTCCTCAGCTTCCATTGCATCGCGCATGTCCTCGAGGAGTCGCACGATATCTCTCTTGCCCCAGATTCAGCATACTGCACCACCTATGCTCAGCACACACAATGCTCTTGCAGGCTCACTGGGCGCCCTTCACGAAGGACAAAGCGATATGCCACTCTCGAAGAGCCCATCGTCGGTCTCTCTGCATGGCTTCGCAAGCGGTGCAGGTCGCAACAATACCCGGGACTCGTGGGCGGAGAGCTCCTCACGAGCTCACGGGAGGAAGGCCAGTATAAGTTCACAGAGCTCCAACCTTACGCTGCCCAACATGAGAGATGCAGCGTCATCCAAGAAAGGTGATGAGACGCCCTTGAAGGGTATCTCTGCGGCCGATGCGATGCTTGCGCCTGGGGTCTGGGAGAGGCGTAGAGTGCAGAGTACTTCTAGCAATCACAATAGCCTTACTGCAGCTGATGCTGCCAAGCTCGCAGCTAAGCTGCGTCAAGCAAGGGATGCTATGGACGATGCTCAAGGAGGGAGGGGAGCAGGTCACGCATCGGGGGGAGCATCAAGGGGCGGTATCGCTGCCTTGGCAAATGCAACGACCGACGGGAAGTACACCAAGCCAATAATCAGCACGTTTGCGAAGGACCCAGATCGAAAGTGGAGCCCTCACGCCGTGCCAGTGACTGCTCGATCAATCTATGCACCTGGCTATACAAAGATCCAAAGCAAGACAGGCAAGGCAGTCGCAAGAGGCAAGGACCCACTCCGATCTATTCGCTACGTCGCCAACTACGGCCTTGGCGGCCCGCCCATCGCTCAGACTGCCCTTAATGAAGCTCTACTAGCCCCTAGCTTTGACGGAGATGAGTTTGAAGCCAGTTGGGCGCCGGCCCTGGCCAATGCTGCTGGTCTGGGATCGCGCTCTTCGCGCCTTGGCGGCCACTCCTCCTCTTCGTCGAATTTCCGAGAGGATGGCATCCCCCTTCATGACCCCGGCATGGCCTTTACCGGGAGTGCGGCCGTCAATGGGCCGAATGCCACGCCTGTGCATCTCATCCACGGGTTGACCACCATCTCTCCAGAGCCATTCCCTCTGGACCCTGCAGACGCTCCTTCACTAGCAGTAGATGAGCAACATGCCCTCACTGCTGATCCAGGTACACTGCGCGCCATAGCTCTCACGAGCCAAGTGCTCTCCACTCACCGATCGCACACGATGACAAGACGGTACTTTGATCCGATGAGGGAAGCGCTCGGGAGGATCGCCACGCACAAGACTGGCGGGGTATCAGGCACTGCTGGCAATCTAGGCGTCGGCCAAACGGGCAGTGCAACTCCTCCTGCGAACCATGCACCTGGAGTTCACGCTCTGCGCAGGCAGAACACAAGTAGTAGGGGGTCCCTTGAGGCATCTGAGAATCCAGTGCAGAGCCTGCGACGCGTCTGGTCTGGGAGGGGTAACCTGTCCAGCGCTCCTGGGTCTGCTTCGGGGTCGGGTAGGAGTGCGAGGTGAGACAAGTAACGGTAGAGGTTGATCCGGACAATGAGTTGGGTTCTTTGAGTTTTCACTTGTGCATTTTACCATTAATGTATGCTTTGATCAGACGACCCTTGAGTTGTGTCGTGTGAGTGAGTGTGCGTAGGCTGTGGGGCCAGCGGAGCTGCGTTGCGCACGGATAATTCCTGAGATGAAGCCAGTGGGGACAAATGCCCGAGGCGAGGCAGACGAGCGGTGTGTGTGTTGCGTGCGTGCATCGCCTGCGTGTGCGTGTGTGTGTGTGTGCGTGTCTCGGAAAAGGCTCCTCTTCCCCGCTTTGCACTTTCTGCTTCCTACTTCCTACGCTCCTCTCACCAACACCAACACCTCTTCGTACCTCCTGTCTCGATCGAGCGACCTAAGCCATGGGTCGCAACGGACCGCTTGGCTCCTTTCGAGCTCTCGACGCCTTTGCCCGACCTTTGGAAGACGTCCGTATTCGCTCCGCTTCAGGAGCCCTCCTCACCCTCGTTTCCTTCCTCATCATCCTCTCCCTCACCCTCAGCAGTTGGGTAGAATACCGTAGAGTCAATTTGGATCATTCACTCGAGGTTGATAAGAGTAGAGGGGAAAAGTTGGTGGTGAATGTGGATATTGAGTTCCCGAGGGTGCCGTGCTATTGTGAGTTTAGTTGCGCGTGATGGAGGCTCCCAGGGGAGGTGGGGTGAGATATGGAAAGCTGACCTTGCTACCTTTTGAATGACAGTAATGAGCGTTGATGTGATGGACATCTCGGGAGAGCATGTAGAGGACGTAAAGCATGATCTCAAGAGACACAGGCTGGACTTCGAAGGTGGGGAGGTACACGAGGCAATGGGAGGTGAGTAAGCCAACGGAAGAGGAGGCGCCAGCCGGGGATTGGTAGAAGAGGGTGATAGCATGGTAGCTGACCACTGTCTCCGCAACCTCTCCTCTGTTGACACGAATCTCAGGACTGAAAGGCGAGGCAGATAGGCTGGCAGCTCAGAGGGGTTCAGGCTACTGTGGTTCGTGCTACGGCGGAGAGCCGCCAAAGGAGGATGGCGGCTGTTGTCAAACGTGCGAGTCTGTCAGAGAGGCCTATTCGCGGAAAGGCTGGACTTTTGAGGACCCAGACCACATCGAGCAGGTGAGACAAGGGCAAAGCGATCACTGCTGAAGCACTCAGGGCGGATAGGCTGACAATCTTGGCCCATTCCTCCTTCCGCTTACAGTGCATTCAAGAAGGATGGACAGAGAAGATCAAAGCTCAAAACAAGGAGGGATGCCGAGTATCGGGTCAGATCCATATCAACAAGGTCATTGGCAATTTCCACCTCTCCCCTGGTCGCTCATTCTCGCGGAACAATATCCACACTCACGACGTGGTACACTACCTCAAGGACAGCCAAGAGCAGCAACACGACTTTGGGCATATCATCCATGCTTTTTCCTTTGGCGCAGAGGACGAATTCGACGACCATAGTGCTGTTGGCAAGCATCGGCTGTTCGGAAGTATGGCAGAAAGTGGGCCATTGAAGACGAAGCTAGACATCAAGGAGCCCCTGGCAGGCTACAGGGGAAAGAAGCAATCTGCCTCTACGATGTATCAGTACTTTACCAAGGTCGTCGCGACAGAGTATCGACCACTGAAGGGGAAGCCGATGAGCACGTTCCAGTACAGCGCTACAGACTACATTCGCGATCTGAGTCCGGCGGCCAACTATATCCATGGCAAGACTACGGGTGATACAGCTGCTACGCACTCTCCGCAACAGGTGCAGCATGGCTTCCAGGGCCTGCCTGGCGTCTTCTTCAACTACGAGATTTCGCCCCTGCGAACGGTGCACACGGAATGGCGCCTACCCTTTTCGCGCTTTCTGTCGCAGCTGTGCTCCATCGTGGGGGGTGTCCTGACATTGGCGGGTCTGCTGGACGCTGCCATTTGGCACTACCGTGTGAGGATGAGTGCAGGTGGAGGCGGAGGTGGGGTTGGTGCTCACTCGATGATGGCCAATGGCTATGGCAGTGGCTATGGGATGACTGCTAGGGGTGGGAAGCTCATCTGAGCATTGGTCGGTCCGATCCGATGCGACCTGGCTGTTGATGATTGCAAAGGTGCTCTTTGTATGAAGACTAACGACACGATATTCTGACCATTGCCATGCGCTATTTCTGTGTGCCATGGTCGTCTGCTCTCTCTGCTGGCTGGGGCGAGTGCCTGCCTGCCTGCCTTTAATTCTCCGCGGCAACTGTTGGTCTGAGCTCTGTTGGCCGCTTCTTCTTGCTCTTTTGGCTCCGCGACCTCTCCGCCGCCGCGCCGCGCCTGGCAGCCCGTGTCCTCCCCGCAAGGCTGCCTTTGCCTGCCTGCCTCTCTGCCTGCCTACCTCCCTCCTCTCTCCCCCGCCCCTTTCCCCCGCACCCTTGGGATCCTCCCTTTGTGACCAGATCCTCATCACTTGTATCTATAAACGGCGCTACCCTTTGCTGAGCGTCCGCAGCCTCGTCTCCGGGTCCCCTCTGTCCGGCTTGCCCTTGTGCTGGCGCTTCCATTCTCGGCGGTGCTGTGCTCTTCTTGCCTCGCGCTGCCGACAGCAGACGCCTAAAGCAATCTCGTTCCTGGCTCTTCTCCCTCGCACGCAACGGTCCAGCCTCTCTCTTTGCCTTGACTTGCTCCAACACTCTCAAGCTCAAACGGAGACTTGAACCACATCTGAGTCGTCCAACTTGCCTGCCTGCGATACCTCGATTCCTCTCCACCAGCCTTGCAGAGGTCTGCACTAGATCCACAAGCTAGACTATAGGTACAGCCTTCCCCGTTCCCGGTTAGAGGTGACGATCCTACACACCCTCTCAAAATGGCTCGCTCCTCATCTTCCAAGGCGAAATCTCGTCATTCGAATCGGCAAGACACTACCAGTCCGGCCCCTTCTGCAGCACTTGCCAGCACAAAGTCGAAACGTGGGACCTCCACTGCTTCGCATGACGCCGAGTCCTACTCGGCATTCAAGAGACAGAGGTCGCTGAAGAGGAAGTCGGAAAAGAAGGCATCGCAGAGGTCGTTGGAGCGTCAGCTGGGTGAGTACACATGGCAAGGGCGAAGCTGGCGGTATGCGCTTCCTTCGCAGCGAGCACTCCTTACTGAATCATGCCATCACGCCGACTTGCTCCCCTGCGCCTGGAATCTGCAATAGAAATCCCGCTGTACATTCTGCTGGCTCTCTGCGTTTGTCATGCTCTTTCAGGGACCTCTTCCCTTTCCCTGGTCCACCTTTCAGCCCATCTCCCCCACTCGATACAAAAGCTTCTGCCTGCCTGGTCTCGCAGGCTCCCGAATCTAGCTCCATACGCATCAGATGTGCCAAATGCCTCTCACGACTCCAAGACCAGTCTTCTTCTGGGATCGTCTCTGGCAGGTCTCGTAGGAGGCTCCAATGTAGGCCAAGCTGGACCCTTCCGGAGCGATGCGGCTGGCTTCGGTCACCCTTTGACAGCTCTACACACCTTTACAAGAGCTTGCCTCGGCTTGTCGTACGCGATTCGCCCAGCAGGTGAGCTGACAGACGACGCTGCCGCCGCTGCAGCATACGCATCAGGGTTGAGCTACCCAGCTCAGCCCGAGCCGTGGGCTTGGCTGGTCGGCCAGCCCGGCACCATGTACCACAAGGGCCTCAAGGATGCACTCTATGCGGCTACTTGGGTGCTCATCTGGACCGCCCTAAGAGCAGCCGTCATCACCTACATCTTGGTCCCGCTGGGTACCCGATGGGTGACCAAGCCCAAGCTACACGATGAGCAGAAGAATCTCGCCATCACTGGAGCTCGCAGGCTGAGGCGTATCAAAGTGTGGGAAAAGAACATCATGCGCTTTGCCGAACAGAGCTGGTGCGTCATCTTCTACATTGTCAATTTGAGCGTGGGACTACACATTGCCTACCATTCCGACTATTGGTTCAACCCGGCTGGATTCTGGACTGGCTCTCCTCATGTAGAGTTGCAGGGAATTGTCAAGGTGAGAGGTACAGAGGAGAGGTGGCTGTATTGTGAGCCCTACCAACTGACACTGTACCCGTCTTGACTCCTACTCCTCAGTTTTACTACCTGACCCAATGTGGCTACTGGTTCCACATGCTCATCGTCATTCAAGTCGAGGCCAAACGCAAGGACCACTCGCAAATGTTCACACACCACATCGTGACCATTCTGCTCCTCGTGGGGTCCTATGCCTCCCACTACACCCGAGTCGGCAATGCCGTTCTCTGTCTAATGGATCCATCAGATATCCTCCTTTCGCTCGGAAAGTGTCTCCGATACGCCGGCCTGCAGACCCTTTGCGATGCGACCTTTGGAGCCTTCCTCCTCTGCTGGGTCGTCCTTCGACATTTCCTCTACATGATCCTGGTCTGGAGCTGCATCGAGACGCTGCCCAAGGATCGATTCGAAGTGGCAAAGTACCCCTCTAGGGAAGCATGGGAGACTCGCGAGTCTATCCCCGCCACGGACCCGCTTGTGTTCAAGAAGATCCACTACTCTCCCCTCTCTGTGTCGGAGTTCTTCGCAAGTGATCTAGACTTCAGCAGGAGCTTCCTAGTCGCCCTCCTAGTGGTGCTACAATTTCTCCTGCTAACCTGGTTCGTCATGATTGTCCGCGTAGCCTATCGGGTCGTTACGGGCGGGGGAGCAGCTGATAGTCGATCGGACGAGGAGTTGAGCGAAGAGGATGAAAAGGCAATTGAAGAGGTGGAGGTGAAGGAGAAGGAGAAGGAGATGCAGGAGGCGAATAAAAAGGGGCAGATGAGGGAGGTGACTGCTGGTGACAAGGGGGTCGAAAAGGTCAATGGCAGTCATGACCATGACAAGGTGCAGGAGAACTCAACATCGTCACATACTAATGGCAGTGGACGCCACGGGAATGGAGGTGCTGCTGCCTCCAAGGTACTCGCGGACAATAGCAACGTCAATGGTCGAGGGGCTTCGCCAGCCACAACAACCGCAGGAGGAGGAGCGCCTCATGGCCTGAGTCGGACAAATTCGACTTCGACTACGATGAAGAAGAAGAAGCGGTAGTCACCCAGCTGGCTGGCTGGCTGGCTTTGTCCTGCTGCTGCTACTGCTGCTGCTGCTATTGTGTCAGGCTTTGCTCTTCCTCCTCTCTTGTCTTGTCCTTTGTCTCTTCGTTGCTAAAAGTGCGCCACCGTATAGTCAGTGAGCTATATAGGGAGCTAGCGCTCTTCCCTTCTCCCCCTCTCTCCATCTCCCTTATCTGTCTTGTGGCCCTGCTCAATGATCATGCTTATTACGCTCTCCCACGCCCTCTCATCAATTCTGTGCTTTTCCTGACGAGCGGCGCTCCGAGCTTGCTTGTCACTACAAATTCGAAGCTCAAGCTTTCGGGACGGAGAATACGAACGGTGAAGCTTGACATTCCTTCCATTCGCCCTTTTTGTTTGTCTTTGAAGATACTATCGCGAAGCTCATCAACATACACGTCTCCCTAAAGTCGCAGTCTACCTCGCAGAATCAGCATCCAGTAATCGTCTGCCCACATCTTGATATCCCCTCCTCTCATGCCTCGTCTGCCCATCTACTCCTGCACCACCACTACCACCACCGGCAGAACCGTCCTTGCCTCCTGTTCCAGTTCCTGTTCCTGTTCCTGCTGACCCCTTTGGAGCACCGCTCAAGCTTCCTCCACCAGCATCAAAGAATCCATAGCCACTTCCCCCAGGCGTAATACTTCCACTACCACCATTTTCTGCCGCTTCTTCCCAAGCAGCAAAATCGTCTGCATATCCATTCCCACCATTCCTCCCTCCTCCTCCTCCTCCGGAAGATCCTGTGCCACTTCCTCCTGCTGCCGTCCTTCTTCTAGAACCAATAGGAAGTCCAGTACGAACATCACATTCTACACCTGAATGATCAATGTACGTATCCCTCGTACGCATATTGGCAGCATTGTACGAATGAACCAACATTTCAGAAATCGAATCTAGATAACCCTCTAGTGCCTTCAACCAACGATTGGTCTGTAGATGTTTAGAAGAAGCACAGATGGAGAGTCCATCGTCCTTGATAATGTACCCGATTCCAAATCCGTCTGGAGCTACAGGTCCGAATCCAAAGAGACGCAGAGCGGGGTTTCCACAATTGGAAGTGGAGAGGATGACGTGATTGAGTGTACTCCAGCCCACGTCGGTAAAGAGTTCGGGCATCTGTTCTCGTTTACCCTGAGCAATCTCTTGTTTGCAGAGAGAGTAGAGGGCATACAAGTGACGATCGTGACCTTGACCTGAAGCACACTGCTTTGAGATTTTCGTATGGCCCTCACAGGCTGCTCGCAACTTGTCCAGCGTCGCATCACGACTCATCTTTGGATCTGTAAGAGCCTTGACAAAGTCTGCGGTCCAGGGCTGGCAGGTTCGAATAGCCTCGGTCCTGCCGTGTTGGAATGCCTTGGTCATCGCAGGTTCGTAGGTGGGGACATTCCGGCCATACATCTGATAGTGAGCCGCCTGGAAGCTCGCTTGGATAAAAGCGTCTGGGGAGAACTTGTGACGCGTGATGAAGTTCTTGCCAAACTTGGTGTACTCGAGGACCTGACATTCATTCTGGCAAATCAGATCTGACAGGCGAGTTTCGCCGAAACGGATCGCAGCAGCAACGTCTGGTGTGAGATCCCACTCAAGCTTCTTGGGCGCGGTCCTGATCTCCACCTCTTGAAGCTTCTCACTGTCGACATTGGGATTCTTCTTGCCAGCGGCTCCGCGAGCATAAGGACTCGTGACTGCCTGAAAGAGACTCTTGGTACGATTGTTGATGGATTTTGCAAAGCGCAGAATTAGCTCTGCGTATACATCGCCCGCAAAACGCAGCACAGTATGGCCGTCCACTCCTGTATGCTCAAAGTTGATTCCAGCAGCACCATTGGCACAGACGATCAGCTGGAGCTTGTCGTACCAACGATTGGTACATGTGCCCAACTGGACACCATTCTGCAGAGAGTAAGTACCGCAGAGCATATTGTTGCAGAGCTCCGCAGGCGACTCGGGCTCACTGTCGTCCATGCACACTACAAAGAGAGCTGTATCAGCCACCTTGAGACAGCGAGAATTGTGACGATTGGAGGTCAGCGTGTCACGATGGGCGGACCAGATCTTTCGCTGCTCGGTAGTGAGAATACCAATTGCACCTTCAGCTACCTCTTGAGGTTTCGTCTTGTCAGCATCTCGAAGGATAGCTTGCAGGTTGCCAAGCAAGGCACGTTCTGTCAGCAGTGGCCGATGCTCATCATCCAGCACATCGAACCAGTAGATTTGGCCTCTGCGCATGACCGTGATATGCCTTGAATCCGGAGTGCTCTCCATGCGGCAGCCACTTGCGGTGGGAATACGAGCTGTTCCAAAGAGCTTGGTGTACTGGTACATGTCCAGCGGAGTACCCCTCACCGTGTCTGGATCCAGCACGCCTGTCCTCAGATCGTGGATGAAGGCAAGAGAGGCAAGAATGAGAGAAGTGGCTCTCATCAGCTGACTACCTCTTGATGGAGTGGGATCATCTTCGAGGATGAAGAAGGGATTGAGATTGAGTACGACCGACTCGCTCGCCTGGAGGTAGGCATCATCCCAAAATTCCTCAATGTAGCTAACCCTGTCCTTGGCATACTCCTGCAAATTCTCATTCAATTGTGGACCTTCACCAGCCAGAAAGCGTTCCACTACCTTTTTAGTCTCCTCGTGCTCCTGTGAAGGCTGCAGCGCTTCCAGACTGGCAATGTAGCGCTTTGCAGTGTCCTCGAGCTTGGGGATGGGCAGCTTGGGCAACTCCGACTGTCTACTGAATGTCTTGCCGCCCTCGGCCGTGGACTTGAGTCCGGCTACGTCGGCGGCGGACTTGAGGGCATTTTCGATGATGGCAGGTGGTGAGTGAGCACCACCTGTGCTCGTCGCAGTTGGCGCCATGGTGAGGGATGTGATCGAGGTGTAGAGTAAGGGTCGGAAGTGGAGGTATTTGAGAGTAGAGAAGCAAGAGGGGGCGACGCTTAGATGGCGACTGGCTGCACTGAGCCTGTCAGGTTCAAATGGCCGTTGTTGTGACTGAGAAGTAAAGAAGGGTAGAAGGATGCAAAGGGAATGGCGGATGTTGGCTGCTTATAACAAGTGGGCCGAGGGGTGGAGCGGCCAAGCGCCTTCGGTTCAAGCGGGAGTAGAGGACCACCCGCTTCCCCGCACTGGGCACTGCGCCACCCCCACGCCTAACTCCGCCCGGCCTTAGGCGTCTCATCTGCGGGGTCACGATACCCACGGCGAATCACGGCCCACTGGGGGGAAAAGACTTTGGAATGACTGCTATGCACATTGGTTGATCGAGGAGACAAGGGGGATATGTTGAAGGCAGACGTGGCAGAAAGAAAAGAGGGCGGTAATGAAGGCTGCTGGGGGGTAACATCATTCGTGACGGAAAATAACATGCTACTCAAAGACCTGCCAAAGAAGAGAGGGAAAAGGCCTCGAAGAAAGTGATTGCCAGCTCGAAGTGTCTATTCGTCAATCACGTCTATGTCGCAGACCCAGATGCAACGGGGACGAGGCGGGCCGCAGCCGAGCCATCAAGTCTTCCATCTCTTACGACCAGACGTCCAGAAGCCACTTAGACCTCTCCTTCATCAGCTTGACCTCCTTTTGGGCAGCCTCCTCGCTTCCCTTGGCATCGCTCAAGATCTTCAGCAAAATCTTTTCCACCTCGTGAGCCATGCCAGCGGCATCACCGCAGATGTACACTGCGCCCTTCTTCTCCAAAATCTCACTAGCCAGCTGCGCCCTATTCTCCCAGATCAGATCTTGCACGTACACCTTGGAGCCGTCTGGCTTGAACTTCTCGCGGGAGATGGCAGTCTCCATCTTGAACTTGCCTTTGAGCTCAGCAGCATATTGCGGCCACTCCTCTTGGTAGAGGAAGTCCTCGTTGGACTTGCGGCATCCATAGAAGAGCCAAATGTTGCCCCAATCTGCCAATGCGTCCGGACCATTCTTCTCAATCGCCTTTTGAGCTCCAGCTACGCGCTCTTGCACAAAGGAGCGGAAGGGTGCAACACCAGTACCCGGACCGATCATAATGACTGGGATCTTGGGGCTTGTGGGCAGGCGGAAGTTCGCTCGGCGAATGTGGATAGGGCACCGATAGAGTCCCTCCTTGGTATAGGCTCCTCGGGGACCATCCAGGCTGTACAGGGGGGTGCCGTAGCGCGGGTCGGTCGGTCCAGTGGGCATCTCATCGTTCATCTTCATCTTGATCGAGCTGATGAAGTTGGTGGCAAGCCCATGCACGAAGCGATCTGGCTTGTGCTCTGGTGCATACCTCAGTACCACAGCAGTGATATGTACTGTCTTCGGATGCACCTTCGGACTAGAGGAGATGGAGTAGAAGCGAGGACCCAGTCGAGGAATAGCGGAGATCAGGCGGTCGAATGGAATCTTCCATGCTGTGCTCTGGAGCACATCTCCGTCAACATTGTCCCCAGCGACCGACTGCAGAGCCTCTGCTACGGTATAGTAGTGCTTGCCAATCTTTTCGTTGAAGTAAGCTCTGTCGCTTCCAATCTTGGTTAGCTCTTGCTTCACGGCCTCCGAAGGAGCATAGGCAGCCAGACCGAGAAGAGATTGACGACCTGCATGCGCGGAAATGTCAAGGTAGTGACGGAAGACGGTTTCGTAGGTGGTAGGAGTTGGGAAGGGTACCTTGGCCAGAGTGGGATCAAGAGAGGTCACATCGATGACGGCATCGCGGTTTTCGAGTAGACCTAGGACAGCAAGCATCCTGTCGACCTCCTTCTCCGGGTTGTGAGCCCAAACGGCAACGTGGTCTCCATGTTGGTACGAGATGCCAGAGCCTTCAATGTCGAATTCGAGGTGGACACACGTGCGTTCTCCAGCAGTGAAAAGCTCCTTGGCCTTGCTGACAGGAGCCATGTAAGGGTTCTTGGCATCGTGAATACCCTTGGTTCCCAGCAGAGCTCGAGCTGACAGCTCTCCCTTGTAGACCTTGTCGTCCTCATGGTCTGCCAGGACCTTCACCTCGAAGTCTTGAACATCGCCTCCGGCCCCTTCCTCCAAGCCGAGCTCGGTGGCAAGAGCGGTGAACATGCCGTCCTTCCAGGCGAGATAGTCCTCCTCCATGCTCTTGTCGTCGTCTCCCTCGCCTCGCTCGCCGATGCGCTTGGCTCCCAGCTTAGACAATCCTTCATCCAGCTGGCGGGCAACGGCATTGAAATGCTCGTACGTGCGATTACCAAGCCCGAAGATGACATACTTGAGACTCTCAAGGCTTTCTCCATTCGAAAAGGATGGGCTCTCCTTGATGAGCTCCATGAGAGGAACGGCATTGTCAGTCGGCTCTCCTTCTCCATAGGTCGCCATCACAAAGACGGCAGCCGAGCCCTCGGGCATGGCATCAAGCTTCTCGAATTGGTATTCTTCGGGGTCGCATACAAGAGACGAGGCTCCGTATCGAGCCTTGATCTCCTTGGCAATCTTGATGGCGTATTCTTCAGCGGTACCTGTGAGGAGCAAGGCAGCAGGGTAGGCATAGTCTACGGTCAGATTGAGAACCCTTTCGGTCGGAAGCAGAAAGACTGACCAGTCTGAGATCCATAGAAGATCGCGATGCGCTTGTTCTGATATGTCCAAGCGTGAGAGATGGAAGGAAGGATTATAGTTGTTAGCTGCGACCGCCCTTGCCTGAGTAGCCTGGCTCCTGACCTCTCCTTGCCGGTGTACGTACCTGCTTCTCGAGCTTCGCGACAAAGTCACCAGCAAACTCGTCGTCTCCATTCTCGCCGCTGAGAGCAGATCCATTAGCGAGCTTGGTGGAGGCTGAAGGCCCGCCTGCGCCGAACAGTGAGGCCCTGAAGAAGTAGAGTGAACCCAGGACCACAGCGATGGCTACGATGATGAGGTCTGCCGCTGCCATGTTGTTTTGGGGGATTCGTAGGGGAAGGAACCGAATGGAAGAAGGGGCAGTGAGGTCCGTTGTGAGGGTATCAAATTGCAACGGGTAGGCCAGTTAAAGTCAAGTGGCGGTTATGCCGGGCGGGCGATTCCTCAGGCGAGGTGAGTGGTTTTTGGTCGTTAGCTAAGGGGGGTGTTGGTACCGGCCAAGGGGCGAGGTAAAGAGGTGCGAGTAGCTTGCACTGTGTAGTCACACTGGTACAAAGACAGAAGCGCGAGTAGCTCGTCTGATGCGGCAGATACCAAGGGGGATTGAAGAGGGAGCAAGGAGGACAAGTGGTTGAATGGGAAGAACGAAAGAGGCAGAGGCGAGAAAATGTCGGATAGGCGACGTCCGAGGCGGAAGGCGGACCGGCGGGGCCTTCCGCTCTCGACTTTGCCCCTCGACTGGCGCTCGCTTGGCTTCCTTGTCTTCCGAAGGACGTGGCGGGCCAGGCGAGGCACGCCGTGGCGCCCTTTCTTCTGACCAACTGTCACCTTCAAACACATCTCAAAGTGACCGACGGCGCTTCCGTCTCATCCGGAGGGACGCTCAAGATAGTACCCCTCGCTCACGATACGTGTACCAAGCTCCCACGTGGTTTCCACCCCAGACTCAAACCCGAAGCCCCGCAAAGAGTTAGGCCTCGGCCGGTAGGGCAGACATTATCTTGAGCAATCCTCTGAGCCTCGCTCCGAAGACCGTCTGTGATTCTTGTTTCTCTCGGGCGATGCAGATCGCCTCGGCCTATCATCGTGTCGCTCGTGCATGGTGCGCTGTGATGACGCGTGCCTCCGTCTCTTGGCAGCTTCGTCGTCGTCACTGTCATCCTCTCGCCGCCTTCGTCGGGTATAGAGATCCGGATCTTGTGCGAGTTCGTCTTGGTAGGAAATGCTTGTGGGTATAGGGGGCGTGGTATGTAGTGCTGGTGTCGCCTCTCTTTGCGTGGTAGCCTCATCGTCGGGCCAGTGCAGTGGTTCGGGGCTGGGTAAGTCTTCAATACCCATCTGCTCTCTGATCCTCACTGCAGCTTCTCGACCATGCTGTGCTCGTATCTGACGTATCTCAGCTAGCGCATTGTAAGCCCGCTGATCATCTGACAACCCTTCTTGGTCTCGAAAGTAGCGTCCGTGTGAAGTGTGCACTATCGTCCCCTTTTGAGAGAGCCATTCTTGGGCCTGGTCTAGCTCAAAGAAGCCCTTGAATACTGCGCCTGGAAACTGAAAGACCTGACTCTCGGCTTCTGGCCAGGAGGTGTAGATGCCTGGCTTCCTACCTTTGGCCACTGCATAGTGTGTTTTGGCCTTCCGCGGCATCGCCTCCTCACTGCGAGTGGTATCAGACGGAAGTAGGAATGGAGTAGGCGTCGTGGATGTTCACGTGCATCACCCTCGGCTCAGAAGTCCGGTCCCCTATTCCTCGATTGCCTCTACAATGTCGCGCCTCGGGACTTGAGTGTTTCAATAGCATTAGATTCGGTCGCGAAACCCTTGGAGTGGAATGCACGGCCTGGTGCCTCACGTGTCTTGTACCCGAGACAAGATCATGCAGATCTTGAGCCACGTGAAGTGGGGATACCAACGGGAGAAGAGACGCGTTTGCAGTTTAGCCTGTACATCGTCCTCTCACCCTGCCATGCAGATGCATTAAAGTTTTTAGACCTTCTTGACATCATGACAGACACCCTGACAGCTGTCTTGGCCCCGATGCGATGACTGTACCGATCTTAGGGCGGTCTGCGATGACCTAGGTGCTTGCGTAATTTTCCTACTCCACCTGCACTTCCGTGTCCTGTCCCGCATCATTACTTGTACCCCGAGAAGATCTGTCACGGCTCCCCGATCGATCTTGGAGCGCACATTACGGCCGCTTGTCAATCCCTGGCCTCTTTACATCCTTCTACTTCTGCGTCAGTAAGTGCGACTGTCGGTCACAACACTCTCGATCTAAAGCATCACCGCGTAGCGTCCATCGAAGATGCCTCGCAACATCCTCCTCACCGTGCTCCGCTCGGACCTTCGCCTCTCCGACAACCTCCTCTTCCACCTCGCCCAGGAGCAGACACCGCCTCCCTCTGCCTTTCCCAAGAAGAGCAATCAATTCCGCAAAGAGATCACCCACCTTCTGCCAATCTATATCTATGATCAGCGGCAGATCGAAGTAGGTGGACTGCCCGGGCTGGAGAAGGGTGGGAAGAAGGAGGAGGCGAGGACTAGGACTGCGGGATTCTGGAGATGCGGTGAACATCGCACAAGGTAAGATTGCCGAATTATATTCTGAGTCAGTATCAAAGTGGTTTGCTGACACGGTCATCCCTGGCAATGCCCTCAATCAGCTTCGTGACAAATTCAGTCTTCGACCTGCGTTCGCGCCTACGAGCCCGCAACTCTGATCTGAGCATCTGGGCTGGTCTGCCAGAGAAGATCATCCCCGCCATCATCGAGAGTCTGCGCAAGGGCGGAGATGAGGTAGAAGCGGTATGGATGACAAAGGAGGTCATGACTGAAGAGGTCAACGAGGAGGAGCGTATACGCAAGGCACTCGAGCCGATGCAGGTGCCCTACCAACTCCTCCACCAGCGCTCCCTCGTTCACCCCGAGGACTTGGGAATGTCTGTACAACAGCTTCCGGACGTATACACACAATTCAGGAAGCAAGTCGAGGGCCATGGATTCAGACCCTCGCTACCGACGCCCGAGAAGCTCAAGCCATTCCCAGAGATGCCTCAAATGGCGGATGGTCCGAGCGTCTACGCCTTCCAGGGCAAGGATGAGCTCAAGGAGGCCTCTTCTACGATTGAAGCTCTGCTGAAGCCTCTGAAGGCCAATCCGTCGCCAATGAATCACACGCAACTCAAGTCTAAAGATGTTGAGGGCGTGAAGAGTGCCATTCCCTTCAAAGGTGGAGAGACAGAGGCTCTACAGCGTCTGGAGCACTACTTCTCTGGCGGATCCAATTCGCCAGCTGCAACGTACAAGGAGACCCGCAACGGCATGCTAGGCACCGACTACTCTACCAAGTTCTCCATCTTCCTCGCGCACGGACTTCTCTCCCCTCGGGTAGTTGCAGAGTATGCCGAGCGGCTGGACAAGAAGAATGGCAAGAGCGGGCGAGACGGTGGAGGCTACTGGGTCCTCTTTGAGCTACTCTGGGCAGACTACTTCTTCTACGTCTCGTGGAAGTACGGCTCTGCCATGTTCACCCTCAGAGGTATCGAAGAGACCCTAAACCCCAAGTCGGCAGAGACTCGGGCATACGACTGGCTCTCCCCGGACTCTCTAGAGAATGACAAGGATGCTTACGTACGGTGGTGCAAGGGCACCACAGGGGTGCCCCTCGTCGACGCCTCCCAGAGGGAGCTCATCGAGACAGGCTTCATGTCGAACCGCTCACGGCAGAATGTGGCCTCTTTCCTCACAAAGGACCTCGGCTACGACTGGCGTCTCGGCGCAGAATACTTTGAGTCGTTCCTAATCGACTCGCAGTCCACCTGGTCCAATTGGGGAAATTGGCAATATCAGGCCGGTGTGGGCAACGACCCTCGCTCTTCGCGCCAATTCAACGTGGTGAAGCAGGCAAAGGATTATGATCCCAAGGGAGACTATATCACTACTTGGCTACCGGCCCTCAAGTCCCTCAAGGGGCAAAATGAGGTTTCGCACCCTTGGACTAGCCAAAAGGGAGTGCCGGAGGGGTACCCGAAGGAGCCTGTGGTGGAGACGGGCATGTGGAAATCGCATTACCAGCCTAGGCGAGGTGGAGGTGGTGGAGGTGGAAGGGGAGGAGGAGGAGGCGGGAGAGGCAATGGACGTGGACGTGGTCGCGGTCTTGGTCCTGGTGGCGGAAGGGGCAAGGGTCGTGGTGGCGGAGGTGGCGGACAAGGTGGTCAGGGCGGTCAGGGCGGTCAATAGAGGTTGACTGTTTGTGTTGACACAGGCAATGCAACACGTTACATGCAAACAATTCCTATTATGATTGAGGTAGTACGAAGCTGATATGCCTCAGCGTAGTATAGTCGTTGTTGCCGCCCTCCCTCTCCTTCTGCCTGTTTGCGGACCATGTCCTGCGTCGTTATGAACTATGCATCTGCCCTTTCTTGCTCTTGCTGAGGTCAGGAACCTGTAGAGCAGCAAAAAGATTGCTCAGGATGAGTCGCAGATCTGACAACGCCAATCGCCCTTTGACTCACCCTCTCGCTCAACTCGTCAATCTTCTTGAACTGCCAAGGAAATCTCGACGGGTAGAGGAAAGGTCTGAGATCAAATCGATTGTCATCCGGACTGTAGCTCTCCGCGTGATAGCTCGGCGTCAAAGTTGTCATCTTGTGTCGGTTCCGTGCATACTCAAAGAAGAAGAGCTTGACCTTGCGAGCGATCTCGGTGGGACTCATGGAGGAGGACCAGGAGGGGGTGCTAAGTAGCTTGAGGTACATGCTGTAGGGACCGCACTTGGACACTTTACGTAGACGGCCAAAGATGGAAAGCTCGTCGTAGGTCATGCCCATATCGGCCTGGAAGAGGATGGGAAGGAGGGAAAAGGGGATGGTCAGCTGAGCAGCGCGGTACTGACAGGAGGAGCCGTCCACATTCGTGCTCACCTCGTCAGCCTGCACGTAATTCTCAGTGATCGGCTCCAGCTCGGCAGTGGGCGTGGCATTGAGGAACTTGTCAAGCACTGGTAGGTCGAAGGCGGTACAAGCATATGCGATGAAGGACTTGAGATCTGTCTTGGAGATGCCACCGATTGGGTTGACATCTGCCGACGAGCAGTCGTACTTTGTGAGGTAGCCACGTAGACTGTGGTTGGAGAGAAACAATGAGTCAGCTCAGAATGCTCATGTCATTCTGCAACGGCTTGGTATAGAGATTTGCCCACCTTTCATCGACATTAGCGCTTCCTAACACCAAGAGACCCCCCGTACCGCCTCTGACCCAAGGCGTCAGCTGAGCGAACATGTACGCAAGTAGCATCCTCAGTCGTGCTTGAATGTTCTGCAGCGCTAGATTCTCTCCCGGACTTCCACCGTGAACCTTGAATCTAGGAGTCTTGTTGGTCACCAATGAGAACAGGGTGACTATTGCAGAGATGATGAGATCCATGTTGAGATCGATGTGATACGAGCCAATTGCTTCGGCTAGCTCCCTAGCGCGTGAGCGAGTTTCTTCGCTGGAATTCGAGGTGCCCATGTAACAAGTGACAAAGATGCGATTTGCGATGTCTTGTGGTGAGTCAGGCACCCAATTGACCTTGTCCTCCATTCCACAGATTCTCCGCACGTCGTCCAACACCTGCTGGTTGATTCCCTTGCCCTTTGCCTGGCATGCTTGATACACGAGCCGGCACATAGAGTGGACGATGGTGGCAGTAGCGCAAGAGTCGATGCCGCCGGAGAGAGGGATGAAGTATCCCTGCGTCCGAGATCGACGGAGGTAGTCCCACAGCCAACATGCTGGACCTAGAGCAATCTCTTCCTCTGGAGTGTGGTAAAAGACTTCGTTTCGTTGCTCGGCAGAGGTGGCGATGGTAGTAGCAGCATCAGGGTCATGCTCTTTATGCGACGGCCGACGATCATCTTCGCCCGCTACTCCACCTCCTACGTCTAGCTGAGGGAACTTTGAGCCGGACCATTGATCTCTCTCGCCCAGATCAAAGTCTACCTTGACCCTTTCGAATCCTCTGCCATTGTTGATCTCCCGGCTGAAGCTAGCCTGCATGCCTCGTGACTTTGCCGTACGAGCTGTCTTGACATCATCCAAATCCACAGTAGCTGTCACCACTTGGACGTCGTCAAGCGAGAATTGAGAGCCCTGGGCAACGATGGAGCCATTGAGAGCGATGAGGGGACAGCCATCGTAGTAGAGGCGGTCACCATCGCAACCTTGCTGATTGGCATATAGGTAGATCCCTCCCAGCTTCATCGTTGCCTCCTTGATCAGTTCCACCCGGCGGTAGAGCTTGCGCAGCTCATGATGACTGGCGCTCGAATTGACAAAGATCTCCACTCCATCGAGTCCCATGGCGAGATGCGGACTGGGGATCAGAGAGGCGATGCTGTCAGTTCATCAAGATTGAACTCCTCCCACCTCCCTCATCATCGGAACAACCTCCTCACCTGTTGGGAGTGAAGAGCTCTTCGCATAGCTCTACACCTACAACTGTGTCCCTGGTCGCAATGACTGCATCTCCAAGGGGCACCACTTCTTGCCCTGTCACCTCTCTGATCATTCTCGGCAAGGAGAAGTCGTCTGTCTCCCCTCGCCTCGACCAGGGTGTGAAGTACCTCATCTCACGATAGTTGCCATCGTTTGCAAGATGTAGCTTTGGCCTGATCATGAGGATCTTCCGATTCAATACGAGGACCCTGCAGTTGTAGAGTGTGGAGCGGTGCAGCACAGGCATGCCGATGTCGCAGATGATCCCATCGGTAGCATCTCCCTGCAGGATCTGCGTCAGTACCTCCCAAGAATGCAATACGGTGTCTCCCTCGAGGAAGTGATCGAAGCAGCCATAGCCCGGCACTTCGAGCTCGGGACCGACGCGGAGGCGAGCGCCCTTTGCCTTTGCCTGTGTGATGGATTGGAGGATGCGCTGCAGGTTGCCCTCAAAGTCGAGTGCCCACTGGTTGAGTGAACAAGTGGCGAGGGTGACGGGGTGACCCATGATGAAAGACGATGACAGCGTCGACGCTGACGGTGATGGCTTGTAGGATACAGGATACGATACGATACGATGGTGATGCCGAGGAAGGAGTGACTGACTGACCCACCGACTCTTTGCCGAGCTGCTTCCGCCGATGCGTGCGTGCACTGGCCTCCCCTCCGAGTCCGAAATACCAAGGCAGCCTCGACTCGCTCACCTCGCTATCCACTTTGTGCTGCTCGCATTTGGCAGCTACTTGTCCAGATCCTGCCATATTCACCATGGCGGAGCCGCAGACGGTGACGGGCGACGCTTACGTCCTGAGTCTGGCCCGCTTCATACGCTCACACGAGACGGCCCTCTCAGGCAGCGTACCAGCATCCACTGCAGGTCCCAGTTGGCTACCCACGTTGGGACCGGCCAAGACAAAGGCAGCCGGACCATCGAGGATCATTCCGCCGAAGCCCCTCTCCATCTCCTTACACCATCTTTCATATATTCTGCTGCGCTTCGAGGCTCTGAATCTGCCCATCGGGAGGCTAGATGAGCCCTTACCCAGTGCCCTGAGGGACAGGAGACCTCAGAGCACCTTTTCCTTCATCTCTGCCTCGGAGCAGCGCAACATCGCCAACAGGGCCAATCGAGGAGGCGCACTCGATCCAGAGACGATGAGCCTGGGAAGCGTACGGAGTGCCCTCACTCGCATGTCCATCGGCGCAGCATCCACCGCGTCCTGGTTTGGTGGATCAGGTTCGGCAGCTCGGCCCCCGGATCCAGACCGCGAGGTCAAGTACCTCTACTCGGCGTTCACCAAGCTGCCGGCAGTGAACGTCATACAGCCTGAGGCCAGTGGTCTCGTAGAAGGCTTCGAAGACGCAGCAACCCCTACGACGCTCACTCCGTTCGATGTCTTCAAGAATCTGCACCTCCTGAGCTTCACTGACGTTGATCCTCGGACCATCACAGGCTGGGAGAGACTGAGTTGCCAATTGAAGAGTTTGACTCTGATCAGGACGGGAATAGAAGACGTAGAAGAGCTAATAGTGGGGCAGGTCTTAGCAGAGCTGATAGATCAAGACAAGGAGCAGCCCGGAGCCGCCAATGGCCACGGATTAGGGAAAGCCTCAGCCTCGTCTTCGTCACATGCCGAAAACGACCAGGGGGACGAACCGTCGGCAACCCTCCAAAAGCTACCTTCACTCTCATGGCACTTCCTCTCCTCGCTATGTCTCCCTTCTTCCTCCCTCACATTCTTTCCCTCTCTCCCTCTTCCCTCCTTGCGGTCCTTGGATCTATCCCACAATCTGCTCAACTCCATTCCGCCTTCGCTGGCCAATTCTCCCCATCTTGCAAGTCTGGATCTGACTGGAAATCTGATCGAGGATTGTCGTGGAGCTCGAGAAGCCTTACCCTCCATCCGGACGCTCAATCTGCGGAGCAATCGCCTCGAGGCACTCTCCGGTCTCGACTCCCTCTACACCCTAAAGCAAATCGACCTGCGAGCAAATGCAGTCTACGAAGCGTCCGAAGTGGGAAGGCTGGCTCAATTACCAGCACTGGAGAAGATCTGGATCAAGGATAACCCGCTGATGGACGAGTATCTCGACCATCGCGTGGAGGTTCTCGTCGAGTTCGCCAAAGAGGGCTGGCCGATGGAGGGACAGGGGACAATCATCCTCGATGGCGAAGCGCCTGGGTATTGGGAGAAAGGTCGGGTCAGTGAGAAGCTACCACTTGGTATGAAGCTCGCTCCGCCAGGCACAAGGAGAAGGCGGAGAACAGCCAGTCTATCAGGACAGCACTCCATCTCCTCGGGGAGCAGAGGCAGTAGAGGCAGTACTCCCCGCGCAGAGGAGAATGTCGTACCTTGGGCGCCAACACATGAGGGTGGAGCGCAGGTTCTGTCGGTGAAGCACAAAGGACAGCATGGAGGAGCGAGCAGCCAGAAGAACGTCGCTGTAGGCGAGCCCGTCAGGAAAGGCAAATATGAATCCGGGCACAGCACATCGTCAGAGCTGGATGGAGCTGGGCTGAAAGCCGAAGAAAGCGCAAGTCGAGAACCATCTCCCTCAGCCAACCCTCGCGGGTCCGGTCGCCATGCAAGCGAAAAGAAGCGGCACAGACGCGTAGTCAATCTGGATGACGATGGCAGTAGCAGTAGCAATGGCAAAGCATCAGCGGCGACAAAGGTCCCCGAGGAGCTCAGTGAAGCCGAGAAGCTGAAGCGCGAGGTCCTTTTCGGTTCACACGATCGGAGCGTGGCCGCGGGCAAGGGCTCTTCAGGTCTGTATGCGTCGAGGGCGACGAGTGGAACAGCTAAGGCTGGGAAGGCTGCTACGCCCTCAAGCAGCCGGACTGCATCTCCTCATAGCCTTCCAGACATAAGTAACGCCGCTTTGCGGGCTGATAAAGCTGCGTACGCCGATGAACCTTCCAAGGAAACCTCCAGGGCGTTGAATTCAGCGGACGGAGCGACAGAAGACTCCTCCGCCCCACTGCAAGCCGTCACACGGTCACGCGCCCGTCCGAGCAAAGCTAAAGCCAAAGGCAAAGCCTCATCTGCAGCGATAGACGACGAAGCACATGGCGAAGGAGCAAGTCAGGACGATCGACGGAAGTCCCAGGTACAGACTGCGGCTGATCTCCGTGCGAGGATTGAGGGACTGAAGAAGGAGGTGGGAGAGGATTGGATGAGGGTCTTGAGTAGGGGTGAGGGATGACACGCGAGGTTGAAGGCGTCGGGCGTGGGCCCTGTTTGCGGTAGCTGTCATTCCACTGCAACACAACTTCTGTCAGAGCCTCGATGTCATCGCCTGCAGGCTCTAGCTTCTACCTCGCCTCACTTGCTATCAGATGAGCGTCTCTCAATCAGGAGCCTCGCACGAGCGATTCCTTCCGTCCCGACGAACCTCCCGCCCCCGTGCTTACGTAACCCTCCGATCTACCTGCACTGGCCCCTTCCACATGACGTAGCCACAGCCGAGGCCGTGCGAGGGTGCGGTTGAGATTGGAAATAGCCTCGCCTCCGCCTCGCCTCGAGTGTGAGAAGATCCTTCCTTGAACAGATTGAGCACATTAGTTCTTTCTTTACCATACACTTACGCAGACGCAAGAAGCAGATATCATGGACACTGTGAGTAGAGGAGTGACAGAAATTGGACCTGCTCCCGCTGTGGGGGGCGATGCGATTGCAGGACTGTACGTCTATCGCCTAGGAGGGGTACAGGTGGGGGTGCGGGAAGCCAGAGAGGTGCAAAGAGCTGTACTCTTACTGGGCTCGTTGGTGGCGAGGAGATAGCAGTAATTGCTTCAGGCATGCTGGTATACAGTCTTTGCAAGCAGTCATGCTCTGCGGAGAGCGGTTAGACGCGCATCCTCAGGGTAGCCAAATGGCTACTGACCTATGTCCCTCCCATTCCCCCAAAACCTGCTCAGCGCAAATACCCAGACGACGACAGTGAGTACAGCAGTAGCAGCCCTCAGACAGGCAGCCTTGCTCAGATCGTATCTCCTTTGCCTTGCCTTCCGTCTCGCAGAGATCGCAACCGCTCCCAACACCGGTCCTGGGGAGTCTCAGCTGAACCCCGGTGGAGTTGCTCCTCCAACAGACAACGTGGCCAACCCTGACCCACCGAAGCAGGAGGGCTCCTCCATCTTTCAGTCTATTGAGAACCCTTATGCATTGCAAGAGGCGATCAACAAGCTGGAGAGCTCACTGGATGAGGTGATCCATTTGTTCCAGGGGGAGAGGGAGACGCTGGCTTCGGATGGAGGGTTTGATAAGGGAAAGGAAGGGTGAGTCGAGCAGATAGACTCGGGGCAACGGTACCGTGCAAGGCTGGTAAAGTGTGTATGTCTGACGCCGACTGTACTGTTACATCGCTTCGCGCTGCTCGCTACCAGAATCCAACTCTTCCGGTAAGTCAAGGAAGCTCGCTACTGCGACGATTCTCGTAGGCTCACAACACACTCCCTTTCCTTGCCTCTCATCTACAGCGACTGGAAGGCTACATTGGAGAAGCTGAAGAACGGCCAGATGTAGGAAGATTTCGAAGTCACCGCCAACTTGTAGTCGCTATGCTTCACCGATGTATGGGAATCGCAATGAGATACGCCGTCTTCATCTTGGTCCCTGCTCACGAAGCCTGTGAGTACAGACGCTCAGGTAGGGCCCGTTTTGCAGGGGTCTTTGCAGGGATGCCAGAGTGTGTATGAGCCGCTCAGCCGGGCCTCTTACGTAATCGCGCGAGGCCCCCGAGCAAAAGCAGTAGGCACTCAGGGCATCCAGGTACAGGAGTAATGCTGACAGTCTCTGAGCTCGCGAAGGAATGGGACGTTCTGGTCACTTGTCTTGAGATCGAGCAAGACAGTGGTGTTCGAGGGGTTGCGCCGTTTAATACCATGATCTTGTCCCTTCCAGCAAATCGTCGTCTCCTTCGTCCGCGGTGTGATGGGGGTCGCGACCGACGCATCTTATCGGCCCCTGAGCGACCGTTCGCGGCGCTAAATGAGTCGATCAGGCATGGACCGGAATGAACGCAGGCTTCGGAGACACCCTGAACGGCCGCTCCCCTACTAGCATCAGCGCTTTAGTGGTCCAAATGCGGAAGATGACAAGCCGGTGAACGACGGCAATAGAGCGACGCATCGAAGGAGATGTCGTACTTGAGGCGGTTGACCTCAGCTTAGCGGTTCGCTCGACGCTTGCTTCCTTACTCATTTCTGCTACTTCACTACAAATCGACTCTCCTCGCGTCTCCAAGAATCTTCAAAGATCCGTATTGCTGCTTAGAGGCCATGTCTCGCAAGAATAGGCGACATCCAGCAATGTTCTATGCCGTGGCCCAAGGTGGAAGGCTTGGCATCTATACGACCTGGGCCGAAGCAGAAAGAGAATGCTCCGGTTTTCCAAACAACAGGCACGCACGCTTCAAGACGCGAGCGGAAGCCCAGGCATATCTCGATCGTTTTGTCAGTGCCGACAGTGCCTCAGCAAGACAGCAGGACGACAGTGGCCAGGAGCAGACTGGGCATCTCCTCTCGCACCATAGTCATGACATTGCGATGAGAGCAGAGGGAGATTGGCCGCAAGTAAGGGGCCTCGGCTCTCCTGCCGCCCAAGGCTACAACGCCGGAGGACTCGACAGAGCGCTCGGGCTGGCGGCGGCAGGTCCAACTCTGAACGGACAGTGCTGGAGGAACTCGCCGCTATTGAGCGAAACTGATCTATCGCCACCATGCGAGGATCTAGCAGCACAGCGAACACATCAAGATCAGGACCGGCTCGCTCGAATTCAGACTTTGGCCGCACCTCCGTCGCGTGGATGCTCCCATGGCCCACAGTGTCCTGCGGGACGCAATTGTGTATCCTCGTACTTTGTTCGCCGACCGTGACATGTGATCAACTGCTGACAAACGGCAGACTGTCTGATATTACCGACGATTTCGCTCAGCTACGGGTGTGAGTTGGATCTCAACATGCTGCGTGGTCTAATCAATCGACTGACCGATTGCAATTGTCAAGAAGTCGGACTTCAAATTATAGGTCCGGCTAGGTATGATGGCCTACGCACACGATTTTGATGCCGATGAGTGGTATCTTACAGCCGAGATTGGGTTGCGAGAGCCCCCGTGATAAGTTGTGAGGGGTCTCAACACCTTTGTCTCTCCTGTTCTGCCTCCTTGACTCTTGTACCTTTCTGTCGCCTGACTGCTTCCCACATCTTCTCTGCTCTTCAAACACATCCCGCCTCAGTGACATCGGCGAGATGTTCAAGATCTGTGCCGATCCTGTGCGCCATAGCATCCGAATATCTAGAACACGAAGCGAGCGTGAAAAAGCTCTGGCGGCCTGTACCATTGGCGAGTGTCCATTATGTGAGACTTGTGACCCCGTCACTGCCAATCGCTCAGTCAGTATCAGACGGAACCGCTCTGCTAGCGATGCTAGCGGACGGTCCAGATCCTCTAGCCGCGAAGGCCGACCGAATAAGCGACTATGCGTGGCGTCCACTCCACAGACGAATGGACCTCTTGCGCTTGCCAACGACACAAGGGCGGCTGCGGGGGTCGGCCTCAGCCCCGCACCACGACGGGCCTACCCGCCACCTCATTCGCCTCAGGAAACTCCACTACACGCACTCAATATCTACACGGATGGATCGGTGCTCGACAACGGAAAGGCGGGCGCTAGGGGTGGCTTGGGTATCTACTATGAGGACAAAAGGTACCACCTTCTTAATAGGAGCGAAAGACTTCCAGGCGCTAGACAGACCAGCTGCCGTGCAGAGCTGACAGTGAGTGCGCAGCGTTGACCCGGTGAAGGATCACTTTCGCTGACGACAATGCGACCCCTCTCAATCTAGGCTGCTATCGAAGCCTTAGAAGAGGCGCCTTCTGACGTATACATCATCCTCAATACCGACTGTCAGAAGGTATTCAGGACCATGGAATGTTTGGTAAGTCAGACGACACTTCGTACTAAAGCCGACCAACAAGCTCAAACTCTCTCACTTGCCCACGCCAGCCGGATTGGAAAAGAAAGGGCTTCCGCAAGAAGTCGGGTCGCGCTATTGCCGATCTGGACTTGGTACTGCAACTCGAAAGGCAAATCAACATGCGCGGGGGCAAAGTCAGGTTGGTGCACGTCAAGGGCCACAGCGGCGTCTATGGAAATGAAATGGCGGATAGGCGAGTCAGAATTTCAATCACGCCTCTTGATATCTTTCCCTTCCTTCCAACTGATCTTCACCTTACACTTTGCAGACTTGCGAAGCGGGGAGCCAACAAGCCACTTCCCCCGCCATCTCCCTGACTCTGACATCTGCAAGAGAATACTTCTCGGGAGAGAATCTGTGATCATCAAGGCTCACTAGTAGACTCACTCCCACTGTAATTACTTTGGCCTCTGTCGCGCACTTGTCACCGCGTGTAACAATATCAATTCCTCACCACCTTGCTGCTAGGAATGCTTACTGTACGATCAACCCTGCTGGCCGGCAGAACAGGCTCACAGCTTTGCCTGCTGCGACTGTCGGTGTGCCATAGTTCCACTTAGGCAGCATACCAAGTCAGCACCTCACTATGATGCGATCTGCGCAATACCACTGCAAGGCTTCAGCTCCAGCAGAAGGAATGCCAGGTCGTTATAGAATGCGACTGGTGTCGTCAGGTCGGATCGACGGAAAGAGGGCGGAGTTCCGAATCCTATTCTAGAATGCAGCCATACCAAATGACCTCGATACCGTCGGTGCTACTTCCGAGCCGCCCTCCTGCTGTCCAAGCCCCTATGATCGGTATTGTAGTCTCTCATCTTCTGCTTCCTCGGTGACCTCTGCCTCGCCTTTCTGTCGTTGTTCCATCGAGATCACCTTCCCACTCTTCTTCCCTCCCCAATCATACTTCGCCTGCTTCACCTGGGCGGGATGGCCCGGTCCTCCTACTACGCCGTTCGGCAAGGTCGTAGCATCGGCGTCTTCAGAACCTGGCGAGAGTGCGAAGAGTCAGTGGTTGGCTATCCTGACAACGACTATCAAAAGTGCGCAACTGAAGATGAGGCATGGGACTTTGTCAATGCAGACGGCCCAAGCAGCAGCACCAGCAGAGGAGCGCGCTCTGTCACTCGCACTAGTGGGCGGACCAGATCGTCTAGCCCAGGTCACCACCCAGCTCCGAGGGCGTACCCTATGCCTCGCGAGCGAACGGCTGCTGAGGGATTATCGCGGAGGTACAACATCTATATAGACGGAGCAGCGCCTAGCAATGGTAGGGCAGGAGCTACAGCTGGGTGGGGTGTCTGGCACGAAGACGAGAAGTATGAGCATTTGAACAGGAGCGAGAGGCTGGCAGGTACTGAGCAGACTAACAATCGGGCCGAGCTGACGGTGAGTGAGCGCGAAGAGAAGTGTATACTAGAAATTGCTGTTGCTGACGATCAAGCAACCACACCTGGGGCGCATCAGGCTGCCATCGAAGCTCTACGAGGAGCACCTCGTGATGGGAAACCAATCCTCCACACCGATTCTCGCTACACAATGGGAATCAAAGACTGGCTGGTGGGTACACTGACGTCCGCGTAGCTCGCCGAAGAGCCTCCGAGCTGAAGCTCCATCCAATCCTTTGAACAGCCCGGTTGGGAGCGCAACGGCTTTCGCAATTCTCTGGGCAAGCCCGTTGCAAATCAAGATCTTGTGCGGCAGCTCGATAGAGAGATCAAGATGCGCGGAGGCAATATCGAGTGGAAGCATGTCAAGGGGCACAGCGGTATCTATGGCAATGAGATGGCAGATAGGTAAGTAGCGCGTAATTGCATTCTAGGGCACCTTCCTTCTCGCCTTTGACGACTCCTTTGGAATTGCATCCTTGCAGGTTGGCGGTGCAAGGGGCGAACAAGGCGGCTCGCAAAGCGTCTCCATGAGCTTACGACTTCTTTCGAAGCTCCCAGCTAGGCATCGAGCCCGCACCATGCGTCACTGGAGTGCTCTCATCTTAATCCTTTCATGACTTTGCCACGACATCATCAACGATACCCTAAGACATCAAATTGGACCTTCAACTACAGTACTCACTGCTACCCATCAAACGTCGCCGAGATACACCTTCTCTTGCCGTTTCAAGCAGCGGATAGCAATGACGACAATCCAAAGGCAGGTACTAATTGAGGCAAGCAGGAACGCGTCTGGCTAGGCTGGAAGGCGGAGTTGAAACAAAGGCATACTCGTACATATATAAAGCGGAGCCCCGTCCATTACCGTCCTTCTTCGTCTGCCTATCTTCTCCCTATCGCTTCGCCGAAGACTGAAGTCCGGACTGCCCAAGCTCCCACGCTCCCTCCCTCTTTTCCCCTCTAGCAGTCCTTCTTCGCCTGCCTTACCTTGCCGTCATGGGCAAAAAGGGCTACTACGCCGTCCAGTCGGGCCGAAGCGTGGGCGTCTACGATACCTGGGCCGAGTGCAAACAAGCAGTCGACGGCTACTCGGGCGCCTCTTTCAAGAGATTCGACAGTCATGATCAGGCGAGTGCCTTTGCTGGCGGTTCTGGCAGCGCAAGCGGAGGATCTCGCTACAGCGCACCCACGACTTCCTCCCGATCTGGCTACGGGTCGTCCGACTATGGATCTTCTGACTACTCCTATCGAGCCCCTCGTGCCCAAGCCGCCCCAGCTCCTTCTCGACGAGACAACATCTACATCGATGGCGCCGCCCCAGGCAATGGTAGGGACGGATCTCGTGCTGGATACGGAATCTATCATGAGAACCAGGCCAACCAGCACCTCAACAGGAGCGAGAGGCTCAACGGAGACATCCAGACCAACAACCGAGCCGAATTGACGGTGAGTCGAGGAGTGACAACCAGGATGGAGGCTGTGATCAACAGAGATTGGGAGTCTGACGGGCTCACGGCATTGCTCTCTTTTCTCACCCCTCCCATAGGCCGCTATCGAGGCCCTCAGAGGCGCACCCCGAGACACGACGCCTGTTCTACACACTGACTCTCGCTACACCATGGGTATCAAGGACTGGCTTGTGAGTGTGCCTGCTCAAGGGACACTCGGAGCACACTTCTGGCACTGGCTTTGACTCTGACTGGCCCACCTTTCCCTCTTCCACTAGCCCAATTGGGAGCGCAACGGCTTCCGCAACGCCAACGGCGAGCCCGTTGCCAACCAGGATCTTGTCCGACAGCTCGACCACGAAATCAAGCAGCGAGGCGGCAACGTCGAGTTTGAGCACGTCAGAGGCCACACTGGTGTACCTGGCAATGAGATGGCAGACCGGTGAGTCGGTGCAGGCCGAAGAACATGTAGATTTTAGACTTAGCGCTGATCCTGACTACCACGTCCACTTCAGACTTGCTGTCCAGGGAGCGAACAAGCCTCGCAGGGGATGATCGCTCGGGATCGTACCGTCCCAACTAGGTTCAGACAGAGGTCGATTCACAGACAGGGCAAAATGCCGATCACATGCAAATTTCACAAACAGCCTCTCATACCGGCATACACAAGCCGAATTCCACAAGATGTCACGTTTGTCCGTTGTCACAACCCAAAGAATCTGTCACCAGCAAACATCCAATAGCTCTTTGTCAATCTGAACGTCGATTTCAATTCAGATAGAATCTCACACTTTTGAGTGCAGTCTGAGCTGCCGGAATGTATCGACTAGACGAGTGTGACATTACCAATTTCTAGCGTACAGGGGGCTGGTGAGTTGCCAAGAACCTTCTTCCTTCAAGGGACTGAGAAAGCGCTGCATCTATCCCGGTGGCAGGAGAGAGGCGTCGACCTCTGCCAATTCCTCCTCTGTGAGCTCATCATTACCAGTCCATGACGAGGTAATGGGGGATCGAGGCAGGACCATAGTTCCTGAAGAGGTGCGAAGAGAAATGGGAGCACGAGGCATCGTCAGCTGCCTTTCTACGACAGAGCTTCTCTCCTTCGCATCCGGCGTACTCACCACTTCTAGCACACTCCAGGACACCGAATGGCCTTACGAGCTTGAGGAATGCGTCACACCTGCTCGTCTTTCCGCTCATCTCTACAATTACGCTATTACTGCTCACGTCCACTACCTGTCCCCTGAATTGTTCTGCGAGGGCAATGACGCTCCTCATGTTATCGCTCTTCACCCTCAGAGCTTCTGAAGGAGTCATTGGCAGGGCAGCTGCGCCCGATCGAGCCTCCGAGGCGGCTCCTACGGCGTTGGCTGCATTTCCGGGAGCTTTGGAAGGCTCCTTGCCCCCACTCTGCCTCTCTGCCAGCAATTCAGGCGGTACGTGGGAGGAAGATCCGCTGCCCATTCCACCAGAATAAGCTCCATATTGCGATTCTTCAAAGTACTCTGGTCCGAGGATACTGACTTTGACCAGCATTAGCTCACGTTCAATGACTTTTGTGTCACTGTAGTCCAATACGGCCCATACGGGGACTAGATCTTCAAGCTGTCTACGTGCCTGCTCCACCACTCCATCTTGTCCTCTGAGTACGATGCACATACGCGAGAGGTCTCGGATCTCTGTTGCACACACGACGAGCGAGTCGATGTTGAATCCCCTGGCGGCTAGAGTTCCTGCTACCCTTGACAAGACACCGGGCTCGTTTTGCACAAGGGTGTTGAGGATGTGCCTCTTAAAGGGCTGTCTGCTAGGTGTGGGCGTGTTGTACAAAATGTTGCTCACGGCTTCTCCAGCCTGCATCTCGGGTGGCTCTAGAGAAGGGAGAGGTGGGAGTTTCCTGAGGTGGTGACGCAGCTTGTAGTCCAGGGCAGAGGTAGAGTCTTCCTCCTTTTCGAAGCGTGGGGCAGTTGGGGATGAGAAGAAGCGCGGTAGTGGGGCGGCAGAGGGGGCAGCGGCGGGGAGGAGAGAAGAGGCTCGGAGCGACCCTCGTAGGAGGGGCAAGCCATAGCGTGACATCTTGTGAGGACTGAGCGACTCGCAGTGGCCGGCGAGGATGAGGATGATGTTGAGGGGAATACGGCAATGGTAGCGGGTATGAGCAGTGACCAGGAGGAACGAGTCAGGATCGAAAATTACACGCAGGGCCAGCCGGCAAGGAGGAAAGGAAGGAGCAGCGCGGGGATCGGAACGGAAGAGAGACAGAGGCTGCATGGGCCCCCTGCCTGGGTGCAGCCAGCCTGCAGATCAACACTTGGGCCCAGACTGCCGTGCGGGACACCAGGACTCACACCCGGAGCGAGTGAGGCTTCTCTTTCATCCTTACTTCGACAACTCTCCTTCAGGCGCCCTTTTCCCTCCTGATCATCAGCAGCTAGCATGAACGGTCGTCTCGCATCCGATTCGAACAAGTCTGATCAGACTGTAGTACAGATGAGCCAAAGCGGCAGCAGCACTGGTGGTGGTAATGGCTCAAAGTACAGGTGAGGAGGCAGAGACAGCAGGACGATGCTCACCTTTCGACGTAAAGGTATTCAAGCAGCGAGAACTGACAAGCAGTGTATCTCGTCACTCCTTTCGTGTCTCTCCCTCTTACTCTCCCACAGCATCATCCTACCAACATACAATGAGCGCCGCAATCTCCCCGTGATCATCTACCTCCTCTGCACCACCCTCGAAGCCCACAAGATCGACTATGAGATCATCATCGTCGACGATGCCTCACCCGATGGTACCCTTGAGATTGCCAAGCAACTACAAGGCGTCTGGGGTCCCGAGCATATCGTCCTGCGTCCCCGTACTGGCAAGCTCGGACTAGGGACCGCCTATGTGCATGGACTAGAATCGTGCACAGGAGACTTTGTCTTTATCATGGATGCGGACTTTTCTCATCATCCAAAGGATATGCCAAAGATGATTCAGATGCAGAGGGAGCGCAATTTGGACATTGTACAGGGTACGCGCTACTCGGGCCCTTCGACGGGAGCGGGAGTGTATGGATGGAACTTGAAGCGCAAACTCGTCAGTCGTGGAGCCAACTTGCTAGCCTCGGTCTTTCTAGACCCAAAGACGACAGATGTGACGGGAAGCTTCAGACTCTACAGACGTCCTCTGCTGCACAGACTTATGAAGGAGGCTACCTCCAAGGGGTACGTTTTCCAAATGGAGATTCTGGTTAGGGCAAAGCATGCGGGTGCTACAATTGGAGAGGTACCCATCACCTTCTGCGATCGTGTCTTTGGTGACTCGAAGCTGGAAGGAGGCGAAATTGTAGGGTACGCAAAGGGAGTGTGGAACCTGTGGAGGGCATTCTGAGGAGGTCAACAGCCGAGGGTAGCAGGGAATGCTCCATGTCTCAGTCTCCGGGTTGATGGACGGCAATGTCACTCGTTTTGCATAAAGTAGATTGCAGCGAATTCCCTCGTGGGAAGAAACAGACAGCAGTGACGCTTCCCTCAGCCTCGCCAGTCGAATTGCACCTCGCCCGTAGCGAGCAGCTCATCATCTTCTAGCGGCGACTCCATCGGTTCGCCTCGTCCTCCTTGTGCCGAAGCATCCCCTGCCTGTCCCCCAGCTCCTGCACTCCGGCCGCGTCTGCCCCTCGTAGCCCGTCGGGCACCGCTACTCTCACCAGACCCTTCCGCCCCCGACGCTGCTCCCGCTGCCCCTGGCTCGTCCTCCTCATCTTCCGAGCCAGATCCGGATCCAGACCCTGACCCTGACTGCGATCCGCCCTCGTCTTGACTGCCAAAGGAGCTGACATCGTCATTCTCCTCGTACTCCTCGTACTCTTCTCCCGACTCCTCCTCGTCGTCGTCGTCTTCCTCTTCATCCGTGTCCGGATCATCTGCCGTAATCACCGGTCCCACGAGAGGACTGGTGGCCTGCGGTGGAGAACTCATCCCCGCGGCAGTGCCCATGACGGATCCACCCACGGCGCCGGGAGAGGCGGCGCGTCTTCTCCACGGAGAGGAGATCCACCTGTTCCCGCCAGCGCTTCCATCGCCCTCAGCCGAGTCGGTCAAGGTGTTCGAGGCGGAACGTTCTGGGTTCTGCAGATCGGGCGCAGAGGCGCTTTCGATCATCCCAGCAGGTCCGGCAGCACCGTCGGAAGACTTCTTGCTGCTGGCATCTGAAGAGGCAGGCTCGGCAATTGTCTGGATGGAACCCTTCCTGCTCAAGCCCAAGCTCCCCAGGCCGAAGCGGCTTAGACGACCCTGTGACTGCTGTGGATCCGCATCGGCAGTGGAAGAGCTTCCGGCCACACCGCCACCGCTGCGGACACTCGCGGTACTCCTGACACTGCGCCCTGACCGTGCCGACAGAGCTGGCGACACGGGCGGCGTGGGCATCAGGTCCTCATCGCTCGGCAACTCAAACTCGCCTACGGAGGGTCGCCAGTAGTTGAAGTCGCTAAACTCGGGCTTGCCTGCATTTCGTACAGAACTGCGCTGGGTGATCGGTGGGAACATCTGGTCGACAAGATCCGTCATGTGGATGTAGGAGGATTTGTATCCTGCCAGCTCCAACAGCTCCATCTTGACCTCACCATTGGTGTCGATGGTGAAGATTCGGGAAGAGGGAATGTTGACACTACGATAACTCAGAGCGTCGGTGATTCTGTTGCCGAAGCCAGCGTAGAAGGGCGTAGGGTTGGCTGAAGAGGTATTGGCAGCGGTAACACTGCCTGACGATGACGTAGGCTCAACCTCCTTGCGAGCAGCATCCTTGAGGGCTTCCGTTGTGACTCCAGGCAGATTGCCTCCCGGCTGAGGCTGAGCATGTCGAGGGTCGGCACCGAAGAGACGAGCGATATCTCTCAGGCAGGCCATCTTGAAGACCTCTGGCTTACGCAGGATGACCTCTCTGTGCAACGAGGCGATGAGTCGATCCGGCGACATGATGACGGGTCCGTCTGGGAGTCGGTAGTTGTTCTGGTTGATGCCTCGCAGATAGTCCCTCGTAGTATCAGCCTGACCAATAGCTCGACTCGTGAGATACATGATCCTGTAGCCATTCCTCGCGATATCGGTGTAGAGCTTAGCAACACCGAGGTGAGTCCAGTCTCGTCCAATCATCGTAAAGACGTGACCGAGTGCGTCCGACTTTGTGATCGTGCCGTCGATATCCGACACGACGATGTGGTGCTTCGATTCCCAGAGGAAGATTCTGGCTGTACAAGTCGCTACGCCAGAGTATGAAGAGGTCACCGAAAAGGTGATGTTATTTGCTCCTTTCTTGAGATTGAGACTCTTCAATTGGTCAGAAGTCAAGCGGAGCGTCTTTGCATAGGTCTTCTGCGGGCCTCCCTTGGCGGACTGGTGGGGACGAGGCGGCTGATTCTGCTGTGCTCCACTGAGCAACGTGGGGTCAGACTGAGTCCTCTCCAAGTGCGGAGCACCCGCTTCACCCACAGCAGGACCTGCGGCCGCCGGCTGCGTTGCAGGGTGATCCTCTGGAGGCGCGCTAGACTCTCTCAGATCACGATCTACCTCTCCACCCTCCAGGTGCCGATTGCGGTTCCACCATCGACTCCAAACGCTTGCACGATGTTCGCGCGAAGGGACTGGCTCGTCCGTCAAGACTGCTTCTTCTTCAGCTGCCTTGGCAGAGGCGAAAGTCTTGCGGTAGAGGGAGAGCGTGGCCAATACTGCCGAGGCATTCTCCCAGGTGAGGTACCGGTCGTTGTACAAGACGACGAGCCTCTCATCATTGACCACATCCGGGTCTTCGACAAATCGCTGGAAGCTGATTCGATTCTCTTCAAAGTCGTCACGATCCTCTTCGGACCCCGCATTCTCCTCTGCAGGAGCGCTGCCGTCCCCTTGTTGCGACGGCGAAGAAGTCGCGCCGAAGCCCTCTTTGAAGCAGAGACTCATTGCAAAGTGGCGCTCGCAACCGTCCTCAAGGACAAGTTCGAAAGTATATGGATCTCCTTCGTATCCGCGGAAACGAGGTCCATTGCTCCGCTGCCTCAGGAGGCCAAGAGCTTCAGAGCGGGAGTTCGACAGTCCGTCTTCTGCGCCAGAGCTGAGGACTCTGTGGCGCGGAATAGCCGATCCACTTCGATCCATTGACCATGCCCCCGACTTGGGAGATTCCTCATAGTGAGCTGGAGGAGTGGCATCGCCAGGCAGCATCCGTCCCAAGGAGTAGTCAAATGGCCCGCTCTTGGCGCGTAGGTGACTCTTGTTACGAAGGCCACTGACAGTGCTTGCAACAGCATTACCGTCCTCGTTGACATCGTCGAGATCTGTATCGCTGTGAGATCCGTCCTGGTGTACTGTCCCAGAGGAGCGGTGACCGCGCCTCTTCATTTTCTGTAGCTCTTCCGGGACATCTAAGCTATCGGCCTCATGATCTGGAGGAAGGAGGGCCCTGGCGACAGTGGCAAGATCTCGGCTGAACTCAATGTCTTCTTGGTTGTTATTAGCGCCATGACTCGCAAGAGTTGGAGTGTCAGTCCCTAGACTCATGAGCGGATCGAGCCCATTGCCAGCTCCTGCAGCTGAGGAGGAGGAGGGTCCCCCTTCCGAATCTCTGTGTGTATCATGAGCGATCCCTTCCCGACGATGAGCAGTATCCAGATACTCGCCGATATGGGGGTGCCTCTCGTGACCACCATGACGCCGACTGAGGGGGAGCTCATCGGCCAAGCGATGCCCTTCTGCAAAGGCCAGATCTTCACCATCAGTAGTCATCTTGTATCCGTCCATGTCAAGCATGTATTGAAGGTCTTCCTTCGTGCGAGAAGTCACCGATTTCTTCGACACAGCCTCCTGCGCAACTGCTTCCTCCACCTTGACGGGCTCGACAGACCCACTGCCTGAGCCTGTAGCTTCTGCTAGCGCGTCATGACTTCTGGCAGCCTCTTTGAAGGAACGAATCTGCCTTTCGATAGGCCTGGGATCGAGGTGCGTCGGAGATATGCCAATCTCGTCAACAGGTGCGATGCCTGATACTCGCCGTCCAGCAAGATATTGTGAGTGATCCGCTTGAGAAACAGGGTATGTGTTAGAGCCGCTACGGACCGGCGAGCGAGTTGCAGCAATCTCCTTTGAATCTGCTCGACTGCCAAAGGGTGCAGGGTAAGACTCCTCGCCAGACAGAGAAGCTTGTGAGGCAAGAGATGAGCGCCGATTTTCTTCGTCATTGCCCTGACTGTGACCCTTATGAGCAGACTCGAGGAGATTCTCTTCCGCCTTGATCAGCTCGTCTGTCTGGTTCATCATCTTCTGCTCCAGCTTTTCAGTCTCGCTAGAAGGTGCGTCTCTTGACTGAGCAGCAGTCTCGTCACCAGCCCGCTGCTTTTCTTCTTGCTCGGAGGTGTCGAATCCGGGGTCGTATTCGTGAGCGTCACCCTTCTCCTCATCGACGGGCGCACCTGTTTCTCCGCCAAGGCTCCGCCTTGAAGATCGGCGAGCTAGCTTGTCCAAGCGCGGATTTGCCGAAGCGCTGACACCAACTGCTCTACTAGCAGCGCCAATTGCCCCACCAGCCCTGGAGGCAGCATGTCCAAGGTGACCCAGAAGACTTGAGGAGCCTGCCGCGGGACCAGAGCCGTTCAGTCCGGAGTCGCTTGGCACGTCCAGATCAGGCGAGTCCGGCCGACCACTGGGCTTGTACTCTGCTAGGCCCTCTTTGTCTGTCGAAGGGCTTCGACTGCTGTTCGGGCTCGTGATGCCCGTATCGTCCGTGGTATTGGTAGCTACGGTCATTGCGGCACTTCTGGCATCGGCATCGCTCTCCTGAGCTTCCTCGAGGTCAAGTGCTGGGGAAGCGCTGCCACCAGCACCAACAGCGGCAGCCGTGGCAGTGCGCGAATCGTCGAGATCAAGAGGCTCTACGTAATTGCTACCAATGCCATTATCACTACTGATGCCGGCTGCCTGTCCAGAACCACCGGGGGCATCTGCACCTTCCAGGCCCGGGGAAGCCAACGGGCTTGCGCTTGCGCTCAAGATGGGACTTGTGACTAGATCATCGGGAATGGCATTCTCCTCCTCGTCGATTTCGACCACGAAGAATGCTTCTCCTTGCTCTCCGACTTTCATAGCAAAGGGCAATGGCTCGGTCGAGTTATTCAGATGCAAGGTGACCTGGGGCCAGATGATGTTATTGGGTAAGCCGTCGAGGAGGACCCTGTCAGCATGCTCCCTTTATCGTCGGACCGCCCATAGGGAGTCGTGCGCTCGTTGCTCAACTCACCTTTCTCTCCCCTGGCCGTAGTACGCTCATCTTTCCAAATCTAACATGAAAGGGCGTACTAGCAAGTTCCGTCGTCCATCTCTTCCTTTTCCGTTTCTCCCTCTTTTCTCCCCCTTCTGACAGAGCCGTCCCGTCTTGAGTATCATCCTGTGGATCGTCCTCCTCGACTTCCACCTCGCGCTCGACGACGATGACATCGATGGCTCCGCTGAGTGTGGCGGGGTTGATGTTGGGGGTGATGGTGTTGTACACCGAGGAGACGAAGCGGCCTACGTATTGCATATTGGATGCTCGGAGTAGCCGTCTGGCCGGGGGCTTTTCTGAGCTTGCAGTCGAGTAGAGTGGATGGGCCGTTCTATCAAGCAGCAAAGGAAGGAAAAAAAAACTTTCTTACTCGATCTGCCGATACCAGAGCCTTGTTGCTCAAGAAGGCCGAGTGAGGAGTTGGCGGCTGCTAGGCGTTACTGAAAGGGCTAAAGGGAGCTAAGTTGCCGAGCTGAGCAGCTCAGTTTCCATAGTCCTCTTCCCACCAACAGATGTCAAGATCCAGGTATACAAATGAGCCAATGCTGTGATGATGATAACGAGTGGGTATGGTATGGTATGATACGGTAAGGGTGATGGTATCCTCTGGAGTACAGCAACAAGCTATACAAGGCGATTTAGACGTCCCCCCCTCACCTTTTCCCCACCTCCCCTCCCCTGCGTCTCCGCCAGCCCGCTTCGAGCCGAGGCGCCCGCCCACATGGCCGCCGCGTTTGCACGTCCCCTCCACCTGCGCCTGCAACTCAGCACAGGACGCCATTCACGCTCTTTCCTTGAGCCCCACTGGATGGACGATGGGACCCTTCCGGTGCGAAAAAGTGGGGACGAGATGAGATGAGACGAGGCCAAACCAGACGCTACGCTACGGCGAAGCTGACTGCATTCCTGACCATGAAGAAGAATATAGGACATGTAAAATAATAGGTATTGCAGGGTCAGACGAGAGAGTATGGAACACTGGGCGCGAGAAGATTGAGGATCGATACGAGAATAATGAAACGGAGAGGCAGAGGAGAATTCAAACCGATTCAAAGGAAGATGCGCGCACATCTATCGAGGGGGCGGGCAAGAAAGGAGGACGGCTGGGAGAGTGGCTTACTGAGAGTTCTGAATCCCCTTGCCCTCACGTTGCCTTGATCCTCTTGCTCTCAAAAGGTCCATAGATGTGTTGACAACCCCATAGTGAGTCGTCGCCCGTCTCTCCCACCTTTTGTCGTACACTCCAGTACTCCGGATGAGCACCAGGCCCTTCTCCATCTGCAACCTTGGGCTGCCAAAAGGCCTCGCCCGAGTCTGCATCGATCGTCTTTGTAAACCAGCGCGGCTCGTGAGGGGGCAATTCGCCCGTCTCGCGCTTCTTTCGAGTCTGGCGTTGGTAGTCCTCTAGAGACTGCTTTAGACCGTTGGCCTCGTCGAAGCGACCCTCTTCGAAGCTTACCAGATCCGGTCGCACACGGCAGTCCGTGGGAGGGAGCCACTTCGGTAAGCTCTTGGGAAGATCGTTGAGAGTAATGGCAAAGGGTGTGAGGTTGAAGGGTAGATTGGCCGGCTTGACGCTATTCTTCCACAGCAAGAGGTATTCAGCCAGAGGATTCGACTCTGCGCTGAAGCCTCCCTGCACACTCTCATCTGGGTTGAGAGTGCCCTTGCCTGCACCAGCTTTGCGAGCTACGAGTTGGCTGTCCCACTTTCCAGCAATCTCCCACACCAGCTTACCAGCGCCATTCCACACCTGTCCACTGATCTCTCGCGCTGCGCCACCCCTCCAGCCACGAGGCTTAAAGGTCAAGGTGCACTTGTCGCCCGTGGCGTGATTCTCGACAGTCAGATCACCGACGTGGTCAATCGTGGGACTTCCAACAATGAAGCCAGACACGCTCGTCGTCACCTTGTTCCAGGTGTAATGCTCAATGACTTTGCCAGGGAAGAGGGGCCCGGCTTCAGGCAGGCCCTTGCCTGCCTTTGGGAGCCAATCCTTTGAAATTTTCAGCCGAGCGTGGGCCACACCAGTAGGGCGAATCTCAAAGGTGCGACCGAGGAATTTCGACTTGGCATCGACGCAGCCGAGGTAGTCCCACAGTGGAGACTGCGCTAGACATGCAGAAACGGGAGGATGATGGCAGACTTGCTCAGAGATGTACCGATAGTGCTTGTCTGGCCGCATGTACTCGAAAGACTCTCCTAGCATGGGGTTGAAAGGCTTCGCAACACGACCGATGGTGCTCGAGTAGTTGCTCATGGCAAAAGCCGCCACAAAAGCAATCCGCTTGGTCGAGTCTTCTTGCGTAGCAGCAGCGTCAAGGCATTCAGAGAACTCCATGTCCTCTGCCATTCGCTGAAGCATACTGGTAGGCTCATTGAAAGCGACCGGAAAAGAGATCTTCGTCAAGTCTTTGCCGATGTTGTTCTTCAAGATTGCCCACAGAGAGACGCTTGGCCTGTCGTCAGAGCCAATGGGCAGCTTGGTACGAAGATGCCGATATGGCTCGAGAGCAGCGTCGTCAATGGCCTGCTTGCGGTTGAAGTCTTCAGGCCAGTCGGCCTCCTTCATCTCTTCCTGCATGGGAGTCTCCACTTTGAGACCCGGCAAGTTCCCACTTTCAATTGCATCGAAGAACTCATCATCGTCCCCGACTGATTCTGTCTCGGTCATCTGCCCACCAGCAGAGCCTGATGCCAGACCTGACATGCTACCCCTCGCTACGGGCTTTGTCGGGACTCCATCCAGCGCAAGAGGCTCAGCGCCGTCCCGTCGATCTGCAATCGTACCTTGCAGCGATAGGGCGCCTCGCTGTGGCACGGGACTGAGCACTCCCGCGCTTGGAGAGGCACCAATGTTGTCTCGAATCTCACGGAGAGCTTTACGCTTCTTGGCATTGTCCTGAGCAGCCTCTTGGAGTTGATCCTCCATGTCTGCGTGCTGTTGCGCAAGAGTCTTCATATTTTCCTCCCACAGATGCTTGGCAGAGATCTCTTGCTCGTACCTCCTCAGAAGGTAGGCTTCCCGTTCACCGACAAGCTTAGCCTGCTCCGACGAGAGCGACTCGATCTGTGCAAGGGCATCCTGCAGGGTCGCCTTGACTCCTCCGTCTGCCGTTGCGGGAATCGATGCAGCGAGTTGTAGAGCCTGCTCGATCTTGAGGCCAAGAGAGCTCTGGATGAGGGGCATTGTCTCGGAGTGAGGAATGCGGGGCTTTCCATCTGCATCGAAGAGCGGCTCGGCATCCGCCAGTCCATCGGAGTCTCCTTGCTCGCTAGCGAGACTATGAATGCTGGTCATACTTGGGGTCCGCTGGATGCTTTCAGGCCGCGAAGCTGACAGAGGCGCCGACGTTGTGAGCGTGCCAAGGATGGCGTTGTTGGTGTTGGTGCTCAGACTACTTCTCGCGAGGGCAGGAGTCGTACTCCTCGACGGCGCAAGGCTGAGATTGGAGACAGAACCACTTGCGGTGGGATTGGAACCTACTGAGCCTGCTGGACCATCAGTCCTACTTGCTGTGCGACTCAAATCAAAGTGGTCTTGAGTCTGCTGGAGGACAGCGACCCATCGCGCTCTTTCCACGGGGTGAGATCCCCTTAGATACAGCTTGCTAGTGCCCTTGGCTGTAGCTTCGCTGATGACTTCGAAACGGTGCTTGTCGTTGCTCGAGGCTCGGATCTTGGCAAAGCGCAAGTTGACAGAGCCACGAGATGACTTGCCCTCTTCTTCTTGGGTATGGTAATACGACAGAACACCATCTTGCAGAACAAACCACCGCACTTTGTAGCCCCCTGCTAGATTGGTCCATTTTCCGAGGTAACCTCTGAAAGTCGGTGGATGACCGGCGGGTGTCTGTGCTGCAATGGCCGCATCAGCGTTGGAGTACTGCCTCAGGAGGGCCTTGATCTTCTCATCCTTTGAGCTATCCAAGGCCGACTTTCCTCTCCTATTCCTAGTATACACATCTGCTCCGTTCCGTACAGCAACTTCAATCATGGCAGTGTCCTTTCTTGCAACAGCCTCGTGCAACAACGTGGTGCCAGACTTGCTCTGCACATTGAGGTCTAGAGACCGAGCCCGAGGCAAGGCAAGAATGGCGCGCAACTTTTCTTCAGCGCCTGGGCTTCGACTCTCCCAGGCCGACAATACTTCAAGATACTGGCAGTTGAGCTCGGCTCGGGAGACTTGAAACAATTGGGCAATCTGAGGGGAGTGGGCCAGATCTGCCGGATCTTTGCCGTCCTTGTTCCGCTTAGTATCGTCGATTCCCTCTCTGCTCAAAAGCAGCTGAGTGACATCTGCCCGCCCGAGAGACGAGGCAATGTGAAGGGCAGTGTTGCCGTGGTGAGCCTCGGTGGCATTGATGTCCAAATCCTTGTATTCGAGGCAGAGCTGCACTGTAGCATACTCTGCACACCGGACAGCGATGTGTAGAGGACTCGTCAACTCGTTCACTGGTGTGCCCTTCGGTGTCGTGGGAGCCTTGGACAGGAAAGGACGAAGGGTCTTCGCATCACCTTGGCGCAGAGCCTCAAGCAGCCGGAAAGAGTAGACGGCCTCTGCAGAAGAGCGAGGAGATTGTGTGATCGGCGGCGGAGGAGGAGGAGGGGGAAGAGGTAACGGGCGACCGGGTGAGAATGGTGATCGAGGAGATGCGGTAGTAGGCGAGGGGTTGGTGGATGATGATCGCAGCACAGCCGTCAGAGCAGCATTGGTTGATTTGCGAGGTAGGGTCGGGGAAATTTGCGAACCAAGGGAAGAGCGAGACGACCGCAATGGTACCGCATCGGAGGTGATCCGTCGAGGAGGTGGAGGGGGCCGACGTGGGGGAGTAGAGCGATTTGGTAGGTTCGCATCATTGCGAGGTGCGATTGTATCATCGACATCGTGGTACCGAGAGCGTTCCGGCAAAGGCGATGAGGGAGCCATTACATCGGAAGAAGGAGATGTGCAGCGGGTGTGTGCAAGAACGAAGCGGAGGTAGTTGAGTGAACAAGGGAAGAGGGAGAGGAAAAGGTAGCATGACGAGGTCAGCACAGCAGATCCCCAGAGCTTGAACCCGTACCTTGATCAGCGGGCGCAGGATTGCCACTTTGACCTGACACAGGGGCAATGGCGACGGCGGCGGCGGCAGCGGCGGCGCAGCACTGATTGCTTTGTTGTCCTCGCAGCAAAGAGCAAAAGGCAATCAAGATGGCCTCCTTCGCCATTGCCTCTACCGCCGCTGATGCAAGGCACCATGCCCCAAGCCCCAAGCGCGCATATAGATGGGCGTAGCAATCCTGGACTTGTCCTGCTATAAAGACGACGAAACTCACCTTCCGGTGCTGGTCCGCTAGCAGACGCCATCTTCTACTCGTCTCTGTCTCTTGGGGCGGGGACGCTGAAGTTCCGAATACAATGCGATGCTGGAATATCAAAATCGAAGCCTGGCTGGGATGAGAGGGGAAATCACAACGTGCCCTTTCCCCTTGCGCTAGTAAACGTTGGAGCTCTCAACCCGAAGAGGGGTCTGTATGGGAATGCTTGTAGGATGGAAAGGGGGGTGGAGGTTGATACGATGTGATGATGTGCGATGCGATGCGCCAAGAGAAGGAGAGTACGATAAAGGCAAAGCCGGAAGAGGATCCGTCGGCTGGGCGGATTAGATGTCGGCCGTAGAGGTGGAGTTGGTCGGCAGAGAGAGTGCAGCGCGGGGAGCGGTGACGACAGGGGCATTCGTCTAGCCAGCCCTCCTCGGCCCCTTGGCCCTGGGGGGCGCCATCAGTCGGGGGCGAGGCAGGGTCGGAGACTCGGAGGGTCAGTCAGACTTCCTGTCTGCGCCCCTCCCTCTCCCTCGGCGGCGATTGGCTCACCGCCCGATCGGTCTTTGCAAAGGGCGCACCCCTCTGCCCTGATGCGTGCCTCAATGCCCTTACTCTCTCTCTCTCTCTCTCTCACGGCCATATGCACGCAGGGTCATTCATCCTCAGATTGCCTAGAATCCACTCCTACACGGCACGCATAGACTAGCACACACACACACACACACACACACACACACACACACACACACACACACACACACACACACACACACACACACACACACACACACACACACACAC